CAATGCCTCCATTGAGGCCCCAACGGCGGTGACACCATGTATACGCGATTACGTCGATATCAGTGTTGCCGTTGCCACGAGAAGGGCTCGTCACTCCTGTGTCCGTAACGTTGAGACCATGGGTCTCGTTGAGATCGAGCAGTCTATCGCTGATCTCGGCAAGAAGGTCAGTCTTTACCTTAAACTTATTACCTTTAGCATATAATTCTTATGTCAAGGCTAACGGATACAGGCCCGCGATAACAAGCTGACCATCGAGGACATGGCCGGCGGTACCTTCACCATCAGCAACGTAAGTCCTGCACCTTGCACCTGTCTAATTTCCTTTTACTAATGGCTTGTAGGGTGGCGTCTTTGGCTCGCTCATGGGCACTCCCATCATCAACCTTCCCCAGACCGGTGTCCTCGGCCTGCACGCCATCAAGGACAAGCCCGTCGTCGTCAACGGCAAGATCGAAATCAGACCCGTAAGCTAGCCATCTTTCTCTACCGACATTGGTAATCTCGTACTAACGGTCCTCAGATGATGTATCTCGCCCTTACCTATGACCACAGACTTCTCGACGGCCGGGAAGCAGTCACTTTCCTCGTCAAGGTCAAGGAGTACATCGAAGACCCTCGCCGCATGCTCCTCTGCTAGACAACTACCAACTACTACTACCTAAAACCACCCTCCTACCCACCAACCAACCCCATTTACCATCATAACTCCCGACCACTACTGTAAATTTTCATCTTGGCCGAATCATCATCGTTCATTTTCATTTGTTTGTCTCCATACTCATTATATCATACCATGTCGCTTCCTTATGTACAACAATAAACCCATGGTCATCTACCCTACTGTTGCCATTTGTGAATCGATACAGACCTCAAATACCAATAGAATTAACGTCTTATGCCTTCATTTTCCTCAAATTTGATCATCTCTATCAATATCTACTTGATAACGCTATCAGAAATCCCTCGCTGCTTATTGGCCGGTCGGTTGGTTGGTGGCTGATGACTAAGCGTGGACGTGACGCGACTTTCCTATTTACGCGGAATGATCAAGAACAGACAATGAGATAAAGATGACATAGATTGGTTAAGAGATAGATGTGTTACGGACATAGACGAGATGGATGCAGATGCAGATGCAAAGGCTACTTCTCTCCGAGCAGAGCTGAAGCAATGGGAAAAGACATTCACGCTGCAGACTTCCCGCAAGCCAGGACGCGACGATATAAAGAACAATCCGGCAATTGGTATGCAACTCGACAAGCCCGGGAGAAGCATGGTGCTAACTACATAACAGCTGAGAAGTACAAGGAATACTCGCGACTGCGATCAGAGAGCTCGCAGAATGCAGGAAAAGAGAAAGAGAGAGAGAAAGTTAAGCCAGCGGCAGAACAGCAAACGCCTAAGCGCACGAAGAGGCACTGTCCGTTTGAAGACGATTCCCCCGCTGCAAAGCCAAAGATATGTACACCTAGCAGGACCGCGACGACAGGAGGTGCACATCCCTCGCGAATAGATCCGTACGACTCCCCTTCGAATGTCCGTCGACTGAACGGTGCGCGGGAACAGCTACCTCTCTACGAGGCTATTGGGCCCACACCGCAGAGAGACGGGAAGGCATTGGGCCTGTTTGATTTGCTTGGTTCGCCTGGCCAGAAGACTCCGAGAGCATCAAGACGGTCTGCTGTGAATGTTGATGATACCCGTGGCAACGGTGACGGTGTGGCCCAGACTCCCTCGAGGAAAGTCCCCGGTACGCCATCCAGCAGAGGAACGCCGGCAACAGCACGAAGGCTGAGATACGCATCAACACCGCTATCCTCGGCACGCAAGTTCTATCTCGCAAGCTTCTTCGCTACACCGACTGCGAACCGATGCACGACTATCCCTGAGGAAGAGGACGAGGATAACGCAGCTCGTGGTGGTGGGGCTCTTGAGTCAGATACGCCTTCATTCCTTCGACGGAAGAACATCTTCTCTCCCGCGAAGGCGAATGCCGGTGTGCTGAATTTGCGTAGCCCCGGGCCCGTGGCAGTGCGTATGCCGCAGAAATTATTCGGGAAGGGAATAAGTTCGTTTGCGAAACGGTTGCAAGAAGAGCGGGATGCGGAGACGAAAGAAGCAGGCGATGAGCAGTCTGAAGATCGTGTCGAGGAGACACAGATCTTCTCGGACCATGCGCTTGATAACGATGATAACGGGGATGGCAATGTTCACAGGTCCCCATCGAAGGCAGAAAAAACGTATAAGAAAAAAGGCCAGAAACGAACAACCAAGCTCTCTCGTCTCAGGCCGTCCCGTGCAAAGCCAGCTGTTCAGCCATCGTGGGAATCCCTTGTTGAAGATAGTGATGACGAACTGGCTACTACCGAAACAGCTGCGGCCCCAGCAGAAGACGACGGCTCAAGTGATGGTCCTGACGCTGATGGAGCATGTATTCCCAAGAGCCGTGACAAGCACCCAAAGAAACCTGTCAAGCCTAGCTCTAACACTGCTGTAGGGAAGAAACCGAGGAAGATCAAGGCGGAAGCCCATGCCAACTACCGCTCCTTGAAGATTCGAAGCCGAGGTGGTCAGAAAGGAGGCGGCCGGTTCGGCAGGCGATGAGATGGCGCATATAATGACCCTGAATGACTCAATGACTGGCATAAACATTACCCCCGCATATAGCATAGATTCGGCGTTCCATAGCTCGGAAATTCAGAATATATCATGATATCCCAATTTCATCATACTGAACTGCTGCGTCCCACTCTCCCAGTGTCTCAAACGGACTTCTCAGCCAGGACTGCAGCTCATGCAGGAATAAACACGCATATTCCTTCCCCAGAAAATCTCGTAGCATCATCTCGGCCTGTCCTGCACTCCCCTTTATATCTACCGTACGTATTACGGCAACGATATATTCGAGCAAGTACTCCGGGTTACCGATTCGAACACCCCTATTAGCATGACTTTGACCCTCTCGCAAGCTCAAAAAGGTGAATACCTGCAGCTCACGCCGAATCCACCTGCGAGCCCGTGATAGTAGCTTTCCGTCTTGATCAATCATTCGAGGAGTGACTTCTCGGTAACCGGAGTGTCTGTTGGAGCCTACCCGTAGACTGTATAGTTGATGACGGTATACATACCGACGGCGCAACAAAGCAGAGTCTACCTCTCCATGGCTGGGGCGTGACACCTGCTGTCTGCTTCTGCGCCTGTTTCTGTTTCTAAGGCTGTGGATGCCTTCTTTACTTGCTGTGGGTGGAGAAGTCGGTAACCAGATTATCTTCTCGCCCCCCGAAGCATGTATATCATACTTTACCCCGGTTACAGCCGTCTGACCTATACATCTTTAGGTACAGTGTCTCAATACTGGATATAGGCTATACTTACATAAAGGACAGACAGGGCGTTGACCCAACCATATCAAAAAGCACTGCAGGTCGAAGTTGGAGTGTTTACATGGAATTGCGGTGCATATTTGTTTCAATTTTGTCCAAACAAATCACGCATGGTCTGTCTTCATCTTTCTTCGTCCCGATCGCCCCCACGGACATCTGCTATCATTTTGCATAGTACATCCTTGCTCTCCTTGATATCCTGGGCCATCTGGAATGCATTTCAAGTGCAAATCATGTAGTAACTCATAGAAAAGCTGAAGTTGAAGTCGAGAACTTCCTCTTTCGGCAGGAGTCACGTGGACAGCTATTTCTAGCTTATGTAATTTTACTTTTGCAAAAAGAAGGAACAGCAAAAAGCAAAAACGAATTTGCAAGTTGGAAAAACTTTCGGGGTTAGTTGGATCTTTTTTTCAAGCGAAGCGACGTTGACTTCAACGAGCTGCGGCTTGAGATCCTGGACATCTTGGATATCTCGACGGCTCGACTCGACTCGACTCGTTCGTGATACAGAGACTGCACGACACGATAGACAAGGGTCTCTTATGCTGAAAGCACTCAGATCACCGAGACTTGCAGCTGTTTACGCCCAGATGGCGCCAGCTATAGCCAACAGCCCAGCGCGGTTCAATCCCCAAAAGTCGACGACCTACTCGACAACCGCGCTGAAACGATGGTCGTGCCTCAACGAAGGCGTCCTTCCCTGTGGGTTTGCAACTAAAAGCTGGCCGTGATTGATATATGCCTTATTGTGGGACAGTTGAGAGCGCAGTAGCTAACGCGGTCGCCCGTTTCCAACTCACAGCAATCCCGGATATCAGAACCATTCACGTCTATGATTTTGACAATACTCGTATGGAGACACTCTGGCAACGCTATATGGCTTGAAAATGCGCCGGCTGACTGTTTTATATTAAAGTCTTTTTAAGCCCTTTGCCCAACCCGCAGCTGTGGAATGGACCTACAATTGGCTTCCTGCAATCATATGAGTGCTTTTCAAAGGGCGGCTGGTGGCATGATGCGAATATCCTCGGGTCAACAGGTGATGGAATCGAAGTCGAAGAAGCCCGCGCCTGGGCAGGATGGTGGAACGAACAGATAGTACGATACCCGTTGATCTGCGGATAATATTCCATTCTAGTGGTTCACCACCGAGCTGACTATATACCCCAAAGGCCCAATTGGTTCAACTGAGTATGAAACAAAAAGACGCTCTTACCGTTCTTCTTACAGGCAGGTCGGAAGCTGGATTCGCCGAGCTTATCGGGCGCATGATCAAGAGTAAACAGCTGTCCTTTGATCTTGTCTGCCTGAAGCCGGAAGTTGGTCCGAACAACCAACGCTTTGCATCCACTATGAAGTTCAAGCAGAACTTTCTAGACGACTTAATGCGTACGTATAAGGATGCTGATGAAATCCGGGTGTACGAGGACCGTGTAAAACAGTAAGTTATGCGTGCCGGATAAAAAGCCCACTTAAGCCCAAAAAAAAGATAGTCCTTCTTTAACCAAACCCACAACGAACAGTGTCAAAGGATTCCGTGACTTTTTTGAACAGTTCAATAAAGACGCCGCAGCAGCTGGTCCGTCGGCTACCCGAAAGCCCATTGCCGCTGAGGTGATCCAAGTGGCCGAGATGGCCAAGTACCTGTCTCCGGTGACAGAGGCAGCCGAGATCCAGCGTATGATCAACTCACACAATGGATCACTAGGCACCCCAGGTGCAAACATTACCAAGTCCCCCTATGGCAGACTTGAGCTGTCCAAGACAACATTTTACACGGGATACATCCTGGCAAATGCCGACACTGTTCGGATAATAGATAACATCTTCCTTCCACTAATATCATCCAGCGTTGCTGACACCAGCGAAATTAAGTTCATGTCGAACAATATCCTGATCACTCCACGCTCTGCTCCTAAACCTGTTCGAGACAAGGTTGGCGGGCTGGGGAAGGTCGTCCGTTGGCGCGTCACAGACACAGGCAGCTTTGAACACAAGCTATGGGCCGCAAGAGTAAGCCCGCTTGATAGCTCAGAGGTCATTCACACTGATAATCCAGAGCCGATCATCGTTCTTGGTATGCGCAAAGGCGTACGGCCGGCAGATGCCAGCAAGATCCGTAACTGGACACAAGTTACCAAGGATGATTCACTCGTATTCGACACGGTAGTCGGTGAAAAGACCATCCTGCGTGTGCAGGAAGAGGATGTAGGACGACATGGCGCTTCAAGCCGAGGCGGCAAGAGAAGATTTCAGCCAGACAGTCGGGAGGAAGTGGAATCATCTACGCGGGACTACCGTGATATGCAGCAGCATCGGCCACCCGCCCCCGAATTTTCAGGTGGTAGGCCCCATAACCACAACAACCGCCATTATAACGGTCCGCCACCATCGTTCCGTGGGAACCGCGGCCGGGGTGGGCGAGGTGGAAGAGGTGCCCGGGGACGTGGTCGCGGTGCCGGTGGAGGTAGGGGAGACAACTATGGATCGAGATACAGATCCCTGGATGACCATGCTGCTGCTGCAGGCGGTCATGATAACAAAATGGACGGCAGAGGTCCTCCCAGAGGCCCCGGTGGTGGCCCAGTGATGAACTATTAGCAGGAGCCGTTGCCATTTTTCCAAGTTCCAGATACCATTTTCGTGACTTTAGCTTGTATGAATACTTATTACTTCTTGCTTTTTTCGGCTTGGAGTTGCCGCATCCGTGAATATGAGTTTGATACTGTTGATGGTGCTTGTTCTTCCACTATCTTCTACGCCATGGCGGGTTGGCTGATGACTTTGACTTTTAGGTGAACAGTTTTATCATTCAATGCAATTGCATTCAATATCTCGGCTTCACAGTAGTATTCCTGAACTACTCTATCCCTTCACTGCTGATATTCTTGACTGCTGCCCCGGGACTGTGAATATACCCATTAACTACAAGAAAGTGACTGGCATACCCTGGAGAAGAAATCCCAAAGCTATAAAAGGAGCGAAATTCCTCCTCCCTTCCCAAAATTTTATCTTCCTTAAATATTCCATCAGGACATGATAACGATATATCAATATTACATACCACAGTGGCCTACAGAACATTTACAGACTAACTACACCGGCTACCACTTCTCTTCACACTTATCTGATCCGAAAATTAAGCTCCACTACCACCATAATACAACGATGGCTATCTCCGTTGATATCAAGAGATGGAGCTGCTTTAATACACACCCTCCAAGGTCAACAATGTCTGGATATATTCGATACGTCAGTGCCAAAGAGGCACGTAGCGTGGCCCCCCATATTCTTGTCAAAAGCCAGCCAAGATTATAGCTCTCCTCCCTAGCCGCTGGCAGGGAAAAAATTATGGAGGAGTTATCCTAGGACGAAATCACGAGAACATCGACCTTATGAAGAATCAGACCCTCGAGATATTCCGGAGCTGCAGGCAAATCTGTTGGAATATTCCACTTAGCTACGACTCGCACACGTTACCCAAGGTATCCTCGGGGCATCAGGCCTTTTTGTCTCTTGTGGTCCAACAAAATATCCTCTTGCAGCTTACTTAGTAACTGTTTGACAAAAGGGCATGAAGATAGCGGCCTCCATCTTAGACTTGTTCCGTGCGGCCTATGAAAAATATCGCAAGGTTGGACTATCACGCCGGCTCGCTATACCGAACTTTCCACGACATAGGATACACTTGCTAAAGAGTGCCTTAGCTATAATGTGCGCCATCATTGCTCTAATTTCGGAGTGTGTTGCATTTGGATACTTGACTTCGCTAGTATTTATGCTGATCAGCGAAGTCGGCGTCCACGTTCTGATCCTGTGGCTACTTGTCTATGCCATGCGAAAGACCCCAGATGTTACCTATAGCACCAGATTCCCAGTGGGCAATAACCAAAGCCGCGGCAACAGGGGGTCAACGTTGAGATATCTCTAACGACATCTCTCCGTTGACAGAACAACGTACGATCTTTTGTAAGAAGAGCAAGGTTGAGGTAATAAATAATGTCTCCAAATCCACTAGTCAAACGTTTTGACGCGGCCCGCATGGGCATCATGTCTGCTGTTAAAACTACAAGCAGATATAAGCTAATTTGAAAGTACGTAACTATGACAAGGGCCCATGTTTGTTGAAAAGGTGGTAAAGGTGCTAACTTGTGAAAAGAAAATATCGAAATTTTGAAATCAGAGCAAGAATGTCTCCACGGCCAGCCTAAGTGTTGCAGGCCGCGAAATCCGTCTCGCCAACCTTTGATATACTCCCGGGAGAACAGTTATTCGTTGGGAGGATGAGACTCTATAGGCATCGAGCAAAATAAAGGCCAAAATCCATGGAGAATGCATGACTTTCGGTCTGGCTGCTGGACTGTCTATCCTCAGTATGGAACACTCGTGGTCACGGACTCGTGGCAGTACCCACGCAGCCACACTGGCTACCTATGTTTGGTCTCAATATCAATATATATGCCGGCCCCGTCAAGCACTTTGCTATTCTCGACGGGTAGCTGAGCGAGAGGAAACTAGAGAATGCTAACATTGGTCTATAAATAAGGGGTGGCTCGAGGCTGAAGGATCTTAGACGTATGTCGTTATATATCCGGTCATCCCTAGTTAACATGGCCCTGCCTACAGGTGTGAAGAAACTGCTGAAAACCCTTTCAAGCCAACTGAGTATTTGGGGAGTCGGACCGCAAAAAAACCTTTTAACGACGAACCTGACATCGCTAGAACTCGTCAAGTTAACTACCTCCGTCAGCTACCTAATTCTCAGCTACTATAACATATTAGTTGCATATACCTTTATTTTCTACCTTATTCCAAACTTGCGGTTTCTTAGAATAATAACCAACCAGCATATTATATTCTAACTACACTAACTAGTTATGCGAGCCCTTAAAGACTTCAAACATTGCGCATTTCGCCTGTGTATAAGCTGTCAACTAGCATAAAAGTCCTTAGGTACTCAAGGTCTTGCCATATGCTCCATCCTACCTACAAGTGCCATCAGTCCTTGCTCCTTGGTGGTACTTCATTGTAGAACATTTGAGCCTACCTCAGCTCCGACTGCCAGTCCAGCACTTACTGTACAACAAAATGACCGACTGGAAACGTGTTTGAACTTACAGAATGCCTTTACTGCAAACGGAGGGTTCTCGAGGGCTATCCTTGGTCCCTAAATCAGGCATCCCAGCCCAGAGGATGACGAGCCTAGGCTAACTAACGTTCAACTACTCCCAGATCTCTTGATCGCCACCTGTGGTGAGACGGGTATAATCTATCTAGTTACTGGTGAAGGGGAGGTTTAGTGCATTGAATGTAAAATCGTGCGATCTTTTTTGATTGTTTATTATTTTTTTCTTTATCAGTAATTCGCATTAAGTATCAAGGACACACGGTATATAGAGTAGATGAAAATCGGCCGTGGTAAGAGTTGATTAATAGACGAATCCCTCCAAGAAAGAAAGGAGGAAGCAAATGGAACTCCCAACACCACCGTGTAAAGGAAAAGGAAAAGAAAACGTTCATGTACAGCGCGTCAAACATCAGTAATCAGAGTGTAAGTGAAAGGGGTATGTCAATTGCGAGGGGGAGGGATGGAGATGTGTTTGAGATGGGGGATAAAAAGGGGTGTGAGTCGAAGGATGAGGAGGCCGATTTTTTTGTCGCCGGTGGGTGTTTCGTTTTATATCTAAATGCACGTAATGCGTAATGTTCCCGTAACCCAGATCCCAAACCCATTATAATAGTAGATCATCACGGAATCACCAAATAAGAAAGGGAAAATCCAAACAGAAAGGGAGAGAGGGCATATACTTGGGCGTAGAAAGGGGGGAGGGCAGTAAATATCAAGACAAGTGAAAAGAAGGCAAAGACACAGATTTAGTCATCTGTTAGCTGTGAGAAGTAGTTGATGCTCAAGATCATGCAGAGCAAGCCGATGGAGACAATGATAAAGAACGCGAAGCCGAACCAGCCGAGTAACATGGCTGAAGTACCGACTCCGCTCTTGACGCTGCCGTTCCCCAGGTCTTGCGCTATTGTGCTGGCTGCTACTGACGCCGTGTGCTGCCAGAGAACAGATACCAGGATGAAGACGGAGGCAACAAAGATCAAAGCGAGAGCAACTTGTGATACCGGTCGAGACGGGAATGGTTTGACTTCAATGTCTGAGCCTTGGTTGTTGAGCTCCTCGTGCCAACCGGGGAATGTTGCGAGCAGGAGAAACGACAGGAATGCGAATATCAGTGCCACGATACTAGATAACTCATTAGTTTATTTCATTTTCTTGTCGCTTTGTTTTGCCCCTTCTTTTTGCTATCAGTGAACACTTACATGAGATATGGAAATACGACTGCGTCCTTGAATGTTGATGCTACCCAAATCAGATTCAGAGGGTCGCTTTCCACACCAAGGGACTCTGCTAGGATAGTCGCATTCTGGTTGCACAGAAAGCCACCGCCGTTTCGTTGTATGCAGATTCCAAAGTAGCCTACTCGGACTTCCAAGTGAGCACCTCCAACAATGTTTGCGATGGTCGATGTCAACCCAGGGTCAGCCTGAGCGGTACTCATGACGGGTGGGTATTTGTCGTAGAACATCGATATCAGGAAGATGCTAGGTATCTGCGGGGACGAAGACGAGCAGCCGGCAAGTAGTAGCGCTAGAATACCACATTTATGTTAGCGATCGTTCATAGCATGCCATACCATCATAAATTAGGTGTCTCTTACACAGCAGTAGAATAGAAATGGCAACGAATAACATGAGGACATGATGGTATCCCACCATGGGAATGAACCCTAAACATTAAATATGTCAGCCTTGTCTCTCGAAAGTATTTCGAGGAAAGACCACACTTACGGCCTATGCCAGCCAGAAACCGCATCTCCGCCATCTTGAATTAAGCCGGCCTTATACCCCAACCGTCTGCCTTTCCCAAGTCTCCTCGCTAGGCCCTTCCAGAGAGTCCTACTCCTGCCCCTCAGGGTCTCGGAGGGCTGTTCAACGAATAGTGCAACCAAAAAAGGAGTTGGATACTCCCTACTCCAACGCTATGCAGACAGGCAGGTCGAACGAAGTCGTAGGCCGTTTTCGGTTGAGAAAGAAGAGCTTTCTTGAATCCGGACAATGAAGAAGTTTTAAGCGCTCGTAACGATGGCCGTCGCAAAGATCGTAATGTGGTCTTGGTACTAGGAGATGGTTAGGAGCCTCGAGCAGGAGTGTCTATCTTGGTGCTGGCTGACGCGCGGAGGAGGAGGGTAGAGGTGATGGTGCAAGAGAAGGGATAAGAGAAGAAGATGGCAAAGCCCGTAGCTATAAGAGAAAGAACGCAGTCCAACAGCCCGTTCCAAGATCCAGTAGACCAAGTAGATGTCACCGGTAAACGGTCGAGATGGGTATTCTTCACAGCAGCTTTTCTTGCGAAGAAGGAGAGTAAGGAAGAGAAAAAGGAAGAAGAAGAAGTCACTTGAAAGAAAGTGACTTTCTGCTGCGATGCGGTGGCTGGATGATATCGCCGTCGCTCAAAGTCTTTGATGTATCAAAAAGTCCGTGGCTGGGCCAACGACGCGGCTTTGTTTACCTCGCCCTGGTTGCTGGGGCAACGCCACCTCACCGCCCTTGGCAGAACTTCCCGTCCGGCAGGTACCATATGGGGCGCGCTAGCTTTATCAGGACTAGACACATGTCAAGGTTTGCGCCAAGAGGAAACGTGGATGCATAAGCATAAATCATGCCAAAAGAGGAAACACATAAACACTGCATAAAAACTCCATACATACAGAAGAACCGTCATTCACCTTTAGATTATCCGTCATTTACACACAGGCAAGAATCATTATCAATGGGCGCGCCTTTTGGCAAAGCTAATCTCTTTCAAATAGCCATAGCCATGCCGCTTAATACACAGCAAACAGAACGTATTCCACGACAGAGGTTATCATGACTTAACATGCCGCAAATAATTGCAGCGACATCCCGAAAAATTGATTGGCTTTGTTTTTGAACTCCAAGCAATCGTTACAAATGGGGGAACTGGCAAGGATAACCGCTTCGGAGAGGGAAGCAGGTGGTCGTTTCTCAAACATACAGGCAAGTTTTTCATGTCTAGCTTGCTGTTGACTCAGAGCATCCAATTGCCTTTCCAAGTCGAGTATCTGTTGACCGTGAGGTCTTCCACTTAGCCGCTTAAACTGCTCTTCTGCGGACCGGAGCGCCGATTCTAGTGCCTTGATTTTCCGTTCCTCTCTTTCCTTGGGCGATACATGGTCGGCGTCAAAGAGTTTTGTTTCAAGATCTTGGACTCTTGCTCGGAGCGAGGATAGCTCACGCCCTGTTGGAGAGTAGAGGTAGAAAGCCTCATGCTGCCTTTCCACTAAGCTAATCTTTTCTCTAAGTTCAGAACTCGGAGTGATATCACGAGGAAGAAAAATATGATGATCAATAAAGTATGCAATTAATTGCTTTTCGGCATGGCAAGCATTGAATTGGCCTGGATGGCCTCGATCGCGGTCATCGCGAGCCAGAGTATGATTGACGAGTTGAGAAATATAGAGAACCTCGTCTGTCCACTGCCGTCCACTGACTCGTACTTGCGGCCGTTGGTCGTGCGACCATCCACTCATAGCTGCAACAGATGCAAATCTGCCGCCTCTCTCTAGGCATGCGACAGTCTTCCACTCCGTAGTTACAGGATAACTTGCAATGGGGCCTTGTAGCACGATTGAAGAACTCCCTGGCGATCTTCTGAAAGAATAATCTTTGCATCGTGATAACATTGGGGGACTGCCGAATACATTCTTCGACCTCATGCCCTCTCCGCCGAGAAGGTGTACAATACTTTGGCGATCAATATCTCTCTTGAAGGTGTCCTCCCGAACCAATGGCTCTCGACTGCAGAGAGGCGACAGATCCCCACCGCTTCGTGTATACCTCTCACGGCGATTTCTTTGAGTCGGTCGAGCAAGATCGATCGCAGAATGGTTTTCAGTATCTTGCAAGCCCTTGTCCGCGGCGTTCTCTAGGAGGAGCTTCACAGTATCAAGCCTACCCCATAGTGCTGCTTCCATGAGCGGGCTCCGGCCGTTGAGATCCACAGCGTTCACATCGGCGCCGTGCTCTAGGAGCAAAGATACCATACTTGGACTTTTCCCTTCCGCCGCACAAATCAGGGTAGCCTTACCTTCACGGTCTCGCCCATGAAGAAAGAGCTGAGCTTCGGACGATGTTTTAAGGTACTCTCGGACCGCCTCCGTTCCTCCATTTACACAATCACTGATGGCAGAGTGGAACCTTTCGTCTTCGGGTGATTCTGAGCCATGCCTCATATCGATGGTTATCATTTCACAAGAGTCCCTGTAGAGGTTTTGATCGTTTTCTCCGCCCTTAACTTCGTGACCGCCTGTGACTTTGACTTTGGAGGTAAAATCATAGGATAGTGAGCCTGGTTCATCCATATCCGTATTATAGCAAATATTCACGAACCGCGCCCCTTTTTTGTCGATTTCATATGCAATCTGGCCCTCATTGTTGGAAGGGAAGCAGCATAAGTAAGAGTCTGGGTGGCCACAATGTGGAAATCGTGTCTGAGGCCCTTTCCAGTTGATACCATGCCGGTGAGTCTCTTCACAATGAGGGCATCGAACGCGAAAGGAACTATCATCTCACTACAGAACGTCGGCTTCAGGTTTAGGATCCATGGCTTGAGGAGGCATGGACCGAGATTCTATTACTCCAAATCACGCCCTTGCCATCAGCTTTCACCCACAATTCCCACAATTTATAGAGCCCATCGCCATATGACGTAGTTAACTAAGGTATAGCAGTTACATTTCACGTGGACGTTATCATAATTACGCAGTACTTTGGAGCCCAGACTAGTTATGTATGTTATTATTCTACGCATCACATAAACACGACAGAAGAAACAATATTCTCAAGCAACGGCCGATGGTGAAACCGACATTGAACACTAATGCATCCATTTCGATCAACCGCTTTCAAGTTCTCTCCAAACGCCAAGTGCTCTCTGTGCCTTTTTTCCAGTCATTCAAGCCAAGGTGGATTTCCCAGAGTGATAAAAACCATGGCAAAAAAGATACCAAATCTCCATCCTGTGACCCGATAACTCCTACTAGTTTGTTATTTTATATCCCAGGAACAAGGCATAGGCTTCAAAAGGTCCAAATGCCAAAGAAGATGAAACAAGTTAACAAAAAAAAAAAAAGGAAACCGTCGCTTTACGCCTTTCTAAATGCATATTGAGAGAAGTCGAAGGAGTAGACAGTTCCTTGGGTGTCATTCTCTTCGTCGACTGAATTGTCGCTATTTGGTATGATCATATCCTCACTTCCACCCTGTGAGACGGTCTTTCTCGTTGCAGGAAGGGGGTCCGCTGCTTTGGCAACAGTAATTGCGGGTGCTTTGGTTGACTCGTCGGGTTTATCAGCAGGCGTTGGCGGTTGAAGGCAGGTCATAGACTTTGACCGTGTTAGAGCGTTTTGCTTTAGCCGCTGTAGTGGTGTTGCTCGCAGCTGAGAGGAGAGAGTTCGCTTGAGAGATCTCCTGGATGATTGGTTGGCAGTTTCGCTCTGCTCCGAAGGTCTGAATGTATATTTCTCTCGTAGGTTCAAGTTATTGCGCTCTACGTTGTAGTTCAACACACTCTCAAATAATGCCGGGTCAGAATCAGCATCAACAGATCGCCTACTGGCTGATTTAGATGGCAACAAAGACTCTCTCTTAGATGGTCTGGTAGAAGATCCTTGCGAGCTGGTGAAGGGTGTGGCCTCTGTGTGAAAGGTAGAAAGAGGCTGACTGGACGGTAAAGTCTGTGGGGAGTTGGCGTCGGCGGTGTTCTCTTTGGCTACGCCTCGACTAGGGGATATGGAAGCCTCCTGATCGGAAAAAACATGAAGTTTGCTACTCTTGAGTTTCTTGCTAGTTGTGTCCTTCCGAGCCGCAGAGGGTCCTCCCGAGCCCGCAAAGAAGCGGCTTACTTCAGTCATGGCTCCCGCGATGCTCTCTTCATCAGCATCCGAACAGAGGCGCTGTCTCTTCTGAACTTGAGGCGGCCGTAGTTCGGAGGCAGACCTAAGGAATGCTTCTGTCCGCCGAGCCCGGTCGGTTGGCGTGTTTGGTATGGACGCTGCACTTCTGGTGACACTGGGAGGAGTCGATACCCGGTTGGCAGCTAGGGAGTATCGGCCATGTCGACTCATCAATGGCCGATTTGGTCCTGATGAAGGGGTCATTGAGTTTGGGTCCAGCTCGGAAAGTGGAACACGCTTTGGTGTAAAGAACTCTTGTATCTCTCGGACGGGCTTTTTCTCATCTAACGAGGTAATGGACTGTCGTCCAGTTCGGACCAGTCTCTCTCGCTCTGGGTAAGATCGCTTAATCTCAATGGGCTCCTTGGTGATTGGGTCAAGGTCGCCATAGGCAATTCCAATGGTTATATGGGGCTCGAGGATAGCCCCGATATAGGGCATATCCTCTCCATTCCCGCCATCCCGTAATGGATTAAGCATAACCAACGCTTTTGTAGTAGGACAGAACACTCGTTGGTGCAGGAAAGTAAGTTCGGCTCGATTGAAGTTATCGAGATATCCTGGCGGCACACGATTTGACCCATCGAATTGAATCATTTTGACAACTCGATCCACTGTTTTGTGCTTCCTAATACTCCGGTACGCAGTTTTCAGTCCGATCTTAGGGATGTTGGCAAGATAGTCGCATCCGCTGAGAATGCACATATGGCGGAAGTTCTCATCAGTCCAACCTATCAGACTGATATCTCGACAAGCGGTAAAGTCTCCCCGGTTGATCTCTATACAGTCACCGTTCTTGTCGAGTTTGGACAGAAGACGCTTGGCACCAAAGACAAGCATATCGGAGTCCTCTGAGATGATTCCATTGATAATTCCCTGCTTCTCCAGGTATACCAATTGGGGATCAGCTTCATACGGAGCCACCAGATATTTGATCTTGTGCTTCTTCAATTCCTCAATCAAGACGCGAGCCATGTAGGGCGTGACGTCGACAGCCTTTTGAAACTCTTGATATGCTTCAGCAGTTCTACCTCTTCGCATGTGTTCTTCACCTAACTTTTTGCTTTCTTCTCGTCTGGCGGCTCTAGACGCTTCCGTAGCCTCTTTGCTAGGCAGCATTCCCCCGTCAAACACAATATATGGGGTAACTCCATGGTGCTGAAGCATGCGTATGCGGCCTATAGCAAAATCAACATATCTACACCCATATATCAGCACCTAGCACTATACAACTGCCATATATGTTATTTTTGAGCGTACTTCGTTGTCGGCTTGCCGAGTACCAGTTCATATGCACAGGCAATTGTCCCTCTATGTAACCACCCATATGCGTCAACGCCTAGAGTCTGGCCAGCGAACTTCTTTATACTGCAAGGCTTCTGGATCGACTTCAACAGTCCGTGGAGCCCTGCATGTATTATTAGCAATCATATCTCCAGGGGAGATACTATCTCAAACATACCCGAAATCCCCATATTGACAGTCACAACATCCAACCCACCAGATCCCAACTCTGGTCCAGCTCAGTCAGGAACTGGTAAACCTTGTACGGCGATGATCCATGGGTAGCAGTCGAACTCGAGGGGGTAAGTAGAGAACCTCGCAGCGTCGAGGAGAAAAGAAGAAGGTAAGTCTTCTTCTCTTGCAATCAACTTCGACGCGCTGAAAGACGCGGTTTCCAAGATGGTCACGTGGAAGGCGCTCGACCTCTTTTTATCGCCATCAACAAGAGAAATTGATCAGTAACTATCAAAAATGAATATTGGATTATTATTATGATAGAAAACATATAAAAGAGTTCTCATTATTTATACGTTGTTGTTTCTATTCTCTTTTGACTGCTAACTTATTTGTTTAAAAAGTTGCCCAGGCGAGAGCCTATGAAGTACTGCTGACGACGTTGCTATGGATAGGGAACGTATATAACTGCATATATCCAAGCATATCGCACAACTGGACATGCCGAAAAACATACCAATACCCCGTGCACTCAGTATTAACACGTTTGATATTAACCATCACCGTCTTTTTTCTTCGTCTTTTCGTCTGATTTTCGGAAGTTGATAAACTGAAGTCACTTTATAGTTTCCACGTGATGATGACTCAGCAAGGGACACCGCCTTATTTTCTGCCGTTATCATTGAATTAAAATATAGAAAAAATTATAGAATAAAATAAGAATAAAATTATAATAAGAAACGCAGCTTGGAAGACGCAGCAAAATGACAAAGAATTTAAATAAAATTGCCAAGAAGCTCTCCAAGAAGAAGGGAAAGCTAGACTCTCTACATGAGAAGAGTAGAGATGCGGTTCGCTTACGACGAGCTGGCGGGAGGGAGGAGAAGCTAGCTCGAGCTGCAGCGACGACAATTAAAGGGAGACAGATATACGGTGAGTTTGTACGTGATATGCACATCATGCCGTCGAGGGTTTATATGCTGACTTTCCTGCTGTAGTTGATAGAGTAGCCTTCTTTAGAGATCACACAAAGGACCTTGAGGGGCCCCTAACGTCAGAGGGCGCCGTCAGTTTACTCCAGCAGTACGTGACTTCTCTTGTAGGCGGAATTGGATAATTGAGTTGTGGTAGAGAGAGTTCATGCTGACAGTCTGTGTACAGATATCTAGACCGGCTCAAGCCAGAGCTACGAGAAGAACAGGAAGCTCGACGGAAAGGCAGGCCTCCAAGCAAGCGTCAGGAAGTTCTGACAGAGAGAATCGAAGCTGAAGAAAAGGAATACCAGACTGGGTTTTGGATGCCAGACCTAGAATGCGAGGACAGCCTGCGGCGACTGCGCAATTGGAATGAAGACTGGTCCGCCATGAGCAACCTCAAATTTGTCAGAGTCACCAAGGCCGGAGATAAACGGCCGTCACTATTTCCGCCCAAGGGGCTATCATAATTCTACCTACTGCATTGCCATGATGATACCATACTCTGTATATTCTTGATCTTTGGACACGAAATAATGACTTAATGATGTCGCTACGGGTCGCATATGCACAATGGCCCATTAGCGCGTTTAAAGGGCAACCACTTACTGTTTCTCAGTGGCTACGCGGAGTAGCTGTTATAATTGAAGTTTTCTACTCGAAGAACATAAACGTAAACAATCAGTTGCAAGAATATTTGATACATCAAGTCTTTATCGCATTTCTGCAGCGATAGCAAAAAGTCTTGGCAGTAGAAAGCTTCATAAAAAAACTTCACGTTCTTGCTGGAAAAACTAAACATCATCAAAACATCAACCACCGTCTAACGAAACAATTGTCTTACTGTGCCAGCCACTCCACATACCATCACCACAATGTTCTCAATACGCTCGTTGACCCGATCGGTTCCTCGAACCCTATCCAGATCCATTGCCACCTCTGCCGCGAGACCTTTGCAACGAACTGCCTTCTTCCAGCCAACATGGAAGCTCATGTCTCGCCCTTCATACGCTGCCTTCTCTACCTCAAGACCTAGATTCGAGGCTGCTGGTCAAGGTGAGAAGCGCTTTCCTTCTTCTAAACCGTTTGGCTTGAGTCTTCGGCCTGCTAACTGGTACCAAGTTGATGTAGAGCTTGCGGCCAAGTTTCAGGAAGAGCTTACCCTGGAGACTGAGAGCGGAGAAACCGAGGAACTCCCTGAGTCTGTCAAATATTTCCTTGACAATGGGCCATTTGAGGTGAATACTTGTGGTATATCTGCTATAGAACTGGTACTGACAATCGCTTAGATCATCGACAAGGCCGGGGAGGAAGAGGTCATCTTGACCCGGAAGTTTGGCGATGAAAGGTACGCATCCTATAGACCTACACACAGAATGCCAGGCCTACATACGCATATACTAACTATCCATTTAGTATCCGCGTCTCTTTCACAATCGCTGACCTCCAGAACATCAACCCCGAAGAAGACTTTGCCGACAGTGCCCTTCAAGATGAGCTCGAGATGGACTCATCCCGCTCTAACAAGGACGCTTCTCCCGAAGAGAACATCGACGAGCAGCCCTTGGAACCAGGTTACCTTGCTCGCGTCGATGTTACCATTGAGAAGCCAGGCAAGGGTGCCATGCACGTCGATGCTGTCGCCCGTGATGGCTTGATCCAGATCGAGAACGTGTCCTACTTCTCCAGGGCCGAGCTCGCTACCGCCGAGACTCCTGATAAGGAATGGGAGCGCCAGAGCTTGTATGCTGGCCCACCATTCGGCAACTTGGATGAGGAGCTCCAGACCCTTATCGAGCGCTACCTTGATGAGCGAGGTATCGATACTGCTCTTGCCTCCTTCGTTCCAGACTACATTGACTTCAAGGAGCAGAGGGAGTACGTTCGCTGGCTTGGAAGTACGTCATTTACCTTTCATCCTTACCTTTCTTCAATGGTACATTGTGCTAATATCTCTTCACAGACCTCAAGGGCTTCGTTGGAAACAACTAAGTCTCAATTTTCCGTTATAATATAATATTCTCCACCACACTCTTCGTTCTTTAGGTTGGTAGGCATGGGGCTGCCGGAGTTCAGGAGGTTGGAGCAGAGATGTGAAAAAGAAATTCTCCTGTAACATATAACTAAATAATTCTACGTCAACTCCTGTATTATGATTCTCATAAGCGATTCTGTTCCTGCTATTGTATACATGCTTAAATCTGCTAGTACGTGCACATTTTATCCGTCCATACTCTGCGGCACAGAGGGCCAAGGTAATATCAATCAATCATATTCAAGTTCATTAAGGTAAACACTAAAACTCCATGGCATTTGTGTCATCATCTGTTCGCTCTCTCTTAACTGGCCGTTCGTCGCTGTTCAGCTTTGCAACGAATGAGCGAAAATAATCAATATATGGCTTCAGGCTGGTTTTCTCATAGTCCTGTATTTTCTTCGGCTTCGGAGCAGTGTCGCCCTCATCCTGGCCGCTCCCACTATCAGATGTAGGCATGTGATCCTGCTGGTTGTTCTGAGACGGGTTCCAAGAATTTATCTCATCTAATAACTGGAATAGAGTGGGGGTTTCTAGAGGGTCGAAATCATCCACCTTTTCGACATCAATTGGTACACACACCCTCCCGGTCCCTGGATGGACAACGAACGGACTCTTCAGCAAATGGATCAGTTTCTTACTGACCTCAGCATCTAGTCGGGGGTACGTATATTCTAGAACAATGTCTTGCTTCGCTTCTAGTAGCGCCTTTGTATCGAGCCCTCGGGAGCTTGTTTTTGCAACAGCATCAATATCAGCCCATTTGCTGCTGCTTGACCGTCCAGGTGCAGATTCCCATTTCTTTTGTAATGCTGCCCTTAGGGTTTTGTCAGGAAGTAATTCGAGCAGTCGGGCGGCTTGGTCTGGTTTGCTGAATGGGTCCTGGTCTACGAGGACAGTAGATGCAAAATATTCCCGTAGAGTGTCAATGCTTCGTGTGATGTGCGGGTGTAGCGGCCGTTTCAAGTTGACTCGTTTTCCACTCTGACTGCCTCCACGAACAACTTCCAGGTATCCGGCGATGGCTCTCCGCCTATCATCTGGAAGGTTTCGTGCCTTTTTATCACAGACCCATGCGTGGGCTCCTCTTCGACCAGAGTATACCCACAGTATGTGTTGGAATCCAAAGTCCTCCCGTAGAGCTGTATCGATCACTTTGATGGACATTGTGACAAAAGCCCAGCATTTGAGGCATATGTTAGCTTTACTACAGCATGTTCTGATGTCGTCGTAATCTGTCAAATCAATATCAAAGACAAGCTCTTTCATAATGGGTTTGAAGGCGCCTGGTTTTCGTAGGGTTTTGCGGTCTCGTGGATTTGTGCTATAAACAGGACCGATTTCAAAACGGGAAGGGTTTAATCGCATAACGTCTTTATGAAGGCTGTGAAGAAAGTCAGATTAGAACCAGTATGGGACAAACAGTATTGACGTACGCATCCGCGGTCTGAAAAGATTGGTATCGTAGATAGGCATCATTTGGAAGTGTAAAGGCAAACTCTCGATTGCCAAAGTCTGTCGAGGGCTTCACTCCGTGATTAAGCCATTGGAAGAGATATTTGAATGGGAAAAGTCGCTGATAAAAGGCGGATATCGACTCTGGGTCAACTTGCGCTGGTGGAGGCGCAGGTTTGCTGTTACAACAAAGTAAGTAAAATTTATGTCAGCCATCGGCTTTAGAAGCCCTCTTACTCTGGTATTTGTACTGCATCTGAGTCTGGAAACTCTTCATCCTCGTCCTCGTCATCATCAAACATGTCTTCTAGTTTGACCCTCTTTTTCACCTCTATATCTCCCTCCTCCTTCGGGCTGTCGTCTTTGTCTTCCTTCTTTGCATCCATGGGCGAGTCGGCATCTTCATCTTCGGTCTTTGGGATATCGTCTGACGGCGGAGCGTCCGGCAGCACTTCTTCGTCCTTTCCCCCCATAATCGTGTCTTTTTAAGGGATCTGGCTAGGGGTTAACTGGTATGCATCAACTGTCTTTCTTGCGTCGAATTGATCCAGCCAACTAATTAAGAACAGACGCGCGACGCGTCTAAAGCGCGTAAATAAGTTAGGGCTTAGGGCTCTCTACATTACGTCATAAATATTAAATCACGTGACCGGGAGAAATTCGGAGCCAAATCTAAAAAAGAAAAAGGAAAGAAACTTCTTTCAACTTCGTTTTTCATTCGTTTCGACTAACGCTCTGCCTTGCATGATATCAACCAGCATCAAGGGCCAGATATATAAACAACGGGGATACATATGCGCCCCTGTCATGGTAGCTGTATGAGTTTATGATGAGTCGATCGGAACTGTGCCCCGAAATAACGCTCTTATCCCATTCTCGCCGTATGAATCGCCCGGATATTTGCTGGAGCGTCCAACAGTGGAGCCGACTTCCAACGCCTTTGGACAGCCGGGGTACAGGAAAAAGGTAGCCGTGCCAACTCTAGGCCCGGCATCTTCTACCCTAGCGTGGGTCCTTTGATCTCTCGCATTTTTCTTATACTGTCTGGAGCTCCCGCCAATAAGTAGACTTTTTGTTTTACTTATTGCCGGTCTCTATATTTTGGCAAAACAGCACAGAATATATACCAATTTCTCCCCAGGACTTCCTCTAGGACTTTTCTTTTACGTTTGTTATACGAAATCTTCTCCATATAATCATTTCCTATCAAGGGAACCAGTCCCATCGGCCACCAGTCCAGTTGGTTAACATGTCGGTGACAACTATAGAATTGGCTCCTCCAGTACGGATCCACGATACGCCCAAGTCTTCGCAGCTGGTATTACAGGCCCTAGGAAGCAGTACAGAGAATGTTACCAGCCACGGCGTTCACCGAGGCCCGGATGATAGTAGTGACGAAGAGGTTGCTAGCACTTTTTCTGTCCCGCCTATCTCGAGGGCGAAGGTAGCGGTTATTATTGTTTCAGCGTCGAGTATGGTGCTGATGAACTCTGTGCTGACTGGTATACTTACTGTGGGACTGCCTGTCATCGCAGCTGACATTGGACTCGCGGACAGCTTACTCCTATGGTGCGTTTCTTCTCGATCTCCTTTTTCGTAGGGGTTGTCAGGATTCTTATTGTTGTTGTACTTCTAGGCCAGCATCGGTTTATGGGTTGACCTGTGGATGCACGCTTCTTCTCTCTGGGTCTCTTGCAGACGTGATTGGTAGCCGGCCGATTTATCTTGCGGGATGTGGTATCCTTTCTGCCTTCACCTTAGGGTGCGGCCTCGTAAAGACTGGTATCCAACTCATTATGTTTCGCGCTATGTCTGGAATCGCCATGTCTCTGTGCCTTCCTAGTGCCGTGAGCATTATAACCGCTGCCTTTGCGCCAGGCGGACGAAGGAATATCGCCTTTGCATGTTTGGGTGCAGCACAGCCAGTAGGGTTCTCACTTGGTATAGTCCTTGGAGGTGTTCTGATTGCTAGCATTGGGTGGAGATATGGATATTACATCGTTGCTGGTGTCAATGTCCTGGTCCTCATTGTCGCTTATTGGCAGATTCCTACGGACCCGCGGAAAGTAGTCCCGGTAACATGGAAGAGACTAACAACTGAGATTGATTGGGTTGGAACCCTCTTGATAAGTGCATCCCTCGGGCTGTTTTCTTATGCCTTGTCGTACGTTGAACCATGATTTTCGATTCTTAGGTTTTGCATGGGACCTGTTACTAACTAGGCCGTCTAGAACCATCAGTGTGTCGATCCGTGAGTTGGCCAAGCCAGGTAACGCTGTGACCCTGGCCCTGTCAGTGGTTTGTCTCGCAGGGTTCGTCTACTGGATTCATCGTCAAGAGCGACTTGGTCGTGTCGCCATGGTGCCACCAAAGCTGTTCAAGTCCACTGCTAATGCTCCCCGCCGAGCCCGGAACTTCACCTGCGTGTGCATCTCAGTCTTCTTCACCTGGGCACTCTTTAATTCTTTCCAGTTCTTCACCACTCTCTACTTCCAGGAGCTCCAGGGGAACTCGGCCCTTACATCGTCCATCAAGTATATTCCCATGGTTATATCAGGCCTTGTAACTAATATCGTCACCGGCTTCCTCGTCAAGCGAGTGTCTGCTGATATACTCTGTACTTGTGCAGCGATCGCATCTTCAGTCGCTCCGTTACTCATGGCCATCGCCCGCCCAGAATGGAGTTATTGGACTGCTACATTCTTCGCAACTGTTTTAATACCCGTCTCTGCTGATACGCTCTTCACCGTGTCAAACCTTGTGATTACTTCTGCGTTCCCTCCGAGGACCCATGGACTGGCTGGCGGAGTGTTCAACACCATATCGCAAATTGGCATGTCCGTTGGCATCGCCATTACTGCTGTGGCCTCTAACTCCGTGATTGAACACGAGCTACCCCACTCGGATCGACAAACGGCCTTGCTCAAGGGGTACAGAGCTACGTATTGGATCTCCTTTGGAGCCGCTGTGACGATGGTCGCATTGAGTCTATGGGGATTAAGGAGCATTGGGAAGATCGGACTGAAGAAGGAGTAAGTGGCGTTCATTTATCAATATTCAGACTGTTTAAAGAGAATTATGTAGTGAGGATAAGGGATTATCTGAATTACGTTAAAAAAGGCAGTATCGAATTGGAAGAAAACTCCGGCTTGAACAACTAAATGAATCATGCCTGAACCTTGAGCCCCTGCGGCGCTTCTGTTATTTGATTGTTCCTTGCCTGTTCATCTCGAATCTGCTGTAGCAGGGTAGGGTACTATAAGAGCTTTATTAGAAGCATTATATCGTTAGAGGAACATCATAGAGACTTACAAAGCGTTCGCCAACATCTGGATGGCTCTTTATGCGGTTCATCAGCGTGGCTTCACCAAGGTGACCCCAGCAGCCCTTGGAAAAGGTGAATTCAATATCATCTTGACGGAGACCATTCCTCTCGATCACTTCCTGTCGGAGCCTCTTGACTTGGTCTGGCACATCCATGCTTTCAAACGTGGCATCGTAGCTTACGCCCTGGAAAAAGGGGACGCTGAATCGAGCTCCAGTTCCCCGAGCAGGGCTCAGCACTCGATGGGTTGTACTTGATATCAATCAGTATTTACTAGTTAACTACGGGGGCAAGTATCTCAAAGACAGAGAATAAAAGTGACACGACACTCACCTCTGACAAACTCCTTGAGTTATAGCTTCTAGACCTTGGCCCATGGCTACAACCAGAGTGCCATCTATCGGTGGGCAATCAATCCATTCGCCTCTGTGGTTCTGAACCTGCAGTCCACGATGCTTTGTTGCTTGAAGAAGATAGCTCGTGAGCATGCTGTCTTTATGCGGACCGACTCCCTGAGCTTCACCATCAACCCCTAACTCTTCTAAATCAGGATACTTGACTATCTTTAACTTGTGCTGCTGGTCCTTGTCGAAGAACCGATCGAATGCGTTGCCTGGTAGACCGATTGCTTCTGCAACAAGAGAAATGAACTCCATGCTAATAGCTCCCATCTTCTCCATGTATTCCTCATACACGGGGCGAAAATGGGGGATGGACGATTCATCTGGCCATTGATTCGGGGCTAGCAGGTTATGATAGAGCGGATCAGAAGGCCCCGGGACAGGGTGGTTGGTAGAAAGATCTATCTGCTCTCTCCAGTCGGTCTTGAAGCGGGTGATCTCACCACCCAGCCTGCTATATCCTATAGCCCCCAGTTAGTTAGAAACATCCCTAGATGCATTAATACCGTTGATCGGGATGCTTTGCTTTGAGTGATGGATGTTCTATCGACTCTATGATAGTTAAGCAAAGGCATACCAAGAAAGCTGGGGGCATTCTTCATCTCTACTTCAAGCTTCTTCTCCATTGGCAAGTCAAAAAACCTCTTCCCTTCGTTGATAACATCTTCTATCAATTTGTCATCGATCCCGGTGTTCTTGATATAGAGGAAGCCGACTTCTAGCAACGCATAGCGCAGCTCATCGAGAAAGCCGGATTTCCTTGCAGCATCACGAGCGGCTGAGAGATCGAGGATCGGAATCGAATCAAAGGACATGCTGCATAGATTGTGATAGGGCTTTTTATATCCTCTTACAAGAACCTCGCCTGCACCAGATCTGCTTTTATACCTAGGTATTTGCCTGGCCAACTGCTTCGACCATTATATACGAATTTGAGGATGATGTTATGTGGGGTAAAAAGCACGGAATGCCGAATAGATGCCGAGTGGAGAGACAAATACGAAGAGACAAGGCTTCAGGGGCAACTTCGTTGCATTAAGGTGATGTATCAAATGTTTTTGTAGCTGGTTCTTTTGGTCTAAATATCCGAATAACAGCTATGCTAACTCGACATCATGACAAAAAATACCATACATTTTCTCCAGCTTGACTGCGATAAGTACGCAGACTCCCATTGTATAATTACCAAATTGTTTCAGGGAAACATCATTGAAGGGCCGATTTTTTGATAACTAGCTCAAAAATGAATCAAGCAATACCTTTGTCCTCCACCAGGGATAGACCAAGGGATGATGTTCCCGATCATCATCACACTGCTCCTCTTTACTGTTCAGAATCACTCGCCTTCTCGTTGGCGGGAGACGCAGTCTCGGAAGCCTTTGCGTGCCCGTACTCGGCATCCATTCGGCTGATCTCCTCCTCGGTTAGGTAAGGGAGTTCCTTAGCGGCTTTGACATAGCTCTTGTTCTCGCAGTAGCCCTTAGCGAAGATGATATCAATCTCCTCGAGACTTCGTTTGGCAGTCTCGGGATAGAAGAAGTAGATGATTGGGAGGAAGCAGACATTGACAATAGCGAAGAAGAGATAGGTTCCCCAGCCAATACCATCGAGCATAACGGGTGTGATCATGACGATAAAGAAGTTGAACAGCCAGTTGGAGCAAGTCGAGAGGGCGTTGGCCTTTGCACGGGTCTTGATAGGAGAGATCTCGGCAGCGTACAGCCATGGCAGCGGGAGCCAGGTGGCGCCGAAGCTGGCGATGTATGTGAATAGGCCGACGGCAGCACCTTTAGCGGTAGAAGGGGTATTTGGGATCAAACATGCGAAAGTGATGGTCATGGAGATGGCTTGGCCGGCTGCTCCGTATAGGAAGAGCTTGCGTCGTCCAGCTCGCTCGATCAAGAACCAGGACGTGGTTGCAAAGATGGAATAGACGATCATGTTGACACCACCAAGCAAAGTTGCCATGTTATGGTCCACACCAATGGATTTCTCAAAGAGAACAGGGAAGAAATAGATGATAGCGTTGCAGCCTGATAGTTGCTGGGCAAACTGGCCGAAAACACCCAAGAACATACGGCGACGATGCTGAGTCCTTCCGCCAGTGAACACCACAGATAAGGGAGTCGGCTTTCCAACCTCACCAGACGCTCTGATGGATTCCATAACAGCAGTTTTCTCGGCCTGGACCAAGGGGTTGTTGATTTCGACGCCGTGGAGGGCAGCAATAACCCTTTCGCCTTCCTCCGAGCGGTCTCTCATACATAGCCATCGCGGGGACTCGGGGAGCCAGAGCATGCCGGTGACCATGAGGATTGAAAACACAATCTGGAAAGCAATTGGAAACCTCCACGAGAAGCTATCAGAGCCGTAGGAAGCGCCATAGTCAATCCAGTAGGCAATCAAAGTACCAAATGCAATTGTTGCTCCTTCAATACAGATAAGGAGACCTCTGTTTGAAGTATGAGAACATTCTGCCTGATATGTTGGGATGGTGGAAGTGTTGATTCCATTTCCAACACCAGTGATAATTCGACCGATAATGAACTGGGCATACGGCTGGTGGCCAACGAGGCTTGTGACTTGAATGATGGCACCAATAGCCATGATGATAGCTCCTGTGATGATGGATTTGCGGCGTCCGAGCATGTCACCACCCCATATTATACTGACAGCGCCCAGGAGACAGCCTGTTATAGACTGTGGTAAGTAAACCAGCAATACTAAGGAGCTAAAGGGGCCAAATAAATGGCAAACATACCTATTTCATAGATGGCAGTGACAAACCCCTGATTTGTTGGGTTGTCTTTAGTCTCTGGGAAGACAGTATTGAATGGCATGGCACTGATGATACCGGCCATCACGCCCTCTGTTTGATACCAGGTTAGCCTGATAATGCTAACAATATACTGAAAATGGGTATTCACTTACGATCATACCCGAACAACAAGAAGCCACACGTCGCGATGGTAGAAACACATCGCGACAACTTCTTCCCTGACATTCCTCCAAAAGTTGGTATCTCCGCCATGTTGGGCAGATTTCAAATTCAGCAACGATTCCTATCAACCATAGGATGGAAAGGTCATAGACCACAAGTCGCTAGTCGGGAAAGCAGGCCGGAAGGATATGAATGTCAGGAGCATCAATCCGGAGATCACAGGGGCGGGAATCCGCCTGTTATATAACCATGGCCGCCCAGGAGTCAACTTGCACCTCTGTCAGCGGGTCACCACAAGTATGGAATGGATCCCCCTTTCTTCTCCACAGAAAGCTATACTTATGTGGATGGAACCATGGATCCCACGGGTAACCTCCCACAGCGTGCGGTTCACCGTGTCACGCATGTAACCATATTGCCAAGAGCTACTGGATTGTGGCGGGCAAGTAAAAAGAATATTGAGCCAGGTGGTTTATGGAAGGGCTCTCTATCGTTCGTGGTATAGACTGGCTAAATTGTTGCTGACTAGTTGACTGGAGACTCTGCATGACTGCCATATTTTATGGCTCCCGCTAGCTGCATATCGAACGAAACCAAGCAAATAACAATTAAGCAGGCGGGACGGTCTCATCTCTAACAATCGATCAGCGCCGCAAGTGCCGAGTTTGAGTGTATCGAACCCACCGCAGGTAGCAGGGAGAGTACCTCCGGTTGATCGGTGCCCGCAGCTTCTCAAACCCGGCTGTTCTCCGACTTCACGCAGCATCAAAGCCTCGGTCGAGATGCAAACTCTGACAGGTAACTATCGTTTCTTTCCTTTTGAGGAGCCCACAGAATGAAAAAGTGTTGCATCCGTAATCCATACTATGTGGTCCCTATGTTCGGCTGTGGGGAAGAATGACGTTGAAGGGTGCCTGTGATATGCTAGAAATATCCAGTAGTACCAACTCCAGCGACAAGCATATTTTTCTACCTGGACCCTGTTGACTAACAACCTGTCCAGTGAAATTGAATAGATGAAGGATCAGACCTACCAGCGAAGAATCAGAGATTTTCTAGCCGAACCAAAAGACGAAACAAAAAGTTATGATGACATCATAACCTTCAAGCTTTTTAAGGTCTTTGCTCCTTTTTTTCAGCCCCAAGCCGAAAGTCAAAAATTTGTTTATCTGATCGTTCCTCCTGGGATTCCATGGAAACAATGATATTAATGTTGATGTCGACTCTAGTGGATAACTGGTGATGATAATATGATGATAGTAGTTCTATCCAAGCGCTTCCTGGAAGATAGATCAGCGGAAAGGCCCCAACTTGAGGCTACGCAGGGGTAAGACACCAACTACCAAGACAGTGGATACCTGAGCTGTGGATGCAAGATGAATCAGCGGCCTGATTACTTTTTTGCATATGCCAATAAAATATATAAAGAGCTCATCAATGGAGCTCAGGTGGACTGCTGTATGCATGTAGGAGTTCGCAGTGGAGCGCAGAAGGGGAGACGCGGAGCGACGCGGAATAGAGAGAGGATAGGGGAAGTTTGATGCGGAGCTCGTTAGGGTACACTTGTTTCTATCTCCAGTTATTCGAGTTGAAATGAGGGTGAAACGGTAGTAGAGATTGGACGCTGCAGAAGAGAGAAGATGAGAGAGCTGCATGAACCAAGAGAAATATATATATATATACTCCGTATAAAAGGGTATTAAAGCAAGTAACCAAAAAGTAACTGGGTGGAAAATATATCGCAAGCCAAAAAAAAAAAAACCTAAAGATAACGCTCCAATTTGACAAGAAAGACCAAGAACCCAGCACAAATGGAGAGACGAAAGGATACTAAGACAGGAAGACGGAAACAGAGCCACGGAGAGGAGGGGGAGGAGGAATCACGATTGAATGACCATCCCTGTTGCATTGACTGCGTCGTCGGTATAAAAGCCAAAGACGAGACGGTAGAGATCCAACAACCATTCGTACTGGCTGTTATACTGGACCATGGCCTGCACTGCTCGAGCAACGTCAATTGCACTGGCCCTGGTCGGCGGCGGGATGGATCTGAAGGCTGGGTCCGCCGTGATGAGTTTCTTATAGTTGATGAGGAGTGACATTTGCCAAGGTAAGGAGCCAAAGGAATCTGACGACAGCGTTTTGGCGAAGGTGGGTAGGCTTTCGGAGCCACCGCGCTGGAAGCCGCTGTTCATGGCTGCTCGGACAAGGAGGAGTTTCAAAGCTGACAGGTTTTGGTCTTCACCTGGAGATTTGACCGTGTGCGAGGACGAGGCAGTCTGGCTGGACGTGCGTGAATAGCCGGATAGAGTCGACGAGTTGCTTGACCAGCGCGGGTGGTGCGGCGGGTTATCGAAGCCTAGGACCATGATATTGGGAATAGGAGCTTGGTCTGGGGAGACAGTGGTGGCTGTGTCGTCGAAGATGGTGGTAGGAGTCTCTGGATTCTGCAGGCCGAGGAGACTGTCCGTGTCTGTATCTGTGTCTTCGGGTGGGTACTCTGCCCGTTTGGCCTGATAGAAAGCCTGGGTGAAGGTTGTCTGGCTTGGACGGGGCGTGCCGCGGTCAGGGCGGACCTGAGTCCACCCTTCACGGAAGAGATCACAGAGCTCCCAGCAGGCCTGAACAGCAGAGCCTAGCAGTTCTTCGTCAGGGGCCTTTCCTTCACGTTTCCCCTGCCGTAGACTAAAGAGCATTTCGGCCAGGGACCAACACGCTCGCAGGAGGGAGTCAGTCTCCTCCGTAAGCCGTGTCCGCTGCTTCATCAGACGGTGGCAGAGGGTAATGTAGAAGTCTAGGGTGCGTTCCCGGAAGGCTTCGGGGAGGTTACGGTCGTGGGTGTTGTACAGATGGTTGTTCAGCTCGAAGCTGACTCTGAGGACGGAGTCGGCAATCTCGTTCTCCTTGAGCCGTACCTCGAAGAGGGCCTGGCAGAAATCCCGACACATGTCGAGCGTGGGCCGAACTTGGGCTGAGTGGTCATCATCACGGGTCTCGTATAGGTTCTGGCACAGCTTCCAGCATGTCTTCCAGGCCTGTTCCTGCATGTCGTCTTTCCCACCAAAGTTGAACAGTCGTTCTCGGTGGTTATAGCTTAGGTTGGCGAGTGTGTTGCAAAGTGTCCAGCATTCTGACAGGGCAGTCCGAAGTGCTCTGATTTCTATGTCGTTGTCGGGAACATTTGACCTGGTTTTGATCCAGGCAGATCGCTGTTCACCGTCGTCATAGTGGCCATCCTGACTCTGCTCTGTATCTGAGCTTTCCGGTATGTCTATGAATATATGTTAGCCACAGTTAACCTCTTGTGTTGGATATAAGTAGAAGCTGACCGTCTAGATTTGCCTGGTGAGGTGTCCGCTTGAAATTTTCTATCTCTTGCAGTGTCTGCGCTCTGGGAGTGTTTAGTTCATAGTGACCTGTTGGAGCTACGGATGTGGTTATCGGAGGAGGCGAAATAGGGCTTGCTCCAGATCTCTATATAAACTGTTAGCATTCATCTACTACCACCATTATTGCGGATGATAGACGTACCCTTGACTCTGCTCGCGGGACGGTGATGGTAACATCTGATCTCTGGGTTGATGATGTTGTTGACGGAGCCGGCGATTCCACAGTCTATCTAGTTAGCATGGAAATGGCTCATAATAGACGAGTTTGAAGGGTATAATATATATACGTACAAATCCATCGAAGCCAACTGGGGCATGGATGACGGACTGTGGTTGGGGTTCATCGTCCTCCAAGTCATCCCTCCGCAAGTCCTCCTCGCTCGTCTGAAGCTATACACCAGTTAGTATGTATATACTCTACCAGTCATGAAACCCAAAAAGTAATAGCAAGGCGTACGTACACTCAGATCTCTAGCCTCCTCTGGACGGGGAGTGGCTTTCTTCAAGCTGGCTGGACTACCGCTGAGACTCCGTCTGCCATTCCCGTTGGTGAGATTGAGGCTGCTGGGTGTGTTTGACCGTGACTTTGGCTTGGTCTTGGGCTGTTCCTCGACGGAATAAGGGAGGTCTTCCGCCTGAGACGGGTCATGAGAAGGTGGATTGGAGACAGGCCTAACGCCCACACGATCGATGGATAGCACAACAACGGTCAGTCAGCAAGTTCAATAAGCAATGCGCAGGACGGTCTTCTTTTTGTCCTCTCGACCTGGATAGACGCACATGAGAGGAGATCGCTGGTTAGATCTCAGGGAAGTTGGGGCATCGACGGGCGAGAAGATGGCGGTTGATCGAGGCGACACAGAGGCCTGGCTTTGGACAGCAATCATAGCAGATCGATTCAACACTGTCCAGCACGCTCAATTCGTGTTTGTACCAGGGAGGTAGATATGAGGGTGTACGGAGTATCGGTGGTATTTTGTCGACTTTCTAGACAGTGTGCCATTAGTATCAGTATTAAGAGAGGCAGACGACGGGGAGAGACAAGGAGGAAAGAGTCGCTCACAGCAGTGCAATGCAATACAGCGGTCAACCACTCGGCCAGACAGCACGCTGTTGACTAGATAAACCGACCGACAGGCAGCAAGACAGCCTATCCGATGCTCTTCCTATGAGCCGCGACGACCTGACGGGCTTTTTTTATTGAGGGTCGACCTTTTTTATGGAGTTTCTTCCGCCGTGGGGGCCGGCAGACAAGAAGCAACGAACTAACTAGTTAGCAGTTATTTATCGGCGATGCGACAGCCCGACGTCTCTGCACGGAGTATTCGATCTCTATCGCGATGTGTCTGTCTTCTTCCTCTCTTCTGCTATCACAGAGTGTGTCTTCTCGCATCTCATCGACGCACGATCGGCTTCGTCACCTTCGTCGACTTCTGCTCTCGCTCTCGCTCTGCTCAGGTTGCTGCTGTTGGGCTAGGCGCTGGGCATGAAGACGCAGGCCCGCGGCCGCTTGCATCAATAGGGCCGCCCGCTGAGTGGCTGCGCGCGCTGCTCAAGGTCGCTCTTCGTTGCTTTTTCCTTCGTTGCTTCTTCCGCGCGTTAGTACGAATGTGTATATCAATCGGGGACTTCCTGCGACCCTGGTTGGGCTTTTGCGAGGGACGAGGGATGCTAGTCAAGTGTGTATAAGCAGCTACAGGGATTGCCGGGTGGAAGTGCAGCCAGTTTGTACTGTGGGAGACTCTTGGAAGAAGTTGATTCTGCTGTTGGCTGCTGCTGCTGCTCATTGCTCATTGCTCATTGCTGCTTGCTGTGCTATGTATATCTGGTGAAGGTGACGGTGACGGTGACGGTGATGGTTAAGCGCCTGTCCCCGTCTCCATGCTGGCCAGCTCATGGACCCGGCTCTTTTGACTCTTGACTTTCTATCCTCCTGGCTCTAGATCCATGACTTGTTTGATTTGACACACACGCCGTTATGGGTTGTCCAACTGTTGGCGTCCTGTCTCCTCCGGACCCGCGCATGCCCATACTCGTACATACATAGACAGTACCGTCCATCTGTCTCCGATCTCTCCCTCCTCCCCAGTCGTCTCCTCGCGCGGGTCCTCTCGATCAATTCATTCAACTTTCAACTTCCTTGGTTTTTCTTTCTTTCTTTCTTTCTTCCTCCTTCTGTCTCGTGCGGCGTTTACAGGTTGGTCTTTGCGCGGTCTCGCTCGGCTGGGTTGTACCTATTCCTCCCCGTCAGCATCCAGTCACTCTCACAGTCCTCAACAGTGTCTCTTGTCCCGCATACCGGAGAAGCTTCTCGATCAGGTCGACGTGTGTCATCAGCATTCTTCGGCAGCAGTACCGCTTGCAGCCCAACTGGTCCATCGCGTCACTGCCACTGTCAGCTCGTTTTCTTTTCTCTCACTCCAAATCATATAAGAATAATAATATCCCATGTACAACAAAATGCGGATAGCATACCCATCGGGGACACCCTCGTCCAGAAGTCGCAGATACCGCTCCCACAGGTCTCCAACCACCTAGAGTAAGAAGCTCGCGGTCAATTGAAAGCTCGCTCGCTCGTTGAATGTCACGGATGTCCTTTTGCGCCTCCTACCTTTCCGCACGAGAAACACCGCACCGGAATAATCATGGCGCTTATTTATGATGACTAGTAGAACTCTCTCGTGAGCTTGTAAATCCGCGTCTCTCACTGCTTCTGATCAACCGCTTCTTCGACCTTTTTATCGTCGTCTTTAGCTCTTCTTCTGCTTCTTTTTTTTATTTCTTTTTTATTATTTCTTTGTCGAAAAATGAAGGTCACGAGACCACGCGTTTCCATTTTGGGAGCTCTTGCTTAATAAGCGGATAAATATTTACCCTTTGATTATATAATAAAAATAAGGTTTAAACTTTTGGCTTTTTTTATTTTTATTTTTTGTACAGAAAAAAGAAGAGGAAGAAGAATAGGAAGAGAAGAAGTAGAGGACAAGGCGGTTAAAGTGTCGGTATATACCCAATCGCTGGACTAAAGATGACGGAGAAAAGAGCTAGACGGCCTGACGAGGCGCAGAGCGAAAAACCTGCCCGAGAGCGACACCGTGTCAAACGCCGCAGAGTCGACGATGCCGCAGACGATCAGAAGGAAGCTATACTGAACACGCCAGAGAAGAGGTCCAAGGAGAAGAGCAAAGAGAAGTCTCCAGGGAAATCTACAGAGAAGCTGGTAGAGATATCTCCGGAGACGAGTACCCCGTCAAAATCGCTTAAGAAGAAAAAGAGGGAGAAGAATGCCGCCGCGGAAGCCGATGCGACGGTTATCAAATCAAATGATGAGAAAGCAATTGTGCAACAGAGGGAATCGAATGGCTGGCGAATGTCTCCTACTACCGGAGGCCGTTTCCTAGACCTGGATCCCGTCTTTTCCAGAGACGAGAAGTAAGCCTGTTCTCTACACTCCTTGCCTTGTTTACCCCTCTTACTAACCTGATCAGCCATTTGATTCTATGTCTTGAGTCTGCCGCCCAAGTCTACTCGATGTCAACCTCGCATGCCGTTCGTGCGCTCCAGTCCTGTGATGGAACCCGTATTTCTGGCTGTGCGCTATCTCCAGTTGACGACGAGATAGCATATGTCTCCACCTCGGGGGGTGCAGTCACCGAATGGAACTGGACGTCCGGACAGACCGAGCGAACTATGCAGATTAAAGGATCATCTTTGCTATCTGTTAGGGTTGAGCAAGGAGACTCTCAGACTGATGATGACGATGAAGAAGAGAACACCAAGAATATTGTTGTTTTTGCACTAGCAATGCGAAATGGGAAGCGTGAAATATCGATCAACCCGTTCAAGAAGTCGGGAAATCAAGCTGAAAAGGATGGCCCGGAAAGTCACACTGTTATTCTGAAGACTTTTACACAGATCAACGACTTCAGACTTGCTGCGGGAGGCTCGGTGATTGTCGCTGTAGCGGGAAATTCCCTCGTCGTTGGCCAGCGGACTAAGGATGTAGAGGGTGAGCCAGAATACACATGGCGTGAGGTACAGCTACCCTTCAATGCGACCAGCTTCGACATACGTGAGCCTGAAAAGGAGACTAGCACGAAAAAGGGAAAAAAGAAGCCTGTTGTTAACCTTGCAGTGGGACAAAATGAAGGAGCTATCGTTGTGTACAGTGATCTATTGAATACTCTCCAAGGGCTTGAGAATCGTCGGATGGCGGAGCCTGGTCTATCATCAATGAAACTCCATTGGCACCGTGGACCTGTCAAGACCGTTCGATGGTCCAAAGATGGTAATTTTCTTCCCTTTACATCGCTATGAAATGCTGGTTTTATCATCATACTAATGAATACATAGGAAACTACCTCATATCCGGCGGTCTCGAGACGGTCATGGTCCTATGGCAGCTTGATACTGGACGGAAACAATTTTTGCCCCATCTGACTTCTGTGATATGCAATATAGTTGTCTCTCCCAAGGGCAGCAACTACGCAATCAAACTCCAGGATAACTCTGTCATGGTCTTGACCACTGCTGAGCTGAAGCCAACTGCAAGCATGAACGGGTTGCAGGTGCTCGATGACTCCAGAGAACGGGGCCGTAAAGTGGCTGGCAGACTTCCAGCGCTCATCCACCCCCAGCATAATAACCATCTCCTTATCGCTGCCTCGACGGCAATGGGACGAGACTCACGCAACTCGTCTTACATCCAAACGTTCGACATGCGCTCCAACCAACAAGTCTACCGTCAAGCTTTGGCCCGTACCAACGTATCTGTCCTCAACATTGGCCCGCAGGGAACCCACATAACTACGCCGGACATCAAGTTTATTCAGACATCTCATGACGGTTCCTGGCTTGCCTCCATCGATGATTGGCGGCAGTACCCAGATGATGTTAAGACTCTTTATTCCGGTATCGAGCATCAAAACCGTGAGTCGAAGCGAGAGGTGTGTCTTAAATTCTGGCACTGGAACGAATCCGCCGCAGAATGGGAACTGGTGTCTCGCGTTAACTCACCGCATACTTCAACCTCTGGCGACGCTCTGGCCATTCTTGACCTTGCCGTGAATCCTCAGGATTATATGTTTGCCACTATAGCTGCGGATGGACTACTAAAGATCTGGACACCGGATAGCAAGAGCGCGAGGAAAATGAACAGCCGTGGCGGAGGTGCCAACCAAGTAAAGTCCTGGCGATGCTCGCATGCTATTCCACTGGAGGCACCCAACAAACACCCAGCGGCCTCCCTCAGCTTTTCCGAAGACGGTTCTGCTCTGGCCGTATGCTGGTCCACTGCCTCTCGCGGCGGACTGGTTCACCTTGTCGACCCTGAAGCAGGCTGCATTCATCTTTCACGCCAAGGTCTATACACAGATCCTGCCCAGGGCTGTGGGTTCCTCGACCGACATTTAATCATTGTCTCCGACTCTGTCTTTGTCTGGGATACCGTATCCGACCGAGTGCTCTCCCGCATCCCTCTGGGAAACATCAAGGGAAAAGGAAAACTCCAATCGTCCCTAGCAGTCAATCCACGCAGCCGGACATTTGCAACCTATGTCTCCCGCCCTCCAGAGTACCCCAATTCAGCCTCGAAAATAGGGAGGCCAGCAAGCCACCAACTCAGTATATTTAATGTCGAATCAGAATCTCCGATTTTCCAGTCTACATTAGACAATGCCCCCATTGCCTTGTTACCCAACACAAAGACAGGCGAATACATACTCATCGATTCATCCGCGTCCATATCTCGAGTGACATCAGGCGCCGCATCTATCTTATCGGATTCCGCGTTTGATGAATCTAGCCTCCCTCTCAAGGGTGGGTTGGAGGACATCTTTGGTTCATACCGGATGCTCTCCAAGGGTCCAGCCGAGAAGCCCTCAGAGGAGCTAGACACGGCTGGTGCAACTAAGAAGAAGAGCCTAGCCGATGTTTTTGATGTCGGCCCGTCTTTCGCTCTGCCGAGTGTCGATGCTCTGTTTAAAAGTGTTGTTGATGTTTTTGCAAAGGGATAATTACAGGCATGAATATAGCAAAAGCGATGTAAATACGAGCAATTGACTTTACAAGCAACCGATGCAAGCTATTTATTTTCTCCTCTGTAACTAGCAGATTTTATTCGCTCGTTTGTATCCACCTGCATCTTAAACCCAGGTGAGTCACCGTTGTAGATATATATATATATAAGAGCTGGAGTACGGACGAGTTGGTATCGAGTGTCCCAACTGCCTCTCCATAACTCTACCTCGTTTTTGAATAACTATCAATCGTTTTGACCGACGACATGGAATCTCAACAGCCATCAGGAACGGTCTCGAAGCCGTCTCCCGCCAGCCAGAAGACCTTCTACAAAACACAGTCTCACTTCGAGCAAATAATCGGCTACTATCGAGGCGTCCGTCATGGCCAGCACATCTTCATCTCAGGTACTACGGCCGTTAATCCCAGCAAGGTCTCATCTGCGTCCGAGCCGCCACAAGTTCTCTTCCCCGGAGACGCAAAGAAACAGACTATCGCAGCCTTTGAGGAGTGTCTTCGTGCCGTCAACGGCTTGGGAGGAAACGGGGTGCAGAGCGTCGTGAGAGTACGCATGTTTGTGGGAAGACATGAAGATTGTGGTGCGGTTGGCGAAGCGTTCACGGAGATATTCGGAGACCAGAAGAGTAATGCGAACAATACCGATGCTGAGATTGGGACTGCGGCGACGATGCTGGTTGTTCAAAACGGGTTTATCAATCGTGACATGATGGTTGAAGTCGAAGTTGATGCCATCGCAGCTGAATAAATGCTGTTCATTGCTGAATGTTCTATATATATTATATTGCTGATATATAACTATATATGCCTCACCAGCTGGTCAACCCGTTTTTCCTGTCGAATCCACCTCTAAGTTGCGTCTCTGGATGGACCACCCTGCCGTTTACTATCGTGTGTTTGATAATACCTTCGCAATGCTCTGGCCGGATCCTGGCCAGCCATATCATCTGTTCGTCTTCTTTTCTATAGATCAGCACGTTGGCTGCAAATTTATGACCACCAACATGTGAAACAAAGAAGATCCCGACACCGCCCGGACGCTCATCGTCTTCGTCACGTAATAGGCCAAGTGGGCGAAGGTGTCGTTCAAGTTCTTTCTTGATCAAAGGCGCTGATATACCACATCTTGCATCGCGGGTCTTGTGCGAGCATAACAAGACTATGTAATCTCGTGGACATGGGCGAGGCTGCAGGTTACTCTTAGCATCGGATACTGAAGATGGACTAGAACCCTCCTTGCTGATGAAACGAGCGTTGAGTTCCGGTATATCTGCCCTTGACACATGGTCGACGTAAGTGAACGATGGCAGAAGAAGCACTGTTGTAGATGAATCTTCACTCATAGGATCAACTGATATATTGGACGCCAGGACTACCGTGCTCTAGAGCTGCATGTCAGTATCTATACTATAAAGCAGGGACATAGAACACTCACCTCTCCCTTTGGCTGAGATGAATTCTTGAAGGCCTCCATTAGAGACCCCTTTTCATTCTCCACCTTTGATACCCAATCTGACTTTCCTGTAGCAACTAGGACATGATTCGTGACCGGCTTAACATTTCCGTAGAGCTGCCTTCCTTCATCTACCTTGAATCCTGATGGGTATCGAATGGTGCAGTTGGCACAGTCCTGGTCACAGCCTTCACCGTCTACCTCGGGCTTGACCGTAGGGAATATATAGCTATCCGTAGAGCCGCCACCTCTTCTCTCAGGCGCTCCCAGAGCCCCCCTTGCACGAGAGAAGATCGAACTCAGCATCCTTTATATATGTGAATATATATATTTGACTATCATCAACCATCTTCAGCGGAGGAAGGGTCCATCCAACCCTCTTTATATGCTTTGAAATGATGCTGCCTGCTGTTTATCTCCGATATCATGCATGAATCCTTGACGATCAAGGCCCATGGATAGAGCATAGTCCGTCCTATCACTGTCATCGCCGTCGCCTATTAAATCAAATATCAAACCGTGAAGTGCAACGATATCAAATAAGAAAAGGAGAATAAACACAACCGAAAAAAAGAAAAACGAGGAAAGTCGGTGTTTTCGGCTCAGCCGCAGGGATTGCACAACATTATCGCCGAAACTCCGATGCTCTTCTCTTATCAAAAAATCGAGGACGGACGAAAAAGATAAAGAAGAAGAAGAAAAGACGAAGAAGAAGAAAGACGACGGGAACGAAGAGACGACGAGACGGAGACCAAGAGAAGACGCTATACGGTTGCCCTTTTGCATCCAGCATGGGTGAGGGCGCGGAAGCTGAGACGGCGCCAGGGCAGCAGCAGGAAGAGGAAGAACCGCGTCAACGACCACAGCAGCAGCAGCAGCAGCAGCGAGAGATTGAACAGGAGCCTGAAACCGAACAGCAGCAGGAAAAGGAGCCGAAGAAGAAGAGAAAGAGAAGAACGATTGCCTGTCTTCAATGCCGGACTCGAAAAGTGAGATGCGATCTTGAATTCCCGTCCTGTGGACGCTGCGCAAAGGGACCATGGCCGGATGCCTGTGTCTACGAGAACGCCGGACCGCCTACCTGGAGCGCTACCAGCACTCTGCCAGCATCGAGACCGCCATCGAAAGAACAGACGAGGCCTCGTGCAGATGCGGATGGCCGTGATGTCCGTGGCGACGCTTCAAGCTCGCAGCTCAGTGAAGAGCAGAGGATACGGGAGCTTGAGCGAGTGGTGCTCAACTTTGCTCAATCGCAGGCCTACGCAAAGCAAGGGATGGTGATGGGAAGGTTGCCAGCAAGAACGGCTGCGGACAGCGAGATACAGCATACTCCTTCGCCGCATTCGACCCAGTATTCTCGCGACGAGGCTACATCCATACCTACCACTGCTAGACTGGATGTACCCAGCAGGTCACTACCCAGAGTCAAGGGGAACAAAACTCGCTTTTACGGACTGAGCAATGTGTCAAGCCTGGTCGCCGAGGTCGGTTGATTTTATTTCTGTGCACTATTTCCTTTATTTTCGTTTCTTCAGCATCCTTCACCTGGCTTATACACATTTGTAGTTTGGGGATCTCCGTGCCTATAGCAAAGATCTAAAGAGCAGGTTTCCTGCTTTGGCCAATATCCATAACCTGAAGGCTCTTAAGAAGGATCAGGACCAGATAAAGAAGCCTCTTATGGGAGAGTCGGCACTTGATGCCGTCTTCCTCAGTGGACTGCTCCCTGCCCGGTCTGTGACATACAATCTGGTCCAGTACTACTTTGCCTTCTCGAGCAGCACATACCATGTCCTGCATAAGCAAACATTCTGCGACCGCCTCCAGGATCTCTATCAGCAGCCCCAGCAGGCCTCTGCGTCATTTGTCATACAGCTGCTACTGGTCTTATCAATTGTATGGAGTGTGGATGCGCCGGAGTCTGTGACCCCTTCAAGCGACAAGGGAGCCACTGTCACTCGCAACATGGCAATGGAATGGATACACTGGGGCGATGCCTGGCTTTTTCATTCAGGAATAAGGCGGCCAAACTTAATCCTTCTACAGACCCGTTGCCTTCTAATCCTTGCTAAGGAGGCTAACTATACACAAAAGAACCAGGCCTGGGCTGCTACGGGAACTACTGTAAAACTGGCAATGTCGGCAGGCTACCATAGAGAACTGGGGCCCGACGCAAAAATATCCCATTTTGACAGAGAGATGCGACGGCGGATCTGGTCTACCATCATGGAATTGGACCTCAATGCTTCCTTTGATAGGGGGATGCCACCCACTGTCCAAGCGCCGGACTATGATACCTTTCCTCCTATAAACATCAACGATGAGGATATATTAGAGTCTTCTACACAATACCCGGAGCCAAAACACTGGCAGATACCCACCGACTCTTCCTTTCAAGTCACACTGGCTAGGTCAGTTGACTTACGATTACGCATTTGCGCCCTTGTTAATGCACCTCGAATTACAATTTCTGCAGGTCAGCTGTCGGAACTAGACGATGAGTTGACACGGCATCTCGCGGAGGTCCCTAGGACCTGGGAGAATTTTGAATCTACAGACCTGCGACAGCGGCAGCGAGTGATGCTCTGGAGAGCACTGATAGATACGCAGCTAAGACGCAGCCAGCTATGCTTGCATTCATGTTGTGCCTTGAGTGATCTGCCCCCGTCCGTATCGAACTACTCCTGGAGAGCTAGACTTGAGGTCGCGATGGAAATGCTCTGCCAGCAGCATCAGGTGGTAGAACAGCTAGGCCGACTGGCGTGGCCTCTGCTTACAGACATTACCTTCCAAGCCGCGCTCACTTTGTGCCATTATATGTATAAGTCTGACCGTGGTTTCGGTCTGTTTCCTTTCTATACTCCCCCAAACTATATCTAGCCCCTATACTAACCCGCTTTAATACTTGCAGCTTCATATCTTATCCAAGCGAAGTTACCAGCAATGACGGAGTGTCTTATAGCCTTGGTCGAGAAGACGCTCCCTCACTTAGAAAGCAAGTATCTCATTTTGGAGAAGGGGATGAGAGAATATTGTTATTTCTGCTTCATTATCTCGATGGTGAAGGCGAAGCGTTGGCCAGAATCGGCTCTTTTACACCAAAGGCTCGCAGTTGACCGCATTAGCAGTATGTGTTATAGCATCTTATCCCGGAGCAATGGTAGTAGAGACCAGGACGGCGATGCCATAAAGGTTAGTATCTTAGTGTTCCGAAACTCGTAATCAAATCTTCAATTAACGTAGGGACGTGTATAGATGGCCGCTATCACAGATACTTCCGGGAGTACGGCAACCATGCCTATACCAGCATCTTCTTTGCATGGCGGCCAATTATCTTCAAACTCCAGTGACATAGCAGATTTTGGGGTGAGCATCTGGAATGATTTAATCCTGAGGCTATTAAGAGACGTGCTGACAACTCTCGTGTTACCTGGTTTAGGTCTTTGGGGAATGGGATTTCCTTTTCGGTGACTTCACCACAGATTTCTCTGGATTTGGAGAGATATAGATTAGGCCAACTATCCGAAGAAAACTCTTTGAGCATGGTAGACCTCTATCGCACAACTTGGGAACATATGGTGGCCTACACATGATTTGTCATTGCTAACAAGGCAAGCCGACAAGGTCGACGCCGGGTCTGCTCTACAGAGCATATACAGATATGCTATTCACTTCCGGATCTTATAAATACTCGGGCAATAAGGAGTTTCACAATCCGTGGACCACTTGATGGTCCGAACTTGAAACTGCACGCTTCGTGCCACTTCCTATGACAGAAGAAAGTAACCGAACAGATCAACATTAGACGTGGCTCGTTTATATATCATCACCAAGCCTACCTTCATATTCCAACCCATATAACAAGAACAAGCACCGCCTACCCATCCATAACCAAAAGATGCCCACATGCTCAAGAACCCATGCATGAAAAGGAACGAAGAGAAAACAGGCTACAAATATCACGAATCAGTTTCTTCCTTCGATGTAATCTCTGTTCTCAATCGTGACGCTCTTTGTCATGTGGTTCACTTTATAGACACCAACAAGGCGAGCCGCAAGTTCGAACTGAAAAGGATACAGGTTAGCATTTGATAAGCCAGGCACGGCGTCCGATTGAGGACGTACCATGTTGTTTCGTAAAGAGATGACGATGAATTGAGCATTCTTTGTCCTCTCCTTGATATAGGATGCTACGATGGAGACCTGTCCATCAACGGTTAATAATCAGAGTAATCTTTTTCGACAGAGGATATCCCCAACTTACATTTCTGAAATCTAAGGCTGCGTCGATCTCATCCATGACGTATAACGGTGTTGGTCGGTAATGGTGTAAAGCAAAGACGAGGGCCAAACTTGACAGTGTTTTCTCTCCTCCAGACAAATTGCTAATGTTCTTCCAGCTCTTCTTTGGAGGCATAACCGAGAACAAGATACCTTCGGAGAACGGGTCTAGCGAGTCAACGAGTTCTAGCTCGGCGTTACCGCCCATCGTGATCATTTGATACATCTCCTTCAACCGAAGAGATATGGTGCTAAACCCTTCCATGAAGCCAGTAAGGCGGAGAGAACGTAGGGTATCAAGACGTGATTTGGCGGCATCACGACTAGCGAGTGCCGTTGCTAGGTCGGCGGAACGAGATTCATGTTCGGCAACACGGCGACGGTACTCCCCTAGGACCGAAAGATCAACAGATGTATTCTGTGTTTTCTCCTCAAGCGCAGCTATCATTGCTTTCAGGGACTCCTTGTCCATCTCCGCAAGTTCATCCTTGGTGTAGATCTGTAACGAGTCTGCTGCTTCCTCCTCTTCGCCGAGGTCACTGATATTTTGTAGGGAGAGCTTCGAAAACTTTTCATGCCAGTATTTTGCTCGTTTCTGGTTCTCAATCAATGCCTTCTGGCTTTCCTCAAGCTTATTTCGCATCTCGATCTCGACGGCCCGGGTTTCATTGAGCTCCGCTGTCTTTTCATCCAGCTCTGTCTTCAGCGCTGTCAACTCTTCCTGTTTGGTTTGTAGGGCCTAGATTGGTTCTTAGCACGAGGCTGTAACTACTAATGAGCTTGATTCTATTGCATACCTCTTCAGCTTCCTCAGTCTTCTGCTTAATTCCAGAAACAGCCTTAGCCTGACTTTTTGCTTCTGCATCCAGCTTTTCGATATCCTCCTGGACAGTCTCAAGTTCAGCCTCTGCGTCTGCACGCGATTTCTCATGTTTAATCCGCAGTTTCTCATTCTTAGACTTGGAGACCTCAGCGTTGGATATCTCATCTGTAAGAAGCGAAATCTGTTCTTTGAGGCCATCGACTTTGGCCTTCTGGCCTCTGAGCTTTACTCCACCGACTTCCATGATTTTGTCTTGGAGGACCTGGATTTCCTCTTCAACCCCAGCCATTTCGGACCGTAGCTTCTCGATCTCTTTCTCCAAAGTCTTAATGGTTTTTTCAAGACTGACCTCTCGCTTCTCGTCAGCTGCGGATGGTTTGTGTTCTTCGGAGAGCTCCTTCACTCTGCGCTGGGTGTCCGCGAGATTTCGCTTCGCGCTGTCAATCTCAAGCTGGAGTTTTTGAATAGCCGTTTCAACTTTGGGAATTGCATCCTTGGTTGTTTTCAGCTCGGTTTCCAGCTCCCTTTGCCTTTCTTGGAAGGCCTGGAATTTTTTTTCCATTGCGTCTCTATCGGCATCAAGCTTAGCAACTTGTTCTCTAGAGACTTCGGCCACTTGTTTAGAGGACATTCCGCCTCTAGCAACTCGCGTTCCTCCACCGCTCATAGTACCAGAAACGTCAATGAGCTGCCCATCCAACGTCACTACTCTCCATCTTCGTGCCCCATATGCGATTTTGTTGGCTTGCTGCAGATCCTTTGCTACAAGGGTATTTTGAAGCACACTATAAAATGCGGTTTTAAATTTGTCATCGACAGGTTTGACGAGATCAAATAGACGGGGAACACTGTCGGGAGTGAAAACAGAGGACATGTCTCTTCGAGGTAGCCTGTCCAGCAGAATGAAGTTGGCCCGTCCCAAATTGTTCTTGCGGAGGTAGTCAATACATTGTTGGCCAACTTCAACAGTGTCAACTACCAGATTGTCAAGAGCTGGACAAGCCGTCGATATGGCCACGTCGTATTTCTCGTCGATTGTCCCCAAGTTTCCGAGCCGACCATGGAAACCTTCAATACGTCCGGACTCCCTGAGTCTCATCAATCCCGAGAGGACGTTGCCTTGGGTTTGGGTACTTGATAAGCTGGCACGCGCCTCGTCGGCCTTCTGGCGCAAATGCGAGAGCCTGGAACGGTATTCGGGCTCTTTCTCTGCAAATCTTTGCACATTAGCGGTGCAAGTAGAGACCTCATGCTCGAGGTTGGCCTTTTCCGCCCGGCATTGTTCAAGTTCAGCTGCTTTTGCATTCATTTCTTCCTTGATGGACACAATTTTAGCCTGTGCTTCTTCCAAGGCGACTGCGCCGGCATTGCCCTTTTCACGAAGGATATCCAGCTCACTTTGAGCAACAGCTGCGGCAGATTGTTTCTCGTTGATTTTCTCTTTCCATGGCTCTAGGGATGTCTGTTTAGCAGCAATTTGCTCTGAAAGGCCCTGTGTTTTGCCCTTGAGACTTTCACGAATGGCTGTGAGCTCCTTTTCTTCTACCTTCATCTCCTTTTCAAGGGCTGCAATCTCGGCAGATTTCTTTTCAAAATCATCGCTATGTTTTTCAACAAGACCGGCACATTCAGAGGCAGTAAGACGGCTCGCATTCATGGCCTTCTCGAGCTTCTTTTGTTTATTATTCAGGAATTTCCTTTTCTCTTCAAGTTTGACAGATTCTTTGTCGTATTTGGCCATTTCTTTCATGATGCCTTGCGTTTCTTTTTCCATGGTCTCGTACTCCTTTGCGGCCTTTTTATACGTTCGCTGCAGCTGCTTGATCTCATCTTCATTACCCTGATGCTTTTCGAGTTCCAGGTTGAGCAGCTCTTGATTCTGTAAGATGGCCTCTTGAGTGACGTTCGTGTTATCGTTGCATTCGTCAATGTATATTTGATAGAGTGCGGACTGCTTCTCGACCAGCTCATTCTCATCTTTGATATAAGCAAGGGCTTTGTTTTTCTTATCTTCAAGGCTTGCCTTTTCTTTCTCAACATGTTGAACTCGGTTGTTTTTTTCAGTGCATGTTTCATTCAAAACTTCAACTTCGGCTGCTGCCTCGTCGATGGGCGTTTTGTATTTTGAAGTTCCAATAATGTCTTCGAGGTATTCAAGTAGGCCATCATCGTGTTCATTTGCAGCCTTGGCTTTCATCTGAGCAATGGATTCGACTTCACCTTGTAAGATGAGGAAACGTTTATGATCCAAGTCGATCCCACGGCCCTTTAAAAATTCAGTGACGGTTGTAAAATTCGCCTCTCTTTTATTCATATAGTATTTGCTGCTGTTATTCCTGAACGCTCGTCGGGAAACGACCAGCTGTGAGTCTGGGACAACTTCGTGGCCTCCGTCGGGTAAATCCATAATCTCTTGAAAATGAACCTCAACTTCGCAAAACGGTAGATTAGGGAAGTTGGCAGAATTGTGAATAAGGGCTGATATCTTTCCCTGGCGCATCTTACTAGCCCTAAAGCCGAAAACAAACAGTAGAGAGTCAATGACATTGGACTTGCCCGAGCCGTTGGGCCCGACAACGGAGGAGAAAGAAGCGTGGAATGGGCCAACAAATTGCTGCCCGGCGTAACTCTTAAAGTTGGTAAGAACGAGATGGGTTATGACCATCCTCTGCTTTGGCCCCGAGGGTTCTTCTACAACTTGGGGCGCTGATCGAGATTTCAGCATTATGTCCATCGGCCGCTCTAGCACGCTAGAACTTGGGTCGACCCGTTCAATAACGGATTTCTCAACATCGGGGGCGTTCGAAGGAGTCTGGTTAACGGCGTTCTCTGTGATATCTGCGAGCGGTGTTCCGCTAATTCTTCTTGACTGTGCTCTATCAGCTTCTGGAGATTGTGATGGTGCGGGGGTTGGAAGTAAGGAAACCTCTATAGATGAGTGTCGGCTGCTCTGGCTCCTGGGAATGCTCTGTCTTGCTTTCGATGTGCGCCTTGACCGCAGTTCAGGCTCTTCTTCCGCTGAGACAATGCTCTCGTCTGTTGTCGATACGGTGGACTCCCTCCCACTCAGCTTTGAGCGGCGTCGGTTTGAGCGTCCCGTCGCGGGAGTTGGCGTAGTTGGCTCTTCTACAGGCGCTTTCGAGACTCTCCGAGATACTCTGCGTTTTGGAACAGGCGTATAATCCTCCTCATCATCCTCGTCATCTTCGTCTTCGTCATTGCTTGGGATACTGGGCGTAACGCGCCCTGAGGCGGGCTCATCGTCGGAGCTTTCTTCGATAACAAAACTTTTCCGGGAAACCGACCGGCGCGGTCGCGACGATGCCGATGCCATTTCGCCAAAAGCTGCTGGTTCTCGCGGCAACGGAGAATGCGGGATATCAAACTGCAGCAAGTCGTTTTTTCTCTCTTCTTCTGTTTCTCAGTGTTGATGTGTTTATGTTTTGCCTAAAGAAGACCGAGCATTGAAGATTACGTAATACAGATATTAAAAAAGTCTTGGCGACATCGCGACGTTTTTCTTTTTTGCGCTCAAGTTGGTTACAAGAACAAACAACACTGAGGATCATAGACAAACATTAACCAGGGCAAGCACACGTTCGAACAGCGGGCTGGAGACAGGCTAGAATATGGCACCCTGGGAAGAGTTCGATATCGCGTTCGCCTTCAAGCGGGATTATTCCTACGATCACAAGCTCGTGGACCAAATCATCTCCAATCGACGAGTACTTGATCATGTTCTCTTCGTTGATCGGCTGTTGAAAATACTTGGAATTGAAGCGGGTAAGGACTTTTAACAGCATATAATGGGAGCTGGGAATGGAGCTGATATATCATGTGCAGCATCGAAGATATACCCACCGAGATCAAACCAAAGCCTGCGGTCCCTCTTCCAGCAAATAGTCTTGTCGTCCTCGCCAAATCACCACAAACAATCCTTGATATACTACATCTTAAAAGACTGTCGAGGAGCTGCCGATAAATCAAGCGCTTTGCAATTTGCCAGAACGTGCTACCTACCGGATAAGTACAGGCTGTTTATTGATGGATTATGGTACCTCGATAAACTAGAGTTTCGAGTGAGTATCCAGCCAGCATTACAAATGGTTTTAGAAGCTAACCCAGGCCTATAGCGCGCTCTGGAATATATAACGGAGCCATCTCTGATACCCACCTTCTCCGATGAAATTCTCTATGTCCTCTCTGCCTCTTCGAAGCAGGACGACGGCCTTGCCATAGCATACTATGTAACCGTCCAGCCTCCACTAGCTTCCCAGAAAGCTCTTAACGCATACTTTGGATCCTTATGTCGAACTGGAATTCCAGAAGCGTTTTATTTCTTAAGACAACAACCTGAGGAGAGTAGCGCGCCACTACTAGAGCATCTCATTACCTTTGTTCTATCAACAAAAGCCGGAGAGCTAAGGGCAAAACGTGCCATGGATCTCATAAACCTACCATTTAGTGAGACAGAAGAAGAGTGCTTCAATGACTTACTCTTACGTGGTAATGCAAAGAACCTGCATGGAGCTCGGGATACTGTCATGATGAGACGAGTTGCTACTGGACGGGTGGAAAATCTGGACAGCGAGCTAGAGTCGCTTGGAGGGCGCAGGCTGGAGGGCCTTAACTGGGATGATCTGAAGAGAAATCTCAAATCAGTCAATTCTGTGGAAGCTTGACACATTAGCTATGATCTATGATATCAGGGCACAGCACTTCGGTCTTTGGCGTTTAGGTTGCAATTTAGGCGTTCAATCGGTTCCACAGCTTTTAGACATCGTATGTACAGCTAGCTTTAGCGCTCACAGTCACTTCTGCTAGATCCCAATACCATACTTAATAATTTATTACCGTCCAATACTCCATCTTTCAGCCCATACCAAATATCCGCTGTATGTTTCTGCTTATGTAATCAAGATTCAATCTCAACCGTGACTTCAAATTGAAAAACAATTAAAAAGCTCGAGAACTTGAACAAACGGAAGCATTTTTCGAAGCTCGCATCTTTCGAAATGGATTAAACCGGCAGCCATAAATACCATTAGACAGTGCAAACTTTGTATATATTATCTCATACCCTATTGGAACATCGTTTGATAGCCCAGCGCTGAAGAATATAACTACTGGGTAGCTCCGACCGGGATATCGACGCGATACCACACCAGGTCAACAGTTCTCACCCGCCTGTGGTAGGAGGGTTAGCATCGAAACAATTCAAGTATGGCCATTTGCACCTATTACCAGCAGGGAAGGTGTAAATTTGGGGGTATGTTAGCATACTGTGTTTAATATATCGCTTGCATGTTTATTCCACTAACCCATCATGTAGATCGATGCGCCTATGAGCACCCAAAGAATCAAGGTCAATTTGGACTCGCTACTGGAAATAGGTTCGGGGTCCTACAATCTGGTGGGAACAAATCAGGTGGCGGCTTCGGAGGTTAGTAGCATTTTTTTCAGTGTTAGATGTTTTCCATGAATCTGTGACGATCTTAAGGATAGAGAATATCCTTACCTTTGGCAGACTCATGGTAAATGTCCACTTGGTTTTGAATCAAATTACTGACTATATATATAATCTTTTGGGCATTTAATAAAGCAGGTGACAAGCAAGACCCAAGAGAAAAGTGCGTATATACCTCATCCTGCTCTCTGACATCGAATGCTAACCGTTAAGTAGGTATTCTTTAACTGCTGCGGATATAAAAAATGACCTAACAGATGGTCAAGGTCGGCCCCAATGGATCTTCTCGGCTTATGGGCCTGGAAGGAATGCACCAGTCCAGCTCTTTGGTGGGCCTGAAAGAGAGCAAAGTTTCGAAGAAATGCGAGCATTGCATTATGCTGCTGTGGCTGAGGGGAAGCCACAGGAAGCCATACAAAATGCAAATAATCTGTTTGCAGCTACAGAGGCTCAGATGAAGAATATCATCAACAACCTGGATGCTGCGATTCAGTATGTGATTGACGGAGAAAATCAGCACCCAAATCGGCATGACATAGTAAATGGGAAGACTACCACGGTTTCCTCATCCAATACCCAGCCGAACCCATTTTCTCAACAGCCCCAGTCTCAGAACCCCATCCAGCCTTCTCCTTTTGGCACTTCAAGTTCATCTCAACAATCTACGGGGCTAGGGAGCACTTTTGGGAAGCCGACGATGCTAGGCCAGCAGCAATCACAACAGCCTGCCTTTGGTACACCTTCCTTCGGCACCCCGTCCCTTGGTGCACCAGCATTCGGCACCCCCTCGTTCGGGCAACCGTCCGCCATCGGAAGCTCTCCTTTTGGCCAAGTTGCTGCTTCTGCAAACCAACAGCAGCCAAACCCCTTTGGAAAGCCAGCTTCCTCTCCATTTGCCCAAGCCGCTCAGAATACCAATCCATTTGGTCAGCCACAGGCCCAGACCGCCCAACCACAGCAAAGCTCTCCATTTGCGCAACTCCAAAGCTCAGCCCAGTCACAACAAGGCTTTGGAACAAACCCATTCGGCTCAGGTGCTCCACTAAACCAGCAACCATCAACTCCAGCGCCATTTGGCCAACCTTCTCCATTCAAGGGTGGAATCAATACCGTTCAGCCTCAGGCCAACGCGGTTAACCCACCGCCGCCTAGTGGTCCTGTCCTTCCGGTGAAAAACGCCAACGCCAACCTTAATCCCCTACCTAAGACGTCAGGACAAACAGTGCAGGACCCAATGACCAAAAAGCTCACAGCATGGAAAGGCCTACCGGTTCAGTATATCGATAACGAGCCATGCTATCAACATCCAGATGATCCGCAATTCTATGCTCATATCTTTTTCCCAGATGGCCTGCCAAAGGCCGATACATTTAAGTACTCAGTGGCAGCGCCAGGAGAGTATACCCCAGCCGTGGAAGAAGCTTATAAGTACGCCCACGAAAACGGAGAATTCAAGGATGGGTTGATGCCTTCTGTACCACCAAAACCGGAATGGTCAAGATATGACATTTGAAATTTTTGCACGGATGAGGCAGCTACATGGTTAGGCAGGCGTTGAGCGGAGTGGGGTTTACTTACGTTAAATGTTTTCAGATGGCCATCTATATCGTATTGTCTCTATCAATTAGCGATGTACATTGTATTGAAATACTTTTAGTTACCAATTTGCACCGACTCTGGTGAATACAGCTACGCCGGGACAAGGACATGTATGTGTCATAGGAAGTGTTGTTTGATATTCTATAACCTGGCCGATAAGGCAATGCTATATGAGAACATATAGAATGGTCGCTTTGTGCATCGCGATAACAGTCGACCAAACCTAGATTACCCAACTCACGGACGTTCCCAACCCATTTATTGAGCAATGGTGACTTCGACCTCAACACCAGCCTCAATGTTGATGATGATCTGCTTAACAGTCTCAGTTGGAGCATGGAGACTAAATTGAAGGTTAGCATTGAGCCAATATCAATAGGAGAGACCAGCGAAATACATACTCAATCAAACGCTTGTGGATTCTCATCTCATACTGATCCCAGGTCTTAGAACCCTCACCGTTAGGAGTCTTACGGGTAGAGATGCGAAGAGTCTTGGTTGGCAGACGGACGGGTCCCTTAACGTAGAGGGACTTGGAGCGAGCACGGTCAATAAGCTCCTGGCAGACCTTCTCCAAAGAAGCAACCTTGCGCGAGGTCAAGGTGATACGGATCTTGTGGATTTTCTATATGATGTGCAAACGTATATTAGCCAACTGCGCCCACTCATAACAGACAATTCGCGAGACTTGCTGCCCACGCGCAACCACCAAGGGTATGAAGAACGTACTGGGCCTTCGCCAAACTCCTTCTCGGGCTTCTGGTAAGACATGTTTGCTGGGGTTGGGGAGCTAAAGGTAGCTACTCGGGTCGGTTCTAATATGTACATTAGACAACTGAATCGAACCGGTAGAAAAACATGGGATCATCACATACAAGTATATTGAGGCAGATGCCAATCAAGACCTGAACTATCTGAGTTCGGTAATGTGATGAAAGGCGTGTGTGTGTTGGTGGTGGGAATATCTTCCTTTTCTTCCTTGACTATCGCGATCTCTTTTTCTTTCTTTTTGATGTTAAAAATAATGTGTGGGTGAAGTCTTGGCATGTCGGTTAATTAGTCTAACTTCTTTAGGATTAGTGCACATGTGACTCATAATGACTAATACCGAGATGAGTCAGCATTTCGATGTCCCGCAGTTTTCTGTATCAAAAAGCTGAAGAGCAACAACACAACGACAAAGTAGCAGCAAACTGCAGAACTGATATTTCTTACTCTTGAAAGTAGCTGCTCTCCGTTTATTAGAAGACCTGTCAATTTTTCCAACCTATATTGCATAATACTACTGGAATGGTGGAAACAACATCTCTGCCCCTGGCGCCTGTACCACCACGGTCAGTGCTGAAACTTATACCAGATGACGAATGGAGAGCATGTTTGAACGCCTGGATTAGATCTGTCGAGGACCGTTTAAGGTTGAAAGATGAAGACTTCGAACTGTCTATCTCAAACGATGAAGCTGCATATCTCTTTCTTACTTCATATTTTTCAGGGGGTTTGCCTCGTACCCATGGGCCGACATTAAAGGCCGCTAGTTTATTACAACGCCTCTGTTTTCTATTAAGCCGGAGAATACTATTAGCTGGGCTCCATGGCCCACCACAGCTTGTGAATGTTGAATTCCTGGGAAATTTTTGCTATTCTTATACTTCTACACCACCCCTTCGGAGTTTGATGTTGGAGGTGTGGAATAGAGATACAGAAGCCTTGGTCTCCAGCACCCATAAAGTGAAGGTGGACACTTTAAATCAGTTATCCTCCAATGATGGGCCGTACGCGGAAATCGAGGGAAGATTACGACCCTTGACACTTCTTTCATCAAATTTATGTGAGGTTGGACGGGTGCTTATGGCTGGGGATGATTACATAGATGCAATCTTTGAGGGATTCCACAAGTCAAAAGATGAACATCTACGAAAAACCCTCGTGGCACATATATATGTTGCACTTACATCATTGATGAAGGTGAGGCCACCCGCGACGTCGGTACTCCTCGATCAACTCTATGGGCTAAAGAGCTCCGCAAAAGTAGACTCCAATGGCCCCAGGACTCAGCCAACGCTACTTTCAGCCCTTCTTTGCAGTACCAACTTCATCAAACGCCTAGAGAATGTACTAGCCGGAGACCAACAACAGAAGCGAGGTGATACCCTGGTTTCCTCGCTGAAAACATACCGCTCTGAGTGCCAGGCATTGCACAAGCCATACCAACGCCCAAAAAGGGTGGATAAGGGCAAAAGTCGGGATGTATCAGCCGGCATTGAGGAGGATATTCACGTCCATCGAATGTCCCTTGTCACCCAAGTCCAAGATCTATTCCCTGATCTCAACTCAGGGTACATTGTGCGACTTCTTGACTTTTACAATGATGATATCGAAGTCACAATTTCGAACCTCTTAGAGGGAACTCTCCCAGAGCACCTTAAATCCTTTGATCAAGGGACTCAACTCCAAGACACGGTTAATCTTGCACTACGGCCTACTCCACCGCCTTCTGAATCACCCGTTCCCCACATTGAGCGCAAGAATGTGTTTGATAACGACGAATTTGATCGACTAGAAATATCACCTTCGAAGCTGCATATAGGCCGCGCCAATGCCGATCTTACTGCGGATGATCTTCTGGCTAACAAGTCTGGCTCAACAAACAAAGCCGCAATAATGGCCGCTCTTGCAGCATTTGATTCAGACGATGACGAGCGGGATGACACTTATGACTTTGCTGATGTTGGGGGGACAGTGGATACCCAACCAACAGCAACAGACGGCGACACATCCGAGCCCCGAGAAGGCAGTAGTGGCATGGCAACCGAGATGAAGCTGTATGACCTTTACAAATCTAACCCTGGAGCTTTTGCACGCGACCAAAACACTCGTAGGTCTCAACACAGGGTTTCCCTGCGTAAAGAGACAGGAATGACAGACGAAGCAATCGAGGGGTGGGCGTTAATGCTCTCCCGCGATCCAAAGCGGGTTACTAGGTTAGAGCGGAATGTGGCCTTATCTGGACTACGTGCACACCAACAACCCGAACTTCAATCCACGGCGTATAGAAAGCCTACCGGCGAAGATGGCTCTGGAGAAGACTCCGGAGGTCATGATGGGGGTCGAGGCCAGAACCGAGGCCGTGGCAGGGGCGGTAGAGGTGGCGGTAGAGGTAGTGGCCGGGGAGCTTCGACTGCCCCTGAGTCAGCAATAGAAAGACGACGGAAAGATGAAAATAAGGGCTCAAGAGCGAATCATAACAGACGCAACCAAAGGGCGAAGAAAATGGCGAGAGGCGGTCTGTGATTCTGTACGATTCAACCAGATATTGTGCTGTGAGATAAGGGTTTGAATATTCAAAGCAAGCAATTTTAGACCCTTCAAGCACGGAAACGAGACGAAATTACGACTTTATGACTGCATTGGAATAGGCATAGTTGTAGTTTACTCGGTGCATTTTGGCTCTTTAAGATGAGCATCCCATTCCATTAACATTCATTACCAGGGCTCTAGAACGAAGTGTAAGTGAATAGCGACATTAATATATATAGGTATCACACCCCGCCGCATTCCTCAAGACAGAAATCCAACAAAATCTATCAGTATTAAGGGGTCTATCCATTAGTATTCATCAATCAATGGTGGTGATCCGAAAATACACCTTTTTCGGCGATTGACTTCTGGCACTCAGCTAACATGCGAGCCTGCTTGGCAATATCGGCCAAACGCCCAATAACCTCTTTGTTACCATCGAGGAAAGAGAAGATGGCATACGGAATCTTAGTTTCCTCGCAGAACTCAATGACCAGTTTTTGAGCACTGCGGAGGTTGTGTCTAGGTAGACGTGGGAAGAGGTGGTGCACAGCCTGGAACTGAAGGCCACCATGGAAGAAGTCAAGCCATTGTGGGCAGTCGACATCCATAGTAGTTCTGAGCATCTTCTGTGGGAACGACTCATGGACGCCCATGTCGGAGGTTGACATGGCAAAATGTGACAGGGTGATTTGAACATGTAGTGGTGCAGTGATCATATGGCTGACCATGATGAAAAGGACCCTGTTTTGCCAGTCAGGAATGCTTCGGTATAAAACCCCATAGCCGAACCAGGTCCAGAAGAAGATATGGCCGGCAATCTCGAGCCAACGATGCCACCAGGCAGCACCCTTACGAGGGCCTTGGCCACGAATCAGGTGTTCCCAGCTAAGACGGTACAAATTAAAGCGGCCGAAACATAGAATGGGGTAATATAGGAGATGCTGGAAACGAATGAGGAACTTTGCGGCAAGGTCGTATTCCATAATGCGCTCATAGTATGAGCTTCGAAGACTGTCGAACAATCGATGTGAAACGGCGAAGAATGGCATATGCTCGATGTCAGGGTCGTGTTCTGGCGAATTGGTGACGATGTGATGCACATTGTGGTTTCTCTTCCACCAGCCAACGCTTAGCCCGCCAATGAAATCCGCAATGATGATCCCGATCACAGTATCGGTGTGGAAGTCGTGGGTGATACCGAGATGGCCAGCATCATGAACGGTGAAAACCAGCTGGTGCCAAGTGCATCCAAGGAAGAAACCAGAGGTACCGTACCAACCGCAACGCAAGAAGTACAAGAACAGCCCAAAGAGTAGTAGATAGCGAGCCGTTTCTACCAGGTACGCTGAGTAATTGCAGTTGAACAAGCCTTCATCTAGGAGGCGCTTATATAGCTGGCGGTACTTCTGCACGATGCGCTCTTGCTCGGCAGCAGTGATAGGTGGGTATTTTGCCGTGTCGAATGTAATCTCTTGCTGTGTTCTGGCATCGAGGAAGAAAGGCCTCGTTTCAGAGTCTTTTTTTTCTGGGGAGGCAGTTCCAACAGAGGATATGGATGTAGAGGCCGAACATCGCCGTCTCAGACCCGACTCTTTCTTATCAGCAGGCTCGAACAGCGGCGACGGTGGGATTGACTGTCCGTTACCAGACGAGTTATCATCCGATTCAACGGCAGACAAGTCCTGTGTGTTGAATATGGAGAAATCTCCCCCCTGAATCGGCGGAAGGAAGTTCACCCAGGCACCCTCGATTCTTCCAATCTGAAAGGACTTCATCCGCTCTTTTGCGGCAGCAGAGTGCAGCCTACCCCAGCAAGTCAGCCTATTATCATTCTCTTACAATGCCTCGCCTGAATGATAAAATGAAGATACAAGCAGCCTGGACATACGCATTCATCTCATCGGTGGCATCCCTGCCAACCATGTGCTGGATAGCTTTATCACCTCCAGGGTGGAATTGCAGCCAGGCATCTAGCTTCAGCACCCTGCCCTCAAAGATAACGATATGTCTCCCGTCTGCGATCTGTTTCCCTATCTCATGTCTCGTTAAGACGGTGTTTTTGCGTGAAGCTGCCATGGCGTCGTCAGGCAGAAGCTTCCAGAGGCCTGCGAACCAAGTAGTTATGGTGAAAGGTTTCCGGGGATTGTAGGGTCGTATCAAGCAGCTCACAGCATCATCGACCCAGAAGAAAAGGAAGCTCGTAGCTAAGATAGCTGGGGATTCGACACGCTACGGTCGAGAGTGGCGTGAGAAGCCGCAGAAAAGGAGATGAAGTCGAAGTTCGTTGCCTTTTTTGGCATCACCAGCGCCAAGACATGCAACGTCCTTAATATTTCTTTTGCCTTTTGAAACTCCCACTGTCGACGTCTTTCGACTTGGTGATCTATAGGCATTTGATGACCACGGAGTACTACTTTACGTACGAGGGACGCTTTATATTGAATAGTTACATTGCTGGCTGGGATAGCTGGCCGTCGTAGACTGATCATGGTGGGTTGCTCCTCTTCACCTGTGATCTGCGGGACATCAGAATACGAATCACTATCTAGTTGCATGCCATTGGCCTTAGATAACTACGGCTACCAGATGGAATGGTGGCTGACATCTTTGTAGGAATCACTTGATACCCTAGTTCAGCGATGGTTAGAATGGGACCAGGACCCTTCCTCTCGCAAGGAGATCGAGAAACTCCAGGCGGACAAAGATGATGCAGGCCTAGAGAAGCGTCTACGAGAGCGTGCGTGGACACCCTGCCAGGTCAAAATATGGGATGTCTAACAGATCAATAGGCATCCAGTTTGGCACGGCTGGCCTACGGGGTAGGATGCAGGCTGGTTTCTCATGCATGAACTCACTTACCGTCATCCAGGCGTCCCAAGGGCTGGCCAAGTTTATCAAAGCAGCTCACGCAGGCGCAGAACAGCCATCAGTGGTGATAGGCCATGATGCTCGACATAATTCACAGAAGTTCGCTTTCCTTGCGGCCAACGCTTTTGAAGCCGAAGGTATACATGTTTGGTGGTATGACAGTGTTAACCCTACTCCATTTGTGCCCTTTGCCGTTCTGCTCAAGAAGGCAAATGCCGGAGTCATGGTTACCGCTAGCCATGTAAGCATCTCTTTTTTTCGTGAATTAAAGGGCCGCGGGTTTAGCTAACACATCGGCAGAACCCGGCACAATATTAAAACGTATTCCAAGATCATCCCGAGGACAAAACTCGACTCCGCGGATGCACTTTCAAAGCTGGTTATACTCTGTTAGCAGCCGCCTCTTTATAAATGCCAAAAGACATGCTAACCCATTGGCTAAAGATATTTCTCAAATGGGGCCCAGATCAACTCCCCGATTGATGGTCGGATAGCCGAATCAATAAGTGTCAACTTGGTTCCTTGGGCCAATGCATGGCGTGGGATTGATGGCCCTCAGACCAGAGAGTCAGACCTCCATACAGAGGTCTTAGCTCTGTACTGTGAAGCCGTCAATCGATTTGCTGTTAGTTGCTACACTACTCTGTCATACCCCAAGAGTTTCTATTATATGATGCTGACTACGTACAGAAATCAACCGTGGACACTTGGCGACTGCCCAGTAAATTTGTTTATACACCAATGCACGGAGTTGGTCACGCTACCATGTCTAAACTTTGCGACTCATTAGGCATTCAAGGAATCATAACAGTTTCTGAACAGGAGCAGCCTGACCCTGACTTTTCAACTGTTAAATTCCCAAACCCAGAGGAAAATGGTGCTTTAGACCTGGCCATGAAAACAGCAGATAAGGCTGGTGTAACCTTAATAGTTGCCAATGATCCAGATGCGGATCGGTTCGCGGCCGCTGAGAAGATCAAGTACGTATTTTCGAATCACCCTTGTTGAGACTCCGTTATTAATAACTTCAAAGTGGCTCCTGGTTCAGATTCACCGGTGACCAGATAGGAGTTCTCCTGGCATCGCATCTCCTGGATTCATGGAAGAAAGAGAAAACCAAAAAGCCTATGGCTATGCTTAACTCGGCGGTATCATCAAACATGTTGTCAAAAATGGCTGAGAAAGAAGGCTTCCACTTCGAAGAGACTTTAACTGGTTTTAAGTGGATGGGGAATGTTGCCCGACAGCTTGAAACCCAAGGCTATGAGGTACCATTTGCATTTGAAGAGGCCCTGGGGTACATGTTCACCAAAGTTTGCTATGACAAGGATGGACTCACCGCTGCCATGGTATTTTTGGCAGCTGAGGCAAAATGGAAAGAACAGGGCCTTACCCCATTCGGGAAGCTTGAACAGCTCTACGAAACCTACGGATATCATGAAAATCTCAACACTTACTTTGTCTCGCCAAGCACGGAAAGCACTACCTCCCTGTTTGAAAGTATTCGAAGGAATACCCTCGATGTCAAAGGCACGATTGGATCATTTCCTATCAATAGATGGAGAGATATGACCAGAGGCTTCGACTCAGATACCGCGGATAAACGGCCAGCGCTCCCCGTAGATCCCGCAAGTCAGATGCTCACTATATGGTCACATCGAGGCGTTCGGTTTACAATTCGAGGCTCAGGCACAGAGCCGAAAGTTAAGAGTAAGTTATCGCTCTTTGATCCAGCCCTATACAATGAAGAACCACGTTGGCTAACATGCTCGAAAACTTAGTTTATATCGAGAGTTGTGGTGCTTCACGCAACGATGCAGTCGAAGCCGTTTGCAATTTGTTGACTGCCGTCCTAGAGAATTGGATTAAACCATTCGCTCCAGCCATGACCTACTTCAACAGTATGACAACTTCATCTGGACATATTTTGAAGCTTGCATAAAGAAGGCGAATACCCTTCCACGTTTGAAGAATGCCCGAATGTGGATATACATAGCTTTTGGTGAGATATAACAATTAATTAATAATTTGTTTATAGCCTTGTCCTACTGAAACCTAACCCATGTGGCCGTCCATACGCAAGCGTGACTCTCATCAGGCCGGAATCCCAAGGCGTACATATGTTTGGGGGTTGTACAGGGCAAAAAAGTTTGCCCTGATATCAAAATTACCTTCCTTTACGTACGGCTTTGCACTTATTACTCATTAATCCTACTTTAGATCGATACCTTTCATTATGCCCAAGCTGACTGATCGCCTCAGGCTTGAAAGCAAACTGGCTGATATGCGGGTATCTGCATTGAATTAATCTCCCGATTAGTTGATTCTGCCCACATATTCTATATGCCTTTAAGTTGGCATATAATGAACATCTCCAGCCTCACATGCTTGCTCTTCATGCATGCCCAAAGAGCCTGTTGCCATTTTTTATAGCATTTAAGTCTTGGGCTCCCCGTATCAACCTCGCTACTTCTAACTACACATTTTTTTACCCTTATCAAGAATCATCCCCATAGTACTTAGCCATTACCGTTTCATTCATCGACTGGTATTCAACGTCATGTCTACATATTATGCTGAGGATTTTGATGATTATTACCAAGATGGGATAGATGGCAGCTCCAATATGATGGAACAAGTCTGCTACGACTATGCGGATTTCTCCGATGATGACTATACCATGCCGTTGCCTCGTCGAAGGCAGAAGATCCCGAAACAACGACTCCGACACCCAAGGCATAAAATACCTAGGTAACCATTCAGCCAATGCCCTTAGCTTAGTGGTGAAAATGATATTAACTAACAAACATGTGTCTATATAGACACGAAGATAGCTATACTTATGTCTCCGACTCTGACGAAACGAGCTATCGAGCTGGTGACGGCCGCCGTGGCAGCAGACGCTGTCGACATAGAGATTGCTGCCGAAGTCGACGATCAGGTCGTAGTCAGCGCAGAGATTCTAGCCGTTACGAGATTCACCATCACCACCATTACGCCTGCTGTTCCCAGCACGATGGTTCGGGGTCCAATAGCAACCAGCCACAGTCGAGCAACGTTCTTCAAATAGAGGGCCACCCGCTTCAAAACCAGATAGCCGCGGGAGTAGGAGGGGGTGCTCTCATGGCACTTAACCGGCCGGCTATTGCTGCACCTGCTCGCGGGGGCATGGTTATACCTTCTGCTATGCCAGCTCTGGCTAGCCCTCAATGCGCTTGTGAATGCTGCCATACATCTCGGACTCATCAGGTCGAGGCGCTGAACATGATGAGAGCGCCACAGCTTTTGGGTCAAGGAGCTGGGCTGACAACCGCACAGCTACCGGGAACCTTTGCCCGAGCTGTCAATATGCCAAGGCTGTTGCAGTGATGAATATTGCCAAGGCGTATCAAATTCCGATGGACTGGATAATGTGCTTTCATTGATAGAATGAGTATCGCATCCTTTTTCAAATAAGATAGATAAACAAAGGAACAAGTATGAAATACAGTTTTATTCTAGATTAGCTTCATGTCCGGTTTATGATTACAGAATGGCCAAAAAGGAAAGAGTACAGTGTCGCCTGTCAGGAAAAGAATATATAGACAGCAGCATCAGGCTAAGTCGGGTAGTGTTGAGGAGTGTTGGTAAAGAGGTTGATGGAGGTAAAAGAAGGAAGGCGGACGGATGGGGAAATATGATGGTACTCTTTGATTTTTTTGGCAGAAGGCGCACGATTCATGGGAGAGGCTCGTAAGGACACAAAAAGCAAAACATCAAGCTTAGTTTATGGTCAAAGAAGTGCAGGGTGCCTGGTGCTTTAATCTGGGTGGTGTAGTTATATTGGCGAGTCGGTTTAGAAGTGGATGGCCTTGGAGTAAGTGGCCATGGCGGCTTCCTTGAAGGCCTCGGCAAGGGTTGGGTGAGCGTGGCAGGTTCGGGCAACGTCCTCTGAGCTAGCACCATACTCAATTGCAAGAGTGGCCTCAGCAATCATCTCACCGGCGTTGGGGCCGATGATGTGGACACCGAGGATGCGGTCAGTCTTTGCGTCAGCAATGAACTTGACCTGACCTTCGCTGTCGAGGTTGGTCTTAGCACGGGAGTTGGCGCTGAATGGGAAGGTTCCGACACGGTATTCGGTACCGGAGGCCTTGACCTCAGCCTCGTTCTGGCCAACCCAGGCGACTTCGGGGTAGGTGTACATGACGCTTGGGATGGCAGCGTAGTTGACGTGGCCGTGACCCTTGGTGATGTATTCAACGGCAGCAACGGCTTCTTCCTCAGCCTTGTGGGCAAGCATGGGGCCGAAAGTGCAGTCACCAATAACACGGATGTGTTCGGACTTAGTTCGGTATTCCTGGTCGATGACGAGTCTGCCCTTGTCGTCAATGTCGATGCCGACGTTCTCGAGGCCGAGGCCGGCGGTATATGGTCGTCGGCCAATGGCAACAAGAACGACGTCAGCGTCGAGGGTCTTTTCCTTTCCACCCTTGGCAGCCTCGACGTTCAGGGTAACGGTGCTGCCGCTGTCGTCGCCGCTGACAACCTTGGTGCCGGTCATGAACTTGATGCCCTGCTTGCCAAGGAGCTTCTGAGCCTGCTTGGAGATCTCAGCATCCATGCCGGGGCCACCGATCTGGCCGAGGAATTCGACAACGGTGACTTCAGAGCCAAGTCTAGACCAGACGGAAGCCTATAACAAGATAGAGGTTAGATAAAATTCCGTGCGCAATGCTCAAGATTAGAAGGGTGATGTTATACCATTTCCAGACCGATAATTCCACCACCAATGACAACCATCTTCTTTGGGACTTCCTTCAATGAAAGAGCACCGGTGCTGGTGATGATCTTCTTCTCGTCAATGGTCAATCCGGGGAATGGAGTGGCTTCACTGCCGGTAGCAATGATGATGTGCTTGCCCTTGACAACACGCTCACCACCCTCGTTAAGCTCAACCTTGACGGAGTTCTGGTCAACGAAGGAGCCGGTACCCTTAAGGTAGTCGACCTTGTTCTTCTTCAAGAGGAACTCAATTCCCTTGGTGAGACCATCAACGGAGGTCTCCTTGGCCTTCATCATCTGCTCGAGGTTGAGCTTGACATCGCCAACTTCGATACCGCGCTTCTTTGTGTCGTGCATGATGGTGTGGTAGAGATGGGAGTTGTTGAGGAGAGACTTTGATGGGATACAGCCGACGTTAAGGCAGGTTCCGCCCAGTGTACCACGCTTCTCGATACAGACAGTCTACGCGCCAAATGTCAGATATCAACCGTCAAGCGCGCGCCCTCAGTAAAAACCATAGGTCAACGTACCTTTAGACCTTCCTGACCGGCCTTGATGGCAGCGACGTAGCCAGCCACCCCGCCGCCTATTATGACCAAATCATGCTCTTCTGCCGGAGGAACAAGGCAACAAACGGTCAGCTTCCGCTTTGAACGGCCATCACAGGGCCCCAACCGGAGCGGGTTATCTCAATCTTACCTGATTCTGTAGCGTATCCTCTCCTTGATCTTGGGAGAATGTAGGCCCCAAAGGCCGGGTAAGCGGCAGCGGCGGCGGCTCGTTGGGACGGAGCCCAAGCCGTCTGACAGGCACGGCGAGGAACGACTGCACGGAACATGGTTGGAGAGGGGAGAAGCTTGGAAGGGATAAAGCACTGCTTCAGGGAGGGAATAGAGAGAGCGACAGCAGTCAATTGGCGGCTCGCGAGCGCTGTGAAGGATGAGGATGAAGAGAAATATCAACGATCGTGAAGCAAAGTCGGAGGTTGAAGTCGAAGTTCTTTTTGCGTTGAAACTGCTGGCCTGCCCAAAGCGGTTAGCTCGCTTTCGGCGCCGGCGCGCGCTCTCCGTCGGCCTCTTACGGTCCGCTTAGTCATCGTGGACAGAGCTGTAGAGAAACGATGATGGATAGATGAAAGATGGAAGATATACATGGTCTATGGACAAGGGATACTCTATACAGATGGCTTAATCTCAGGAGGCATATTCTGAGCCTTGAGCTCAGCAAAGGTGCGCTCAGCATCCCACGTCCAGGGCGTGTTGGCAGCAAAAAGAAGATCCATGTCCTCCAGTGTACGCTGGTTGGACTCTGGATACAGCGCCCATACCATGGGGATCGTTATGGCGTTGCTGATTGCAAAGATATACAGCGTCTTCTCCCCAATTGCGTCGAACATCACAGGGCAAAGCAGAGTCTAATATCAAGTTAGTTAGTTGAGCCTAATTAACCAGAGAGCGTGGAAGGAAATGCACATACTAGCCATCCGTTGCCGACACTCCAGCCTACTACACCCCATGCGTTTCCTCTGGCTCGGACCGCAAGTGGGAAGATCTCTGCAGGATACAGCCATGGAACGGTAAGCCAGGTGGCGCCGAACACGGAGGTGAATATGAAGATCATTGATGCTGCTGCGGCACCGTACGAAGCGGCTTTGGCCTCGTCTCCAGCTGCGGTAGCATCCAGACCTACGCGGGAGAACCCGCCAGCAAGGAACATGGCGATTCCCTGGCCGACTGAGCCCCAGTACAGAGTCCAGCGGCGGCCGATCCGGTCAAGCGTGAAGACGCAGATTAACGTTGCAAACTAGTATACATCTGGTCAGTATTATTATACTCTATTTTAGAGTAAGGATGTAACACACCATGTAGAATATATTGTTTAAACCACTGATCCACTGACTCTTTATGTCGTCGAAACCCGCAATCCTGAAGATGGTAGGAGCATCTTGTCCTTGTTAGTCATTACCGAATGGATGCTGAAAATATCTGGGGCAGACATACAGATGGTAACTCCAGCAATACCAACCCATTCCTGCATGATCTGCAACCAGACAACTAGATGAACGCGCCGTCCAATATGCAGTTTTCCTGACCCACGGCCGGTAAACATCGACAAGTAAGAGGTGCTGTATGTCTCCTCAAGTGCGGCAACTTGCTTGATATCGTTAAACTCTGCATTGGCACGTGCGATATCCTCTTCCGTTTCACTGCCACGGAGTCTACTCAAGATGTAGCGGGCCTCTTCATCACGGCCTGTCTTGACTAACCATCTGGGAGACTCGGGAAAGAGCCAGACAATGCCAAATAGCAGAAGAAGAGGTAGAATCTGGAAGGCAATTGGGAAACGCCAGCGGAAAGCAGTCGCGCCATCATCAACGAATGCAAGGCCACTAACAAAGAGTGTTAGTACTGAGTAAGCCTTGAAAAGGAAGAAAGAGGTACGTCAAGGTTAACCATACAATTCAAGCCAGTAGGCCACGACAACGCCGAAGATATTGAGAGTGAACTCGATTGCAATGAACTGACCGCGAGACTTATGCTCTGCCGTCTCCGTCGCCCACACTGGAACTATTGCATTCAGTATACCGGTGCCTACCCCGTTTACCAATCGGGCTACATTATGCCGGAGTTAGCGTTAGAAACTTTTTATCAAGAAGATACACAAGACACAAGTTACAGGACGTACCGACAATCATCCAAACGTGGTTTTGCGCAGAGCACTGCAGAGCCGCTCCAATGACTCCCCAGACGGCGCCCAAGGCAATGGACCTGATGCGCCCTATCCGATCGCCCACCATTCCACCAGCAAGTGCGCCCACCAAGGTACCGAGGTAATACACAGACACGATTCCTCCCTGCAGCAAGCTGTCGGTGATGACGGGACTGTTCTTCGATCCGTTGACGGCCTCTGTATGCCCAAAGCCCATGAGTTCGATGTAGTGTTTGGCGTTGTTCACACCTCCCATCATACCCTGGTCATAGCCGAAGAAGAAGATGGACAGGCCAGCCACGGCGTTGATTGCAATCAGCAGCGAGCGCTTCTCGAGCCGGTGGGTGATGTTCCACCGGTGAATCCGTTGTGTCATTGTGGCTTATATGGTAGTTATTCGTCTAATACCACGAGGCACAAGCCAAATAATTCACGATGAAGTGAAAGATGGGGTGGGAACTCGAGGGGATATAAGTATGTATATAGATATACATGTCCGTCCACCTTGGATTTTGCCATCATCCCGTACTTATTAGTGGGATCCGCCAGAACTCGCGGCAGTCATGATCTCACGGATATGCGGCGGCTCGGCTTTGCAGGTTTCGTGAAAGCATCTGGTACGATGTGGGGAAGTGAGCCAGAGAATGATGTCAGACCATTTAACGGGAAGTCAAGGGCTGATCCAGGTGGTGCAACGGCATGATTAATGCGTCAACAGTGTCCATTGGGGGTGTTGACATCCTTGACCCTTTCGGCATCACGGAGAAGGCATCAGATATCAAAAACTACTGCGTGTCTCTCTACGCTTGGTTGTATCTTCGCGTTTTCTTCTTAATGTGCAGAGAAGACGAAGAACGTCTGAGTTTCCCCTTTGGGACGGACCTGGAACGCCAAGCTCATTAGTCATCAGGAGCTGAGCTATTCCTGTTTAGTCAGGTACAATCCTGGCTAAAGCTTAGTCATTGCACTTTAAGTCACGTGGACACGTGATGGCTCATTTTTGAAGGTGGTTTCTGATTGGCTACAACCACGACAATCTTACAAATCGCGACGCGACGAAGACGACGCAGCTTTAAAAAGGACGAACACCCCGGGAATCCCAAGCATTTTTTACATCTACAGAGGGAGTGACAAAAGGATCCATCGATATATACATACCCCGTTGAGACACACATACAGTTGATATAAGGCTACCGTGGACTATGACCACTACTACAAGAACAAGGCCCAAGCGGAAGCTGTCGGGATCGTCTCCCGTGACCTTGAAGAAGCAGAAGCAGAAACAGACTACGCTCTCGTTAGCTACTAAGATACCGCAACAGCCGTCTACAGAGATGGAAGATGCAGACCCAGACTTCTTCCGCAAGCAGCTGGAGCGCATCTCATCACACCCGTCTCTGACGCCTTACAGACGACGGGTCTATCGAACCCTGCTCTCGGTACCCAAGGGCCAATGGACGACCTACGCTGTACTATCCGCCCACCTCTCTTCCTCTGCACGGGCAATAGGTAACGCGATGAAGACCAACCCCTTTGCGCCCGAGGTGCCCTGCCATCGCGTTCTGGCATCAAACCGCACCATTGGCGGGTACAAGGGTAGCTGGGGCAACGGGGGATCTTATGCGGTGGAGAAGACGAAGCTGTTACGTGGCGAAGGGGTAGTCTTTGATGGGAAAGGGAGGGCAGGTGGCGAGATCTTTACTCAGTTTGTCGATATGGGCGAGGTGTTGGACAGTAAGAAGACATCAGGTAAGTTTCACTTTTTCTTCATCTTGGGTTCGTCTAGCTACATTCTGGTAATATGCATGGGTTGACATTGACATTGTCATAGCAGCGGACGCATCATAGGCAGAAAAAAAAGGGGATATGCTATGCTCATTGAAGTGAGTGGTCATCCATCCAGGAGCCTATGCCCTGCAAGTCCTGAGCTATATCTTTGTCGTTATTGTATTTGCACGTGGTGCTGTCTTGTTTGGTGGCGGTGGTGTTGCCGTCGTGAGGGTAGGCGTCGTCGCGAAGACTGCCGGCCTGCGCACGGGTGGAAGACATGGAAGGAGTATCACGGCCACTCTGCTTCAAGCGTGGAGGTGGTTTGGAGACTGGGCCTGGCATGAAGGTCCCTACAGCGCAACTACCGGTCAGACATCGTCTACCGCCTGGGAGACAAGAGAAGAGGTAGCGGGAGGAAAGGGGGAGGAAGGGAGGGAAGATACCATTCAGGCGGATAAGGTCTATATAAGAGGACATGCTGGAGGATGGCTGAGCTGTTGTCGCAAATGCACACAGTGGAAAGTGGAATGAATGGCCTCTCCATCATCGCTAGAAGAGGAGGGAGACAACCGACTTTATAGCTACTACATCTTCTCTCTGCTGTAACTACATTCTGTAGAGTGCTGACTTAGTCGGACTGGACAAATGCCATCAAATCACTCTACTATTTTGTACCAACAGCCTCAACCCCAACAGCCATTAATTAACTTCTCGCGTTGTTCTCCACCCCCCCCTTGGCGGAGAAGGCAGCCTGCAAGGGAAACATGCGTGATAAAGTCAACGCTTGCCCGTATTCAGCTTAGCTTGTGCTCAGTTAACTGGTTAAGTGGCGTGCGGCAACTGCGACACCGTTCGACAACTGCGACAACCTTAACGTTCTCATCTTGGCCTAGCGGATCTTCTGCACTTCATTCAAGGGAGTGAGGGGTCATTATCCCGTGGCAACTGGGGGTCTGCGGTCAAGTGCAATGCTTTGCATGGCCGGAACTCCTGGAACTCCTGGAACTCAACTTAGATAACTCCCCCGTACTTTTGCTTTAGAAACCTAGACGCGATGACGATAACTACCTCCCTACCTCGCCCCAGCACAACGACCAGAGCAGCCTCGGTGTCAGCCGTCGCATACTCACCGTCTTTCTTGCGCGACACACCCAGAAGGTGGATGTAGGTTGTCCCTTTTACGCTGCTTGGTTAACTAGGTAGTTAGTTATGGTAGTCTCGGATTCTCGTTGTGTTTCTCTGGCTGCAATGGAGGGGCCCGGCTGCGGGAGCGTTACGTCAGGTTCAACAAAGTCTTCCCCTTGACCATGGGCGATGGCAGTGAAGTCGTCGCCCGCATCCCGACTTCCATCGGTGGCCCTCCCCTCCCTGGCTTACCACCGCCCTCGAAGCCGCAACCATGCGGTTTCTTCATGACGTCCTACACATCCCGGTTCCTTGAGTCCTTGCCCACTTTTTGACGCCAGACAATTCAGTAGTAGCTAAATATATGCCGATGGCAAACTCCCTTGGCTCAATATAGCTTTCTCTTATAAAGGCTAAGATGGTAGACCTGATAACATAGCTAGTGCGTATTGAGAAGAAGATATTTAGCTTTGAATTCCTAGTATACGGAGTACTCCATATACTGAGGATCCTGTCGGCTTCCGTGGCTAGCTAGTTAGTTATGACTTGGCGAAATTGTTAACAATATCGCCAAGCATCTACTGTAAATACGGGGAGCCATATTTACTCAAGGTAATAAGTTACTTGTCTCCTGCATATGCAGAGAACAGTCAACTGAGGTCAAGAGGCGACGCGCAATCTGGGGGCATTTCCCCCCTGTTAGGGAGGTTGCCAACGGCATCATGCCCCTCGCCCCCTCCTTAGAAAATGTGTGGTTACATAGGAAAGCTCACCGTCCCTTGGAGCCTTGCCGGCCTGAAGTTCATGGCTAGGACTCTGATAAATATGATATGGGTCTCCCAGGGGTATTCTTCCCCATCGTGGTTAAAGCTAAGGCTATTTGTTGTTGCGTAGACTGATGCTACCAAATTTGGTACACGCGGCCCTTCAGCTTACTGGGACGAATGGCAACTGCTCCCTTAGTTAAAGGTTACCCTCAATGATAGCATAACCAGTTAAATAAGGACGCTGCTCACGGGGCTTAGGAGAATATGGACTGTAATGCGAGACTCAAACTGATTGCCTTTGGGTTCTCAAATAATGAGTAACAATGATTAGGCGCGTAACCTAATAAATATAGTCGGGTTAAGATCTCGTATAAGAGAAGGTAAATGATAGAGCGCGATATCAGGCGAGTCGATAACGAACAACGGGGTTAAACCAATAGCACCCAGGAGAGCCTATCTGGAATACTCTACGGTGAATAGATCTAGTGAACAATGTTTCGCAGCGCCCGCTTAACAGAATGGCTATGAATAGCGGGTCTTTTCCGCTTTAGTCGTGCTTGGTCGAAGTCGATCAACATCGCCCGGGATAGCTCCGAATTCCACGTAATATTGGCAGGGCGAATGTCTCCGTGGACCACGCCGTACCGACCCAGTTCCTTTTGAAGCTTTCTTGCCTCACGGTAAAAGTCAACGTCACGACCCGGTATACTGTCTAAGTCATCCCCTGCCCAGGAGAGGAGTAGATAATGGACAATATAGTCCAAACCAGTCGTGATGTATGGTTCGTTTAAATTAACGCTTCCGAGACAAACAGGAATAAGACTTCCTTGAAGCGTGCTAAGAGCATCATACGCCTTAGCCTCATGCTGGAGGTAACTGACCAGACCCTTGATTGTCCCTTTCCCCACAAATGTATAGCCATAATGGGCCAGTGTCATCTTGAAGAGAATACCTCGTGCGCCGTGAAGCTTCATCAAAGGCCAGCACCCATTGTCCGGGTCATCGTTTAACTGGCTGTCTAGTAGTATTGCGACTTTTGCTTTAGAAATTGGATGAGTGCCATCATGGCTCATCTGCTGATGGAGAGCGACGTTAGGACAGGATTGATCTAACACGCTACCATTAACTACCTAAGCCAACTAGGCATTTCTGCGTACAATAGCGACGATCGGGCTCCCGCTTACGCTTACGCTCCTCCTGCGACTGCTGCTGCCATTTCGACGGAGGCGGACGTGGTGCGGGTATGACCACAGCAAAGTCTTTCCCTGGCGGGACGTGTGAGGTGCGGTTGCTAGGGTCATCCTCATCCTCTTCGGAGCTATCTGACAACGGATTATTAACTGTGTCATCCGGGTCTGCACAACTGTGCCGTAATCGACGGGATGGTCGAGACTGGTCCTCCTGAATAGGGCTGGACAGTGGGCTCGATGGGATATAGCTTGATGCCGATAGTGTTCGGCGCCGTTCCTCTGGGGGCATCTTTTCTAGGAGGTATTCTATATCAACAGCCCATGTGTGAAGTTGAGATATTGCAAGTGACCGCCACCTTTGGTCCCTTACTTCTGAATCCAAGGCGAGGAGACATAGGGCGAGGACTGATGAAATTGCTGTGTAGGAATACGGAAAGGTCTTGCCATTCTTGACTTTAACGTCTTCGACGGGTTCGGAGAAGTGGTAATATAGAGTACTCGGGTCATCTTCCTTTATGTGAAGGAATACAAATGCCTCGCCGGTTGTCAAATACCCGTATTCAACCCCCTCTCTGATCATATAGTCGAAGGTTTGTGTGATCGCAGCACCGCTAAGCTGCCTTAAGTTATAAATAGCTTTCTCCTCCTCATCGATGGGAATTTCGTGAGCCTGCACGACGTCTTCCTAAAATTTCGAAGGTCGTAGCCAACCTTTAAGTTCGCAGGCCGAAGTTTATGACTGGCTTTATATTCAATAATATAAAGCAGTGTCTCGGCTTCGCCATCTTTTCTAGATACGCATAATTGATCAGATCAAGGCCTTCGACCTGTTTGCTGTCTCGGCTCAGGCGTGTCACTCAGGGTATTCGCGTGATTTTCAAATGAGACACCCGATCCCAGAAATGGAAGTTTTGTTTTAGTATCAAGCTTCAGTAATTCTTGCAGAATAGAGGAAATATGTTCTTCAACGGCAAATCGCTCGTAGCTCATAAAGTCGAGCTCGCTGCCCAGAGATCGACGGGAAACAAGGTTACCAACAGCCTTGACACCCTCGCTGGACAAGAACGCTCCAGCAGGGGGGGAATCACTCGGATGGAAGAGAGATAACACTTTCTCAAAGAGCTCGTCGCGTAGACGGGGAAAGTCCGCCCACTTGCGAAGGGTTGTCGGACAGCAGCGGCCGGCAGGACTGGTAATCGAGCCTTTTGTGCTTTTATGCTTTGGCTGGATGCTAAGCGGTACAGCAAAGAGTTCGTGGCATGATTGAATAAAGGACTCGAAGGTGGCCGGGTTAATTTTGCCCTCTAGCGTTTGTCGAAATCGCTCTTCTCCATCAGCTCTGTCCTCTGCTTCTCGTCGAAGTCGCTCTGCTTCTCGTCGAAATCGCGCTTCTTCCTCAGCTCTGTCCTCTGCTTCCTCAGCTCTGGCCTCGGCCTCTTTTAACCGCCTTTCAAGCTCCTCCATGCTAGTTTCCATGGGTGAAATAATCTGCCAATGTTATATGGCGTTGGGGATGGAGGTGTAAGCGATCTCGCGTCCTTTTGGCCAAATGGTAGAGATCCTCTCGGCATATGACCGTTCTCTCGGGGGTATATCAAAGGTTGGCGAGACCGATTTCGCGGCTTGCAACGCCTAGGCTGGCCGTGGAGACATTCTTGCTCTGATTTTAATATTTCGATGGAGATCTCGACCCACCCACCCAGCGCGTCTTCCGGAGTCGGTAAAACCTTAAACCGCTGGAGCACTTTACCGTCACCGAGGGCATCGTTCCAGCTTCTCCAACTTGAGGATAGCGCAAAGGGTACAACAAGCTCGCTCGTTGCCCCGTCGACAACAACTATACCACCAGGCGTCAACCATTTAACACATGCCCTCTGTTGGTTGGTCGTGTCAAAGGCTCTTGGAGCCAAGGTGGTAAATGCTGGATGGCTTAATAAATTCTGCCGTCTTCTTCAAGATATGGCGCCTTTTCTTACCGTTATACAATTTCCGGACAGCCCTGGGATCCCTGATGAGATGGGGGGAGGTGTTGGCTCTAATCCGGTAGAGAACTTAGAGAACTTCTCACTTAGCCGCATAAATAGCACTTTTGCCGGATCTACCCTTCCACATGAGATTATTCAGATGATATACCGAAATTTGGGCTACCAGGATATATATCATCTAGAGGAAGTATCTGGGGGTGCGACCTGATACTAGAGTATGGTTTGGCCTTGGAAGAAAATACCTTGCTTATGGGTCATCCTTCCTCAGAGGCTCAAGGGAGGAAGCGTCTAGGAAAATCCAGTGAATCCTTTGGACTCTTCACTATCGCGCAGGCTCTATATTCAATATTTATAACTATAGTAGGATTTGAGATAATGTCGAATATAAAGATGAATCAGCCTCTCCTTGGTATAGGGGTAAACCCCTCAGGGCGTCGTATTCGGCTCTCTCAGTGGAGGTCAAAAGTTTTGGAGGAACGCAGTTTTAATATTTATCCTACGTCCAAATTGTGGTTCAGCTTTAACCACGTCCTGGACCGCAGTTATCTATGCGGCTTCAGATCGGAGTTGAATATGTTTGGGTATAAAGGTGAATTAGTAATAGCAATATCGCCAAAGCAACTCAGTGGCCTGCGACTGGTATCAGATAGCGAGGGTTTTATAGCTTTACAAGTAAAGAACACCTTCTGGGAAGAGCATTGGCACGGATCTACCCTCGACTCGGATGACCTGGTATTTGCTCAGATTGAATGGCCCGTCGGTTACACTGTCAGGATTGTCGCCTCATTTGATGTATGTATTTCCTTCCTCTTCTACTTAATATATAGGGCTGTTACTAATCTCAACTAGGCCTTCAAAATTCACGAAGTATCTATAGATCATAGTGCGAGTCTGCCTCAACACCAATCTATGTCGTGGAAATCTAGGCTGCCGCCTAACGACTTAATACCAGTCGTTCTAACAGGTGGAGTCTCTGTTAACGACATGTTAGTTACCTATATTAATGACTACTAACCGCGATTTAGCAACGACGCCGTAGAGGGGTAGCGGAGCGCCAAAGACTACACATTGTGCTGCATGTGCTTAGTAAACAACTGACACAAGTGTGTCAGTTGTTTACTAAGCTAATATCTGTTGTAGCACAACGGGGTCTGGCCCGGGGAGATTTCGGCCTAGTCTAGTAAACTAAAAAAAAAGTCCTAGCTAAGGCGTTACATTCACAAGTTGATATTGTATATCTTGCCAAGACAATATTCTATAAGAAAGCTCACCGCTCCTGAACTTTGGACGCCTTTCTGCCTTTATTCACACCCATGCTCAGCCTAATAATTTATTGGCTCTTCATCCTTCTCATTCCTGAGCTTAACAGCGTCAAACATCGCCTTGCCAATGCAATAGTTAGGCATAGGACATATAATAGAAGGATTGTGTTAAATAGCAAGTTGATAGATTTTTCTTCGATACTCCGTCAGTACTCCGTATAATCATCAAAACTAAGAATACTAGGAGGATAGGGCTTGGCAGGGCTTCCCGTGCTTGAGCCTCAACCGACAAAGCGGAGCTAAAATGCCCGCTAGCCCCACTCTCATTTTCTTTTTCGAGAGCCCTATTATCACGTATCGTGGCTACTCCGTAGTGCATGGATACTCAGTCGCGCTACAGGACTTTGTATCCCTGGACCACTGGATAAAAACCAGAACAACCAACATTTCATACCAGGACGTAGGACGTATTTTTTGCGGGGCTTAACGAATGCATGCTAATGTTTTACTTCGTACCTTGAATATCAATAAACTTCGCCATCGCAGATAGCACGTGACCCCTGGTGGGGCATATTACTTTAACATCTTTATTTATTGGCAATTCCCAACACTTCAAATATACAACTATAGGCGCCAACCGCTTGTAAAAAAGTCATCAATTCGAAGATCAGCAAAAATGGAGAGATACGAGGTGAGCACCGTTAGAAAAAAGTGTGTACTATATACTAAGTGAATATAGGAAGCTGTCCGCTGCTTAAATAGCCGACGAGCACGCGCGAAGTCTAACTTAGATGACATGCGGGGCTCGGATGATATGGTGAAATGGCTGAAGCTTCTCGGACACTCGGTACGTTTATACAACTCTTTTCCCCAGCTTTGCTAAAAGGAGATAGGTTGAAGATCTGAATCGCCTAAATGCCATTCATATTGCAGGAACGAAAGGGAAAGGGAGTACCTGTGCATTTGTCGCGTCGTTCCTCAAAGAGCATAGAAATAACACCGGATATCCACGAAAGATTGGGCTATACACATCGCCACACATAGGAAATATACGCGAGAGGATTTGTATTAATAACGAGCCAATATCGCAAGAACTTTTCACCTTCAGGTTCTTCGAGATCTGGGATAAACTACCTAGCGAGGTAACAGACACTCTAGATATCCCCCGATATCTCCAGCTTCTGGCCCTTCTCTCTTTTCATGTCTTCATTAAGGAAGGTGTTGATGTGGCGATCTACGAAACCCATCTTGGTGGGGAATTTGATGCAACAAATATTATTAGCGCACCAACTGTAACGGCTATTACATCAATCTCAATAGATCACCGTAACTTACTTGGACCAACGATCGAGGATATTGCGTGGCACAAAGCGGGAATATTTAAACCGGGAAGTGTTGCACTTTCTACTCTTCAGGAACAAGCAGTTGCAACGGTCCTCCAGCAGCGAGCTGCTGAAAAAGGAGTGGCACTTAAGTTTATTGGCCTTGATAGTGATATTCCGGCTAGCGCGGTAGCTCTGAAGCCAAAGGTGCAAAGATTTAATTGTTCTTTGGCTCTTGCAGTACTTCGCGCTTGGTTATCTGCGACGCTACCTCTAGAGCAAAGCTGCGTTGATAATGATATCGTTTCTGGTATTGAGAACTTTTATTGGCCAGGGCGATATCAGCAAATCAACGATCAAAATTATCAGTGGTTCCTTGATGGTGCGCACACTGAGTCAAGTTTATGTTACGCGGTAGAGTGGTTCGCGGAGAGAGCCAGGGAACTCCAGGAGTGAGTATGCCCGATCTGAAGGATAGGGTTTATACGTTAACTCTCCTTCAGCATTCTCCCTCCTACGCGGATTCTGGTTTTCAGCCATTTTTCACATCGAGATGGTATAGCTCTTCTACGTAGTATTGCGAAGTCTCTACTTGATAAAGATATTCAAGTACAACATGTTATTATAAGCTCGTATGATGAAATGCGAGATGGCCCACCCAGGATTGGTATTCATACGTTAACTAGTGACATATTATAAAAAGCTAACTTATTCCTCAGACCGAAATTTAACCAAGCGCTTCTCTCAAGAAAAACAAGAAAGTTATGCCGAGTTTTGGAGAACATTTGATCCAACTGCAACAGTATCGTGCGAACGTACAATTGAGGAAACCTTGCATCGAGCTAGGCGGATCGGAGATCTCAGCGATGGCATGCAAGCCTTAGTTACAGGAAGTCTACATCTGGTCAGTGGTCTGCTCTATCTCTTAGAGACTGACCATCTGATATCGCATCCACCAATGAGGGCTCAAACCAGATTAGAGCAAAAGAAGCTCGATGATATTAGAGCAGGTTGCAGCTAGTTGGTGTACTTAGTTGGCCCTTTCCTTAGGTCGTTTATACCTACCCGTTTTAACTATATAACCAAGAGGTGTGATGTTTACATCTTTCCGGGAGGCATCTCGGGATATCAACTATTTAGATGCGGTATATGATGGGCTAAATGAGATATTAGGGATGATTGAAATGCAAATTACGTTGCTGGAAGGTACTCTTCAGTATGTCTACCAAAAGCTTGCGGAATTCTACGCTGGTCGATAGTGAGCACAGCCCACTCACTCCTACAGGGCCAGCTTTCGATAATGCGAACGATCCTAGGGACACACCGACTCAACTCCGCCATACAAAAAAGGGAGAAGGCAATTGGCTCGCCCCTTGAAACTTTCACTGTTGTTAAGTTCGACGCGAAATTGAGCCCAGAAGAATCCCACGGTTCATTACGCCCCAAGGGAGAGGCCAATAGCCGGGCCAGCCAGAGAAAGAAAAGGCTACCTTCTGGTTTCCGAATATAACAGGCCTGCGATTCTCTGTGTGAAAGCAATCTTGACATACCGTAACCTGGAAAGGATCCAACATGAGGACGTGCAAAGAATTCTATAGGAGCCCGGACTTCCTACGGCCACGGTCGCTCAACTAGAGGTAATTTTACGGCATTTAAAGTGGAAGCAAACCAGTGGAGGGAATAGAATCTTTCCCGGAACTTGTCAACCCTATGGGCCCGGAAATTGTGGAAAAGGAGAAAATGAAGTACCGCCAACGCATATAGAGTGAACCTGAATTCAAATTTAAAGAGTCGCAAGAGAAGTTCATTGCTAGATTTTAGTTATGATATTCTAGTAGGCTAAATGAGATTGTCGAAAAGACCCCAGGCTAACCTGGACAATTAGTTAGTTAAGAGAAGAGATTAAGAAGCCAAGTCTTGGAGAAATAATCAGAACTGAGCATGCTTGTTTATCTTGACGCTCCCCTGTGGGACCAAAGGTTAGTTAACTACCTAACTAGCAACTTCGTGAGGTTAGAAGCTCACTCCACGATCCAATATTAAGCATATAGGGACTAGTCTTGCAGACTGCGTTGCTGCTCCTGCTCGTCGAGAACTTGCGAGGACATCGAGTTATGGGAAACCAAGGCCAAGGAGAGCCTTCCTCCTACCAACTAAAGAAAACATTGGCCCTGGGGAACATACCTCACTACTATCTAAGTATCTACAGGTCGCCCTGTTTTTGGTCTCACGCCAGTGTGAGATGGCAACCCCAATACTGCGTCATCCGGATCTGAGCTTCCCTAACATCCTTCTTAGCCCTGGAACAAACAAGATAGAAGGAGTAATTGACTGGCAGGACGCATCTATTCTTCCACTTTTCATACAAGCAGGCTACCCCGCCTTTTGTGAACACAATATTTCCCAAGTCCAGTCTTTAAGAGAACCAACTTCTCCCGAAAACTACGAGGAGCTGAATGAGGTGGACAGAATGAAGGTAGATATAAAGCTCCATTTGGAAAAGGCCAACTTATATTACTATGCTGCTACCGGACTTGAGAATGGTTTGCACCTGCGGGCACTGCGTTTGCCTGGCATTTGGATGATACAGTACCTTATCTCTCATGCCGGCTACCCATGGGATGCTGACCTGATAAACCTCAAAGCAGCTCTAGTTGGGCTCACCAAAATCTGGGATGGAATTATATCCGACCCATGCCCGATCTCTTTTTTCCCTAAGGATGAAAAGACAATACTAAATGATGCTGCCGAGTGGAGGGAATGTGAAGAGATACTTTTGAATATTCAAGAGAATATTGGGATCGAGAAGGCGGCACGCATCCAGATGATTTTGAACATGCTTCTGATATGGCACACCGGTTTCGGGTACAGATATATACCAACGCTGAAGAGCAACTTGGAAAGCTGTTTTGGAAATCTTGGATATTCAAGGATGATAGTGACAACTCTCCTCCCCCTGTACTCTGATCTCAAGGTTCTGACTTCTACATACTCTCCCTTGTACGATAATGTGAGGAATAACACTTGTGATGGGTCAGGGACCCTCATCTCCCGAAAGTTAAATAGTTTAAATCTTAAACCAAACCTTATTTCTTCTATCTTCTAGGTCTGTTAGAAGGTACTCCGTACGGACGGACTACTTTAAAAGGAACATATAAGGAGGGAAATAAAGGTAGCTGATAACCGAGAGTATTTGATAGTTAAACCTGACTCTACAGACTAATCGCCCAAATCGTAACAAGTAGATTCAAAAAACCGACCCGAAAGGGAACAAAAGAAATTCATCAGGGGCCGTAACGCTAAATGCTCCAGTAGTTAAGTGAAACCATGAGCCTGTGCTCTCATAACAGTTGGTTAGTTGGCTGTTTTGTATTTTTCTGTTGCTTCGTTGGTTTTTCTTTTCTTTTTCTTTTTTTGTTTTGCCCTGCCAGTCCCGTGAGCCCATCCCTTCCGTCTAATCCAACCGTCTGTCTGACAAACCAGTTGACCAGCCAGCCTCTGTGAGCCCCGCCATCCCTGTTGTACACTGCCCTGTCCAAATAAAATGCTAGCCAACCGAGAGTAATGTAGAAATGACCGGATCGAAAGGAGTGAAAATAAAGAACAGAGGAAAAAAAAGCTAGAGCGAGACACTGGGAGTGAACGTAGGCAGAATAGGTTCACGGATTCGAGGCTTGGTATTGTCAAAAACGGTAGGTATTCTCAAGCAAAGTTGCGAGAAAGGAAAGGAAAAGAAACAGTTTGACAATGATATACATCGAAAGTAAACAGAACAGAAGCGTACTGGAGAAGCCGAAGAAAAACGAGAAGATAAATGCTCGTAAACATTCTCATAAAAAAGGAGAAAGTAAAAAAGAGGAAAGTAATCATGTACAGTGTGAGGAAAAAGAAAAAGGAAGTAAAGAAATCGAGGGCATTACCTTCATTATCAGTGCGTGTGCAAGGAAATAGGAGAGAGAAAAAAAGTGTTTGTGTCCATACAACGCCATTGTCCTGGGTAGACTGTAGAGACACCGAAACAAAGTCAAAGAAGAATAAAGTACAATGTTCGAGGGAGAAAAGTCCCACTCGAACATTCAACGGAAACAGAATGTGAAGAAAAAAGGGAAGTAAACAAATAAAGTCAGTTCATCTGTAGATGAGTACCAGCTCAAAAAGAAGAACCCGAAGGCAAGGCAATGCACATGCTTGCTAGATCATGGCTGGGACAATCCGAATTATCAAGGGGATGTAATGAAATGAAATAAAAAAAGAAAAAGAAAAGAAATTAATCTCTCTGCATCTTCGAAAGGAAGGGGAAGAAGGAAGAGCAACAGGGGGCAGGTTGGTGACGGCCAGTTGAGCTTAGCTGTTGGCATCATCACGCCTGGACCTGTTGGAGGTGCGCTTGGCCAGCTGTTCTCTATGGTACTGACGAAGATGCTCAATAAGATGGTCTTCGCGAGTGAAACCGTAGAAACCCTTGCGGTTGCAGCCTGATTTAGGACAATCCGTTTTCGTCGGGAAGTGGATTGATTTTTGATGTCGGCTTAAGTCAGCAACCCGGCTGAACGAGCCTTCACAGTTCTTGTAGAGGCAGATAAATCTCTGGGTGGATCTAAATTGGTGGCAGCATGGGTTAGTTTGCGTGTTTCAAGGGTAAAGTGGTTGATGAGGGCAGTGTGGGGTTGGGGTTGCTACGTACCTTTCTGCAGCCGTTGACTTGGGACTGGAGGGAAGGGCAGCCATGGTCTGGCTATCAAAGACGTAACCATGATTGGACGAAGTGGAGAAACTTTCAGACCGACCCTGCGTCGAGCTACGTGGCTCGTAATCGTAGGTAGAGTCATACTCGTGGGAGCTCTTTGGTGAGTGGCATGGCTGCATGTTGTTGTAGAGTGTAGATGCTGAGCTGTATGATGTGGATATGGATAGATTGCTGTCTGTCGAGCTGGAGTAGGTCATAGGAGGAGCCAAAGGAGAGAGATAACCTGGCTGTGGCCAGCTTGAAGTAGTGTAGGTATTATTATCTGGGGTTTCTCCACGGCTGGAAGGTTGGTAGGTAGGCTTCCTTTGACGGTGAGGGATAGACATTGTCTGCGTAGTGAAGGTTGGGACAGACAGTTGGTGTGTCAAGGTCAAGCCGTAGACAGGATAGTAATGAGTTAGAGCAAAAGAAAGCTTCAAGAATATTATATGTGATATCTTTGAAGTTGTATGGTGAACGTAGATGGGAATGGGGATGAAGAGAGGGGGGTCACTGAGGATATTATATAACCCTTCAGGTACTAGTGAGAAAAGGAGGCGAGCTTCACTTAACACAAGAAGTGGCAGCCTTTACGACCACACGTGACAAGGGAAGGTTGAAGAGGGAGTGAGTGCAGGGAGTTGTAGATCCTTAGATAACCTAAGCAAGAATGCAAGACAAGAATAATGATGCCCATCAAGTGTTTCACAGCCTCAGCGTGTTAACGAGCTGGCTCGAGGGGTAAACGACGAGGGGAAGATGGGTTTGATTGAAACAAGTGCAAAGAGTGAAGCTTGCGGTTATGCTGCCCCCATGCGCTTGGAAAACACCCAGTAGATTGGTCGGCCAGATAACTCGCTGGTCCAAGGTGGCACGATTATATGAGTGGATGGCAAGTGTTCCTCTGTTTTGAAAAAAAAAAAAATGAGAATATCAAAACACGAAAATAAAAACGAAAATAAAATAAAATAACGAAAAAAAGGAGCACACTTTGCACGTGGAAGGGAGAGTTATGGGAACACAGCCTCTCTGTAGCAGTACGAGAGAGGAAATGACGTTGGGAGGAGGGGCGGAGACCAAAGAGGAAAGGGATTTGATAGATAACGACGAAGAAGTGAAGCAAAGATGGTATTTGGCCGTAAGCGAATACCAGCTCGGTACCGATTGGGGATAAGCCAAATAGCAACGGCAGCAGGAGAAGGCAGCCGAGCTGAGTATGAAGTAATAAGAGCAGCCTCTTAAACAAAGGAATGGCGGTACAGCCAGTGCCCGCTTCGACCGGCAATCGGCGCCGGAAACCAGACATCAGAGGGAGAGACGTAGAATAGCCGGAGGGGTCACAGGAGTGACTTTGAGTCCCACAGCGGGCAAGGCGGAGGAGACTTTAGAGAGACTTTGGGTGGTTTTACAAACGAACATATGCAGTGATAAGAAAGGAGGAGGAAGATATGGAGATCATGTTCGCATTGGCAAAGGGCTGGCGTAGACGGGAGAGATAACTCCACGGAGGTCGACTGGCCATCGAGATAGGAGAGGATGGGATGGTGTGTGTGCGTGTGCGTGTGAGTGTGTATGTAAGAGAGACCGACCAGCTGCTCAGCCCTCCCATCCATCTCCCCCTTCGCCTCATTCCGGTAACTAAGCCAGGCCAACTAGCCCATGAAATTCACCTGATACGGACTCTTATTGCGGTGAAGAAGAGCTTTCGTAAACATCAATGACGGGGCGGGCCGACAATGGAGCCTGAAGATGAGGGATATTTCCCCCTCCATCACAGCGATTGTTTGCGAGCGCAAAGGATGAGTGGCAGACCGGGTGGATGCAAGATGTTGTGGTCGTTTTGGCTCTTCTTCCTCTCGTTGCCCCACAAGACAGACTGCTGTTCCTTTTTTAGGGCCGTTTAGGCCATGTCGACAGGCAGGAAAAAGAAACGGGACGAGGATCCCCTGCCACTCAACCCTCCTTCAGCTCTGACTGGCTGGAGAATGTTCCTTGACCAGTCAATCAATAACGGGCTTGCTGTTTAATAATAACCCTGCAATAGAGTTGTTACCCGTGTAACTTGTAACTAAATCGTGCGACCTGTCGACTTGGTTAGCCAAGCACGGAGTATATTCTGGTACGGCTGGTGGTTATTTACATGGTTACAGAGCGTAATCAGAGTGTGAGGTGTATACGGCGTACCATCCAGGCGTCGGGCAGATGCTGTGCAGCGTTCGCTATCAAGCATCAAGCATCGTTGCCGTCACCAGCGTCACCTACTTGGAGTGTCTTCCGTCTCGCCAGGTACGTGGCCGTGCAGGCATTTCAAACACGGCCGCCTCGGTCTCGCGAATTTGCCCTTGTCACCACCACCACCGTCATCTGTCTCTGCTGTCTTGTCTCTGCTGCCCCCGTCTCTGCTGTGTCAACGAGTCCCCGGCGTTGCTGTCGTTGCCTCCATCTTCATCTTCGTCGTCGTCGTTTTCCTCTTTTGGCAAAGACCGAAGCACCATCCTGCTTATCTAAGCGACCTTCCCCCTTTGGTCTCTGCTTCTTCTGCTTCTGCTTCTTCAACGTCCAACGTCAGGCATCATCAACATCATCCTCAGGGCGACCAGCATCGCCCATCCTTCTCCCACTCGCTTCCAGCCTGCGTCTCGTCTTCTGTTGGCAGTGTAAAGGGTAAAGGACCCCTAGCTTCGTCGATGAACAGAAAATGCCGCAGACCAGCCTGGCGTGGCAGGGTAGGGCGAGGCGGACTCCAGCTTTCGGCCTCGCTTGGGATAACAGGACTGACGGACTGACAGACGGAGTGACTGGCTGACCGACCCATCTCGAGAATCAAAGTTGATAGATAGAGAAAAGAGAGAACTCGAGACCATACAGACTCCTTCGTGCTGCTTCTACTGGCACAGCCTTTGCAACCATCTCCGTCTCCGGCGTGCAAACGCTCGTTGGCTCGCACATGCAAAACGACTTCCAGGTATCAGGCAGGCAGGCCTCTACACGAAGCACCCAAAACCAAAACGTAAGGAGGGCGTCAAGGCATCCATCTCATCAGGGGGAATCAACCAGAGCAGCCCGTCTCCCAATAATAATAGCTTTTCGGTCCAGTTAATTGTTTTTCTTTTTCACTTTTTTTACGCGGCAGTCCAAAGGCTATCAAAGCAACCAATAGAGCTGGTTGATACACAGTAAGAGATGGCAGACATCAGACATGAAACATTAGGAACGAGAAGAGACTTGCTGGCATCAGCGGTCTTATAAGTTATTTAACATGTCTCTTCTCTTCTCTACACCCGTCTAATCAGTTACTGCTTTCTCGTGGAACAGTCGGCTCTTTATCCTCTTCCTTTTGCTGCCCTGCTTTCTTGATGCCCAACCCGATCACTCATTATTAATTTCACAGAGTGACGGTTTCAAACCAATAACCAGTAAACAGGGCGACCAACTCGGCCAACCAGTGCAATAAACACACGTTGCCATCTAGGACTGGATCATGAGACTCCAAGAAGCGAATAAGGCTTCTTGTCTGTATTATTTTATTTTTGGCGAGGTCAACTCAGTAGTTGGCTACTTGTTACTCTTTCTCTAGCACTGCCTCAAGACCCTTGCATGCCAACTGACATGAGGGTAAATTCCGTAAGGGTAACTAAGCACTGTACCTGGAGGCCAGAAAAGTCTCGAAGGACTCTCCCGCCTTGATTTCGTTTTAGCGGGTAAGAAAACGAAGTTCTCCTTGGAGACAGCCTCAGCTTTTGCCGATGACCCGTATCTTCCTCAGTACCCCAGCATTTACTTAAGTTATGGAGTACATCACACTAGCACTGCCTCCCTGGTGCTAATCATGACTCTGGCTGCGCTGGAACCCCCACAAGAGAAGTATTCGAGAAGAAGCGGAGACCAGAAAACACGAAGAGGACCGGGGGTTGTTCTGCAGGTCAGATGGCCCTGTTGCGAGGGAATTGAAGTATTGGCCAAGTAAAGACGGAGACCAGGGAAAGAGGCCGGAGAAGCGAAAGAAAGAAAGTCAGAAGGGGTAAAAGAGAGGCAAAGATTGCCGGTTTGCGCCAAATACACTATCGAAGAGACTCAGCAGACGTAGTTAACAAATTAAAATGACATGACACCGGGAAAGAAGAAGACAGACAAGAATCAAGAATCAAACAGGTGAATAAACTCCCTCCCAGCCCGGTTCCAGTCCCAGGTAACTAAAGAATTGCCTATCATTTCACTGACTCATTCCCCATTGCCTTTCATCCAACAAATAGAAAACAAGAAGCTAAAAAGAAGAGAAAAACATGAAGTTGGGGAAGAGAGTGAGGTAAGTAGGTCGTGGTTATGTGAGTGCGAGAGGATTAGGAATATAGAGGACCAAAAGCAGGACTGATGGAGCAGAAGTAGATTAGGGAGAGGCAGGGTAGTAGTACTCCATGGAGGAATGTGCATTTGTACTTCGACAGAATCAACTTGTCATTGTATTTTAGCTGACGCTGACAGCGGGCCATGCAACTGTAGTTTTTTACAGATCATCTTCAAGATACTTGTAGACAAATTTGAAATCACCTTTTCGTCGATTCATCCTATTATCAGTCACGATATTATTAGTATATGCTGTCTGACGTCTGCCGTGGGACTGGTAACTGGGAGCCAGGTGCCGAAACTGGGTACACAACAACAAAGACAAAGAATGGGGAACGCGTATGACCTACCAGGTGCTTTCATAGTCGAAGAACCGATAAGTGCCCTGTTCATATTCCTCGGTGATGTTCTTTGGTTCCTCGTGGCGCTGGAACCAAGTCTGGTACAGCTTGTGGAAGCGCCAACTTTGGTTCTTAAGGGCCTTGGCGGCCAGGTACTGCTGATACGTGGACTGACGGTAGTAGAAGAGATAGAACAGCGTGTCTGTATCTATTCTACCAGTCTCGTATAGTCGTGGATCGTCGAAGATGGGTAATGTCTCCTGAGGGTAATAAAGTGGCGTTGTGTATGGTGTCTGAGGCTTGTAATGACGGGGTTTCTCCGCATCTCCTGGCTCTGGGCATGTACTATGTGAGGCTACCAATAATCGTTGTACAGACGTTGACTGGGGAGCCGTCGGCCTCGACTTCGTCACCTCGAAGGAGTGAATGAGATCTTGGAGGCCGGGGGGAAGGTGATATACTGATTCTTCAGGGGCTGGCTCTTCTCTACTCTTCCCCTTTCCTTGGCCATTCGTCACTGTACGGTCCTTATTAGAGCCCGATGCGGTTCCAGAGGGGGTTGTTGCGGACGTTTCTATTTTCGACATTGCGGGTGTCGGAGGCATCGTTCCCGGCCTGCTGGCTGCAGTCACGCTCGGACTTAATGTAGGTGACTTTGATTGACTCCCTGACTCGTCCGCGCTGCCGGCAGAGGACATGAGCCGTTGTACCTGCACCGGCTGTGCAGGCTGGACCATAGGTGATGCTGTTGATGACGTCTTGGAGGCAAGCTGTGCTGCTGATACGGCGGGGCTTGCGCCAGGCGGTGGTGGGAGAGGTGCGATTCCAACACCTGCCTTGTCACTGGCGGCGGCGGCGGCAGCGGCAGAGGCATATTTGAGAGTCTCTCCGGGTAATCGTGCCGGAGGGGGTGCAGGCTTCATCGAACTTGTTGACGATGACGAAGGGCCATTGAGGTGAAGCGTGGCAAGGACGGGTAGAGGGGATTTCATCTGCGTCGATGGCCGTCGTGCAGGAACTGAATCCGACTTGCTCTTGCTGGGCTGCCGGGATTCTACGTCGTCTTCCTGTATTGATTGCGTGTCTTGTGATGATACTCGGTCGTTGTCGTTGTTCATGCCGAATTGGACTTCTTCGTCACCTAGCGGCAGGTCATCGTAGATAGTCTCGTCCTCTCCACAAAAGTCGGGGTTGTGACCGTCCTCAGCATAGTACTTGATCGCTTCTTGAGCATCGAGCACTTGTTGTGTTTCAACATTGCCGTTCTGTAAGGATCGTAAGAGTAATTCCAGCTTCCCAACATGCCATTTATGCCGTTCCGATAACCGTTCAATATCCGCTAATCGGTTCGATTTGGCGAGGTCCTTCTTGCCCTTTTTCATTGACGCTTGTATGGACTCCTCCTCCGCTTCCATGGCTTCTATCTTTTGCTGTAGAATGTCAACCGTTAAGGAGAGGAAATCACACGTGTCAGCTTTCTCTTTTTCCTTGGGATCCAGGCGCGCGGCAGCCGAAAGCCCCTCTTTCGAGTAGGCCTTGGTCTTCATCTCCTTCTCTACGGCCTTGAATTGTTCCATACACTAGATTCTGAGTATCAGTACCATCACCCTAACGCTGACAAGGGCAAGAAAGGGGAATGTGTAATGCGCACTGTTTCTATGGCTCGCCGTTGTTCCAGCAGTGGGCTTTTGTCCTTGACCTCATTCCCGGCAGCCCAGGTTTTGATCTGGTCTCTAAATCGTTGCAGTTTCTTGATCTCTCGTTTAAGATTGTCCTCGAGCTTGTCTCGTTGGGCGGCATTGCTGGAGCTCCGGATCTTGTCGTATATGCCCTCGAAGGACTGTATGCCCTCAGAAACCTTCTTGAAGGTTTTGTCAATCTCTTGCTGCGTTTTTCGGGAAGTCATGATGATGTCTTCATAACCTGGCTCTAAGGCGCACTCTATTTGAAGCTCAAGGTAGTTCTGCGTGTGCGTGTGTGCAGACAGCAAACGAGTGGTACAGGGTGTGGATGAGGCCGTCAGAGATCAACTCGTTGCGAGGGAAACGGCCACGAAATCGAGCAGCTTCGGTGTAATGCTGGGACAATGCTCTCCGGTTCGCGTAGACCGGTATGGTGCGGCTGTGTGTGAATTCAGCTGAGCGAGATGGTGGGTGCAAGGTGTGAGATGCAAGAAGCTCTTCCGTTACTTTCGAACTGCTTCATCTTCATCTTCATCTTCCATCAAGAAGCTGCGCCAAGAGAAATAACGCCAAGAGCCTAGGGAAGCCGAAACTAACGGAAGAACTAAGTGCCGATCACGTGAAAGAGATCTTCCATCCAGGTAATTTTCAGCTTCATTTCATTTTCTCTTCTCTCGTCCACTTGTCCAACAGCATCTACAGCATCTACAACATTATGACGGCACTTGGCTGGCTTACCAGGCGATTCAGATGCCGTGACTGCCGTGTACCGTGTGCCCAACAGTTACAGTGGCTTAGACGGATACTCAGCTAACAGATCGACATAAGGACGTGAAGGAGGCAATCAAATATGCAAGCAGGTAGCCGCCGGGCAAACTACAGAAATCCCCTCTCGGATTCATAAGAAGCAATCAGTCCAATATGCAATTCCCTTCCTGATACGGTGCGCCCCATGCTAAATACGAGAAATCAATGATACAGTGCAGCCGCAGATAGTTCCATGCGGTCTTCCGTAGGGCATTGATTCCCTTGTTTATACATGACGCGTTATCCCAGTACGGCCGATAGATTGACTACAACGACTGCTCAGACTACTTTCTGAGATACTAGCCCAGGCTGTGCCACCTCGGAATTTGGAATTTGTCTGAGAATGAGTTGCCGTATCTCAGATGTATCGGAGCTTATACGAAGTTTATACAGTACAACAGAGTACCTCATACCTCTTTCGGCCTTTGGTCTCAAAATATTTTGCGTGGGGGCTCCTTCTTTTAGAACATCTAGAGACACGTATAGAGCAGCCTCTTCTGTCCTCCATTGACCGTAAAGAGCCTCGCCTATGAGACTCACATGTAACTGCCCACTGTACATCAACTCATCAACTGGCTGAGCATCTTCGCTGACTAATGGTGCAATTTCTTATATAAATCTGGTATGGTTCATACACTTACGACAAGAAAAAGACATAAGCACTTCCATAAATGTAATATGAAATAGCCGTGATACTTTCCCCCTAGGATTTCCGCTCGTGGCAAGAAAGATGAAAGGTGTGACATGCCGTTATCCCCTCACCAAAGTCCAGCCCTGGGAACACAGCCGGTGTAGCACATCTTGACTAACTACTTCCGATAACCCCCCAACCCATTTGCTCTAGCGATCTTACAAAGGGTGACATCTGCCTCGGTTACTGTTGACAAGCAACTTGTTTCGTCGATTGGCCGTGGAGTGCTGGTGTTTGCCGCTGTTGGGCCAGATGATACCCAGAATGATGCAGATACCCTAGCGGCCAAGTTGTTGAAGCTGAAGATGTGGCCCGATGAAACTGGGGCAAATGTACCAACCCTCCTTTGATGTACACCCCAAATCGGACCTATAATTATAGAAGTGCTGATATAGCCTCCGTTGCCGATCTTTAGTGGAAGAAGAATGTCCAAGACATCCAGGGGGAGGTCCTTTGCGGTACGCTGTTACATCCATTTACTCATCTTATCGAATAGTTACCAAGATCGACACCTCGTTTATCCTCTCCAAGACTAATGCATATGTTCACTTGCCGAACAGTGTCACAATTCACGCTGCTTGCTACTTTGAAAAAAGGCAATAAGCCAGACTTCCACAAGGCAGCAGATCCAAAGACGGCGCGAGATTTATATGAGTACTTTCACTCCAGGGTGCAGAACCTGTACACTGCAGATCGGGTAAAAGACGGAGTCTTCCAGGCCATGATGGAGGTAGGTTTAGTAAACGATGGACCGGTATGTATCTGTATCCCCCTTTGCCTTTGTCCCTCCATACGTCTATAATGCTGGTACTAAGGGTGTTTAGGTCACTCTTGAGATCGACACAAACCCAGCAAAGAAGGGAGACAGCGCCAGCAGCAGTGCCAGTGCTAGTTAGACATCTCATCGTCTGTCATATCTTAGAACTGTTTGCTGTATATAGGTAATAGACCAGATATCCGGGTCGTTTTCCCAAAGCGGAACCAGGGCTTAGGGCTTGAGACGGCCGTTCTTAGCGCGGGGGTGTTTGCACTGTTTGACTCCCGCGCGGGTCGGCGAAAGCGTAGAAGGTTCCTGAACTTCCTTTGCTTCTTCTTCTTCTCCTTCTTGCTTCCACTTTCGCTTTCTTCTTCGCCTCTTCACTTGCTCACTTCCGGCTTCATTTAAAATTTGATATCAGAACCTTGCCCTGTACTAGAAGATAGTTATAAAAATAGACAGACCTATTCGTTGCAATTGTGCTTAGCTGAGCAACCATGGCTGAAACTTCAGGTACGCTACATAGAGGATAGTCCATTACCACCCAGAGCATATTGCTAACGGATACTGGCCCCTAGGAGTTCGCCCGCGTGTGTATTTCGATATTGAGATTGGTGGAATACCAGAAGGAAGGGTTGTCTTTGAGCTGGTAAGCTTCACAAACCCTTGCCGAGCTTGGTTTTCGACGTCGAGGGGACTTCATAACTAACTGGTGGCCTCTAGTTCAACGATGGTTAGCATCCAGCTGTCTATTCAGAGAAACAGTGCAAAAAAAACTGACAAGAGACAGTTGTCCCCAAGACCGCAGAGAACTTCCGTGCCCTCTGCACCGGTGAAAAGGGAGAGGGCAAGTCCGGAAAGCCATTGAGTTACAAGGGTGCGTATACCAACGTTATTGCTTCGGCACCCCGGGCTGTAGTGAAGCTATCTCTAAGCTTGCTCGTATTCTAGGATCTATCTTCCACCGAATTATCAAGCAGTTTATGATCCAGGGTGGTGACTTCACTGAGTTTAACGGCACCGGCGGAGAGTCGATCTATGGCGAGAAATTCGACGACGAGAACTTCGAACTCAAGCACAACCGTCCATTCCTACTCTCAATGGCTAATTCTGGACCCGGAACCAATGGAAGTCAGTTCTTTGTTACCACTGTTCCAACCCCTCACCTTGACGGAAAGCACGTCGTCTTCGGAGAGGTAATCAACGGCAAGGGTCTTGTCCGCAGAGTGGAACAACTCCCCACTAGCCCAGATGACAAGCCGCATTCGGAAGTCAAAGTTGTTGCATGTGGCGAAATCACGGGCGAAGAATATGAAACCGCTACGAAGCGTGCCGTCGACCCAACTGGGGACAAATACGAAGATTATCCGGAAGATAACAACCAAGAGTTCACGGGCCCTGAGTATTTCAAGATTGCCACTGAACTCAAGGAGTTTGGCAACACTGCCTTCAAGTCCGGCAATGTGCAGTTAGGCCTGGAGAAATATCAAAAGGGCCTGCGCTACCTCAATGAGTACACCGAACCTGCTGAAAACGACCCACCAGAGCTTGCCTCACAGATGGTGGCTCTCCGATTTGCTCTCCACTCCAACTCCGCCCTCCTTGCAAACAAACTGAAACGCTTCAATGACGGCCGAGCTTGGGCAGGATACGCTCTTGACCAGGCGGATTTTGCCAAAGCCAAGGATGCAGACCGGGCAAAGGCTCACTACCGACGAGCCATTGCCCTCGCTGGGTTGAAGGAGGAGGACGATGCTCTCAAGGAACTAGAAACTGCTGCCAAATTTGCGCCCAACGATGCTGGAATCGTTGCTGAGATCTCTCGTGTGAAGAAGAGCATTACCGAGCAGGATCGCAAGGCTAAAGCCGCTGCGAAGAAGTTCTTCTCCTGATCTCAAGCAAGTACGTGATATTCGACTTAACTTATCGTATACAAAATACGAAATGCAAACCAAGTGATGTACGCCAATTAACGACATTTTTAACCCCTCTTTATGTTAGAAAAAGAACAAAGCGTGTAATTTAATTACGTTCTTGCTTTTTCACCACTCCCTGGACCCCCTTTTTTTTTTGCCAGTTGGTTTGCTCATGAAGATGGGAGAGCTGGAGCCGGAGCCTGTGGCGTTTGCCTTTTTTTCGTCCACTACATTTCAAAATGTCTCTACACCAGCATGTCGATGCTGAATCATATCACAACTGGGAGACCACGCAGTTTTATCCTTGACAATAATGCTCAATGGCATGGCCCCTGAGTGATATAGCATCATACATACTATGCTCTAACAGCAGGGGCAAGATAAAGAACAATAGAACACGAGATTTTTGAAAGTGATAAGAAATAACTCGATAATCAGTTGGTAATTGATTACGATTGCGGCTTGGATATTAATTAGCTAACCCTTGCGATCACTAGTGAAAGCACAGCTCCCTAGATCCCTCTTCTCTGGAACAACCTCAGGCCGAATATCAAAGTCGAAAATATCCATGGGCACTCCCATGGTCGTACATGCATTTGGAATATCCACCAGCCCAGCAATATGCCCCTGAACTGGTGCACAGCTCAGCAACAAATACACCTGTTCATCCGAATACCCGAATCTACGCAAGTACTCAATCACCCTTCTGCACGTCTCCCTATACGCAACAGTAGCATCCAGATGGTGCTGTTTTCCATTATGATCGACACTGAATCCTTCGAAGGTCAGATACCTGCCTGGTCCGAACTGAGGTTCGACTGGACCTGGTATGAACATGGGTGATTTCATAGCCATTTGTGCCATGCCGTTCTTGATCACGCTGAGTTTCACCGTGATGATACCAGCCATTTCGATTGCGCCACAGAAGGAGATTTCGCCATCGCCTTGGGAGAAATGCAAGTCTCCTACAGAGAACTTGGCTCCCTTGACATGCACAGGGAGGTAGACTTTGCTTCCTCGACTGAGGTTTTTGATATCACAATTTCCGCCATTTTCAGGCCGGCCCTATATATAATCCTTTAGTTATTACTGGGTTAGATGCAGACGACGGGAGTGAGAGGAGCTATACAGGAACAGTTCGAGCTCCCTCTTTTTGTATCTTGGCTTTCAATTCACCTGAAGCTCCTCCGGCGTGTGCATTCTTGATCTCGGGCGGCTTGGCCACTTCTGCTCCTACGTGCTCTGCCATCAGCTGCCCCTCTCTTCTGTTCCATTCGGCCAGGATCTCGGTAGATGGTGCACATCCGAGGATTCCGGGGTGGATTAATCCTGCAAAACGAACTCCGGGGATATGTCTCGAGGAACAGAATATCCCCTCGAAGTCCCAGATTGCTTTTGCCCTAGTTATCCATGTTATTAGAAGAGGTAGTTACCAATGGTCGCAAGAAACGAAAAGTTTGACTTACGCCTGCGGATAGAATTCGGACAGAAATCCTCCTCCATTATTAGCTGCGAAGATTCCAGTAAATCCCCACGGCTCATCCTGGAACGGCTGGACGTCCTGGATCTCGACAACGAGCACATCTCCAGGCTCTGCTGTTTCTACATCAAACGGCCCACTTAGGTAATGGACATGCGTCAAGTCAACGTCACGGACATCATCCGCGCAGTCGTTGTTCTTGATTTGGCCGCCGGTCCAGTCAAGACATTCGATCTTAACTGTTTCTCCGTTCTTAATGCTACCACAGGCGGGGACTGAATGTAAGTATCACGTCAGCCTATGGACCAACACTAGTGATAATTGTGGAAAGAGAGCCACTTACTGTCAGGATGCCATCTGTTCTATCATTTTTATATCTGCGTCAGCTTTTTAGTTAGCTACATCTGCTTGTATGTCTACTTACATGTACTCCTGGCTGTTCTGCCGCGGGCAACTTGCGATCAACTCGCATCGCCGTACGGATCTCGTTGACGACCATGATAACAAGTGTCTAACACAAAATCGACAGTATTTCCAGTGATTTCCCACTTGGATCTAATTCTTTTCGAGTCTTACTCGCTCATGAGGAGAAATATATATGTTTATGCATGGACAAGCTTCCCCGCAAAGGAATAAGTAGCTAGTTATGCAGCTAGTTAGGCATCGACAGGGATCTTGATGCGCCGCTGAGGTGGTGGTACGGCGGACTAAATGAGCCATGAGGTCAAAGTTCGGTTTATTAACTACTGTCATGCTTTAAGAATAAAAAAACGGCAAGATATATAGTAAATATCGACGCGCTTGACACCAAAACATAGGGGATATCTTCTCCACCAACCTCTGCGTGAGTACCAAATTTGTCTGGTATCTCTCCATATGACAGTCTCATGAATTGGATTCAAGATCGGGACTGGAGTAATTTAGCACTCATACATATTCCCTACCCCAACGAAGAAGGATGAACATATCTGCACCATCTCCAAGCAGCGGGAGTAACACCTTTGCCAAAGACTCTTTCCGACCATTGTGGGCTACCTTGCGGCTATCCTTCAAGGTGAATTCGGGACCCAAGCATGCATCTAGATCCTCTGCTCCTTTTCTACCCGAGCCGCTACATTGAGAGGTGTTCGAGTTACGAGGTGATATCATTCGACCCTGGACACCCTTCTGTGAATTCCGTCCGAAGTCGCTCAGGGGTAACTAAGTCCCGGCCAAGCCGAGAAGGACGAGCGTTGCGAGGATTCGTGATGGGCAGAATCGGCACTTCAAGCACAAAGGGCAGTCATAGTTTCCAAAACAAGGCATGGTAGGAATGTATCTGATACTGCTTGCCTCAAATGATGGTGGCGGCTGAGTAGAATTTGAAAAAGCAAGCCCCGGCCAACCTCACTGTAATATGTAAGGGTCCGCGCGTAGAGCTACAGTTTGATCGCAATCTGCAGCCGAGCTTTCCTTTCAATCTGTGGAATATTTATACCACTCGATAGTAAACCCAAGTTGCCCTGGCTCACCTAATGAAAGCATATGAAGAAGCCCGCGCTTCTCCAGATTCTGACAGAATGTCCTTTTGGAAGAGATATCCTCTAAGTCGTTTTGGCCGATTCCACGTCTACAGCCATCCAGTTCTCCACCATTACTCCGTAGTTACTTCAGGTTTGTTTGGCTAGAGCGACAGAGCACGAAATCCCACAAAGATCTGAAACGTTTCCATAACCCACGAATAATGCGGCCTATAACTGCACGCCATTGCAGCGGAGATGTTTTTTCGGTTTCGGTCTTTCTGCGGTTGTTTCTTCCGAGCGTCTCTGTGTATGCGGCCAATTCCGCAATCGTGGTATAATTGTTGTGCCAACATTTGCTGATGATCTCGTCAATTAACGGATCACCATCTAACTTCGGAAATTCCATGTTCTGCAGTAATTCCACAACTTTACGTCCATGCTCTTTTAGGATCTTTGGTAATACATCGATCACCATAAACCTCAGAACCGTAGTTTGTGAGGTAGTATAAAAAACCCAGGGCGAATTGTTTGGTTCGAGGACCAAGGAAACCGGAACTTCCACCTCGACCTTGGTTCTGTTCATCGCTGTTAAGTATTCTTCCATATGGTCCCATGCAAGCTTCAAAATCCGTTCCGATTTTTCCGTACAACCAAAATCTGAAAGTTTTAATCAGTTGCGATTAAGCAAAATATTTTCGGGTCGCAGATCACCATGGGCGAGATTAAGCGATTCTAGAAACGCAACGGCTTGAGCGAGGTCGTTCATCCATTCCTTTCGTAGGGGTAGAGATTCCAGTTTCTCCACTTTAGTAACCACAGAAGATTGCAGGTCCCGAGTATGTTTATTTTGTATCCTAGAAAAGAGGGTGACATCTAATGGGGCGATTGGTAGAGACAACTGTTGAGTACCCATAAGGATCGCACCTCTCGTGCACTGAAGGAAAATGCCATTATCCGCGTAGAAGAAACACTGCATTATGGAAGGGTATATTGGATGCTGAGAAAGGATCTCATAGATCTTAAGTTCTTTCTGAAATTGCTCTCTCTCAAAGTCGCCGGATTTCGGGACCTTCACCACGATGTGAGGATGAACCTCATAAGGGATGCTCAGGGGTTGGATTGGTTAGTTAGTGATCGGGTTAGTGAAATCAACTTACTTATTAGTTATCGAAGATCTGCACAGTGGAACATAAAAGGGGCGTGACCAACGGGATCAACAATTGGCGTGGATTGCTACAGGGCCCTATCTTGAGGCTTTGGATTTATGCTGAATCCTGTTCAATTCTCGGATGTCACGTTGCCAACGTCATGCATAAACAGCGAGGGTCATTCTTTGACAAGAACTGACAAAAGAGCTATAGTATAGTTATTGGTAGGCGGCTCCTAGTGGCGTGTAAGTGAATATAATAATGTGGTCTAGTCACGAAGCGCCGGAGCGGCGCATAGACCCTATACGTGCGTAAATGCCTGCGGTGTCTCCAACCATGCATCATGTAACATGTTAGTGCCATGGAATGAATCAGAGCTACCTAGGTACTCTCGCATCTTCCCTGCAGGGTAGGAGGTATGGTCAGGCTAACGCGTCGATAAAACAGCTCCGTATCCCAAACCGGCGAAGCTAGCTGTTGCTTCGTTGCCTGGTCTGCCTATTAGATGCTGCTTGTTATCCTTGTATAATAAGTCATCAGCCCAACGGTCATCAACTCCACCAACTTCATATTGATATCCATCTCCTTTCAACTAAATGCTGATTACCGATGCAAAGTATTACTCGAGAGATCCAGTCAGTCTTCAAAATGTGAAGAGCGCCAAATTTTATATGTTACCCAGGAATGGCCTCAAGTTTCATATTAAACTATTAGCTATGAGCTTTGTTTAGAGTGCAAAGCCAACGCTTAGGCCTTGCTAGGTCTTGTTGGAGGAGGGTCATATGAATATTCAACAGGTTCATCAAACTCTTCTTCCTTCAGCTCTCGCAGGAACTTTTGTTCGAGCAGCTCAGCAATACTGACTTGAGTGTAAATCTGCGAGCCTAAGCCTGGCTGGCCAAACCAGCTGGCTACTGGACCAAGTGAACCCGTAAACTCTTTCACCACCTGATAAACATGATAGTTGTCCGGGTATTGGCCTGACGGGCCAGGTGCGAGGTTTGCCGGCGGCAGCGCTCGCGAGATATATGCTGAGCCCAAAGGCGAGAGGAAGTTGCCTGTTGGATTGCCAAATCGGTCAAATTTCCGCCCCACGGCCAGCAGTACCTCGGCCGTTATTGGCTTTCCTTGAGAATCCAGGGCAAACCCGTGGAATTCGGGGTAGTTGTACCACTTCGAAGGATCCAGGCTCCCAGCCCATTTCAATAGGAACTCATCCGGGCAGAGGCCGCCGAGTCTGGCATAGGTGGCTAGCTCATTCGACACAGGGAATCGGCTTGGTAAGGAAAGTGGTCCAAGACGTGGATCACCGCACACAGAGTCGGCATGTTTAGGATCGTACTTCACATTCTTGCATGGGTCCGGGTAACATCTTTCAGGAAAGATATGAGGCTATACATGTTGTCTGCATGTAAGATTTGGATGTTCCAGCGAGGATATAGGAGCTGTCTTGTGTCAATCGTACCTCTTGCCGGGCTGACAGCCCCTGGTTCGCTGGAAGAGCCATGGCAGGCACTATTCCCAGCAGGCTGAGAGAGGAAGAATAATATAAAATACTTGAGAGCTTCATCTTAGTAGTGAGCAATGGTTTCCGTAAGGGTTTCTGTAAATGTAGATGCTAGATAAAATGGAAGGCCGGTAACAGGGGCAGGGCCTCTGTTACTTATATAGCCGGCTTGATATGATGGCTTCGTCATATGATAGCTCCAAAAGGGGATTCTTTAATCTGGTATGGTCAGAAATTTGAGTAGCAACTTGGTTGGTTATTAGTGACTTAAAAATGAGATCTTTACTCCGTGGTCCAGTTTGGAACATTTTGCCCCGGCGGTTACTGAAGCCAGTTGGAGTGCTGATGCCTATAACTAGTTATCGGGCTACGACTGCGAAGTGCCTCTGCATTTTCCAAGGCTATGAAGCTCGGTGGCTAAGCGTCCCCGGGGTGTACATTCTGCACATGTGTAGTTTGCCTCGAATAGCTAAGACGTGGCTCATGTAAATAGACAAAGGTTAGTTTGCCGCCGCGGGCCGAGCCTTTTAAATAGGAGTTGGAGCTTGTTGATACAACAATGCTAGGGCACACGCCCTATTTAAAATTAGTGGTGGTTATGCCAAGTCTTAATGACTGGGGGCCCTGCTAGGGGATGTAATTAAGAAATAACTACGGAGTTTTACGCTAACCAGTTATTTAACTATGTCATCCGCGTATCCGCCTCGCACAACAAACACAAAACGCGCGGTTGTTTTCATGTAGCAAGTAAGCTTCCTACGCCTAGTATGACTTGCAGAAATTAAGTATTCATGGTTCCCGTTCTTTTGCCCATATAACGATACAGACTATCCTCTATTCCCATGCTAATATTTGGCAGATGTACTCCGTAGTTCCCTGATCCACCTCCCTTAACCGATACATGAGAGCCGATTGCAACTTTATCACACTTCGTGCCAACGATGAAAGATGGATTCTCCAACCCAGAATATTGAGCAGGGCTTCTTTCAGGATACCACAATCAGATGTGGCCCATGACAGCGTATGGTTTTATGCGACCGCACGACCTCTGTATAGGCCAGTGTGTATGCCTTTTGCGGCGGGAGACCTGTTTAGCTGGCTTATCCCTGTTTCAAAATTGGGAGGCTGGAGGCGATATTGAAGGATACCGGGTAGAGGCACTAAGGATTCTCGAAGCTCGTTCCAAGTATGAAAGGGGTTTGTCTGGACTATATCCCAATTGGGTAGGGCCGTTTTTCAAGGATATTAGGGTATGGAGCACAAGACAGCAAAAGCCCTCAGAATTTAGAAGCGGACGAGGGGTATATCCCCATATCTATCGCTGGCCTTGCCCGAAGACTCATAATCTTTCAAGAGGCAGATACCAGGGCAGGGCTATCACTCACTCTCTCTGATAAAATCGGAGCGAATGACACGAACTAGACCGTAAACCTTATGAGGCGGAGGGATCTCTGGTTGAATGGGATATCTAGAGCCTTATTTAGGCTACAGAGAATGTGTAAAGCAAGGCGTCGATTTTTGCCGTCCTAACCCGTGGGTATATGGCATTAGTCGGCATCATCTGTCACATGCAGACCTTGGTTGGCCTTTACGTGCTCTTCTTTTACATAAAGCACAGTGTTTGCATCTATAATCGTGTTAGCCCGATGCATATTCCATACTTCTGCGCAAGCCTACCTATTTCGCCCCTCTTGTAGCTCTCTTCTGCCCTCCGGACCTTATAGAGCTCATCCAGGATATCCAGTCTCTTACGGGGTTTTATCTGTGGCCGTACATCACGCCCAGCTTCCGCTAGCTTATCAGCGGTAATGCCATATGTATCTCCGAGCTCGCGGAAGATGTGGATAAGGAGACATATTTGTTCTGCCTGCGTCTGGCTATCGAGTCCACGGTAGATGAGGTTTTTTGGCCACCAGCCTGGCTTGGGCCCCTTTGGGGTCCCTTTCTCGTCGTCGTCATTATATGAATAGTCGATTGTTTCGTGCGACTCCATGAGCTTGATATACGCTTTTACCACGCTGAGGCAGTTGGCTTCTTGGAAGGTAATGAATGCAGATTCATAGTAGGCCTTCACCTGTTGCTCATTTCCTATCTCAAGGGGAACCATCTCCACACTCTCTGGCTCCTCCTCTAGCCGGGAGCCACGATTTGAGCTAGAAGTGAACAAACTGTTACCTATCACGGGGTAAGCAGATATCACCTATAATGAATCAGCAAGTGGAACGGTTTATACCAGCGAATAATGATAAAAAAGTAGCGTTGTTGGTTCCTGTTGTTTGCCGCGTATTGCGAAGGCCCATGTGGGGATGATGCTCCAGGAAATCCTGGCAAGAGGAGTGCAAGCTAAACAACCTCCCAGAGCCAACCATTATCAAAGAGATGAGCGAATAGGCGTGGCAAAGAAAGTGTGCTATCCGACAAAACTTGAATATACGGGGGTGAGAGAAATATGGTCAGCTACTGTATCAAATCCAACTTGTGGGTAATATCACTCTCGCTCAAGTCGGGAGCAGAGATGGAATTTGTTAACTTAGAGTGATGCACCTAGACAAAATAAAACAGTTGTGCGTTAGGAAATCTCATCAGAGCCCAAGTTGGGTGAATGTCAAGACCCCTGCTTGCCTGTGATCCCAAAAGAACTCTGGTGCATAATGGCTGGTGTAAAGGAAGCAGGCCAGAGGAAGAAAAAGTAATAACGGGGCTATACCAAACCTGACTGCATCTGGTACCATTACCCAGCATACAAGCGAGGCGGTCTTTTTGATGTGGCCTGGGGGAGCATCAACGAGGTAGATATCGTTAGAATATACGGAGTAGCGAGAGGGAAACGGTTAGTTAGCGGTTGAAAGAAACCCTGCAGCCGTGGCGGGGAAGTCTTGAAAATGGCAAAGGGGCTAGACTGTAGTTATGGCGGATATTTTGCTGCCCAGGGTCTAACTAGCTAGTTACTTAATTACAACCCGCTCTTGACAACTTGGCCAGTAACTCGCGGGAGGAATGCCTAGGAAGCTAACGTGATGTGGCTAACTGCTGCATCCTGAGGCCTCTAGTCACCATCGACCGAGCCCAGGCGCTTGGCTGCGTGTCTGACCTGGCCCAATGACCCGTGCATGCTCTAGTGTAGCTTCCCACGGAAATTGCATCTCAAAAGCGGAGAAAGTCGAGATATCCAACGAAGATATTGGGTTTGACTAGTCAACTTACTCCCTGTCTAAGAATATGCGCCAAGAAACTAGCTAACGCTAATGATGGTTAACGAACACCGAAACCGACAGAATAACGTATTATCGTCCATACCAACTCCACTCGCTGCCATAGGGGCTGTCAGAGGTTATTCTTTTCCATATTCTTATAGAGCCTAAATGCCTCCAAATGTCTGCGCGGGATAGCAGCTATCGCCCGCTTACACCGGAGGTACTCGCGTATGCTAGGGAAGATTGCCCTGGCACGTGCTCCACCTCTAGAGACCACAGCCCAAACAAAGTACTGTCCCTTCACATGTTCGACACCTTCACACAATTCAATAAAATCAACAGTGCCGGGGTCATATATGGGCTCTCGACTAGGCAGCGCGTTAGCTATATGTAAAGGCTGGGAGGACCCTAGTTGTATGCCTACTCCCTATAAGCCCCAATGCGATGGATCAAGTATCCAGTGTCAGAGGGAGTATTTCTCCCACCCGTTTCGATAGCAGTCCCAACTCCTGGCATTCGCCGTAACTCTTCAAGAGAACAGCTTCCAACCTTCTCGTCGCCATGTGGGGTCTGAACCTTGATTAGAGCGCCGTCGCGATTAATTGTATAGATCTGTACAACGTGCTCCACATGACACGCATCGATAAAATCCCCCTCAGGGCTGTAGTTAATCATTAGCCGGCGTAGGGCGTATTCGTAGAAGGGGAGTAAGACTTACCCAGGCAACGGAAGCATGGGCTCCTTCAGCCTCGTCCCCCAGCATTGTTTCAACCAAGCGAGAATCATAACTAATGTGGAGATAGTCGGGGAACTTCGAATCAAAAGGCTGCGATGTATAAGAATTGCTTCGAGTTCAACTCCAGGGGCAGGGGGAGGCAAGTTTTCTTATAGACGTCGTCCTTAGCCCAAGACATAGTTATGATAATAGTTTTAACCGACATATTGCTCTACCATCTCGCTGGCGATCTGTCGAGTAACATGATACATGGTCTGCAGAGGCCTCAGGCCGTCCTGATTCACCTTGTAACCTTAAAAAAGAAAGTTACCAAGCTAACTACCTAGTAACTAGTTAACTAACCTAACTAAGCTAACAAAGTTTCGGGGGATCCGCTCGCGGGCCGGCCCCGCATGACTAAAGCTTGAGTCAATTGATCGGCTTCGACTCGTACACAGCTGTTGACATCCAGGCTGGAACAAGTCGCTCAAGATGTGTTGGGGAAGGCCAGTTGTAAAGTCTGATGCTTGGCACCTATGCTTCACAAAAGTGGTGCTGGGATCTTAACTAGGTACCCCATCCTCTTAAGACGAGTTTCGAGCTCTTTCCGAGAGCTTTCTCCCAGCATCGTCTATTATCATAACTACTTGGGTAGCATGGGAAATGAAGCATTATGAGATATCTCAGGTAGATGCAATAGCCCATAACCTCAGTTTAGCAAACGACGTGGGCGAGCGCCGGAATGGAAAAATCGAAGAGTTCCTAAGAGATAAGGGACAGCGATGAAATATGTATACGGGAGGGAATCCGACGGGCTAGAAGAGTCTTGTCTGGGAAAGACGATATCCTATCCTTCCATCCATGGGCCGACGGAAGTGTAAAGCCTTCGATCTTCGATGTTTGCACGCGTTCCATATATCTATATATCCAAGCTCTTCGCGCTCTTCTGGACGACGCCGCGTACATACATATCCGCGAGTTTGCGGAGAAGATATCCTGTTCTATTGATAGGTATCAGGATATCTACAGTGGTAAGTGCGGATATACGTTTACTCTTAACCGTGGAGATGGCTAATTCACGGAGTTAGCTGAATTCCTTCACGGCCTTCCATATAACAGGATAGCGCCCAATATACCCGCGATGTGAAATTGGTGCGTTGGAATGTTCTCCTCTACCGAGGGCAATCGGATAGTAAGGATAATACTCCTCAGGAAGCCAAAGGAGTTTGTCATTGTCAATGTGGAATATAGGATAGCCCGGGTTGCTTTTACAGCCCTAAAATGACTTAGAGGGCAGGAAGTATTATGAAGAGAGCGATTAAACAGACCATTCTGCGAAAGAGTGGTGTGAGATTAGTATCAAGATTAGAATCAGTACATATTTTATCCCATACTTGTATTCAAACTTGGTGGTACTTTCGAAGAGCCGGTTTCCTAGCTTTTCAAAATCATCTCTTATGTTTGGGAGTAGCTCCTCGTCTGGAAGGGACTCTGTCATTGTGAAGGGGCTCTGTTTGAAGCAATCTCTCCTATGTTATTTTCACACCTCCGTTTTCTTTTTATATGCGGCGGGGTAGCAGCTAAAACTTTAATCAACGGATTGTAAATATCTGCCTATAGTTGCCTATTTAGCTGGATTATGATGTTTGCTAAGGCTCAAATCCAGCAAATTGTGATACATAAACACGGTCCTTTCGGCTTATGCCGCCTACACCAGTCCTGCCCCTCGAGTGACACTCAACAATGGTGGTCGAGGCACCCTTTCCACGGTATCCGAGACCGCCACACCGACCACAACTGGACCCTCCTATACTCTGTACAGCCACCCACTTGCTAGTGCGGTATGATCGACCCTTGAACCCATGGTTCATGGTGGTGGTCTAGTTTGGCCCATTTTGAAGATTGCGTATGGGCATTGATTGCAGTGTTGATAGCTAGGGGGCGTATCTAGGAGGGCCTCCTACTTGCTGAGCCTTACTATATTATATAAAGAATTATTCCTCTCTCATTTCCCGTCTGGCATGGTTACAAGCGATCAACTACTGTTTTTCGTTTCCTTGTGTCCAACAAATCTCTATAATGTCACGTCAGTTTGAAGTTTACTACATCCATGACCCACCTGGGTTAACTTTATCTGCCATATATAAGGTGGACAGAACCCTCTGCGCTATTGAAGGCTCCCATGTGTTCCGAGGGAAGAACTTTTGGTTTGCAGCATGTCCTTCCAGATTAGGTATCCCTAATGCTCAACGGATATGCGGTACCCTTACTTGCGACAAAGACAGCTTTCTACAAGCTGCAGCGGATGCGATAAATTCTAGCAGTCCAGGTGTCCAGATAGCTTACCACAAGATTATACGACCAAATGGGTTGGCAAAAGATTTGAAGGGCTATCTTGAACTGCATAAAACAATTACGCATGAATTCCTTCGGGCTCGGAAAGAAGAGATTATTGATCTCAAAGAAGAGATAGAGGAAGCCTGCAGATATCTAACCTATGGTCAGTGGGAAGAGGCTCTGCGGAAGGTAAAAGTCCTGCAAGATTCTTTAGCTCACATGTGGACGAGAGGCGAATGCGAATCAGACCAGAACCCTTGGGTGTTACGACAAGGGATAAACCCTCATCAGACAGAAGTTATCGCTCTGAAAGTGCAGATTGAAGTTGTATTGCAACTCCTCCAAGCCAGGGGAAGGGAGAAAACCATCTATACGTTACGAGGCAGGCGTGAAGAGCTAGCCTACGTATTAGGGCGTGTTCAGGGGGAAATCCAATTGCTTGAGGGAGAACTTGGCCAGGCTCCCCAGCAAACCCAGGATTTACTTATGGTATGCAGCCCCCTATCTCCGTCTGTAGCTTCATATATACTAACTATCCTATAGGTGTCTAGACCCCGAGTTCATCAGTTCTATCTCCTTTGTGGTATTATCCTTTTCCATCAAGTGGAAAGCCAAGCTATCGAGGAACACCGCCGGTTACTCGATGAAATGCTGTCTTGGGGGGAGAAGGATTGGGATCTAGAGCTGCGACGTCCAAACAGTAACTCTAGTAGCTACTATACCGCTCTGTCATACCACCTCCAAAGCATCCCTCAGTTTAGGGGCCTTACCCTTTATAAAAGTGAGCTAGAAACGCAGTACAAACGACTGGCTGCAGGAATTCGGAGCATGTCGGAGGGTGCAGGGCTACAGCTCGCAGATCCGAAGATGGAACAGTTCTCTGCGATGCAAAACCTCCTGATACTCGGCGCTGGGACGGGTTGGTTTACGGCTGCGCCAGTGGCCACAGGGTATCTTCGGTCCCAAATAAATATCAACGAGGTCATTGGCATGGCTTATCAATCACCTTTATATGAAAGTGTCGGGTTCGAAGACATCGAGTCCAGAGTCGACTGCCATCTAGATAGCCTTCTCATGTTCCTAGAACCACGCAAGGAGAGGGAATTGCTCGAAGAATGGGAACTTCTTGAGTTACCGGATGTGTTGGAGGAGACCAATCAGGTCAGCCTACAGGGGCAGAAGAGGCCAAGCCCCCAGCCAGATGGCGAGAGCAACCAAAAGCGCCCGAAGAAGCGACCTTAGGGGGCCTACCGCAAGACTTTGGTGGGCAATGTGGAAATGTGTGCTAATTTTTCTTCTGATAAGGTTTGAATATTGATTGAAGTTTTAGCTTAACTAACTATTCATAACAAACTTTCCGGCTTATTGCGGTGTATGTCAGTGACTGACATTGACTTCACTTCTATGTAAGCATCTCGCACAAACCCTGCAATGGGAGCCAGAGAGACCATAGGATGAGGCCGTTTAGTCCTGGGTATCGTCCTTCGTCCTGCAATATCCTGGCCCATTGCAGAATACTTAGAGCTTCTGTCATTCCGTAGTCTAGAAGAGACGGCATTCAGCCATCCGCTACCATCCATTCATAGGTTGCACCTATAGTATCAATGACCCCAATAGCTGTCCAGTAGTTAATTCAAGGACGGAGTGTAAGATATTAGAGGAGAGTAGCGCAGCTATAACTCGGCCTCATGCGAGAGCTGTCGACTTCAGGAGCTTATATATTGGGCGTGTTTACTCCGTATCTGTAGCTATCCTCATTTGTTCGCGGCTGCCATGTGTCACACAGGTATTTAACAGGCGCACCTGGGAAAGGCACCGCCACCGGAACGTAACTAAACCGTGGCTGATGTATATATATACCTAGTGGTTATACGGATTAGCTGCGCTCTCAAACTGCCACATGCATAGTACTGCTGATTGTGCTATTTTAGGCAGGTTGATGACAACGGCCCCAGTCCCTGGTTCGGGCTCAGCTCGTATTTTATGTTAACATCACAGCCCCATGGAAGCCTTGCAACTTCGCGCCCCTTGTTGTTAACTTTATAAAACGATAAACCCAACCTCTAGCCACCTTATAATGCAAAAAACGTTCCCGAACCTGTATAGGCCATGACGGAGTCACAATCTACTCGATATATCCCACAATACCCTACAGGAGACAGCGATGAGGAGAACACACGCTTTTTAGTTCCAGCCACAGGCGCGGAAGCTGAAGCCGAAAAGCACGACGGTTGCCAGGAAAAGCCTAAGGGATGGCCGAAAGGATGGAGATTCACCTTGTCTTTGGCTGCGTTTGTGGGAGTTCTTGTGTTTGGGTTCAATCTCGGCTTCGTTCTATGGGCTATCACACATCATAATCTCAGCAATGGGCGTGGAGTTCTCTATGACGGTGATTGTGACCATATGCATGATTTGAGCGTTGGATTTCACTTGGTGATTAATATATTCAGTACCATTTTATTGGGTGCAAGTAACTTTACAATGGTATGTATAATGGAGGCGCTAGTTACCCCTGGTAGTAGTAATACGCTAACCGTGCTGTCATTTAGCAATGTCTGAGTGCGCCGACCCGACATCAACAGATCTCATAAAAAGCTAGATTGGCTTGACATCGGTGTGCCGAGTGTGAGGAATTTTCGCCGAATATCACGGAAAAGAGCAATACTGTGGATAATTTTGGTGCTATCATCCCTTCCCCTACATTTAATGTAAGTAATTCGTCCAACGCTGCCTCCCCCTCCCTCCCGTTTCCCCTTTTTTTCTGAGGATTAGACACTTAGTGTATGGACTTAAAGTTATAACTCGACCATTTTTGCCACTCTATCGTCAAATGCCTATTATGTCTTTCTCGGAGATGAGCCCCTTGGACGGAATAGCCCGGAGGACATGACGCTGGTTCTACCTACTAGGTTTCCTTATGAACCCGGAGATTCTCTTTACAGTCCTCCTCCCGAGGGTACTGTCTACGATTATGAGCCCCAGCGGCCTGCTATCAATTCCACATTTACTCGACTTTATAGTATGGGGCGTAATAAGACGCTTAAATATTTGGATAACTCTGCGTGCCTTGATGCATATGCTACAACATATCAAACAGCCTACCTTAACCTACTATTGGTGACAGATAAGCCCAAGAACGAAAGCGAATACCTTGTTGTCGACTATCAACGCGTGTTTAGCCCCTCTCTTTACAGAAATGCCATAAAACCCGAGCCTGATCCCTACCGATGGCTGTGTCCTGAGGAAGATGAAATTAGCCGTTCGGAGAGAGACCAGAAAGATTCACATGACTGCAGATTCCATCTCCCAGATATCCGGGCTCAGGTTGCAGCGTCCAACTGGACAGTAGGGTCCCATCAAGTGAGGTTCTGCCTTGCTGAGCCGGCACCAGCTCACTGCAAGCTTCAGTATAGCCTTCCGTTAACTGTGATTGTTATTATCTTTATCGCTATTAAGGTGACTGCTATATGCTACGTTGCCCTCACGACAATATCCGCTATTTTGACTACTGGGGATGCCGTTGCATCTTTTATTAGAACGCCGGATGAGACGACACGCGGGAAATGTTTGCTATCCATGAAGGACATTACGAAAGCCCCGGATGCATCTAAACCTAGCTGGTTTTATCAAATTTATACGGGATATAACGAGAAACCCGAACGGTGGCACTCTGCTGTGGCAAATAGACGATGGACCTTAGGTATAATATCGTATGTCTCCTTTCCCACTCTCAAATCATTTACTATAACGATTGTGCCAACCGAAACAGATACCTCGCTTCCATCATTGTTTGCATTTCACTTTTAGGATACGGATTTAGTACAATTTCAGACAGCAGTGGTATTTGGTTGGTCGGATTGCAAGCAACTGATCCGCGCACCTTGATAGTGGGTGACTGGCCTACATCCCTGGTGTCCAACACCCTAATGGCAAATTTGCCACAACTTATATACTCCATCATATATTTCGCATTCAACAGTATTGTTACAACAATGACTATGGCTGCAGAATGGAGCCAATATGCCGTGCAGCGAAAAGGCCTTCGAGTACGGATGCGCCTAGAATATCGCAACGGAGCACCTACTTCCTCTCATTGCCTTACCGCTACGCAATCCCGCTTATGGGTACATCGGGTATACTGCATTGGCTCATCTCGCAAAGCCTCTACCTAGTTGGAATCGAAGCGTACAATGAAGTCCTCCAGCGTACTCCTTCAGCTGATCTCTTTACGTGTGGCTACTCCCCAACTGCTATTGTTTGTAGCATTACCGTGGAGACTACAATGATTATCTGCTTGATTGCATTAGGATTTAAGCGCTTTAAATCTGGTATGCCAGTCGCAGGGAGTTGCAGTCTGCTATTGCAGCTGCGTGTTGCCTTGACTCTGAGCTATCTGGTGTTGGGAAATCAGATGAGCCACGCAAGAATATGGAATATTTACCACTGCAATGGGGGGCGGTAGCTTCAAATGGTGATCTTGTTGGGCATTGCACTCTTTCAAGCGATGAAGTGAGCATGCCAATAGACGGACAGATATACTGTTGGTTACTTCAGGCGCTCCCCCACATCTGCACGGGAAATATATCAACCCTTAGAACGGGACATAAAAAAAAGAAATGGCGCATCGATGGCTCAGCCACTAGCTTTCAAGGTCTCATTCAAGCACCAAGGCTACCATTAACTACTCTTTTTCCGCCCACTTTCCCTACACAGCTACCCTAAAACGTTATAACCCACTAAACGTAACACCCTTCTGTCAGATAACAGCCAAGTAACGTTGGAAAGTGTTAGGAATATAGAGAGGGAGTCTTCAGAGCAACAGAAGCAAGGAAGGGCCGATATTCTTCTATCGGAGCTGCACAACGAACCATTTTCTACTTGGGTCATATCGCCATCATCCTCTTCCTGCAGGGCCTTGTACTAGACTTCCGTATGGGCGGTAAAATCCATTGGTAATTTGGGTGGGATGGAGTTAGGCCCTCACCCACCTATCCCACCCAAATTACCAATGGATTTTACCGCCCATACGGAAGTCTACTTATAATTAGATCTAGATAGAATACTATTAATATAAGAAAGTAGATATTTATAAGGTAGATTGTATTGATAAGTAAAGGTAATAACTATAATATATATTCTAGCCTTTTTTTCTTATAATATTATAGAGAAAGTATTTAAATATCCTTTTTAACCAGTTTATATACTAGAAGTATAATATATTTAGTAGAGATATTACTCCGTACGTATTTAAAGAAAGAGGTATATTTAAATTAAATATTCTAGTTAAACTATTATTCTATTTGAACTGGGAGTTCACCCACAAAAAATAAGTGCGTGACTCAACCAGGGTATGTAAGCCTTGGTGTGATCGCGAGTAGTTAGTTAGTTAACCGCCACAAGGGATGGCTCTGCGGCATTGAGACATTCACCAAGGCTATAACGCGAGAATGGCTCCAACATGCTAATATATTCAAGGTCAAACGATCGTAAGGGGTGCAGAGCAGGTAGATCCCAAAGGAGAAAAACGGTATGGCAGCCGCAATACCTGCTGATCCCGTAGGCTCGTTTTGAAGTCATCGTTGGTTTTTGGTCCGTCTTTGCTTTCCGTTGCTTCACTGGGCCCTAGTTAACGAAAACACGTGGCCTGTCTTTTAGGTTCCAAGGTTATTTTTTGCTTCTCGACTTCGACTTCGACCCGAACCGCGACAAGATAAGCAGATATCTTGCTAAAGGTGACACGTTCATCTATTGCATATCTTTGAGCATGCTGGCCACATTTGGCAAACCCATAATGGGGCGCTGAGCCGTCAACCATTAATGCCAACAATAAGGGTAGTCTTAGTAGAGGCCTATTTTCGCACGATACGCCCCTGGTTAACCAACAATATGACTACAATAATTACGGCAGCGAATGTGGCCAATTAGCCCTTTTTATTATTCTTCCAGTCGTCACAGACTCACTAGCCCACATCATCGAATGCTATCTTGCCAGGGTCCGACCATTCATTTCCTATACCTGGTCACAGATGGATGGTCCATCTCCATCCGAGGCAGAGGTCAAAGAGCCTACTAACTAACTACTGAATATTCCATCCAACAAACTTCCTCTATCGACATCTGGAGTGTCTATTAATGGCAAAATTAAACCCACAGCCCCTTAATATGGAGCTCACCATCGTATAATGGATATCTAACAGTGCACATATTAATGTCAAGGGAGGCAGTGTGTTATGAACAGCTATTTTGGGGGCCAGGGCCCTCGCCAATAGGAGTTTAAGCCAAGAATTTGTGCTGTTGGATGTGCCAGATACCCCTGCGCTGTACCATGCAGATTACATGTGGGCAACAATTAAGTAAGGATGGCCGTTTGTGCTTGCCTGCCTTCGCACCCGCAGATCAGCAGGACAGACCCATCACAATTGCTCTATTTGCCCTCTGCCCCCAGCCCGAGCTGCCAGAGCTGATATAATACAGGCTTTTCCCACTTCGAAAAATGGCAGGCAGCGCTGCTCAGTGGGGCTGGGGTGGCTAGGAGAAAGCGGTTGGCGCCTAGCTACCCGGAGTACGCACGGGGCCAACAGTTAACTTAGGTGTTTGAGGGCTTATATGGATGCAGCTGCCACTAGGGTTCCCCGACATCGACCGGGCACTGCCAGCTTTTGCGGGCCCCTATTCTATTATTTAGAGCAGTTCATGCTCTTGGAACTGCTCAATTGTTCAGATTGCTCTTTTACAAGTAGAGGTTTAATTCCTCTAGTCATTTTTCCCTCATTACACAAGAAACAAGGAAACAACTACAACTTTTGACTGAAAAGGAGTGTGAGGGACACTCATCTAGCAGGCAGTGTTAAACTGAATCCACACTTACCACTAGCATAAGATGGCCCTTCGACCTCGCTCTGAAAGCTCAACCTGTGACCCACACGCCTTCGAGGAGCTAAGTTTGATTTTGCTGTTAACATTCGTTGTTCTGTTTCTCATCACCAGCCTGGTTCTGGTGTATAACTTCCCTATCCGCAGAAAACGGGCCCATCGAAATGGCCATGCAAAAGAGGGAGCACTTTGGACAGTACTGGGATTGTCCCTTGGAGCCCAATCAATGTACTTGAGCCGATTCATAACGATCATTGTTGATAATATCACTAACTTTAATCTATATAGAGCGTATATATTGGACCTTGCAAGTTTGGTTACTTCGCAGTGCTCACCTACGTCTGAAATGACCCCCTTTACGCTCGATATAGTCACCGGCTGTCTTGGCTTTATCTCCGGATTTCTCCTACTCGCCGCGACACTGCTTCCAATCACTCGTCTGATGCACGAGTGTGCGGGGGGGGTACTGTCACGAGTTACTTCTATCGGCCATAAAACGCTTGTCATACTGATGGGGGCTGACGTGATTGTCTGCATTGCACTGTTGATCTGGCTCATTACCGACTTTAACGTTGACTTCACTGCATTCGCTCGGTTTGCTGTCGGCCTCTATGGGGGCCTAGCAGGGATCTTCGTCATTGTATATCATATACTGGGAGTTCTCGGATCATTTACGGCCTTTGTGAACCATATCATAGCCATTAAGAGGGCGCCTCAGCTTCGCAGGAGCGGTGTAAGTGATAATACCTGACTACTTTCTACGCTCCTCCCTTGACCCCTTTTTTTTTCGGATCTATTAACTCCATTTCTAGAAATTACGGACACTTGCACACCTCCTCACGATAGCCCAATTTGCAAAGTACGCCACTAGTATCATCGTGATATGGGTTGATAGTGGTATTGAGAGCTATGTTCTGAACCACATATTCCTGCTGACAGCCATAGCCTCTGCCCTGTACTATGTGCCCAACGCAGCATTGGCAGTTGCCAATAACACCGAACCACCTCGATATGATCAGGGAATTCCAACCCCTGTTTACAAGACACAGTACGCTCCAGTGAACACGTTCCCTCAAGACGAGACGTATTATTCCCAGGGAAACGAGAACATGACCGAAGCCTACGATGTCCCGCCAGTACCACCTGTCGGAAGACCACAAGAACTAGCAGGTGGATATACCAAAGTACCACAGCTATCGGGCCCTCCGCTGCAGCCGTTATCGTCACCATCATCACCAGCTAGGCGGCACGACCACCCTGTGGAACTACCAAATCAGACTCCCCAGCCTTCATGAGCATCAGTCCAGCAAGGCCCAAGTTAAATTGTTTTTTTACGCCTTTCTAATGTACATCAACATGTTTGCATAATACGAGCCAATTAATACACAATTACCAACTGGAGTTAACCAGGGGTCTATCGACTTTTTGTCTTCAGGGACTAAGCATTTGATGAGATGAGAGAAAGAATAGTGAAATATACCTTTCCAATTCATTCTTTTCCCGCAGCAACCTTGAACTTACGGGTTCACACCTACTACCAACGGACTACCCCAGATCTGAGCTCACTCTCCCTTGATGTGGATAACCCTTGTCACGCCCCGATCAGAACTGTCTACTGCTTCCAGTAACTACTCTCTTGCATCCCCTTGCTTACCTGATATGCGAACCTGGCCGGGCGGAGATATCTCTACAATCAAACCTACAAAGGAAAATCACCGCTGCTATCCCAGCCGCAACTAGCACGGAATTGTCCAATCAGAGAAGTCTTTTATGACTATTTGAACTATACTACTCACCACTACTCTGGGCTGTGGTCGGGGCAGACTTTTCAGGCAAAGAGGATGAGTGTCCTCAGTACGGAGTATACTTACGTATATGTGGTCGGCGCTCTCACTGAAATGCTGGGATAAACATAATAAACTAATAGATTAAAATCATGTGGCCTTTTTTCATACTTTTTGTTAACTTCCTCCCACAGAGCATATGGTGCTCCTAATTAAGGAAGAATAAATCTATATTTCATGCTACAGAGCTTGGAATCATCTATACTAAATAATCTATACCTGCGAATCAGGAGTGCTGACTAATTGATGCAGTTTATTTAAGCTTTTCATCATATTCGGACTAGTCCTGAGTATTCAACCAATAGACGGCTGCATAGGATGAATAACATCTCACGTGATGAATCTTTTTGTGAGATTACTAACATTGTGAGTTGTTACTTGTCGTCTCCACAATCGCAAAACGACCAACTGTCAACCAACCGCGCCTTAAAAAGGCATTCGCAAGGTGGAAACATCCTGGTGGCTCTCGGTAATGGTGGTCGTGATGGTGGTGACGACGATATGGCGGCGTTGACTGCTCGGTAAGCAAGGCCGCCAGAGAACAATAGATGGATGGATGACCGTCTGGCGCCTTGATTCACACAGCGTCGTAAGAAGTTAGTTAACTAGCCGATACGCACTAGTTATCAATATCCCTGGCCGAGCAGTCACAATAAGGATGGGTTCCGATCCAATGAATACTGAACGTGCTCCTGCGACTTGCTCAGTCTCTCCCATGTTTTGCTTTTTTTCCGCGATATATATATCCCAACTTACGCAGTTGCCGCTCGATAAGCCCGGTACCTGCTTCTGGCGCGCTGGACATATGGGAGTCGCAGGTACCTCACGGTCACCCTAACTCCGTCCTACTACATCCTCCGTACGATAGTAATAGCATGGCTCCCTTGCGTGTGAACCCCCATTCCATGGGTATTTTTTCAGTTTCTCGTGGCAGCGTAGCCAATATCCGTATGTACGGAGAACGACTAGGGAGGCCACAAGATACGGAGAAGATTGGCGCCTCACCCAGCTTAGAGAGGCGCATTTTTTTTTTTTAATCTGCCAGACACCAGTTCTCTTGGTTATTAAGTTGGCTTGCCTACCGTTCAGTTGTTTTACGGCGGCCTGCCTGTCTGTGGAGTCGGGTGAGGCTCTGTTGCTGCCGTTCAACTGCTCGCCAGGAAGAACGCTCATCAAACGATACCTCAGGGAGGATTTTTGTTCCCTTTTAAGTCTTCGTTATTACTTCTTCTTGTTGATCAACCGGTTTTTCCCCATCGCATTACTTGCATGAGCGTTGGCTAGACATTTGTTTTTTGGCTTGACCTCTTCGTGAGACAAGTCTACCTCGATCCTAGGATTACTGCTGTGTATTCTAAGCGTGTCCTGATTCACTCTTCAGTCTGATATATAATCGCCGTCCACGCATACCCGATCCAGATGGCTATCCTCTAAGTGGACAGTGGATCCTTGTCCAATCTCCTCTAATACTGACTTATACTTACGGAGTACACAGAGGCTATATACCCACGGTCCGTTCGATATAGGGAGGGCTCCCTCCCTACGAATAACTTCATCATGAGCTTTGGGTGGTCTGCTGGAGACATCTACCAGCTTATTGTTGCCTGCCACACACTGGTGTCAAACTGTACTCTGGGACCAACGTCTGCTCTTCAAATAGTTCATGGCCTGTCGGTAGAGATTCAGGAACTCGAACGCTTACTGCAACAGCTTCGGAGCCTCGTTAAAGATGGCGGTGAGACTTCCTGTATCGATCTACGTGGAATCGAGGATACGCTGCGTGATTGTCGCACACATATGCAGAAGTACAACAACCTGCAGCAGGCTTATGATAACCACCACAGAAACAGCACGGATCCCACTGTAGTGGGAGAGAGACGGCCGGCTGCCACTTCAACCACCGGCGGACGTACTAGAGAATTACTTATGTCGGGTAGGAATGCAGCCAGAGTAGGCGGGGAGCTGGTGAGACATGCTACCTGGGGAGGTGGACAGATATCTGCTCTCCAGGACCGGGTTGCACGGCATAAACAGTCTCTGACGCTCTATCTTACGGTCTTGGAACGGTATGCTTCAACTCCACATGCTTTTCATGACCTATAAACTAAATATTGTACACACAGAGAACGGAGCATCCGCATGGGGAACAGGCTACAAAGTGTCGAACGTATGATTCATGAAATCCATGCTGAAGCTATGCCTTTAACTCGCACATACCCTCTTCAGCGTGTTGGTTCGATTCCTAGCTCGGGCTTAGGCATTCCAGACGGCCCCTCTGCAGGCAGCGACCGCTATCATATAATGCTAGAAGCTGTCGAGCGCCAACGTGAATATGCCATGCTCCAACGTACCCTCGCTGAAGATGGTGATGACCAGGAATGGGAGACGATTTGTGACCAGCTTGACCGATTCCATAGGCGAGTGTTGAATGTCATTGAGCGGATGACAAACTCCAGTGCTCAGCACGGGAGTAGGAGCGAGCATGGGTCACAGAGTGAAAGCGATATTGAACTCAACAGGACACTGCTGAACATGTCAAGAGGCTCGTTCAGGTCTCCTCCAAATGAAAATCAATCCTACCGCCGCAGACGTCACGCAGCGTTTGAGACCCCGCTGGAACGCTGTGACGAAACAGAGACGGAAACCGACCATCAAACCACTCATATGTCCATCAATGGCACAGAGGAAGTAGTAGATGAGCCGGAGAATCCGATTTATCGCAGCTCATCGACAGTTACCTTACCATCTTACACCCAGTCTGTCTTCTCCAATTTCACATCGACAAGCACTGCTGCAACTGAAGATACAGCAGTTATAACTACCAATACTACTCATATGGAGATACCTGGCAGCCACAATAAACCTTTATATAGTACTTCCCCTTCACAACCTCTCTCGGCCAGCCCATCGACTGTCAACTCCCTTTCTATCCCACTATCCACGAGTCCTGGGTCAATCAATTCCTATTCCACGCCAATTAGCCCAGGTTTTGCCCCAAGACAGAGTCCCTCAAATGCCCGTGATTCCATATCTAGCTACGCCAGTACAGCAAGTATTGCCAGTGCAGATAATGGTAATGTTCCCGTGCGCAGCGGAAGCTGCAGCAATGGAAACGGCAGTTTTTTCCCTCCCTCGCCGCGCAGGCGGGACACAGATGATTCAGGCCATCATTTGAGTTGTAGATGGAAGACCATTTCACTTAATGGTCCTGTAAGAATGTAAGCTTTCCCCTACCAAATGTATCCAGGTATTGCCATTCAAATGCGAATACTAAAAGAAATATACAGATCATGGCACGATCATCCGACGCGAGTCCGATGCCTTCTTTCTGCAGGCTACAAGAGCGACGGGAGGATGTGTGCAATTCGCGCCATAGATCCTACTAATACAGCTGAAAAGCTACCAATTCTCAGGTGTAAGGATCGGTCGATTTCTACCATTATTAAGGATACGAGCTAATATTGCAATAGTGTCGTCTACGGAAAGGCGGACCATTCCGCATATCGAACCATCAGGTGATCGCGACAGGGACCATGAAGCAGGAGTCATTCACTTCATCAAGGCGCCCAAGACAAAATATGGCGAGTATCCAATGTACTATATCGAAGATCCAGATGGTACGCTTTGCTACTTCCCCTTATCTTCTACTATTCTATTGCTTTCGGCCAAGGGGACTGACATAACATCGTTGTGACGTAGATCGCATCTATCTACAAAGCTTGATCTTTGGGAAAAATCTACTGCTGTCAGTGCTGGTGAAAAAAGTGTATAGCGCGAATGGAAGAGAATCAGATCGCCAGTATCTACGAATATGGGCAGAGATGGACAGTGAAGGGCGCGATGGAGACCTCTCAATCTTGTACTTTGCTTCTGCCAGGGAGCGACCTCGATATTTCGAGATTCATCGTGAGTTCGATAACCAAGAACTAACTAGTCGGTCCTGTTTGCCGAAATACTAACAGCAATGTAGGAAACAATATCGAGCCGAGCTTTAACAGAAGCCACCACAACTTGGTTCTTGAACTCCAACTTCTACAGCCCGGCCAATATCTTCGGATCACGTTTTTGTCTGCATCAGGTTCGTCTCCTACATCCTACAAACATCCAAGGAATCCCTGCCACTCAGCCCCATTTGTTTTCTCTTTTCTTATGTCCCTGGCACGCTGTTCTTCCTGTCGACTGACCTTGATGCTTGCTTGCTTGCGCAGACCTGCAACGCTTTACCGATACGCTCTTTAAACACGAACGACCCCCTGTATTGCAAGTCCCTCGTGTGTCGTCTCGGTTCGCTGATGGGTCGGCCGCCCTCCCATGGGGGAGCCCCTAGTTCGGCCCCTTGTCTGTTAGCTTCAACCCTAGCGCCTTGCATAACATGAAAAGGCCGACGCCTCAGCCACCCCGAAGCAAGCTTACGGGCCCCATGCCAGGCCCCGAAATTCTCACGAGCTCTTGTCCAACTGCCATCCTCCGTCATCAGTCACATTCGCTCTGGCAGCCTTAGCCAGGCTGCTTGCATAGCTCTTCGCTTCCTCTACCTGCACTAACATGTGTCTCGGATACCAAGATGGAGCCTCATCGTCGCTTAACCGGGCGTTCTCGCCCGCCAATCTATTTTAAGTCTTTGTCTGTTCCCAGCTTACCTTAATATATCATGGCCGATATCATCGCTGCTGCTACCCACACGGGCTGTCCCATGCATGTATACATATATATCCGCTTACTCCGCTACCTTGTGGTCTTTCAATTCTATTGCAAGAATCTTGGCTGTGTATCAAAACGCTGCCCTGCCTGCCCTTCAGTCTGCCTGATTGATGCATCCTCGCCTGTGATAGATTCGGACTTGTGGTTCCCGACTCTCTGCGCCTCCTTTAGGTCTTTTTGACCCTTATCATCTTGGCGGTGCTTGAGCCTCATGCTATATACTTAATAACATTGGCGAGCAGCTCGTGGGTTGGCTGTCGCCCATCATTGCCCTTCTGGGGGGAAACCACATCTCTCAGGCGCCCACGGAGGATACATTCATATCCATTCTGTACAACAAAGCTATCTACCTCGAGCTGTAACGGCAGAAAAGGGGGATCACCATGAAGATGCCAGTTTCGTTCAAGGTGAAGAACCGCACGGTTAACTTCAACTATATTCCTGTGGGTTGGTCGTTAAGCAGACGATTTCTCGACAGTTCTGAACTGATGAAACATAGGACCTCGATCTCCGCCGTCGCCGTGTGTTCGATGAGCTCGATGCTACTCACTTCCAGAGCCTCGTGGTATTTGTTGCTGGAATCGGTTTCTTCACTGATGGATACGATGTAGGCTACCCTGTGTAATCGAGAAGTAGCTTGATGCTAACGAGTAACTAACCAGATTTTCGCTGTCGGGATGATCATCCCCATGCTGGCGCATGTCTACTGGCATGGCACCATGCCTATGCATATTGAAACGGGCATGAGAGCTGCCACTCTACTCGGCACAATTATCGGACAGTTCGTCTTTGGTATACTTGCTGACCTCTACGGGAGGCGGAAAATGTATGGCTTCGAGCTTCTCATCGTTACGCTGTCGACTATCGGTGTTACCATGGCTTCTGACGGTGCATCTGGCTCTATGAGTATTGTCGCATGGTTGATCGTATGGAGATTTATCATGGGCATTGGCATTGGAGGTGACTACCCACTGTCTGCCGTTATTACCTCTGAATTCGCTCCAACTCGATCGCGAGGCCGAATGATATCAACGGTCTTTTATATGCAGCCTTGTGGTTATCTTGCTGCGACACTAGTGGCATTGATAGCGATGGCTGCACATGGTGGCAGTATTCCACATAATATACCCACACGGGTTGAAGATATAGTATCCTGCACGGATAATCCAGAATGCCGACGTGCAATGGATAGCGTTTGGAGATGGGTTATTGGCATAGGTGCTGTACCATCAGCCATTGCCATATTCTTCAGATTCAGTATTCCCGAATCTCCCCGATACACGATGGAAGTACTGAATCGACCAGACGAGGCACTGGAGGATGTCAACGAAATGGGCTGGCAGCGTGTACCCCAGAAGACTATGACCCCAGGTGATATTGAGATGCAACTCCCACCTCTACCAGATCAACATCCCCAATCTCAGTCACAACCAATGCCGGAAGGCAATCGCATACAGACGGAAAAACCACCGAGCTTGTCTGTTAGGCCTGCTTCGGCAATCTCACAGCCATCGAATCAGCCCATCTCTAATGATTGGAGCCATTTTGACCCCCGTCAGCACCACAGGAGCGCATCACGAGCGACAACAGATGGTGCCTCTCAGCGTTCCCCTCGTCGTGTCTCGCGGACACATACCATTTCCAGTGCTCATTCAGGGGCTGGATCTTCCCTATCCTTTTCCACATCCAACGACGATGAACCCGCGGATAGTACGTTGGTGGAAGATGATTTCGCTCCTCCTACCAAGGAAGCTAGCCAATGGACTCACTTCCGTACTGGTTTCTACAATCACTTCATCACCAATGGCCATTGGCCCACACTCCTTGGTACATCACTTGCGTGGGCCTGCTTCGACTTTGCATTTTATGCGCTTGGCCCTAACTCGTATAAAGTCGTTGGAAAGATCTTTAACGAGAAGGTTCTCTGCTTCCCCAGTGTTGTCAAGCAAGGCGGCAAGCTGCCGAGTCCTTGCCTTCCCCCTGGCCGCAGCTTATACGAGGATGGGATTCAGAATGCATGGCACTCGCTCATCATCGTCTCCGCAGGCTCAATAACAGGCGGTCTAGGCATGATCAAGATTATCAAACGAACGTCCCCTCGCACCATCCAACTCTACGGTTTTATTTTATTGGCTGTGATCTTCGTTATTATCGGCGTTTGCTTCCAGGTCGTTCCTAGATCTGCCTCCGTGCCCCTGATTGCATTCCTCTACGCACTGTCCCAGGTTTTCTTCGAGATTGGCCCTAACGTCACAACGTTCATGATTCCAGCTGAGTTATTTCCAACTCGATTCCGCTGCACTGCCCACGGCATCTCCGCGATGTCTGGCAAGATTGCATCTGTCTTGGTACAGGCATTCGTCGCCTATGCACCAATTGGCCCTTACAAGCCATCCGACAACAACCCTTCTGACAGTAACTCGACCGATACTAAAGCTCAATGGCTAGGTTTCGTGGTTATCATCTTTGCGGCATTTATGGTGCTGGGTGCTGCGGTTACAAAGTGGCTTATCCCCGAGGCAAGACAGACTGACGGTCTTGCAAGGCCTCTGGAAGAGTTACAGTATCTTGCCAAGATACGGCGACCGGCAAAGAAGAAGACTGCTGTGTCTGATGCCGTAGATCCCCAGGGCGCCTCTATCCCTAATAATGGGGCAAATGGCGTGCTTGCCCGAGTGTAATGGTAATATCAATGTGCAGGGCTGGATAAATGGGCAAGCCTACGACAATAATGTATAACTAAGTAATGAGATTGGCTGATGGTTAGTTAGGGTACCTTGGCAAATATCTAATAGGCATGAATATAAGAGGCAGCATCTAACCCCATAAGCGTAAGATGTGGCATGAATGGTTAACGGATGGTATAAATTTCGGATTCAACTAAAATAAAAAAAATAAAATAAAAAAACAGGCGTAACGTTGCATAAAGATATAGCGGGCCAGAAACCTATCAGGCCGAACCCAACACCCATACCCATGTAGCTATATTATCCCTAGCCTTATACCATGAAGACCCAACATGCATCGTAAGGAGACGTAACAAATAAGCAAGGCAAGAATGTATATATACACACGGGGCTCATAAGAGAAGAGTCCGAAACGGAAGAAAGAAAGAAGAAAATAAAAGTCATAACAGAGACGAGTTAAAACGCATCCTAGTTTCTATGACACCAGTAACGTTGGTATCACGTCATGCTTTGTAAAGATAGCAGGGAGTGGGTGTCACATAAAAGTAATCATCATCTCCCCCTTAACCTTTGCCTTCAAGACGGACGCAAGTTCAACATCTAGGTCCATTTGGATTTTCATTTGTTTTGGCTTTGAGTCTTTGCTGTTTGATGAATCAGGTGTAGGGGTATCAGCACTACCGTTAGCACTACTGAAAACTTCCTTGAGGCTGCGGAGAATTCCATTCGGCCCAGCTGGGGGAGGTCCGTCAGTACGGCCATTGGTGGCGTCAGCTGCAGTTGATGTTGGAAGTTGGGTTTCGTTTCCGGTAGTTTCACCCCCTTGTGCACCATCGTGCGTATTCGGGGTCTCCTGTTCTTGTTCCTGAGCAGCGTGTTTGTCCGCCTTAACTTTCTTCTTCTTTACAGCTTTTTTCGGCACCTTTGGCTGGGCTGTTGAAGTTGTTCCATCTTCTACTAGGTTCGCCCGATCTGCAGGAGTCCCAGCGTTACCGGCCCTTGAGCTGAGCAGTCCAGAGGCATCTATTTCAGTTGCAGGTTCACCTGCTACCTTCGCCTTCACTGCTTTCTTCTTTGCCCTTGCCCTTTTGGGGTTGACCTCCTCTGGAAGAGGTTCATCTCCACCGTAATAATCCCAGCCAGCATGTGTCGTGTTGTCGCCCCATCCGTCATCTCCGGAACCCTCGTTTTGGTTTGGTGCGGATGGCCACATGTCCTGCGGCGGTGTGGTCAAAGGAGAGCCTTTGGATTTCTTCCCCTTCTTCGGCTTGGTATTCAGTTTATTTAGTGCTTCGGGGGCTGGCACCTCGCTGCCCTGACCGTTGTTGGCATTAGGATCAATGTTCTCACTGTCAAGCTGGGTCGAGGCCTTTTCGACATTCGGTGAAGTAGAGACGCCGCCGTGGTCGTTCATCTCACCATCAGCTGCAGCTTGAGCTAGTTTCCTTGCTGCTTTCTTCTCTTTCCAGTAACCAGTGCGGCTCTTCTTCTTCTTCGCTGCGGTTGGAGATGATGCGGTATTGGATGAGGCAGCTAGATACTCCTGCTCCTGAATTGCGCTCCAGCTGTTGTCCTGCTGAGAAGCCATTTCCTCCTGGTGCGTCTTGACTCCGCCGTTGGCATTGAGATTCGACGGCTCGCGCGTACCGTCCACGGAGTTCGCAGTCATAGCTCCGGTCGTTGTTCTTTCACGCAATGCTGCAAGTGGTCTGTATTCTCTAGGATGCCCTTCTCTCTCCCCGTCTCTCTCTCTCTCTCTCTCTGCCGCGATGCGACTCAGTTTTGTCGTTGCTTTGTCGATTTCTTTTCGTCGCTTTTTTTTCTTGTTTATTTTTTTTTTCAGGCCGAATTTTTATGTTTTGATGACATAATCACGGAACAAGTGGGTCTGGTGGGTCCTTCCCGTTTGAGCCTAAAATTAGGGCTTGAAGAAAGAGACAGAGCGAGCCATGCAATGAGTTAGTATATAAAAAACTCGCCAGGTGTTGGTCGGTCCCTTGATAGTTCTTCAGCTAGAACCATTACACCCAGCCGCTTGTATCTCCCACTATTGAAGGCGTCCGGAACTGGGAAGGAATCCTCGTGTCTACCAACCAGCATGTACATACACGACCATCCAAATCTCTCCATCCCCTTAATTTTACCTAGAGGTATCAGGCCGAGCCGAATCTTGATAGCAACAAACCGCAGAGCAATACTCATGCGGACATATGACCCGTGCTCCTGATTGCCGTCATCTTCCTTGCGTATCACACCCTGCGTCAGCTCGGAAAACGCCAGAATCTCAAAGGTGGGAAGCACTGCTCTTGCCAGGAACCGCGAAGCCAAGTCGTCGAGTCCATTTTTTGAGATATGGATCAGCTCCTTCACAACTAGCTCACCCGTGGGTGTGATTTTTGTAAATGGCTGGTTTGGGGGTGCTTCCAGCTGCCGAATTAGTGTCAGTGTATCGGAGATCTCGTCACATAACCAGGACCTTTCCCTAGGCTGTTCTTTGTCGGCACGAGTAAAGCCCTGCATTTCAGCCGGTAGAACGTTATGAAGCTTGACAAGGAACATGTCCATGACCTTTATAGGGTCTTTGCTATAGTCTACCGGGACTTTGACTCCAATGGCCCCCATTATTCCATATACCCGGTCGTGAGGTCGTTTGCATTTTCGACGAGCGGAGGTACGGAGTAGTTCAATAGCATTCATCGATATCAGGGTGTGTAAACCGATGGTATTGACTGCAGCAAAGGCCTCTAACCGGCCATGGAGAAAAGCTTTCGTGGTACCGGATTGCTCTAGCCGTTCAATAGCATCTATTGCCTCTGTTAACATTCCGGTATCTTTTTTAATCAACGAATAAATGTAGTTCAGTGTCTTGGCTAGATGCTTAACAGTTATTGGATTCTGAGTTGCTTCGTGTAGTACGGGGTCCCCCCTTTTATCATAAAATACTGCATCAAAGCGCAATGCCGCTTCCTGCAAAGTCCATAGAGAAGTTGTCCACGGCACTTCTGTCGTTAGAGATGCAATGAGACACAGCCGTCGATGTGCCTCAGCCAAACTCGCCGTTCCGTTCTGGATGTCTATAAGCGGCGGAAGAGGTAGGACATTAGGCCGAATCATGTAAGACTGCTCAGGAACCCAGGAGCAGACCTCCGCCAGGATCTTTTCACCCCCCGAGCAGAGCCAAACCGCCGCGCGAGAAGCTGATCGGAATATTTCGCTCTGTTTGCCAATCTCCTCTGCATGTTCCTGGTCTCCCTCTATCTGGGGTATACACAGAACGTCCACCCATGCATGGCTTCCATTTGCAATTCTCCGAATGGCGAGATCCAAGTCCTCTCGAGTGAATAAACTATTGGCCGGGACATTCCAGTGACCACCATTGACAGGAGTGTCTAAATCTCTATTTTTATGCTTCCAGCGGCCCCAGGTATAAGATATTACCACATAATCCGGGTATGGTTCACAGGTCGTGTGGCTGGCTCCATCAGGCCCAACCAAACGGCTGGGGAAGCTGTTTGCTTGAGCCGGTCTAGCTAAGGACCTTTCGTATTTACTGACAAATTGGGGTCCATGAACAAAATCATCATATATGTTGGAAGGTCCAAGCTTGATAGTAGTGTTAATTATAGGCATCTGTAATGTCCCAGATTGCAGAAGAGTGTGGTCATCGCTCCAAAGCTCCTCGGTTTGGACCTGATCGTATAGTTAACTGGTTAGTTAGTTACATGATAGATGATGTTGCTAACGAAGATTCCATCTCACGCGGGCTTGAGATAGGACCTACCACAGACGCGGGCATAGTTACTGTTAACTAATAGTTAGGCAAGAAGACTGTATTCTTCTTGTATAAGTTAAGTAACTGGTCTCTCGTTAGAAAATAAAGGGGTTCATCTGTGATAAAAGGAGCTTCCCAGCCCCTCAGAAAAGTAACCGGCTAAGTAACTAACCAACGAATAGAAGGGCATTCAGGGAGGTTGACTGCATGCATTGCCTGCCAGGTATAGATGTACCCCGCCAGCCTTGGTTGGCCGGTAACTAGTTATTTAACTAGTTACTGAGAAATTGTTATGGCAATCGACATGCCGCAAAGAATATAACTTCCTCCATACGAATATCGACTCTCAGGTTATACTCCGCGTTGCCATTTCGTGAGGAACTGAGCGAATGGATGGAAATGTGCTCTCCAAAAACAACAAAATGGGCCATCCTCATCGGAACCAACTACCTCCCTGCATCTAACGAGCGCGAACCTGAAACTGTGTTCCGTGGCTGTGTTGCCGATGTCGAGCGGATGAGCGAACATCTATGCCTCAACCAAGGGTTCCAGAAGCAAAATATACTCAAGTTTATTTCTCGTCATCCGGATGATCGATCTGGCATTGCGCACAATAGCCACCAGGACGCAACATATAGAAATGTGAGGCGTGGCTTTGACCTCATATGTGCAAGAGGCAACCCTGGTGATATCGTATATATTCACTTTTCCGGTTTGATTAGAAGTGTCCCTACATTATTGCCTGCATGGAGTGGTAGACTAAGCGATAAAGGATTTGGGCTACTGGACGATGCCATCGGTAGGAGGTTTATCCACGACCTAGAATTAGCTCTCTTGTTGGCGGGACTCTCTAGAAAACGGCTGGAGGTCACAGTCTTTCTTGACTGTCGCAAACACGATTATTCTGCAGTTCATGAGACGGCTTCTCAATCAGAGTTCAGCCAGGAGGAGCTGTTGTCAGTCTTTCATGGGGTCTTCAGCCCGAGGGATCGAGATACCTGGCTCCTTAACCCTGATCCAGCAAGCCCCCATGTCTTACTGACTTTAGGCTATATTGACGGCCAAAGGGTGTTACAGGAACACCTAGATACCCAGTCTCAAGAGCATCACGGCACCCTTACCTACCTGTCATTGATAATTTTACGAGAGAATAATGGGCCTAATATCACGTATGATGAACTGATTCGACAGCTTGGGTTAATGACCGACCACAGATTCGGATACATACCTATATATAGTGAGGCAACAGTTATGTATGCCGGAAATACCGAAAAGTTATTCCTCGGTGGCATGGATGCACCACGGACGATAGGGTATCCGCTACATTTCCCAGCGATTTTGATCATCAATAGCAGTGGGGTTAGGTTGCATGTACTAGGTGGACGAGCGCAGGGCGTTTGCGACGGTGACGAAGTTCACTTTACTCGTGGAACTTATCTCGAAAATTCACCAAAGGCATTGGTTTACTTTTCAGGCCTGCTGTTCGAGATCTACATGGTGGATGAACTGTCAAGTTCCGCGAAACCTGTGGGCAGTTCCGAGGAGGAGCAAGGAGATTCTCTTACCGATGATACCATAGAAAAAACATATATAAAAGTACACGGCGTGGCGAGGTTTGTAAAGATACGGCACCAGAATCTGTCAAATGAAGAACATGCCGCATTATATAGTACAAGGCTGCTGCTGATAGGCAAATCGAAGGAGCTTGCAAGCCACTGCAATGTACGGGCTGTTGGCGCCTTTCGATATCACAATCCTGGCCGTCAAATTTCTACCAGAAGCCCTACATTGACCTCAGATGGAAGTCTCCATTTGCTCTCAGGAGACTGTGCTACCATTATATTTTCCACTGCTGTAAAGGAAACACTATATCTTGATATTCTCTGCTTTGACAGCACCTTTGGCATCACCCATGTCTACCCAAAAACCCCCAGGGAGTACCTAGCTACTAGGTTGCAGATGGAAAATGCTCATGTCAGTTTTGATGTTCGTTTCTCATTCCCGATCCAGAAGATGGACGACGCGGAATGCCACCAGGTAACAGAAATTCTCAAAATATTCGTATCAACTAGGCAAGAGTCATTTTATCCACTCGAGTTGCGGCCGATTGGGGACCGTGCCTTCTTAACAGCAAACCGGGATCCTGCTGCAAAGATTTCTCTAGCTACACCTCCGACTGGATTCGGCCCTTGGTTCATGGATGCTAGAGGCATTAATTCTGAGGAGAAAGTTCCATATGAAAAGTATGAGCTGGAAGATCCAGTAGAAGAGATATGGTACTGCTTTAATATCAAGGTCGTCATCCATAAAACGGCAGAATCTCTAGCGATGATATAATTTTGGCTAACTTGCCCCTGACTAGTTATGGGCTAGCTGGAAGGTATGGAAGAGGTTGGTATCTCTAACATTGATGGTATAGCTGATAGTAGCTGATATAAGATTACACATGTGGTGTAGATGGAGCTAATAGAACTAGCTGCCTTGGATGTTCTATGAGGCGGATGCTGCAGCCAGCGGTGTATAGTATATACTATGTATATAACTAACTGAAGGTCGCACGGGACCTGGATCTAGGGGCAGTGGGTCTTCAGTCAGTTGCGAAAGACCTTTGGAGAAGAAATGAGATAGGTTTACACTTAGGGTGCTGTGTACGGCCACAAGGGCCTCAGCCAGGGGTATATATAACGTTTTGATTTTGTCGGTTCCATGGTTGAGTACACGGCTAAGAACCATAAGACAGCTCAGGGGCCAAAAGTTATTCCATAACTACTGCCTTAGGAGAGTTTGTGGCCTGGGTAGTTTTCTCAGGGTGTTTTCTTCCCTTCGCGGGCCTTAACGACGGGAAAATCAAGCGAGTCCAGCGGAAGCTTAAGAAAGAGATGCTTGTTGGTCCACGTTACTTGGCCTTCGGCAAAGCCTTCGGAGTAGGCTGGTGGTGGAGGCGGATCGGTGATCTTGGTGATCAAGTATGCCGTCGACGCCTCAGCGATGCCGTAGAGCAAGACTCCCAGTACGGGGATGCGAATCATGAGGTAGAATCCAACGGCAAAGCCAAACAACACTCCATCTCTGTCAAGGAACCAGCGTCGTTTCTGCTCGGCAGTGAACTTCACCCGACTAAAATACGGTTCAAGCTAGGTGCGGTTATTAGTCTGGTTGATACTCCTTAGCAGCGCAATAATAAGTAATATCATGACTTACCAGTTCTCGCATCAAGCTGCGAGAGGCAAAATAACTCTGCAAAAAGACAATCAGATACTTCTTAGGGAGCACCAGGCCGGATCCAAAGACTACAGCGGCTGGGCCTAGACCAACGGCCTTGTTGAAGGTATAGAAACTGGCACACGGAAGGACGAAGCGGCCAACCAGGGGCAGATGCGAGAGGATGTAGACTGCCAACGCCATGCTCGTTCTTCTCCCATAGCGGATGGCAAAGGCCCTTAGAGGTGCAAGACCTGACTTTTTCCCATGTATATTACCGCCCTTGGAGTACATCCGCAGGTTATCATAATACATGGGCCGCAGCGTCGTTGGGTCGTCCTCCTTGTGCTTCTGCGTATAGGTCTTGTCAACCCAATGCAGAGACTCCATGAACCTGTCGAAGTGGCATGAGTCAATCAACTGCACCCTCTGCATATATCAAGGAACAGGCTTATGCATACATATTGTCCAGGGTTGGCGTGATATACCGCATCAGGGTCATGAGGAAAAACGGCACCTGGAGGACGTAGTTGGACACAAAGTCCAGCGTCCCGACGACACTATCATGCCATCCGGCGCTCTCAAGGTCAATAGCCCACGAGAGAATCCATAGTACCAGCTTCACGGCGACGATCTGGCAGTCAACTTGTTAGCCACAGCCGACGATCAGGCCCTACGCAGGCAGGTCAGATAGTTACGGCATACCGGGATCGCAACGACAAGATGGATGGCTATCCCGCTGCAGACAGCAAGCGCCGCCTGCTTGTAATGCTCCGACTTGAAGAGCTCCGGGTTCTGCAGCGCCCTGTGAGCTGTTGAGCCATGCAGTCAGCGAGTCTGGTGGTGATATCAACTGTCGCTGTCCATCCAAGGTGGCCGACCTACCGCCAACGAGAGTCAGCTGCGCACCCCGCAGGATGGCATTGGGCTCAAACTTGGGCATCGCGATAGCCGATGCTCTTATCCACGCCGTAGCTGCGTCTCTGCTGCCTGTCAAGAGTTCTCAGCCGAGTGGTGATGGCTGTTGCTGATGTTGCTGCTGTTGTTGTTGGCGCTTGGGTGGCTGAAAGCGCTCTACGTCACATTTACTAGTTTAACCGCGTAACTAAAGTTATGGCTGAGGCGGAGAGCAAAAGCCGACAGAGACGAGACGAACGAGTTGAAACAACCACAACTGCGTCTCTTCACATGCGCGCGATGTAAGTGCGTGTGCCTTGTTTCTTTTTATATCAGTCTTCTTCTACCTACGCTCCTTTTCTTCTCCCTTCTCGCTCTTTTTCTCGTCTCTCTTTCGTTGATTACCAGACGCTCCCTTCACTTACCATGGCCGAATCGCCATTCCCTTTGCGCCGCTCCTCGACACTCCCCAGAAGCAGGGCCATTTCGACAGGCAGATATAGCCTGGGATCGCATGAGCTCTCGACCAGCAGTCCCTCCCACTCCGACCAAATCCTCTACTCCAGCCCGTCCGCGAAGATCTTCAAGTTCGAGCTGCCAAACTCGTCTTCGTCCTCCCCAATCCTCCCCGACCTCGACTACCCCGTGGACGCCATAGAAACACTCCCCTGGCAGCTACCGACGGAGAGGCTGTCCTCTATCGGCCCGCTGAAGATAGAGACCGTTGCGGGCTCGGCGGCGTTTCTGAAATCCGGCAGCGTGGTGTACCCTCTGCTCAAGAACAGCCAGTGCTGGTGCGTGGACCAGGTCTCTAGATTCGTCTTCAGAATACGGAAACTCACATATTATCGTGTTGAGTTGCCGGGGGAGACGGAGGAAGATAAAAACCGCGTCGAGAGCTTCAAGGGGGTCCTATCCGGCATTATCAGATATGAAATCACACCTTGTCCCTTTAAACGTGGGTTCTCTGTCGTCCTGCCGGAGGAGGCCAAAACACCCAAGAAGAAGAAGGCCTGGCAGCCGAAGTTTCAGCCGATGCCTGCCTTTATACCGTTAGACCTGGCTACTGATGTCTCTTCGACGGCCTCGCGTGATCTGGAATCAAATAGCGAGCCAGCAGTCGATGTCCACAAAGACGCTACTCAGGAGCAGGGGCAGGAGCAGGAGCAGGAGCAGGATCAGGATACGGGGAACGGCTCGTCCATGGCTGCTGATGGAGAGTCTTTCCTGCTTGTACCAAAAAACAGGCAATCAGACGGTTCCAGAGTGACTACTCCTCCGACCTTCCAATCTTTGGTTGCCAAATTCCAGCAATTCCACGGTGCAAGTCACGTAAAGGAGCCAGAGAACCAGGATTATATAGACGACAGCGAGCAGATGTCAAGTTTAGGGTCTTATCATACGTGTGAAACGGATGCTTCCATTTCTCTCTCGGATGCCCCGTACTCGGATCCCCCCTCCCCATGGAATGAAGAGACTACTGCTGCACCATCTTTGGCACATGACGAAGACACCTCAGACCAATCTCCATCTATTCCAGAGTCCGATCCATTTCTTGATTCAGATAATGATAATATGAGCCAAATACCAAGAGTACTTTCATCTATAGACCAGCATTCCACCCCCAGGCAACCTGCCTTTGACAGACACAACTCCATCTACCTCTCGTCAGGGGAATGTGTTGGTGTTGACGAGCCCAGCCCTGATCTCCGTCAACGGCTTCGTAACAACCGCAAGAGAGACCTGTCACCTCTCCCACCGCCTTCCACTCTATACTATCCCTCTGCGCGGTCTCCCGCCAACCACCTCACTCATGCAATCATGAAAAAGACATGCACATACGTTCTCGGCCCACCAGTCCAGTTCCTCATGCTCCTCTTACGTCTTGCGGCAAAGGTGGCCGCTAAGAGGCCATCTCCTACTTCCCCTGACTTCCCGGACCCATACTCTGACCAGGACGACCTCGGTGATCTAAGCGAAGACGACTACGGAATACCCATCCCCTATCGCCCTTCTCTCAAACAGGTGAACTCGAATTCCTTAAGCGTCTACGATTCCTTGGACGAGACAGATTAAGCCCCTTTTTGCATCCTATTTTGTTTTTGGTCTGTATTTGTACCTTTTGTTTCTTTCTGTGTCTTACTCTGTATTTCGGTCTGTCTATCTAGCGTGTTGCCGGCGGTAATGACGGTTTGGGGTTCCAGGCACAATATGCAATATCTACTTGCATTAATGACATTTTCTTTAACATTTATTGGGGGGCGGTTTTACATCTTCTGGCCATAGCTGTACGGGTATACTACTGGACGTACAAAGGGGGTTTCTTATCTCGCTCGTTTGCGTCTATTTTACTCCAGCACACTTGGTATAATACCATTTCTTTTGTCGAAATTAATCCGTTGTCTCACACATATATACCTCTATGTTCCCGTAATACTGAAAGGATAAATCAAGCTCCCGTCTAACGCCAAACAATGCATAAGTACCTTAGGAGTGGAAAACACTTCCCTCCTGTCAAGTCATGCCGCCAACGTATGGCCCCCCATCGGCCAAGGTGTTTGCTCTTATTTCTTCCCCTTGGCTTTACCCTTCTTCTTTGCGCTGCGGTCCCTCTTCTTCAAGCCAACCATGCCAGCTTTGCATATATCCGCATACCGGCGATAAAACGCTTCGACCTCCTCCGGTTTCACAACTGTGTAAGCCTTGACCTTTGAATCTTTGTGCTCGCCGTTCGATGCTCGGACAAGGATCATTGGTGGATTCGACTCTGTAGTTGACGATTCGTCTTTACTTGTGGTTTCCGGCTGGAGTGGTTTCTGTGTAAGGAATACCGAGCCGCGGGAAGCGGCTGACTGCTTTACGAGGAGAGTCTCTAAGAAGGAGAAAAACTATAGCCGATACATTATTAGCTAGCCAGATCAGACAGAGCATATCGCGTATCCGTGGAGTATCCTTCGTCTTGTATCCATACCTCATCGTTAGGGAGGTGGGGTTTCGACATTGTTGCGCAGATGTGTAGATATCAATGGAATCTAGGTAAACGTATCCCAGTTATCTGAGTCCTTTGCAGGAGCCCAAAGCTATAATCAGACAGTAAAGAGACAGTAATCGTTGTGAAAAGCGCGAGCTTGTTCCTTGCTCTTCATTAATATGTTTTTCGGTTTATTTTCTCTTCGGCTTCTGTAAAAAGTGCGGACAATTTAAAGTTTAGTGGCATGACGCTTGGGCCACACCATGATTTTTAAAGAAAAGAAAAAAAAATAAAAAGGTCGAAGATAAAAGAAGAGAAGATGAGATGAGGAGGACGAGACAGCGATGCGCCGACCGGAGATAAATACCACGCGGCTCCCGAAGCAGCTGTGCGAGGAACTGGGGCTGAAAGACAGCTGGGACACCGGCCGGCCGAACAGAGGGCGAGGGAAGCCTCTGAGCAGGAAGGAAAGGCGAAAGGAAGAACGGTCGCAGAAGAAACAGCATCACCAACAGCCGCGGAAGTTGATACAGCCCCATATACGAGAGGAACAAGACCAGGGTTCTAGTGCAGATGTGTCTTCGGACGACGATGCTAGTGGCAGAGACGTACGTGCAGCTGCGCCGACGAGACCAGAGCCGAAGTCTATTCTGAAGAAGCGGAAGCGAAGTGATGATACTCAGAAGCCTACGAAGAAGAATGACGACGCAGAGATTCTACCTGCTGAGCGGAAAATATCACGGGCAGTTCAGGAGAAGCTTGAAGAGGATGACAGGGAGATTGCTCGGCTAGAGAAAGCCTTGGGGCTGAAAGGGAAAAAGAAGCTCCCGAAATCTTTTGAAGAAGATGGGTTAGCTGATATACTGGGTGATCTGGGAGGATACGACTCCGAGACTGACTTGAGGAAGCGCAAGAAAGAGGGCGATGAATGGCTACAAAATAAAAGGAGGAAGGGACAGGCACAGGCACAGGCAGATGTCAGTCTTGACGAAGAAACTGATGAGAGCAATGATGATTTCGATATGGACGGTGAAGAGGATGAAACGGGAGACGATGATGATGGTGATTTGCTGGAGGAATCAGAAGGCAGTGACGAGAGCAGTGAAGGGGACAGTATGGACGAGTTCGAAGGCTTCGAGGACGAACCCGAGCAGCCTCCAAAGCGAATAAAAGAGAATCCATATGTCGCACCTATAGCCCCCTCCAGCAACGACCAGCCAAAATATATCCCCCCATCCCTGCGTGCGGCTGCATCAACTGAACCCGAAGCTCTCGTTCGCGTTCGTCGTCAACTGCAAGGCCAGCTCAACAAACTATCCGAGGCCAACCTGATATCTATACTCTCCGAGATCGAAAAGATGTATCAAGACCACCCTCGGAAAAACGTCACATCTACTTTAATAGACCTCTTGCTTGCTCTAATAGCAGATAGGAGCGCCCTTAACGATACCTTCATCATCCTTCACGCTGCCTTCATATCTGCGGTGTATAAGGTGGTTGGGATGGATTTTGGAGCAGAGCTTGTCCAGCGTATCGTGGAGAAGTTTGATGAAATCTACGAAGACAAATACACTAGCGATCATGCATCAAAGAGCAAGATGCTGTCCAACCTGATGTCTTTGCTATCGCATCTATATAATTTTCATGTTATCGGAAGCAGTCTAGCGTTTGACTATATCCGTCTACTGCTGACGGAGATTAATGAGCTGAACACTGAACTGCTTCTGAAAATTATCAAGAGTAAGTTATAATCCACTTATTCCTAGGTGCCCTCGCCATATGCAGATGCTAATTCCGACGATAGGTTCTGGACCTCAGCTGAGGCAAGATGACCCCTCTGCGCTCAAGGACATTGTAATGCTGGTTCAGCCTGCGGTAGCTCAAGTCGGCGAGGCAGCATTGTCAGTTCGTACAAAGTTTATGATTGAAATAATCACAGACCTCAAAAATAACCGTCTAAAAACCGGCATTGCCGGCACAGCAATAGCTTCCGAGCACATTACCAAAATGAGAAAAGTGCTTGGAACTCTGAACAGCAGAAACCTCAGAGCTAGCGAGCCACTCAGAATAAGCCGGGCGGATATTCATAACTCCTCCAAGACAGGTAAATGGTGGCTTGTTGGGGCAAGCTGGAAGGACCCCTCAATGGTCAACGACCATGGCAATGAATCTAGTACAACTCGTGATGCACTTGTGGCAGACACTCTAGACGACGATATCACGGGAGGAGAAGTTGACTTGGGCCGACTTGCCAGAGCCCATCGCATGAATACCGATGTTCGACGATCGATATTCGTTGCAATAATGTCAGCAACTGACTGTCGAGATGCATATCTCCGGCTGACCAAGCTCCGTTTGAAGCGAAATCAGGAGGCGGAAATTCCTCGCGTGTTGATGCATTGTGCAACTGAAGAGGAAGCACACAATCCCTACTACACGCTGATAGCACGTAAACTATGCAGCGAGAAGAAAATGAGAATGGCGTTTATGTTCTCCCTTTGGGATATTTTCAAGAGGATGGGAGAGCGAGGCCATTTGGACGAGGAGGACGATGATTTCGGTGGCTTCGATTTCGAAGAAAAGGAAAATGCACTCAGCACACGAGCGATATTTAACCTGGCGAAAATGTTTGCCAGTCTAATCGTAGAGGGTAGTTTGTCTTTGGGCATCCTTAAAATCCTCGATTTCCCATACCTGCAGCCGAAAACGAAGATGTTTGTGGAGATTCTTCTGATCACAGTCATGATCCAGTCACAACAGAAATCGTACAAGAAAGCCAAAAGTGAAGGCAACGGCGACGGTGAATACGACGAGAAGGCTCTAGTAACTATCTTTATGAAAACCACTGAGACGCCACAGGTTGTTGCAGGGCTTCGATATTTCATGCGCAAAGTCGTCACTAAGTCAGACGTGGTGTCTTCGAAACGTGATAAGAAACTAGTGAAATGGGCATGCAAAATGGCCCTTGACACGCTGAGTATTGTTGCAGAAGGAGGTTCAGCAGCTTAGTTTAGATACCCATTTCATGAATTAAGGTAGATAGAGAATCGACAGATTCAATTTTGGTTTAATTGAGAATACACATCGTTTAAAGAATGGAGAGTATTCACATCGCCCCCTATAGTTCGGTGGTCCGTACCAGGAAGATAGTCCATCCCATCTCGGAGTAATAAAAAACTTTCCCAGCCAGCGTTAATGGCTCCTTGATAGTCATCACCGTAGTCATCCCCGATATGGATACGTCTCCAGTCACCATCCACTTCGCACGAAGGGTCCGTAACTAATAAATGTTCTTTTGCTCTAGATTTGGCGATGTCAAAGATATGGCGATGCGGTTTCTCTTCTCTGGCTTCATAGCTTGTCACTATGAAGTCAACGTCGTTCAATTCGGGTTCACCCTTGGGGATGGATGGCGGTACACGAGGTAGCAACTCTCCACTGTCTGCCCATGCATTGCCAACTGATAACCCCAGTGATCTCAGGATTGGCGATACCCTGTCATCGGAGTTAGACACCACGCCTATAATAACATTATGGATATCATCATTCCCAAGGCAGCCAGCTTTCTTTTTCTCTTGTAGCTCCTTCTTCCAAGACTTTAGGCGTCCAAAGAACACCTCGACGTCTTCAAACAGGGCATATCCTTCTTTGCTCTCAAATCGTTGAAGGATGTCAGCTACCAAGGAAGCTGGCACCTCTCGTGCTACCCCTGTGCCCGAGCCACCGCCACTCTCGTTTTCAATGTGGATGCGTGCGAAACAACCCCTTATAACATTCGCCCACCATTCCCTAGGGCCACCAAACCCTGATGTGTTCCTGCCATAATTTGGCCTTAAAGCACTCTCCTGTTTATAAGCAACCTTGAATGCAGCTTGTACTGATTCTGCTGTGACATTTTGGGATATAAAGCCGGCAGCCTTTGCAATTTGATTTACTGCAGCGCGACATGTTGCCGAGGGTAGAATATCGTGTTAAACGCATCTAGCGTCAAAAGGATGGTCCGAGAGCGAGGGTAAGGAGTTGATATCATTGCAATTGCAGTAAATTTTTAATTATAGCTTTCAGGCAATATCTTGAATTCTTTTTGATGGTTTGGGCCATTGATTGGACGTTGATCAGAGTTGCTGGTTGTTCTGGTTCTGGTTTGCCAAGAACCTCGGCTGACGCGCAGAGCCTCATCTTTAATTGAACATCAACCGCGTTTTCGCGCGTAGTTTGCTTGACTAAACTTCTCAACTTCATCAACCACTTTGGCGGTGTCTGGTAAGACGGTGCGTAAGAAAAATGCAGTGATTGCCTGAGATCTGAGAAATTAATATAGGGAGCAATATACCATGCCATATGAATGTAAGTCGGTTGTGACATTCAGGGCAATGGAAGTTGCTGATTTCTTCTCTAGCAGACACCAGGAAACGCGCGTCAAAAGTCTGAGGACGAATACCCTGAATATTCTAGCGAGTCTCGGCTTCCGCACTCGGTATCCAGAACTCCGCGGTTTCGTTTGGGGCCGCTGCAGCCCCAGAGCAGTGTTCAATTCGCATCAACTCCGCGTTTCTTATTTAGAGGCGATAGTCATTCTCATCGCCCCACAGCAGTTGAGGAGATCAACCGGGATAACCAAGAGGATGTTCAACGTTTGAAAAGACCATCTTCTTCTCTTCATGGTGAAGTAATTCAGGATTCGGATTCGGAATCGGAATCGATAGATAATACCGGAAGCATTTTGTCTGGACGTGGAGACGAGCCAGGTAACCAGACTGTCACCAGTGGAGACGCATGTGGCAGCGATGATGAAATAATAGTCCCCTTTTCTCCCACTCGGCCAAAAACTAAGCGGCAAAAGCAGCTCTTCAAGTCACCTCCGATAAGGGCTGATCCCAATGCTAGGAGGAGCATCCCCGGCGACGATGCTATTGCGTCTTCTTCTCTAGGGAGCTCGCCGCCGGCCTTTGCGGAGGATACTAGGAGCCCACGCTCCGAGCTAAATGAAGAGGAGATTGTTACACCTGTTCGAAAGGAGCCATTCCATGGGCAATTATCGGCCAGTCATCCTCGATTTATTGTTAATCAAAGGCAGATCGATACCCCCACGCAACTGAACTATTCTCAAGTTCACTATCACGGGGAAGCAGTGGCCCCTGAATCTACACCACGACAGAAACCTCGTTTTGTTCTACCATCTACCCCAGAAGCCGCACTTGGTGAGAAGAAGACAGGTCCCGTGACGAGCCCCAGCCCATTCTCCCCACTGGTACGTCGCTCAAAGCGTGGCCGTGCTAGTTCGTTAGCCAAGCCAGATTTTATCTCCGATGGAATGGCGACGCAAGTTCGAAACTGGATACTAGAAATTGGGGTTAACCGTCTGGCTACCGGCCAGCCATCACCGTTACCAGCTTCGATGCTGTTTTCATCTACGCACCCGGTGTCGGGTAATAATGATGCCGGCGCAAGCCAGGTATATCCCCACGACAATCACTGCCTCATTACGAAGGTTAGCGTGGCAAAGCTTTCAACTAAGCGTTTTTTCCGTGGAGCTGGGCACCCAGCGCCATTTATACTTTGCAAGCATGAAGTAGGAGATAAATCAGCTTTATTTACGACGCTTCTACTTAACCCTCCTCTAAAGGCACCATCATCATTAATATCTACCTTCAAGACAATTCAGGACGGGAGTTCCATTGGCATTAGAAAGGCGCTTGCATGGGAGATAGAGATTGACTCGTTTCCTACTGACCTTGACTACGCTAGGAAAGACAATATTGATACGACCGAGAAACCCTCTCAACTATGCTTGGTGGGGACTCACTGGGATATAATAGACTGAAAGGAAAAGTCTTTAATTATACGTTAATGAGAAATACTTAACATATCAAATTGCCGCCCGACGCCTAACCACATGCCGTTGACTCCTATTAGCGTTATAGCCACACCCAAAGCAAGTATATACATCTATTCGTTAGCCAGGGATTGTTATCACTCCCATTCACTCGGCTTTGAGCCTAGCAGCCCGCTCAGCCCACCTGCCATATTCATCCGCTGAGCGATCAAACTAGAAGAGCTAGAGTTCTTTAGCCCCTTCTTGAGCTGTAGCTCTCTTTCCTTCTCTCTTGCCGCCGCGTAATAATTCACTGCACCCTTCCTGCTGCCCTGTACTCCAGCGGACTCCGTGACTACAACGGAAGAACTTGAGCTGGTGGATGATGAAGATTTTGTAGTTGCCACGGACAAGCCTGAGGATGACCGTCTTTGGAGGAAAGGGGGGAGCTTGAATTCGGGGCCCACGCTGTTCATGTTGGAGTGGAAGGCAAGTTTATTTCCCGAAGCTGCGTTAGACGATGCCTGACGCCGGAGTGCGAGACGGTCAACCACTCTTCCTCTTTGTCGGCGAGGCTGAGTGGCATTGTCCACTTGGCTTGTCCTGTCTAGTTTATCTGCCTGAAGAGTTTCTCCGTTACCGACGAAATCATCTTCAATACCACCAGAGTGAGCAGACCGTGCTGCGGCATCATGTGGCGTTATATTGCTTGACAGAGGAACTCCTGACGCAGCACCTGTATCAGGGCCATCAAGTAAGAACGACACAGATTCACGTATTTCAGCAAGGGTTAGAGGTTTCTTCATGCTTGCTTTACGGGCCAGCTTTCGAGATTTCACGGGAAGTCGGTTTAGTGAGTCCGCCGCAACAGCATCAAAAGGACGTTTTCTGGCAACAGGTTCACCATCCCTTTGGCTGCTATCATTGCCATTGTTATTGCTCTCTTGGGACGCAACGCAATTGTCGGTATCTTCGCCTTCTTCCAAGAAGTCAGAGTCATTATCGATGCCCATATCCTCGATAGTTCTCATAAAAGCTGCCTTTTTCGGGTCCCCAGCGATTTTACCAATCTTCTCATCTGCAAGTAGAGCCTTTCGCATTTTCATAAATTCTTTCCGTTTTGCTGCTCGTTGTCGGGAGATACGCTCATCGTCTGAGTCTGACAAATCTAAAGCGTCACCAACACGCTTTCTGCGCAATGCTCCAGTAGTAATATCTTTCATGAGTTTATTCAATTGAAACTCATCTTGCTCACGCTCATGATGACTGTAAACAGATTAGACACTTAAATCACCTGGAAAATGATGGAGCATCGGAATACATACGCGTTCATTGCAGCCAGTTCTTTTTCATCCACTATCTCCCCACTATTATCATTAATCATCTGCCTGTCAAGCTCGTCTTCCGATCCGGAATCTTCGTCACTTGCACCTCCAAGGCCTGCGTATTCATCGTCGGATTCCTCGGCAGCTTCTTCAACCATCTCCTTTGCCTTGCTTTTATCCTTTATGAATGGCCTGCTTGCCCTCTTTTCCATTGATTCGAAAGCATTAACCTTGGTTTGCGGCTCGCCATCTTCGTCATTATCGGTGTCCTGGTGAATTTGACCACGTCTAAGCCGTCGCCTTTCCTTTCTATGACCACCAGCCCGGTTGGAAGATATTACAGAACCAGCAGTGGTTGATAGGGCGTGTCGGAATCGTTTCTCTTGGTCAAATGGTGACATGACGAATCCATTGTCTTGAGTTGGCTCTGGGAATTGTGAATATTCTGTAAAGGTTTTGGTACTTGGGGAATCAACCGCTGGGGTATTGCATTCTGGGAATCCAGCAAATATATCAAGACTTCCGCTTTCTTGACACTGGGTTTCACGCATGAAACCTTGCGAGTCTGAATCAAACAGGTCAGATACGGGAAGATCGATACCAGGCATCTTACGTAGCTGTGCCAGAGAGTCCTCTTGGGAGTCATCCTGACTGTTCCCCAAAGTTGCGGCAAAAGCCTGCGATAACCCCAGAAGTGGAATGTTTGATTGTCCAAGATTAGGTATCTTTGGTTTTGGGGTAGTAGGCACTTGGGTATCGATAGGTTTATCATCCTCCTCATCATCACTAACGACGAGTTTTGACCTATTTCTTTGCCGCAAGCTCAATTTGCTAATATTCTGCTTTCCGACGTCCTCATCCTCATCCTCTGATTCGGCATCTTCTTCAGCTTGGTCATCAACGAGTTTCATATTTTGTTCTTTTTCCCCTTCTTCGTCACTACCATCCTCACTATCCATGGTGCCCTCAGAACCCTCTTCTGCGTCCTCAATGTATTCTTCTTCCTCGTCGCTGGCAATATCATCCACATGTTCTCCATTCGACTTTGCGGCTGCACGTTTGGAGGCGGCTTTTTCTTGTTGTGCAATCTGGTCCGCCTCTTCCCTGGCCTTCTCTACCAAATCTTCAACCTCCTCCTCGCCACGGACACGTTCTTCGGCGGTTTGGATAATTACACCTTTAGCCCGGAGTGCTGCAATCTTTTCTTCTCGTTGTTGCGCAGCTTGTTCCCTGGCCTTCCGAAGTAGGATGTCATCAAGATCTCCCTGGGTCATAGGTTGCGGTTTCCGGCTAGACTGCAGTTGTGCCAATGCTTTCAATGTCCGAAGCGAGTTCGATAATTTATGAGACTTCTGTGTTGTTACGTTTTCAAATAGAGCTAAACGGCGAGCTTTGTGGGGAGAGGTGACTACCTCGAGATCTGATTCTGAGTCGTGTTGCTGGTTTTGGGCAATGGTTTCTCGAGATAACCGGACTTGTATTTTTTTCCTGGGTTTATTTATTTTTGGGGCAGTTGAGATAGAAACAATTTTTTCTTTCAAAGTTTGCTGTTCAAGTTGACTTGGTTGAAGCGCCTCGAGCTCGTTTCTAGCAGCTAGTAGGTCATCGATGGTCATTTCCATGTCCTCCTTTAGAAGGCTTTCTAAGTTCGGGGTTGTCTCTTCGGTCGCAGCATGCTTATCCTCCCAGTTCTTCCTTGTTTCTCTAATAGGGGAAGTCGGAGGTGTAGAGTGCAGAGCCTCCGCATCCGAAGTTTGAGCTGGGGTATCAGAAACCGAGCCACTGTTTGAAGGAGCAGGCGCAGTTTTCTTGTTAAATTTTTCCAGAAAGCTACCAATACTTATCTTTTTCTTGGTAGTAGCCTCATGTGCTAATTGCATGTTCCGAGCCATCCGCTGTGTTTCCCGGTTCATCTCAAGTAGCGCCTTCTTACTAGCTTTTCTCATAGGTCGTGGCTGTTGGGTAAGCCTCTGGATGGCTTCACCACCTTCATCACCATCGTCATCATCTTCATCTCCCTCAGTATCTATTTCCATACTTCTCTGCTCCCTCTCCTGCTCCCTGGCAAGTTTCTCTTCCTCCTGTCGTTTTAGTTTCATTCGCTTCTCAATAACAAGGGATTGGAGACGAGAAGTTGGAGGGGAAGCTGCTGTTGCATGTGTATCATGCTGAGCTGTCTTCGTAGAGCCTGGAGATTCCACTGGAACAAATAATGGCGACGGTGACCGTGATGCGGCGTTATTCCGTGACATGGCCGGGGAGGGGTTTTCTCTTGTTTGTGTAGTTCCCCCTCTTCTTCCAAAGGTGACTATATCGTCATTTTCTGAATCCGATCCAGAATCCAGCCCAGGCGTTTCCTTGTGTGACAATATATGGTTCGATGGGTTTCGTGTTATAGTTGACCTCTCATCCTCAGGAAGACCTGATTCTTTAGAGTAAGTGCTCGCTAGCATCCTAGCGGCTAATCTTCCCCGTGGTGCAACTGGCAACTGATCTTCCTCGTCGTCATCACTATCCATATCCACCACTCTAGAAGGACGGTCGGCACTGGGTCTCGCGGTGGGCTTCGATGTAGCATTATCTGACTCTGAATCTGTGTCAAACGCGGCAAGCATAGCTTTAATCTTTCGTCCAGGGGTCATAGTGACCGGCGAGCTGCCATGATGGATGCCAGAACTCTCAATGCTCTGCTGGGTATTGCTTGGAGTATGGGAGCGCGTCGAGCGCGGGGAGGTGGTAGCCATGACTATTATGAGTGCGAGTTAATATAAAATCATAGATGTCGGATAAACTAAAGGGACTAATATTGTCCCAAAGAAATATATAACTTAAAGAGGAGAAGAATGAGAAGAGGAGGTTGGAGAATGACTTGATGTTTGATAGTTCATCGTCGCCGCGTCTCTAGATTTGTTCTGCGTTTTGGCGTCGAGACGCGAAGAACCAATTAGCGACGCGTTGTACCTTAGTAAGCCGTTAGTCACTGATCTTCGGATAAACTACTGTACGATTTTGATTAGTAATATATGCAAACGGTGCAAATAGAACAAACAAGCTAAACAAACAAGTTTACATGGGGCGCGCTTCAAGTCAAGACGATATAATAAGAACCGATGAAACGCATGCTTGTCATTAATATTGGATCTAAAAGTACAGTAGAGCTGTAGGCCGTACATTTTGGCCAGGATTCAAGATCACTCTGGGCCTTTGGGGCTCCACCTAAGTTTCGGCGCAGATGGGCGCAGAACCATCTCTGGTTCTTTGGCTTTGGGGGATTTAGGGCAAGATCTGGCAAGATGGGCCTGAAGGTCTTGTTCCATGACCTCTGCGGCTCGGTCACCGTAGTGGTACATATAGAACTCTGAGTTGCTCCGGCAAATGGTCTGTGTAATCATTTTGATAGCTTCGGCTTGGAGATTCTCCTTATTCTCTAGGCTTTTCTTCTCTGCCGCGGCTTGAGCTTCAAGCTTCTGTTTCTTCGTTTGAGGCTCCTCTAAGGATGCAGCAATTTTCTTTCGGTTGGCTTCTATCAATTTTTGCCGCCTCTCCTTAGCTGCAAGGTATTTAAGCGAGTGGCCTAGTCCCTGGTGACTGTTTGATACCACGTCCAGGGGCGGAACATTGAAGAAAAGAACACGTCCTTGTTCATCTTGCTGAAAATGATCACGAATATCCTTTGGAATTGATTGGTCCAGCCCGTCACGAAGGTGGAAGGTTTCTACACTGCGTGGCGCATTCGGGTTGTAAACAGGTGGCGGGATGTTTGCTTGAGGCAAGCGGCCTCCTTGATAAGCAGGGAAATTATGAGGTGCGGAATAAGGTTGTACAGGTTGAGGGGCTTGGTATGGAGGCTGTGGTGTTTGTGGATGAACTGGCAAGTTACGGTTGTTATGGTTGACTGGGTACATAGGCATACTCGGTGGCGTTGGATGGTACGGGTGTGATCTCCCGGGCATTATGGAAGGTTGAGGAGAGGCAGCAAGGTGGGGAGGGTGAGGCAAACGTCCAGGAAGGTGTGGGATGGAATTATGTCGAACATGATCTTGGCCAGGCATAGGCTGCATAGGCGTATGAGGCTGAACCATGGACGGTGGCCTTGGTATTGGTAAGGCAGCAGGCGGTTGAAGCTGTGGTGGAGGTGGTGAAGGTGTCGGCTCTGGCGGAGGAGACTCCTAACGAGCAGGTCAGTAAACTTCGTAAACCAGGTAAAAGGCACATTAGGCATTGTAGACAGGTGGTCACTCACATTCTCATCGCGTGGGCGGCAATGGACAGCTCCCACAATGGGTGGCGCATTATCAGCACCCCAGGTGGGCTTTGGAAGGTCGTCTGTTTCCTTTGCATCTTCCTTGAGGAGATGTCTAATGGGACTCGGGATCTTCTTGATCTTCCGAGGAGCATCAAAGAGCTCCATCTCGTAGTCTTTCTCGCGTACCTCGTCGGGCAGGCAGCTTGCCCAGGTTTTGATCTTGTTGAGCTTGTGTTTTTCTTCATTGTACCTAGCTTCACAAACATAAACCTCTTTGTTGAGCGGCAGGTCTCGCGGGCGCCCACGATTGTAGCGCGTGAAGAACATAACAAAGCATCTGTCAACAACTTCGTCTATTCGGTGGTCTCTATATTGGCCGGTCTTGACTACTTCATTGGGATAGAAATGCTTCTCGAAATGATGGACTGTTTGCTCAGGTCGGTAATACCAACAGGCATTGATCCATTTTTCGCCTTCAGGATCCTGCCAGGTCCGATATAGCTGAGCGACGATAGGTTTCGTGGCATCATTTGGATTCTGGAGGTGGACCCAATCACCAACTCGCCAGATCTCATCTTTGAATGAAATACCATTGGGCAAAGGTAAGCGGCCGTCTTCCATCAAGTATTCGCTGTCTGCCTTGTTCTTCTCCTGTTCGGCAAGCCGATGCGCCTCTCTGTGCAAATCAACGGCGTCTCGGTATATCTGACTCTCCGGGAGGTTATAGACCTTTGCATTGTTAAACATGACATCAACATCCCTCATAAAGTGGTCAACGGAAATGTACTTCTTGCGTTTAGACTTCCTCTTGATGAGATCTATAGCAAGCGGCTCCTTGATTTCCACGTAGTAATCCGGATACGCCGACTTATCTGGAAGGCGCTCAAAATGGCGAACTTTCATCTGACCGCTGTTGTCTTTCAGCTTGCGGATTCCTTTAAGAACGGCTTTGATCCTAGCTTCCATAGGGGTGTCAACACGGGGAGGGCGTCCACGTCTCTTGCGCCCATCAGCATCAGCTCCCTTGTGAAAGTCGTTCGCCCCACTCTCTCGTTTCGAGCTAAGGCGAGGTCTGCCTTTACGTTTTCGGCGCGGTGCTTCATCATCTGAATCTTCGGCTTCTTCATCCTCTTCCTCCTCTTCTTCTTCCTCTTCCTCTTCTTCAGCGGGGAGAGGGTCGGCTTCGGGTATTTCCCCAAGATCAGGAAGTTGAGCCGTTTCAGGAGAGATAATTTCCTGTTCTGCAAGCTTCTGAAACTCGGATATCATGACTTCCTGCAAAAAAGAAAAGTCGAAAATTTAGCCTTGTTCCTCGATCTATAGTGGGAAGAGTGGTATACTTTGATAATGAGCGCGTCTTCATATGCCATGGACTTTGGGCGATTATAAGTTTGCGCATTATGTGGGATCTGTACATCCAGTGTTAACATCACCCACTATAGCTACTCGTAGAGGTAGGTAGTGGTCTTACCAAGGCACAGTCCCTGACATACTCCGCGAAATGGGTATAGGCTTTGGTCTTTATCTTCTGTTTCAACACGCTCAGGGCCATCGGTTCCTTGATCACATCGTAGTAATCGGGTACGTTGCGCTTGTTAACGCTTCGGTGGAAGAGCCTCGAAGGGTCATGGCCACTGTTTTCAACCGAGTTAGCTTGAGAACGAGACGGATGCTGGTATAGGCACGATCGCATAAACATACTCTGGCTCTCGATAGTTGTATAGGCTTATGAGAACATCAGACATGGCCCTCCATTGCACAAGTGTGACTTGGCTGACAGGCGTATCGGCGGCCTTGGAGCTCTCGATCGATTCGACTACCCCGGCGGCCTCAGCTGTCGGCGGCTGCTGCGCAGCCTCCTGCAGCTGTTTCTCGGTGCCAACGGCACCACCAGGGTTATCCTCCGCCATGGCTAGACGTGTTTCCAGTGTACTTGAGCCCCGCGACGGCCAGCTACCGGAAGAAAGCGAGAGAGTCAAGTCGCAGCAAAGGCAAAGTGAAAGCGAGCGAAACTCGTCAAGTTTAATCGCGAACTTCTTTTTCCCGCGTCTAGGATCATGTGATTTAGAGTTATCGGATTTACATTTGGCCGTCCAGTATAAAAGTCAAAATGGCATGGACCAAGTGAAGTGATTGTGAGTGACTGTCAGTGTCAGGACATCCATAACAAACTGGGATAACGAGAAAGACGGTCAGGCAATCGATATATTGATCATATTAACCTGTTTATGGAACGGCTGAGGGCGTCATCATGAGACTCCGGATCCGCGGCCCTAATGGCCAGTCTGCCATCACTCTAGAGGACACGGCAACTGTGGAAGAGCTACTGAACCATATTAGCCAAGTGACCACATTATCATCATTCGATATAAAATATGGATATCCACCGCAGCCTCTCACTCTCAGCCAGTTTGATGCCAAGTCTAAGGTCATAGATATAGGCGTCAATTTGAATGGGGAGCAGCTTATCGTGAGTAAGAGGGAAGAGCCAGCGGGTCAACCGCAACCATCAAACGACCAAGCAAAGGGGAGGTCAGCAGCACCACTTTCCCTCACCAAGAAGAAGAGCAGCATAGAAGACAATGCCCCCGAGATTCCATCCCCTGAGCATGGGGGAACGATTGTCCTTCGAGTCATGCCTGATGATAATTCATGTCTATTCCGCGCCGTTGGCAGTGCAGTCATAGGCGCGATGGACACTATGACTGAACTACGATCCATCATTGCCCAAAGCATTCAAGCACAACCAGACTTCTACACTACTGCAGTCCTGGAAAAATCCCCAGACGACTACTGCAGGTGGATTCAGACTGAGCATGCGTGGGGGGGTGGAATCGAACTCGGTATCTTGAGCAAACACTTTGAGATTGAAATATGCTCAATAGATGTCCAGACTCTACGCATAGACCGATTTAATGAGGGCTGTCCAACCCGCTGCATTGTGGTATACTCTGGAATTCACTATGACACCGTTGCCTTATCTCCGTCCGATGAACCCTACACCCATGCATACGCGCCACCAGAGTTTGACACCAGGATATTTGACTCGTCAGACTCGATAATCCTGGAAAAGGCCATAGAGTTATGTCGGATATTAAAGGAGAAGCACTATTATACTGACACCTCGAACTTCCAAATTAAATGCAACATCTGCGGAGGACTCTTTATTGGTGAAAAGGGTGCCACCGCCCACGCATCGGAGACCGGCCATTATGACTTTGGGGAGGCAGGCTAATCCAGTTGGAGTATTAATGCCATATATCATCGATATAGCGATAACATCATTTACAACGATGCTGGGTTAACATTTTTTTCTATATCCAGCTAAAAAAAAAAAAAAAAAAAGCAACGCCTCTAAGAGCCCAGTGTAGTGCACGAAATATAACTAACATGAATCCAACCATCAACAATGCACCCCCTGGTCTGTGGCTCCTATTCCACTCCGGGCACATGCAGTAGTCCAATTGGTGATATTTAACAGTGAACACGAAAGCTGAATCAAGAATAAACTCAGTTGAATCGAGGACTGATAGCTCGTCCACCTATGGCATTGGTTCTAGGTCGCAGAATGCAGACTGGGAGTCCATAATATCAAGGTGGTATGAGGCTGGAGTCAGCCCAGCATAGAGGACTCGCCAATCATTGACTACGTAGTTAACTAGCTACAATTGGCATGATAATCGTGTTTTGCTTCTTACTTGACTTGCTTATCCACCGACTCATCCTCCACCCCAGGATCACTCACTGTTCAAAATACACGGCGCTTTCCGTATGCAGACTCCGCGCCTTGGAAGAATACGTCTGCTGAGCCACTGAGTCACCCAAAAGCGCGATCAACAGCTGCTAAGATTTTACCCAAGCACTAAGTGTCGTGCCACCGCGGGACGGTCAAACGGAAGCTAGTCCTATAGTTATAAGACAGTGGAGCTGTACAGAGATTTCTCTGGAGATGAGGATCTGGATACATACTAATAAAATTCTAGGTACTCCGTATAAGATCTATTTACCATGGAAATAACTAGCTAGTTAATGGTTGGGTAGCTGGAGAAATGTTGATACATCCTCAGCTCTATATTGAGTGCCGGTCAGTCTCTAATCGCTCACTATCATGGGCACGCACTTATCCAAGACCTCCTTCTAAGTACTTAACTAACAGCGCCACCAAAGCGTGGCTCAACTCAATCACGACGTCACTAACTACTCCGTACTAGCTCACTAGTTTATGAGCCAGCAGGGGAACAAGCAGCTGCTGGTGGGTCGACCTGGCATCGGCTTCATCAGGCGGCGCAGCAAGAGTGTCAAGCTGCCCCTGGGCAGAGAGAGAACCCCGATGCGACATGGAGCCTCGAAAAGAAGATAAATAGACTGGACTTCTTCCTCTGTTTCCCCTTCACCTTGACTACGACCTAGTCAACTATTGCCTGTAGTTAACCAGCGGTACCCAAGTTAATTGCCGATAACTATATCCAGAGTGTGAACTTCGCTGGCTCGTCCTCCCACAGCCGCCGATATGGAGAACGATCTACTTATCCTGGTAGATGCCACATGGTCGATGCGCGACTACTTCAAAACGCTCAAGATGGCTCTGCCCCGGATCATCTCTGTCTCTGCCCTGACAGGATGTTTTTCTCGCATTGGGCTGCTTGCGTACCGGGACTACTCCGAAGCCCATATGCTAGAATGGTCAGGCTGGCTCGACGTGTACGGCGGGCCTGACGCCGATGGACATGATATCCTCGCTTTCGCAAACTCATTAGAAGTTGAAGGCGATAGGGTTTTCAACCCCGAAGCCGCAAAGACTGCACTTGCGAGGGCTTATGAGTTGATGCGCGTAGACGCAAAGACGATTCTCCTGTTGTATACTGACTCCTTTCCCCATTTTGGAGTCTCGGAAGCTCATAAGTGGATGGATACTTACATTGTTACTGAGACCGGAGTGCTGGAGCGAGAGGCACTGTCAGACCCATCATCGTACAGCGGCTACGGCCCAGCTTTCGTGGACTGGGTTTCCGCAACCAAGCTTCTGAGCGAGGGGGAGAAGGCTGTGCAGGTGTTTTCCTTGCTGTCGTCCGACATTTGCTGGAGAGAGGCTGCGTACTACATCTATCTTTCGACCTTAACCGGCGGCGCATGTGTGGTCGTTCAGGAGCCGAGTGCAGAGGAGATGTCTGCGGCCTCGGAGTCAGGGTCAGATGATGATTCTGACGCGACCATAGACTATGGCCCGTGTCCGGAATACCTAGATATATGTGCGAGAGTCATCTTCAAAGTGACCGTGGATCTGCTACTGACATGGATGGGCATCAAGCCAGCCGAAAATGCGACCACTGAAGACTCTGCAGCAGAAGAAAGCGACGTGCGCATTAGCATACAGGGTAATTCGGCCATTTTGGGCTATTATGAGTCAGTTGTCGATATCAAGACGCTCAATCATGAACTCGACCCTAGGGCAGGCCGGTTTTTCGTCATCGACTTGGACAACTTTATGGCTCATGACGCTGATTATATGCCAAACGTCGTTACCGTACTATTGACTCCGGATAATACCCAGAAATACATCCGGAAGAAGGACGAGCCGGTCACAAACTTCGCTATGGCCTGGGCTACAAATCCAGCATATCGATCTATGGCGCTCCAGCATCTGAAAAACATCATAAAGGCCGATGTCAGGGCAATAGCCGTCAACCCAGCCTTAGGAAGCCTGTGGAGGAGAATATGCAGTGATCGAACTTGTGATTCGCGACAGGAGCTTCTGGACGCCTTCAGTGCTGAAGCCGGAAAGCTCGAGAGTGCAAGAAGTAGGGATCGTTTAAAGATATGGTTGGAGAGCTCGTATGACTATACAGAAGAAGTGCTCGAGCTCATTAACAGCGTTCCAAATGAGGAACAGTTCCCCTGTGTATACCTCGATCCAACCCTAGACTTTACCCCAAGCAGTGCAGAAGCAGAAGATGATGAGTTTGGAAAGCCTATCACGGCTCTCACAAGAGTTAATCTGCTAGAAATTGGCCGATCCTGCGATCCTTCGGTTCTTCGACGCCATGGACGAATGCTCACTCAGCTGACGTATGTTGACAGAGCAGCGGACTTACCTGAACACATTGTAAATTCAACCAATGAGGAAGTCCCTAGGATTCCTATGGTACTGGCCCGTGACGAATATAAACGTCAATTCTGGAGGATCCTCCTGCATCTCGTTGTTCCCGGGACGAAGTTATCCGCCCGTGCTGCGGCTCTCCTGGCAGCACTCAGTTTGCGGCTGGGTATTACTCCCCTCATAGAGGTAGCTGAGTGGGAAGCACTTGGTTTCAGAGACAAGTGGAATGACCTCGAGACATCCGAGACTTGGTCAATTCCCTGCTTGAATCTGCTAATCAACGCAGACGACGCATATAACAAGCGACGAGCTGACCTTGAGGGAGAGATCGAAGATACTGATCTGGCCAAGGCAAAACCAGCCACGCTATTGAAGCCGAGTGATAGGGAGCTTTTTGAGAAGCTTATTGCCTATCGGATGCTGGAGGTAAACCTTGACAGTGCGTTGATTGCAAAGGTGGGCTGGACTCCTGAGAAGACGATAGCACCGTTGGGACCCACCGCCATTTGTCGATCGTGTGAATACCCGAGGTCAGTGAGTGTTATGAACAATAACGGCGAATGCGGTATTTGCATATGTGCCGCTCAGGATGATGCATGGAAAAAGGTCTTGGATGTTGGTGTTTCCAGAGAAGACAGCCCCGAATCACCGGCAATCTGGGTGGAATGTTGTGTGCAGACATGCAGAGCACAGTATGTGGTATACAACGTTACCTCCCTGAACGGCCGAGCGAAGTGCCATTACTGTCGACTTCAAAGTGCCACCCTATCGAAGTCACGGCAAATATGCCCAGATGCTCCTTGGATCGAGTGTATAAAGTGCCTGAATCGCTTTATCTGGCCTGTGGAATACCGTCCTTTTTCACTTTCTACTTCGAAGTTCACCTGCATACACTGTGATGCCGGGCGAAAAACTGTAGTTGAAATTGAAACGACAGCTAGGAAGATCTCAGAAGAGAACTCTTTCTCATGGCTGGTTTGCGATAACCAGAATCCAGAGCTTTGCCCCTTCACAGGCCGCTCGCTGCTAACTACCATTTCCAAATTTGGGACAGAAAACTTCACATCCCGAATGACGATATTCCCCGTCACCAATAAAACGCTAACGTTGAAGGGAAAGACGATACAAAACGTCTCCGAGGTTATTTCCACGCTACAGGATCTTGTTTCGCGTCTCAAGACAATCAAAGAGGATTGCTCATTGTGTATGTCGGTTTTCCGTCCTGACATGTTAAATGCAGCATGCGGTCGTCGCGGATGCCTCCAACGTGTATGCCGAGACTGTTTGAACCACTGGTACGGTCTCAACGCAGCAGGCCGAATCTTGAATATTGGCGCTCTGTTCTGCCCATTCTGCCGACGACCACCATCTGCAAAGACACTAGCAAGGTACGCTATGGGCGTACAAGCAGTAACAAACCTTTCAAAAGCAGTCGAAGAGCAAGGAACATGGATATACGCATGGTGCATTTCTTGCTCTTCAGCACGCCAGTTCATGGAGCGAGAATGTGCTCGAGGCACACCTCCGGAGGTATCCCGCTGGCACTGTCCGGAATGTGTGGAACAACGGGAAGAGCAGAAGATGGCGAAAAGAATAAGCAAAATCAAGCCATGTCCTGGATGTGGTGTGATGACGGAAAAAGTCTTTGGGTGCGCACATATAACATGTCCGGTCCCTGAATGTCAGGCTGAATGGTGCTACATCTGTGGGGAGCGTGCCGTGAACATAGACATTTACGAGCATCTCAACAATGCACATGGGGGGATTTTTGATCACTATGACTGAGATTGAGCATTTATTGATGAATAGCCAATAAGGATTCGAATGGTGTACGTAGTTTCACATATCAACCTGTATTATATTGTGTTTGGTTCCTGTATCGTCCAAAGGTCAAAACTACTCCGTATTCGACGCCAAGCTGATGTGAGCTGAGAAAAGGCCTGAGCGAGAATATTGGCCAAGTAATAACGGCAGTGGATACCAGCACGGTTGATCGTCATTCACTATCGAGACGCGCCCAAAACAGCCACGTCAAGGCACGTACGTAAAACAGTGCCTGAGCGGCCGTTTTGTGGTTGACGTTGAGTTTGATAGCCTTAAGCGCAGCGCCAAGTTAAGCGATCTCGGCGACTCGGGTATTAGTAATCAATTAAAACCTTATTTATTTCAACGACTTTCTTTCCGAAGGATCAATTTCTGTTTAGTGTTTTTCTTGTTGTGGTTGTTGTCTTTCTGAAAATTTCTTGTGTGGAAGTTATATTCCTGCAGATGTGAATCGGTATATTAAGATGCCCAAAATGATATATTAAATATACAGGAAAAAGAAGAAGGAACAGAGGCCTGTTCATAAAACCCATCACCCAGGATATCCAAAGGAGTGCATGATCAAGTGCACATATATCAGGGTAGTGTATTCAAAATAACCGATGGAAAGGTAAGAAAAGAACAAAGGAGCCAGAGCTAAACCAACAGCAGGAGTTTCGGGCATAAATCATGATCTCGGGGAATGCGTCAAGAAACATTCTGTGTCACGGACGAGGGAAGTGACAATACAGAATAATCGTAAGTCATGGATTTGTCAAACAAGTCACCAATATCAAAGATACCGTTGAAATCGAAAGATAAGACATCAGGATAGGAAGCTGGATGGGCTTGTGGCATTATTACGCCGTGTGAGGTGGTGTTTGGCACCATTGATGTTTGTTGGCCATGATGGTTGTGAATAATGGGGTTAGTAGGTGCTGTGCTAGGAGGTTGAGTGGCGGCAATAGTAGGAGTAGTAGCAGGGACAGGAGTAGGAGCAGCAACGGGAGGAGGTTGAGGAGGTGGGGGAGTGGATTGTATTGTTGGTGGTGAAGCGTCTAGTGATCTGACCGCTGCTCTGTCCGAGTTACTTATAGGGCTGATATCTCTATCGGTGAGGGACAGGATGTCACGGGCTATAGTCGCCATCTCGCGGTACGTCCGTTTCCCTAGTGGCCAGTACATGCTAAGGGTCTTAAGAGCGCCCATGTTCAGCCGGATACGCTCTCGTTCTATCTGAAGAGTCTTATCACGGTAGAGATGCTTGCAAGCCGAGAGATGGGCGATGGTTGTGTTTGCAATCATGCAAATGACGAAGGGAGTATGTGATATGATGGTTGTGGGGAGAGTGAGTAGATCGTTGAATTTATCCACCGCAAGCAAAACCTTAGAGGTGTGTATCTGAACATCCTTCGGAGTTTTGTTTGGGTTGTTGGCATCTGCGGGTGCTGGTGGGGCACATCTTGACACGGACTCGATCGGGCTGTAGGACAAACTTGATAGCTCACGGTGCAGATCAACGATATATCTAATAATTATTAGCAATTTTACAATCCACATTGGTGTCATTGGGCGTAACCAGATGTATCAAAAACGAAGGAATAAGAATAAGAAAAGAGAGACCTACGTATGTACCAGCATGTTTGCTTTAAATAGCTGTTCGTCAATGGTACCGTCTTCACGGGCAAGACAGCGTTTCTTTGGAGGTATAAGCGAACACCACGCCCGCATGCAGGTGTCTACACGAGAGCATACGACACTGGGTGGGTCTGGGTTGTTTGGTCTGCGCCCAGACAAGGCAAGGTCTAGCCCACGCGTAAGGCCAACAAGATGCGCGAATGATGAGAAATCTTGGTCTTCATCATCTGCGAACTCACGCATGTCGTACTCATACAAGGTTCTCGGCTTTGGAATGTCCTGCAGCCCAGTTGAAAAAGAAACGGTTAACATTCAGCCTACATAAATCTGCCGTCGCGGCAATTATTAGGGTATAACTTACCCCCTTTTCGTAAAGTTCTTCCTCGCACGGAAGAGCGGTCGTTGGCTGTATGTGGCTTGTTCTAAATGGGAAAGTGTGGGTACTTCCGGCAACATGTCCGTCAATGACATATAACTGCCACCAGGTCCGCCTCCAACTTTCTTCGAGGAGTCGGTTATTTTCACCGTACTGCTGTGCGAAGGAACCCAGATGCATACCCAGGTCGAGGGCCATGTGGATAGTTTCGTCGAGTAGCTTGAGCCCTCTCTCGATCTCGTTACACCAATACACTGCCACAGAGTACAACATCCAGGCCTGGACGTGGTAACCAGTTGGCTTTGCGCCGGAAGCTCTCAAGTCCGCAAACGCCTGCAGTATTTCAGGCTCAAAGACAGAGGAATTGACCGAGGGAGTGAACAAAGCACCGATGTACTGCATTGTCAGCAGCAGTGGGCGCAGAGTGGCGGGGTCCTGAGCCAGGCGTGTCTGGAAGGACCACCGGGGGAGGACACATGGGTGCGAGATGTGAAAGTACTTGTAGTACATATTGAGCAAATCTTCCGTGTGCGTCTCCGAGTTGGTAGCTGGACTGCTGCCGCTGCTGGTTGTGGTGGTGGCGCGAGTGGGTGTCACCATTGGGATGGACCTGGGTACTCCGCAATAGGCATCATTGAAGATATTCTCGTCTGGTACGGGAAGAGAGGCACAGTCCAGGGGTGGCGGCAAAGAGGCAGAGTGTTGCATGGGGAGTTCTGCAGGTACGGGGGAGGGAGAAGAGGTCGGCCTGCGACGCCCACCACGGCGGGACTTGAGATATGTGCACTGTTTCCCATCTGTCTGGCAGCGAGAGCACCGAGGCGCCTTTGCATCACATTTTAGGTGCCGTGATCGGCATTGGACACAGGCGAGTGAGACACGGATAAAGTGTCTGGTCGGTGCAAAGGAGGCCATTGACTCAGGGTGCTGAGACTCCACCGGAGTCACCATGGCGGGGGAAGTGTCGAATAAGTACGGAAGAGTTGGATATGGAGTAGGGTACGGTACAGAAGGCGAAACGATCGAAAATAAGACGAGGTGAATAGCGATATAAAATAAACTGGTTGGTTCAAACGGGGGCGGAAGAGGAGCGCTGTCGCCAGGATAAAGTAATATAGAGAGGGCTAGCCTTGGCCTGTGACGGAGGCCCTTGTCAACCCGTTACTCCTTGCGTCGATGTTGTTGCTTATATCTGTCTCTCACTCTCTCTGTCTCTCCGCCTGTCTGGCGATGCTTTTTGGCTCCTCTGGAACGCTTCCCGTGGGAGTAGTTACCTCAGCCGGTTGCCACACGAGTAGGGTCGCGGGAGCAGCCGTGCATGGCGATGATGCAGCCTATCGGTCCTAGAAGAGCCCCGTTCCGCCGTTGCTCTGGCTGACTGCCTGCCTGATGCCGTCTATCCGTCCGTCCTTCCGTCTGGCGTCACTTCACGTCTCTTCTGTATGTTCTTCCGTATTCCTTTTGCGAGCGAAAATGGGGATGAAGTCGACAGTTGATGTTGACGAAGGTTTGTGTCCCCTTTCCCCCTTCTTGATTATGTAAGCTCGCAAAAGTGGCGCTCGCCGCAGCGATGACAAACGGCGTCGCTATCTCTTCCCGGTCAGCACAAGCACGTAGATAGCATATGGCGAAAGGAGAATTTTTCTCGTACTGATGGCCTTTGTCCCTGCCTGGCTATACTCCCGTAGACATCAGTGTCCTGTGACATCAAGCGAAGCAGGAGGCCTACCAACTTTCGAGCCAGCCCGCCAGCCAAGAGGGTGCTGTCTGGCTATCCCTGGCCGCGCTGGTTGACGGTTCAGCCAAGGGCCGCCTGGTGATTGGCGGGGAGCAACGGCTTGTAGGAGGATTGAACTTGCGTGCAGATCTTCTTCATAGCCACCTTCACTGAACCGCGCTGTTGCTGCTGGTTGACTGAGAAAGAGAGAGAGAGGCCGTCAAAAAGGCCTGTAGTTATAGAACCTCCGAGGTTGTTTGTCTCCTTGTCTTTGCTGGACGTTAAAAGTACGGAGTAAACAAAAGGAGTGATCAGGAGCAGGACAGACTACCTCCTGAGTAAGATGGACCAAGAGGTCAAAGTCAGCATGGAAACAGGTCGCATGGCTCAGTTGGTTAGCGCGTCGTACTAATAATGCGAAGGTCGAGAGTTCGACCCTCTCTGTGACCAGTCCTTTCTTTTTTTATTTTTTTTTCCTACCACAATTTACCTCATACGGTACGTATTATTTTATATACCTCGAGAGTTTATTTTTTTATTCTTTCGAAAAAAAAAAATAACAAAAAAGGATAGTTAAATAATATATAATTATAACAGCACCATATATATGTGCTTAGTATATTTAAAAAAACATGAAGCAAAAAAAGAATCAGATGGTCACAGAGAGGGTCGAACTCTCGACCTTCGCATTATTAGTACGACGCGCTAACCAACTGAGCCATGCGACCTTATCTGATGAAAGAGCCGGACCAGCTTGTCGGTTTTGATAGTACAGACACTGCCAGCCACTCAGAAGCCACCATTTTAGCGAGCAACAACCACGTTGTACAGCCTGACAGCTGGAAGATGACACAGAAAAAAGCCACCCTAGTCTCCCCCGCCGGTTCTTTCCATTACTGGCCGGGCGCAGAGTGCCTCATGCGCCGTCGGTTCTTTGTGAGATTTCTCATGCAAGGGGGTCACACTTACATAAGCCACTTGAGCCGCCGGATAAACAAAGGACCGTGGCTTACCCTTTTCGGCCCCGGGAAAGACATCAAAGGACGACGACGTCTTCTTGTTCTTGTTCTTGTTCTTCTTCTTCTTCTTTTTTTGCTTCTTCTTCTTCGTCATTCTTTGCTTTCTCTCACTTTCAAGCGGCATCCATGATATCAGGACTGCTCGCCGGTAGAGGTTGGAGGTCTCTGGCCTAGTGCTGTGTGGTTAAGCGCCGTTTCGCAGAGTTGCGTGTCTCTGGCCCGGCCGGCGGCTCCTCTCCCACGACAGCCTTGTTTCCTGTCCTGCTCACGCTCGAGTGACCAATCTTCACATACACTCTCTGCCCTCCAGGACTTAGATTAATTCTTACGCCCTCCTCTGTGGCTTCAGTCAGGTTTGAAGCCCTATATCCACTAAACTTGGGTTTGGCCTTTGTTTGTTTTCTTTGTTCTATCCCCTGCCTAGATAGTCATTCGGGTCAAAGAGGGACACGAGGACACAAGGAACTTTGAGAAAACCTCCTTAGCCGATGAGAATGGACTGCTGAATATACTGGTTTGGCCGTTCACGCACCAATCCGGATATCCTAATGTTATCCATGGATCATTCACGCCCGAGGAGAGCTGCTATCCCCATCATAGACCCCTCGGGCCGGCAGGTCAATGTTGTCGAGCAGCTCAGGACAACCAGCCTCAACTCATATAGGCCTCAGTTTGGCGCTATTTCCGCCAATAATGCCAGAGCTGTGTCATATCCAACTGCAGTTTCAGCACCAGTCCTGCCTCTAGCAGCTCAAACTCCAAATCCTGGTGCCAATATCACCACTGGACCTGCTCGCTTCCATGGTCCTCGATCCCAGGGATCCCTTTCATCATGGACACCACACCCCTTTGCCCAGCCATACACACCGGCTTACCTGCTGGCCATCAATCGCTCCCCGGCCGTGAGTAAATATACCGTGCCCTTGAAGACTATAGACTTCAATGCATACCGCCAGCAGTTTGCTGGCGGTCTCTTTCTTGAACCTGCTCCTTCTCATGCCATGCCTCCCATCAGGAGTGTTCCCATTTCCGTGTCCCTGCACGTAAAGAACTTGGTCCCATCTAGCTATCTCTACTACTTCGACGAGTGTCTCTTGCTCGAGGCCTATCAACAGACTCTAGACTTAGCCCAGCTGTGTCTTTATAACGTGCCAGTTGCCCTTGTCGACCTGCAACGCCGCATATTTGAGATCAGAGTACCGGGGCTCAAGGACGATGCACCCGCCATCGAGCTTGGAGATACTGTCCTCGTACGTCAGATTCTACACTGTCCAAACCAGATGACAAGGGGAGTGGAGTGGCTTGCAAGTAACCAGCCTACGCTTACCGGTTCTATCGCCCCAGGTTTCAACGGCCAGCAGCTTCACTCAGTAGTAGTGGGCGTGTCCAGAACAAAGGAGGTCATCAGGTTGCGAATCGACCATTTTGACATGACCATCAGTTCCGCATACTCATCATGGCTTGCCAATATACTCTTCGTTGTTCAGCCTAATCGTTATGTGCCGCTCTGGGAGGCTGTCACTAGCATTGAGAACGGCTGGAACTGGCCGCAGTCTTCTCCCTCCATCCCAGAAGGGTGTTCTGGAAACGTTCAGGATGATACCAATTGGTTCCGCCACATGCTCTTCCCGGAGTCACAATACGGCTTCATCCAAGAAACTCTTCCGAAGGGTGTCTTTGACCTTGACTGGGTGGACCCGGATCTCAACTATGAACAAATGAAGGCTGTGGACTCGATAGTATCCAGAAACTATGGCAACGTACCTTTTTTGATCTCTGGTGTCCCAGGTTCAGGAAAGACGAAGACAGTCGTGGAATGTACCCTGCAGTTACTAAACTACTCTTCAGACGTCGAACCGCACATTCTACTCTGTGCACCATCTAACCCTGCCGCTGATACTCTAGCCATCCGACTAGCCTACCACCTGAAACCAGGTGAAATGTTCCGTCTCAACGGATGGTCAAGGACGTTTGCGGAGGTGCCTAGTGCCTTACTGCCTTACACATACATAGACAACGACCTTTTCTCTCTTCCTGGATTCAACGCCATGATGGGGTACAAGGTTGTCGTTACCACCTGCAGAGATGCAGAGATGCTCGTGAAGGCTCGTCTAACCAACCGCGACCTTATGAAACTTGCATGCGAAACCGTGGCTGCAGTCTCGCCAAAGGCTTCCGTTAAGGCCCAGGATATGCTTCATTGGACGGCCCTGCTGATTGATGAAGCAGCACATGACACGGAGCCGGCAGTGTGTATTCCGCTAACTGTAGTGGCTAGCCCTTTGCCTATCCACGAGCCTACAGACAACAAATCAAGTCTGCCCCTGTTCGTCATGGCAGGTGATCACCACCAACTAGGCCCCCGGATTCACAACTACGACACTTCTCTCTCCATCTCACTCTTCGAGCGTCTTTTCTCCCATCCTTTCTATGCAGATCACCCACTGTCTCGCCGGAACGCAGGGCCATATATTAAACTTGTCCAGGAGATGCTCCCTATCCAACGGCCCGCATTTACCAACCTAACCCGTAATTATCGTTCACACCCTGCCATTCTACCAGTCCCTTCTGTTCTGTTTTACAGCGACACCCTCATCCCCTGTGCTGCCCCCGCTGATCCAAATGGCCCTGTCCCAAGTTGGTCTGAGTGGAAGGCCCCACACCGCTGGCCAGTGCTGTTCAGCTGTAACTCCTCATTAGACAAGGTAGAAGAACTCCTCCACCGGTCCGCGGGGAATGGGGTGTTTAACCCTGGAGAAGCCTATCTGGCGTTATATTATGTCAAATCCCTCCTTCATCATTCTGACCAACTCAGCAAAGGCACCTCAGAATCCCCCTCATCCTTGGCCATCCACCCCGATGAAATTGCCATCATAACCCCCTTTAGAGCTCAGGTTACGCATCTTAGACATGTTTTCCGCTCTCACGACCTGCACTCGGTCAACATCGGCCCGCTGGAGGCGTTCCAGGGTCTTGAAACCCGCTTTCTCATAATTTGCACAACGCGCACGCGGCCGGGCGCACAGTTTGTAAAGCAAGACCAGTCCCTTGGCCTGGGTCTAGTGGGCGAAAAGAAGCGGTTCAATGTTGCCCTGACTCGAGCCAAGGAGGGAGTCATCGTAATAGGGAATCCAAACGTCCTGGTCGATTCAGGCAAAGATGAAACATGGCGAGAGTTCCTGAGTTACTGCGCAAGAAACGGATGCTGGGCAACTGAAGGCAGCCCCAAACTTGAAAGAATCGGTTCCCTTCTCCAGGAGTATGAAGTTGGCTCCGCACAGGAAAACACAAATAAGAGCGCAAGATGGTGGGCTAACAAGCTCGCCGGCGCCTATGTTGCAGCTGATAATAACAATAATGACAATGATAACGACCAGGAGAATAATATCCAAGACGTCGACGATAATGAAAGAGGAGAAAATAATAACGATAATCATAACGATAATGACTCTACTAATGATACAAATAGTGCAGATATCAGACTCTCAGGATATATCAGCAGGTTAGAAAGAGCCCTTCTATATGAAGAAATGGCCAAAATCAACACAGGAAATGGAACCCAGGCCCTTGAAAATCAATCTGCCTTGGGCCAAGGCGGTGCCTTGCATCCCAGTACGCCCGATGACTATGACTCCGCGATGTGGACGGCAGGTATTGCTGCGGAGGAAGTTCTTAGGGGTGCGTTGGATATTTGATGTGGGTTGGTTGAATTTTGACTTTTATTGGCTCCTGGGCCTACCAATGCCATGAACATATTGGTTTGCATTTATACATACATACACTACTACATGTAATTCTGCCTAGAAAGGATTCTGGGTTGTTTCTTAGATGCTCAACCAGTGCTATTCACAAGACTTAACTGGCATCTAATCGTTGAATGATGAACCCCAAAAGGCCTTTAATGCGCTAAACAAACTCCCTCCTCTAACCAAATAGTAGTGAGGATAAGAATAGGAGTGCACACCAATATCATGATAATATAATAAGCTTAGGAAAAGTATCTATAAAATGCCCTCCTAAAAGGAAAAGAAAATCAGATCCAGAAAGTGGTGGAATTCTAATATATCGTCTCTAAAGCAATAGCCAGGGTCTTTTTTTATAATGAGATATCCGGAAACAAAAATAGCAGTAACAGGAAATAAGCAAGCAACAAAGGTGCCGGGCCACTATGAACCTACCGCCCACTAAACCGCCCAACCTGCCTTACCCTATTATTGTATCCGTCTGCACCGGTCCAATGATTGTAATTCCCTGGTTAGCCCGGCTATCCTTAAAACAAAACTCAAGAAAGCAAGAACAGCGAAGCAAGCATGCCAAAGAAATTACCCATCCGCTCCAGATCCGATCGATATGCAAATTGCGTAAACATGGAAGAAGCAAGAGGACAAAAATGAAAATGTATAAAGATAAAAAGTGAAAAAGAAAAAAAGGGGGGGCAAGGAGAAAAATGAAGGAAGGGGAAGAAAAAGACCAGCAATAAGCAAATTATAACTGGAGGAAAGAGCAAGAAATAGGAAAAACCGTGGGATGAGGCCGTGTATTCGTGCATGCATATCACGTTTTAGTCGGATCGGCATTAGCGTTCATAATTTTCGATGTAAGATTGTCGTCCTCTCCTAACAAGTGCACTAGACGAGTTCTTTCCGAGCCCAATGTCTATTCTCTTCATCTCTTCACTCAGGGCGTCTAGTTCACCTCCCATACCGCCATTGGTGTAGGCGTCCGAGCCAGGGTGAACGGGTACCTTAGCTGGGATAGGCGGTCCGCTTTGTTGGTAGTAATTTGAATGAGAGGGTGAATGGGAGTGAAAGGGATGGGTGGGAGGGCAAGGGGAAGGCGAGCGCCGGTTTGCTTGGGCTTGAGCTTGAGCTTGAGCCTGTGCCTGGGCTGCCTGCCGTGCGCGATAATGAGGAGGTGTCATGACATTTGCGGGAGAGGAGTAGTTCGAAGAGAAGCTCTCTCGGTGAGGAAGTGGACTGGTGCCTCTCTGACGAGATGAAAATGAGGGGCGGTCCGTGGCGTTACCAGTAGCAGATGTGTTCTCGCCACTTGAACTGGATGATAGGGGAACATACGTGATACGTTTAGGGGGCCTGGCTGGCGGAGTGCCGCCGCTTGATTGTGTAGAAGAAGGCTGGTATGAATGCCTAGAAGAACTGGATGAAGTACTTGCTCGTTCTCGTGTTGTCACTCGTGCACCCACGGTATTGGTGTGTGAGGTGTGCTTGAACCGAACGACTACTCCTGGCTTCTTTGGTTTCCTTTCTGGCTCAGGCGCCCAGGTATCAAGGGGAAGATGGTCAGATGGATCAATAACTCTACCGTCATTACCGATAATAGGTCCGAGAGCGCGCAGTTTGTCGACTTCATGCTGGCGAGCAGCTTCCATGGCTTGCTCGGGCGTTTCATATGGGGATGCAGGCTGGATGAGGGCGGAAGAGAGAGAAGCATTAGGATTCAGCGTGTCATAGGAATCGGGGCCAAATGGTATCCCCTGAAGAGAGTCTGGGTCGGCGACTGGGGGTGGCTGTGGGCTCAGGGATTTCCGGGCAGGGACTTGTCGAGGGTCAGGCGAGACAGATTTGCGCTCTGGTACAGGTGAGCGAGAAGTACGAGTGGGCGTTTGTTGGAGCGGGACATAGCTTTGCCGCCTGGCAACCCTGTTGTCTAGTAGTGCTTGAGTTGGAGGATCCTCGATATGATCCAGGTGCATGGAGATATCGCTCCGGCGGCGAGCAACAATAAGGTCTGACGACGTGGATACCGGTTGTTCATAGCCGGCAATGAGAGAAGATGGGATCGATTCACCGCTAGAGGTGATTGGTCGTTCTGAGACTAGTACCGATTCCTGGGGTTGAGCAACAGAATGATATGACGGTGTTGGAGAGGTGGAATAAATCTGCTCATTTGGAATCGGCGAAGTACTGTACCTTCTGTTGGCCGCGATGTGGGGAGAATAAGCAACATATTCCTGGTGTATTTCTCCGGTCGATCGGTGGGAATTTCTAGAGCTACCGAGGCTGAGTGGTTGCGGGACTGGAATTGACTGAGAGCGATGGGCTAATTGGAGATCCATGACTTGAGTTGGCTCCGGCTGTGCTGGACTTGGTTGCTTCCCAAGCCCGTCGCGATGGATTGGAGGAGGCGGTGGAAGATCATGTTCCTCATCCGCTTCATGGACTTGCGGCTGCATATGGCCATACCCATGGTCTGGGTTGTAGCCATGGCTGCTGTTGATCGGATGATACTCCAACTGTCTAATAGGATTTCTCAAGGGGCTCTCATGAAACACGTCATTCCTAGGCATCGAAGAACTGTAGTGATGGTGAGAACCCGAGTGGTTGGCGGGAGCTTGAGTAAGTTGTAGCTGACGAGACTCGGGAGGAGTATGATAATGGCTGTATCCGTCCGGAGTACCATGTGCAGATCCCCTGGATATTTGATGATGTGAATGATGACTATTTGGCCGGGGATCTGAGCTAACAGACTGACGAACGGCTTTCCTTGGAGGCGTCTCGTATGGGCCACGATGGTGATTCGTAGCAACAAGGGCTTGAGAGTAATGGCCATCCATCTGCTGATCATAGTTATTCTGATGTGCTACATGCTCCTGTGGAGCATAATGATTGTCAGGGCTATGTCGCTGGCGAGACTCTATACGCTCGGGCTCGCGGTAATACTCCGCCTGTGGATTGCCGTACGAATTGTTACTAGAAGCTGAAACAGAGGGAGCAGGAGCGGTAGGGGGGGCCTGATTCTGGACCGGCACCATGGCCTGATGCTGCTGCACCGGTGGCTGGGAGACTTCTGGCTGGGAGTACGCATTCTCATAGTCACCTTGGTAATGCTGTTGAGGCTGGTGAGGATGATTATGAGAATAGGCCGCTAGAGGTTGAGCAGGGGCGGGTTCCTCCCATTGCTGATGAAGGTCATCTGGCGTCTCATAATGTCGAGCAGTACTAGGGGCAGCAGTATGCTGAACAGGCACAGGCTGAGCCTGGCTGGCATGGGGCACATTGCTGGGTATCTGTTGAGGCCTGACGGGAGCACTGTGCTCGGGCTGTGCTGGTTGTACTTGCTGAACCAGCTTCTTTGCTGGTTTATGTGATGGTTGATGGGATGGGGGGGCTGAACCGGTGGGATCGTCTGGCAAAGGCCTCCGCCTGGGCCCCTTTGTCCTCCTTGAGCTAGGCTGAGGTTTCTGCGGGGCAGCTATGCCCTTCCTCTCGGCCTTCTCGGCAGCAGCAGCCTCCTTTCTTCGCTCAATGACTGCTTCGTCCTTGGGCCGAGTGTCGTAGTACGTCAGCTCCATTCTCAATTCGCCCGCATATTTTCCCTTGCACTGCAAGTTGTGCCACAAGTCGTTCTGTCCGCCACCGGGTACGATAACGTTCTTCAGATCCACCCAGGTTTCCCCGATAAGGTCGGTCTTTTTGTCATCATTGAAGACAGAGAGTTTCAGCTGGTAGTAATCCGGCGAGGAGTGAACGGTGAATCGCAGTTCTTGGTCCCTATATCGCGTAATTAGCATGGTATACAGACATTATACACCGCCTGCTTCCGCCTCGGGGGTCAAACAGCAAGAGTCGGGCCACAGCTTCTGGTCATACCACTTGGGCGTCTGTCCGCCTCTCATGTCCGTCTCCGTCTTCTTCGCCTCTTTGCCCAGCCGCGCAGCACAGTACGGGTTCTGCTTCCCCATCGTCTTCCTGTTCGGGAGGTTCTTCGCGCGGTCGATTATGGCGACCAGCGTGCCAATCTCGGGCCCGTCGATAGACATGTCGGCGTATATCCCTGCGGTATGCTGGCCGAGGGCCAATTTCGTCGCTGTTGTCAACATGATGGGTGGAGTTGAATCAGGTCTGTTAATAACGAGGGCTATGACATGGTCAGCAGATCATCCCTCTAGGAAGGCAAAACAACCACAACAACAACAACAAAAAACCAAGGCAGAGCGAGAAGTTGGCAGCGGCAGAAACGTTCAATATCAAGGCATAGAAGGCCATAGTAGAGCAGCAGAGGAAGAGCACAGCCTGGTTAGGGTACGCAAGAATGTCAATGGACCGGGGTCGGCTGGGTTAAGTGACGTACCACAACAGCTTCTTCCTTGCCTGGGGCATTATCTAGCAGCATATATATAGATAGGATGTGCTCTCCAGAAGCCTCGCAGCTAAACCGCCAGCCGTGACAGCAATACGAGCGGCAGACAGGCAGGAACAAGACAGCAGAAAGCGAGCCGGCAGCCTGTATAATCCAGCCAGAGCAAGCGTGTACGAGTTGCGTTGGCAGAGACGAAGCGACGTCGTTGTTTTTCTGCCGCTTTCGCTTTCGTCCTTTTTCTTGCTTTTTGGCTCCAGCGGAAAAAGCAAACTTTTTGGGCGGTACAGATGATGACTAATCAGGAACTTAAAAAAGATGGTGGCTGGTGGAAAAAGTGACCAATCAGAGGATTTCCCCTTTTGGGTGGCTGGGATGGGTCACGTGTGGGACCCACTTCAGCCCTACGGTCACGTTACTGCTTAGTAAGAGAAATACGGATAAACATAAAGACGAATTCCGATATAAAATTTTATTTTTGTTTCTTTTTTCTTATTCAAAGAGAAGTAAAAAAGAAGCAGAAGAAGTCGAAGAGGAAGAAGACGAGAAGCGAGCAAAGACTAAGACTAGAAGATAGAAGAGACTCGAAGGGGGACGCAAGACCTGAGCATGGAGGGATAGTGCCCGCAGCTGTACGAAACACACCACTTACACGGCTTTACCCGCCGCAATGGCTGCCCCCGTCCTGCCCCTGCCGCAGGTGAAGCTGCCCACCACTCCCACCACGCGACTCACCCCAGAGCAGCTCTACTGGCGGTCTTTCAAGTCTCTCCTGCTCCTTTCCTCTCCCTCCAACACACCCATAACACATATATCCCAGCCACCTGCGCCCACGTCATCGTCATCGCCCGCCGCAATCCAACCGCCAGACATCTTCACAGTGACCACCGGTGCGCGGGTGCAGATATACTCCATCAGGACGAGAAAGCTGCTCAAAACCATTACCCGGTTTGACGATAACACACGATGCTCGGATGTACGTTTTGACGGCCGTGTCCTGGTCGCTGGAGACGAGACTGGTGCCGTACAGGTGTTTGATGTCGGTTCACGGTCTATACTACGGACATGGAAGGAACATAAGCAGCCAACATGGGTAGCGAAGTTTTCGCCGTCTTGTGCTACGGATTTGTTGACCGCCAGTGACGACCGGACCGTTCGACTGTGGGACCTGCCCAGTGAAAAGAGCGTTAGAAGCTTTGCAGGACACTCGGATTATGTTCGAAGTGGCACATTCATGCCCGGAGCTCAGTCCTCGAATTTGGTTATCTCCGGCAGTTATGATCAGACGGTCAGGCTATGGGATACCCGCGCAGAAGGCCGGGCGGTTATGACGTTCAAGATGCCTGCGCCGATAGAGAGCGTGCAGCCTATGCCGCTGGGTACAACAGTCCTCGCCTCCGCGGACAATCAGATTGCCGTCCTGGACGTCGTTGCCGGAAAACCGCTGCACATGATCAACAGCCACCAGAAAACCGTCACCTGTTTATCGGTCGCCTCTCAGGGAAGTAGAGTTGTCAGCGGTTCCCTGGACGGACACATGAAGGTCTTTGAGACGACTGGATGGAACGTCGTTGGAGGAACTAAATACCCATCCCCCATCCTTTCCCTGGGAGTAATCAGCTCTGGGCCCCAGAGAGAGGATAAGCATATCGCAGTAGGCATGCAATCCGGTGTCCTTTCAATTCGCACCCGACTGTCCGGAGAACAAAAGATCCGTGAAAGAGAGCGAGAACGGGAGATGAAAGCATTGCTCGAAGGGAAACTAGAAGAGCATGACCGCGAAGTGGCAAGGAAGAATAAGCTAAAGGGCCGCGGTCAAGGTTGGGAGAAACGACTGCGTGGTATGGACTTCGTTGGTGACGGAATTGATATTGTCATCGATCCTGACCAGGGGGGAAAGAAGAAGCGCAAGCGGGAGAGTGCATGGGAAAATGACCTCCGTAAGGGCAGGTATAGCAGCTCGTTGGACAGGGCCCTTGAGGGAGGGGATAAGATTATCATCATCACTTTACTCACTGCCCTTCGACATCGTTCTGCACTACGCACTGCCTTGGCGAATCGAGACGAAAGGACGCTACAGCCCATACTGAACTGGGTTTACAAAGCCATCCCCGACCCACGGCTTGTCGACTTGACCGTTGAAGTTTCTATGAATATTCTGGATATTTACTCAGGAAATCTTGGCCAGTCAGTGCACATTGATAATATGGTCCGCAAACTGCATCGACGGGTAGAGGAGGAGGTTGAGCGAGCTCAGCAAGCGTGGCAGACAAGGGGGATGTTAGATATGCTGAAAGTATGACACGACCCGTGCAATCTTTTCTTCACCTTGCGAGTCTATATTCATGTCTTGGATTTATTCATTGGTGATACACCCTGGCTGTTTGGCGTTGCATCATGATCTTGTTATTCACGTAAGGAGTTGTGTATTCTGGGATATACAAAAAAAAGTTATTAAATCAAATGCTTAACTTTCAATTGTTCCCAAATAACCTTGTAAACCCTCCCTCTGGGGGCTGGAGCCAATTCCGCTCATCGTACTTCCACCCTTCAGCCCCCTCAATGACGTGGAAGGCATACGCAAACCTCGACTTGTCACTTGGATTATTCTCGCTCTTATGCAGAACATTCCCGTGAATCAACGCCAGAGATCCAGCCTTGATCTCCACAAGTTCATAATCCTTCTCGTCAGGTGCGTAATCTTCCTTTCCCTTGCTCTCCTCGTCAATAGAAGTAGGCAGGTTCGGTCCATCCCATTCAACAAACTCGGTACCTCCAGCATGTTCAGAGTCCGCCTTCGCCCTTACGAATCTCCTTCTAACCCTACCCGTCTTATGACTGCCCTTCCAAAACCCAAGAGTCCCATTTTCCACATTAGCATCTTGCAGCGCAATCCACCATCCAACAGCAGATGGCGGGTCTGTATATAAGAACTCCGAATCCTTGTGCATGGGTACTGGAGCGCCAATACCAGGCTGCTTGCAAATCACCATGCTCTGGAGCACGCGAGGATCACGAAAGCCCAAAGCCCTTGCTATTGCTGCATTTTGAGCTCCCACTGGCCCTGTATGAGTTGTATCTGAGAAAGGTTTGGACAGAGAATGTATCGAGTGTCCTATCTTGTTTATCGAGCGGTTTTTGGGTCGTAGGAGTTTGGAGGGGTCATCGGGACTAAACGCTCCGGGTTCGAAGAAAAACCGGATCTTGTCGTTGGACGTAAGGAAGTAGTCATCGCCGACATGCTGAGATTTCGACAAGGGGTCATCTCCCGTAGTAAAGCGGGTGAGAGGATGGGTGGTGATGTCGAAATTGTCTAGGAGGTCGTTTGTTGTATCAAGCAGCGAGTTGACCTGTTCTTTGGACAGGAAGTTGGGGATCACTAGGAAGCCATTATCGTTGAAAAAAGTGGCCTGTTCGGCCGTCAGACCAGGAGAATCATCCATATTAGCCACGTTTATCCCTTTTCCGTTCTCTCTTGAAGTTGATTTGGATAGTCGGTATCTCACGATTGGATCTGCTCTTGGGATTGGCTTATTTAAGTCTTCCAGAGCTCTGGGCCGAGGCTCAGCGTTAAGGAGTTAATGCGGGGGACTCCGGCACTAGTCCAAAAGAAGGAAAATGTAAACATGAAATTGGTGACTAAGCGGAGTAAGTCCGATAGAGTAAAATTAACGCCGACAATGCTATGGAGTAAGATGTATGAAGCATGAAATACAAAAGGAACAGAAAATTATCAGGAACGAGATAAAAACAATCAATCAAGCAGCAATTTCAGCTTCAAATGAAATCAAGGATCCCTTCGACAATATCACCGTCATCGTCTGACTTCCTTTCGGCCTCGATGATTCCGATCCCTGTGACGACAATCATATCCAGATGCTGGTCAATTTGATTTGGTGGCAGTAGAACAATAATTTCTTGGTCATCCTTATTGTACTTCGCTATCACATTGCGCCTCTCATCCACCAGCTTCTGGTTACTGCTGAACAGACCGTCTTCCTTCCACTGTAGCTTCCCCATGCTACGAGTCAGGAACTTGCGGCCAGAGGCCAGAGGGTCAGGGCGTCTCATTGATGTATCATATCCACTTATTGAGACATCGATCTTGGAGGACAGATCGTGAAACGTCAATGTGCCGACGACCTGGCCGGGTGGAGGTTGATAGTTGTTAAAACTTTGGTAGTAGGATTGGCTCTGTGGCTGGGAGGGCGGGTAAGAATGCTGATTGTATGATTGGTTGTACGGTTGATTATATGGTTGAGCGTATGGCTGGTTATATGGCTGGTTAAAATGCTCTGGTGGTGGAAAGCCATACGGTGGTGGTTGCTGCTGCTGCATGGGGGGTGGAGGTGGCGGATGGTTGTTAACCGGTATGCCGTGCTTTGTCACTTTAGCATGCGGCTTCGACTTCTTGTTTATCTGGACCGTGTACATAGGGGCAGGGTTGTCGCCGCACGTAACCCTGTACGTTCGCGTCTTCTTGTCCTTTGTAGAGTCAATTTTCAGGTGAAGTCCGTCGGCCATGGTGAGGAATGTATATAGGCTTGGGTATAATCAACTTGAAAATCAAAGAGGGATATATACTATCAAGTGATAGTAATCGATATATTTTGGGCAGTAGCAGAGGAAGTAGTAGCTTGTTGGAAAGAATCCAGCAACCAGGGAGTCTCGACCAGCCATTTTATACGGCGGCCCGAAGGAAGATCTTCGGTTCAAAGCCAGCTGAATAAACCATGCTTGCGCCCCACTAGCATTACAGTCCGCACCAAAAACCGTATCATCAGCCGCTGAAAGCCAAAGGAACCAAAGATCTTATCAAATCATCAACTTCCTCCCCATCGCATCAAAAACTTTTGGGATGGAGAAGTCTTGGCCGAATCTCTCATAAATAACCTAAACAGGATTAGCGTCCCGCTTTTGGCCGTAAAGGGGAAAGCGCGCGTTTAGTGCTCAGCCCACGCGGAAGTTTCAGCTCTGTCTTTATATCAACTTCCAGCCATTTTCGAGGCCAGGGGATGGGATGATGATGGCAGAAACGGAGTTGTCTTGGGTAGCAGCCGGGCCTGAATTGTGTTTAATTTAAGTTACATGCTCAGCTGTCTGTGGGCAGTCTAACTCTGCCATGGGAAAGCCTGGATCGCAGCTTGTCGACGAGAGCCGGGAGAGCATATGTCCAGTGACATAGCATACCAGCTACAAAGCCTAGCCCGTCATTCTTAAACGCGACCAGCACTCCAATAGTGACGATCATTACAGTCCATCTCTTCTTCCGCTCGTCGGTGTCTAGGGATGCCCCCGAGATCACTCCGGTCAAGCCTCTGCCGTCTCCGTGCGAGCCCAAGTCCCAGGCCGAGGACGTATTCAACGACTCGCCCACGCTAGCTAGCTCTAGGCCGGCGGCAATCACCATCACGCTCAAAAATGCGACGGGGAATTTCGCCAGCAGGTCAACAATCGTATTGCCAAATAGCAGACCGAGTATTACCTTGACAAGGCCTAGGAAAATGACACTGGCACCGGATCGCGCTCCAAATCGATATTGAGCTGCAAGACCGCCGGATCCATGGCATACTGGCATTGATCCAAACCAGATGCCAATCAGGTTCATGGCAGCTACGCTCAATCCGATTTCTGTAACCGTTGGAGTTTGTACGTCCGGTAGCAGGTCTGCAGCAAGGTGCACCACGGCAATGACAGAATTGAGCGTTGTAAGTGGTACCTGGCCGACTCCAGCATCAAGAATGCCAGAATTCCAATCCAGTAGACCCGGCACAGTAAGCCACGGCCTCCAGAAACGGAAACCAGGCAGGAGGCCATCCCCTGAAACTGCAAGACGTATAATAGCAAACACTAGGCCTAGGATAAACACGCTTAGTCCATAGGGAATGCGCCGGTAAACGTTTGTTATCACAAGGCCAACAAATGCAGCAATCATCCAGATATAGTTATCTGCCCACGATGGCTGAATCCATGAGAGAGAGCCCTTCAGCGTAGTACCAGCAGATACAACAAGCGACAAACCAGCTCCAACTTGTATTCCTTTGACAACCGGGATAGGTACTGCGCCAGAAAGCCAGCGCAAAGCTCCAGTCACGCTCAAGAGAAATATGCAGGCAGCCACAAACAGTCCAGCCGCAGCAACCTGGCCAGCACTATATTTCCCCGCGATTGCCACAGCTGCAATTGCCTTCATCGGCTGAACAGGCAGCGGGATACCAAAAAATAGGCCCGTAAGAATATTCCATATTCCCGAAAACACCAGCGTACTTGGTAGTGAAATCGATTCGTTTACGGTCAACGCAATTAGGATTGGTAGGAAGGTCCCGAGATCACCAACTGCACCTGAGATCTCTGCAAGCGGACGTCGCCGGAACGTCTGCCAGTTCTGACTTGCAAAGTGTCGGAGACGCATCACCCTGCTCTGCATCTCTGTGATTCTCCCTGGATTTCCTCCCGTAGGCCTGGACTGGCTGAGTAGCTCTGATCTTGTCCTAGCAGCTTAATGTTAGTACAAAAAGAGTCAAGAGAAGCATTTCCCATACTTTCAAAGCTGGGTGATTTATGTTTCTTATGCAGTCAAAATGGAAAACCAAGTTAACTACCTGGTATAATTAAGGAGGTATGAGGGTGCCTTACCAAACACGCCTAACGATCGGCGCGATTTTGGGTGTTATAATAAATCAAGTATATCCTAAAGAGGGTCAAAATTATTCTCCATTATATCCAGAACACATCCATGGATAGTTACGAGCGACATGTGACTTGCATCCCTGGTGAGTAACTATAACTAGTCCAAGTCTAGTTAGGCATTTGGGTGCGGATGAGTCGGCAAAGGTGTGGCTACCATGCGACGAGATAACTGTTGATAGTTTTACGAGCGCCGCAGTGATATTCCTTTATTGATAGCCGTGTCTCGCTTTATCTATATATATACGCCCTTGACAGAGAGCGATTCTTTGACCGTTTCATCATGATGGGAGACCCGATATCAATTAGCTCTGGACTTATTACTTTGGCGGGGTTTACTCTCGGGTCAGCGACAGCCCTCTTCAAGACTATCGAGAGCTTCCAGACAAATAAGAGAACCGTTCGTGAGCTTAAAGAAGAGCTCAGGGACCTGGAAGAAGTCCTTAATAACCTCGAACGACATACTAGAGAGAGTGGCTCGGAGCTTAATTCTCTTAAGCGCCCGTTGCTTCGGTGCGGAATTGTGTGCCAGGACTTTGATGCTGTAATCAAAAAGTGCACTGCAAACTCCGATGGCTCAAGGACAAGTTTCCGTGACTGGGCCAAGTTAACATACATGGGTGAGGATATATCTCGATTTAAGCTTATGATATCGGGATATAAGTCGACAATTAGTATTGCAATCGGCGGTGCCATTCTGTAAGGTCTTCATTCAGTTAGGTTTTGCTTTGCTTTGGGTAACTCGTTAACTAGTTAAAATAACTCTACTAACTCCTGGTAACTAGTCATAACGCCAATGTTAATGCGGAAACCCTCAAAGGATACAAAACGATTGTCGCGGAGACTACATCTGACCTCAAAGAACATCTGGAGGACATACAGAGCAAGATCAATGCGCTCAGAAGCTCCGGCGCTGAATTATCCGACGAGAAGAACCAAGAGCTGGCCAATATCCAGGAAGAAAAAGAGAACACCAACAGATGTCTCGAGATTTGCGCCGAGGTCGATGGTTATATCAACATGGTCCGGAATCGTCGACTTAACGATATTTCATCCCCGGAGCTCAAGGATGCAACGATCAATACGTTGAAAGGTTGCCAAGATACGCTTACCACCTTCTACACCGAGATGGAACAGCGTTCAGGACAGGCAAACACCAGGCTAGGGAAATTCATAGCATTAAATTCAGGTGGCTCTGCGGATGATGCTAGGCTAATGGAGGAATTACAGGCCGAAAGTGAGGGCACCAAAGGTTGTATTGATATTTGCAATGAAATGTCTCGGGAGGCAGATCGCGTGCGTACCAACACCTTTGAAGATATCACCTCAGCAGATGATTCTCACCTGGTGTTCATTTCAACCGTTGGCGATCTTATTTCCGCATGTCGGGTTACCACGGGGGCTAGATCGGCACACTGGATGGGTCAGATGTCCGATACCTCCGTTCAGCAGCTGTCGAAAGACCGTGCCTTTATTGCTCTCGGAAAGCCCTTGGATAACACCGTTAATGGGCCCTTGGACAACCCCTTGGATAATAAATCATCGCCAAAGGACACTTTTCTCAACCGTCATGGCTCAGGTAGACAAGTAGGGCAGAAGTGATGCAATATTTCCAATATGCAACGCACCTAAGCTGAAATTTATGAGATATCTATTGTGTCTTTGGATCGTATCAATTTATACGAACTTTTGGAAATTTACCCGCAGCTGCGTTTATTGGAACATATCTATAAGCGGACTTTCTGATTGTAAATACATATCTACGTTTATATATATAGGTCAATCTTTATCTCCCGACTAAATATTAAGTGTTATACTTGACATATTGAAACTTGTATTCAAGAACTGCAAAAAAAATTAGTGCAATAATAAGAGCCGTATAAAACTTCGAGAATGAAAAATATTCAATTTCATATAACTCATGCATATTGTATTCTCCATCAAAATACCGTCCCAGCTTCTCATTATAATTACTCTGGCATCTTCAGAACATAACGGCCTGCGACCTTCCCTTGCTCTATTCGATGACGATTATATTAGCGGGTTTCAATATTCAACGTACCAAATACACTAGATAGAAAGGGAACTTACCCATGAGGTCAAATACCTTTGGCAGCTCTTCCAGTGGCACCGTTTTAATGGGTACCTTGATTAGGCCTCGACTAAAGAAATCAATTGCTTCTTTCGAATCTCGCCGGTTACCTACATAGCTACCTTTGATTGATATCATTCTGGTCACGGTTTGGAACACGGGGGCTTTCAAGTAGGCATTCTTAGGCATGCCAATAGCAACAATGGTCCCTCGTGGCCGTACGTAGGCCGTGGCCTGTTGAAAGGGGAGTTCTGCAGCAGCCAAAAGGAGCGCAGCATGGGGCCCTAGGGCATCCGGAGACGCCGATTTAACTTCGTTCACAATGTCGTCGGTTTTGGTAAAGTCGAGGAATTTCTTAGAAATATTAAAATGAATGTCCACTTTAGATTGAAAGATGCCGAACAAAAACACTTACTTCCGCGCCCATCTTCTCACACAACTCTTTCTTCTCGTCTCCTGAATCGATAGCAAGGACCCGTAGTCCCATTGCCTTAGCATACTGCTGTGCTAAGGCACCGAGGCCACCACCGGCACCTACAATAGCCACGACGTTTCCTGGCTTAACGTTAGCCTCTTTTAGGCCTTTGTATACTGTGATGCCTGCACACAATACGGGTGCCACCTCTTCCAGTGACGCATGCTTCGGGATGGGCGATACGTGCGCTGCCTTCGCGATACAGTACTGCTGGAATGTACCGTCCACAGTGTACCCGCTCAGCTGCGCCTTAGCGCACAGCGGCTCGTCAGCCTGCTCGCAGAAATCGCACGACAAGCAAGAGCCGTTAAGCCACTTGACGCCAACATGATCACCGATGTTGACTTCAGAGACCAATTCGCCCTTTGCCACGACCACACCTGCGCCCTCATGCCCGCCAATAAGGGGCGTCTTCAAGGGAAGAGGCCAGTCACCCTTCATGGCATGGAGGTCGGTGTGGCAGACACCCGAGTATTTGATGTTGACGAGGACTTCATCAGATGCTGGCGAAGCAACAGGAACTTGTTTGTACTCGAGTGGGCCACCTGCTTTGGGACAGACCTGAGCCCATTGCTGAGAGGGAATTTGTGGTGCCATTGTACTGTTTTATGCTTGATGTTGTTTAGTAGGATGAGCAGGTCATTTCTCCAGGTGTAAGCATGGCATATATATACACACCCACACACACCAGAGCATATAGATTATTCGAAGCTCTAGAGCATCTGCCCCGCTGATAATCGTTTAAATTTCCCTGGATAATCTCACAATTATGTAGCTATCACGCCACGAATTGCCTGTACAACGTCATAAGTACAAGGACAATCCATGCACTCACTTTCTAGAGCTGAAGACTGTCCTGTCGGTAGTATAAAAGTACCCGAATCATATTGACCAGGTATTCCATCCATCAAATCGCATTATCGCTGCGTATTGAGGTGTAACCTCCTACGTCATGCTTGGAGTACACATCCTGCATCTCGTTAATCAAATGTCCAGGTAGTTGCATAGGTATCTTAGTTGGAGATTATAGTTGGCTATTTTTATTATAAGCTTTCTTGAGAAGTCGCCAAGAACATGGTCCAGCCCCTAACACGTGATATCACGTGTATCCCACGATTTGCGGGTGGATGACTAATTCAACTCAACCTCCGCTGAGACCGAGACTAGGACAAAGTACTCCGGACGTAGGGAGTTACAGAATAGACAAGCAGTTTCGCATACAACGAGAAACCTCAAAGTCGTGCAACATAGATGGATCCAGATACCCCGCCACCTATGGAGCAACCCGGTGTTCTCAATTATCTCCTGAGCTTTTTGCTAGTCGGCTTAGCGTGGGGATTTACGACACCCTTTATCCGCCGCGCGGCAGTCGATTTCAATGCGAGAAATGAGGCCAAGCAGACAGTCAATCAGGCTGCTGCGAGGAACAAAAAGAAATCGTTCCTCTCGGTTGCATGGTTGAAGGAGAAGGTTGTCTCTGTATTCTGGACGGTGGTCAATCTATTGCGCACCCCAGCATATTCCGTTCCTTTATTAATTAACTTGACGGGAAGCATCTGGTTCTTCTTACTGGTTGGAAAGCATGGTAATCACTATCATCTTCTTTTTATTGGCTGCCGTACATTTAGTCAAAAGTTTCTCTGACGATTGGGTGTGTAGAACTCAGTCTCACTGTCCCGATAACAAATTCGACCGCGTTCTTGTTCACAGTCCTGGGGGAGTGGTACGTTGAAGGCAAAGTGATATCCAAAGGTGAGTATTAACATCACGGGGATTCGTGCATATTTATACTGACTTATGAGTTTTAGAAACTTGGCTAGGAATGATCCTCGTCCTTGGTGGAATTGGTCTCTGTGTGCAGTCCAAGCTCTGACTTATACATTTTCTTACTTCATTTGCATTGAACGTCTTTAATACCCAAGACCTTCATCAACCCCTCTACTCTGTACAAACGAGTATGAATAGACAACTGCAATCCTTCATTATAGATACCAGACCAAGGCTGGCTTATTCGTGACTCTTCTAAGAATATGCTAGATCTCACTTCTCCAAACACACAGCTCACTGTACCTTCAATAATGCCCTGAGTGATACCTGCGGATGCTTCTAATCATACGGCCAAACACGACGTATCTCTTCTAAAATAGCCTGATGCCCCTGTAAGGTTGGATGAAACAGCCTTGCTGTGCTCGGAGCAAAGGGTTCACGACCACCTTTGGCACTTACACTGTCATTGACACCTTGCGTCGTTGCATAGGGAAACTTTGCTTTAACAATTGCTACCCCACACAAAGCCCTTTCCCCCCAGTCCCCGGACAGGCTTGACTCATGCTCGCAGGTCTCGATATCAACGACTTCATCTGGGACCCAACTTCGGAACTCTACGTCGAAAAACCAAGTATCATCGCCGTTTACGGGTGGTTTTCCCGGTTGGCAGAAGCGGTGCTTGTCAAATCGAGGTGCCCAGTTAACCCATATTACTCTGTCATCCGATCGTGCCTCAATTATCTGACCAATTTTGGCATTCAAGTCCTCGCAGATCTTGTTCATTCTCTTCCGCAGCTCGACAGTGAGACTCTGATGCCACCAACCAGGCCAGTAACTTAGGGTATAGTTGTTGCAATCTTCTGTCAGTGAATCGTCGAAAAAGGCACTATATCCAGTCGCAAGGACCCTGAAGGAAGGCAAATCCCTCCTTTCCAGTAGCAAGTCTAGCATCGCGTTGTAGCCCTCGGCGAACTGACTGCTGTGTACGACCGCACTTGCAAAGTCTAGCATATTCTCGCATGAGCCAGAGAATGGGCCGTAGAAGTTATAGACACAGGCATTGAGCAGGTTAAAGAAACCCACGTCGTTGCCACCAATAGACAAAGTTGCAACACTTGCGTTCTCGACTTTGTCAATATACTCGGCCACCGACCTGTGCAACTTTCTCTCGGCACGGTTTGTGTATGTGTCCATGTCCAGCATCCTGACCCCTGAGCATGCTAGGAATTGGAAAGTATGGGCCTCTGGAAGCAAGTTGCTACGATTGAGCAGGCCTGGGTAGCTGTCGGCAAATTGCCAGCAACCATTGTCGACTTCAAAACCTGCGCCTACTCCAGCGGCATATGAATCTCCCAGGGCAGCATAATTTTGTAATTGAGTAACCGTAGGCTCTATTAGTAGAGTTCGATGGCCTGTGTTGTCTTCTATGTAGGTTTAGTCAGTGTGTATACGCAGCTGTCGGCGGAATGGCTTACCACCAGCCAACACAGTAGAGGCGCTGCTCGCCAGCCACAAGAAGAATAAATAATGACAAAATGCAGCCATCACTTATAAAACTGGGCTTACTTAGTTATGTGATGAGTATGAATGTGTGCGATGTGAATGTTTTGGTCGCGTGTATACATACGAACTTCCCCTGAATCTCACACGCTCTTACCTCGACAGCTACAGTAGTTGCAAAATCTCCATTCTAATGACAAAAACCTTTCACACTGACGCTCTGGGAGAATAGTATAGTAGTATACGTATTCATATTTTTATCATGCCTATATGTTACATGAAGACATCAAATTGGACTCCATGCAATCCAGCGAAAAGCGACGAAACAAACAGAACCCTTCGAGACCCCCCATCCATATCCATCCATACAGACATACACATATATACATATATACATGCGCTCCCGCAAAACAAGGGACGTAAAATGATGACGCGGGAGATAGGAGACGGAACATGGAAAATGCATAGCTACGTTTCTTACGTATATCATCAGGCGTGGGTATATTGAGTACATGAAGCCATTAAACCACCTGGCATACAAAGGCTGAACATGAAGGAAAATATACAAAGAGAAATAGAAATCAGGCGTAAAGGAGATAAGTCTATGTTTAAACACCACGGAACTATAGAAGGAGTTAGTACTGGGATTGATTGCAGAGAAAATAGTATAAGGAGGACATACCATTCTAACGACCAAAAACCACATTGCACCGATGAACCTGAACAAGGACAGACCGGCAACACTCCATAGAACAACAGCCATGTAGATGATGCTCCTCTTCTGGGAAGTATCTTGGCTGCTGGAATCGACTCTCTCCAGGCCGGCAGCGCTCAGTACGACGGCACCAAGGGCAAAGTTACAGAAGATCCAAGCAAGGACGACCGCACTTCTGAAGCCCTTGTAGTAATCTTCTTGCTTCTCGGATTCAGAGACAACGCGCGTCTCCTTGGGTGGCTTGTTGGCAAACTTTGCGAGCTCAGCTTCATACTGGGCGTTAAGATCGCCGTCATCCTGGGGGATTTCAACATCGACCTTGCCACCTGGCTTGAGGTGGGCTGAGGGCAGCTTTTCGGGTTTGTCGTCACCCTTAGTTCCCCATGTGATGTCGTGCGTATTGCAGAAGGCATAGATGTTAAGGACATTGATGTATGTCGGCGTGAGAAGGAGGTATTGTAGGAACTATTTTTGAGTTAGCCAGGTTACCCAACGGTAGAAAGAAGAAAAAGGGACTTACGCAAGTGAACATATGCCATGGATCGAAGAAGAGAATGGAGGCCAAGAACCAAAAGACATAGGTGGTCAGCAAGGAGACGAAGATGGAGAAGAACTGCAGGTTTTGGAATAGGGTAGCGAAGGTGAAGTTCCCGTCACGGACTTCGTTTTGTATAGATTTGACGGTGACGAAAATGGCTGCGAAGGTGAGGTATATCATAATCATGCACCAGAAACCGACCATGGTCATGTAGAACTTGTTTGATCCTTGCGGCCTATTACCCAGCGCAAGGACAAAGCATGTCACCAGTGTTGCAAGATACAGCCATTCGAAGATAACACCGAGAATACTGCCTGCTTTACCTAGGAGGTCTGCAGTGCCCAGGGAAGCAGTAAGAATGCGGAAAACCAGGAAGAAATTACCCTAGGATGATCAGTTAGACGGTATCTTTTTTTTTTTTTTGATCAGCTTAAAATCAAAGGGACGACATACGATTGCAAACCAGGCGAATAGGAGGTTGATAGTCTGGTATATGAATTCGATGATGAGCATGAGTTTACGGGCAAAGGAGTGATTACTCCTGCCGACCTGGTAGAAGTGCAGGATCGCATATACAGCCGCAAAGAAACTACCGTTAAGCCAGCGTCTTCGCTGCAGGATGAACTCGGGCATACGGTCAGGCACATCGGTCTCTCCAGTCGCACTCTTAACGTACTGCAGAATCCACTGGCAGTTACGCTTGGTGACGAGTTCGAAACACAGAATTCGGTCTTCGGCGAGGTACATGTTTGCAGTAAAGACGCCTGCATTAGCGCCATGCATCTTCTCACCGGCAAAGTACTTCTCCAATGGTCCCTGGCCATTCTTATCATTCTGTAGAGCAACGTACCGGTATGCCGAGAAGGCACCGGGAAGGACGGAGATGAAGCCAAAGGCAGACTCAAGCGGTTTATCGAGGATGTTGGACATCTTGTACTCGAAGTTCTGGCCGGCAACGAGCGGATTGAGCAGTTTCTTGCCATGGGACAACATGACCTTGATCTCACCGCAGGCGCCACCGCACATGGGTTCGAGGTCAAAGGCACGCCAGAGCTGGTATATACTCTGTCTGCCTGGTTTTGTTCCGGCGTCGAGGAGAACACAGATGTTGGGGTCGAGGACACGGCCAAAGGCCTGGAAGAACCATCTGTGGGAGTTGATCTTCTTCTGGTTCTTCTCCTTGAGACAGAAGAGGAGCTGCACTGGCATCCCTGGCCGAGGCTTGAGAATGACTTGGGTTCCCTTAACCTCCATGCCTATCTGGGTGGTATACTCGTATATGTGGGCGGTGACATCTTTACCATTGACCTGCTGTTTGGCAATGCCGTCTTGATAGACACCCAGACCGGCAAGGACAGCTCTCGTGCGTGGGTTGATCTTTCCACGGCCGTCTGAGACGATGCAGACGACAATCTTCTTCCAGGCTTCCTTGCCCCATGTCTTGCTGCTGGTGCGTGAGCACATGTACTCGATGTTCTTGAAGACACCGGCCATTGTTCGGGCGAAGAGAAATTCGTCTTCATTGTACATGGTGACTACAATGAACAGCTCGGTGTGTCGTGGTTTGGCAAACAGGCGCTGGCGCAAAGTGAACCGTTCCTGGTAAAAGTCCGCCGGGTCACAAGTAGCAGCCGAGTAGCGCATATGAGTGAACTCGTCTCTCTCTGGAGGTTCAGCGTGGTTTATCTGGCTGAGGAGCTTTGGTGGAATGGGGCAGTCGAGGACAAGGTTGCCGTTGAACAGCTGGACTTCTCGAACGGTCTTCCACCGTCTGATGGGCGCCGGACTGGGCGTGGGAGCCACGTTCAAGGCCATGTTGGGATCGTCTGTGTATCCATCTGTGTCTACCGGGTGGGGAGTATGCGAGAGATCGAAGTTGCTCGGCGTGTAGGAGGGTTCATGGTGCAGTATAGGGACGTGGTCTTCGTACTGCCGGGGAGGATAGTTCTGATGCGGCCTGTCGTAGTCGGATCCTGGTGTGACCGTAGGCTCGTAGGGTTGGGTATAGTAGGCGTCATGATGGGCCTCCGGAGACAGAGCCAGGGCCCCCGAACCTGCAATCGGTCTGGGAGGCGGTCTGTACGGATGTTCCTCTTCGTAGGCTTCGTTGTGGCCGTAGGAGTTTTGTATATTTTCAACAGAGTACTACAGCAAGTATCAGCACCACCACCATCACCAGCACCACAAAAAGCAAAAGAAACAATCTTACGGTTGGTTGATACTGCAGCCTATCCGCCGACGGCATCTCTAGATGTGTCATGGGCTGCTGCACCGGCTGGTGAAACGGGTTGTCTTCGAGCTGGTATCCGCCGTGGTAAGGCCGCGACGGCGACGCAGGCTGGTGAGGATTCATCGTAGGCGAAAGCGGCTCCTGCTCGGGCTCTGGAGACCGTGTTAGAAGAGATCAAAAGAGGACGAAGCAGCAGAGAGACGGAGCTCGCAGCCGTTAAATACGAAGACGCAAGCTGCGCGAAACAGCTTGCGACGACTTTTTCGTCAGGGATGGAGGAGCAGCTCACCGTGAAGCCGGTTGTAGGCCATCTTGCCGGGGTTTGTGCAGCTCTGGGACAAGCTGCTGGAGAGAGAGGGAGAGAGATGGTAAAGTAGGTTAAGCAGGCAGCACAGCAGGAGAGAGGGTGAAGATCTATTTAACGAGGGACTGGGAAGACAGCAGCTAAGCGAGCGCGAGGCTTTCTCTGTTCGTCTATCTCGCTGTCGCAGTGGCTGTCCTGCTTTGCTTCTTCTTCTTGATGCTGCTTGCTTCGGCTTCAGTTTGCCAAGTTCGCTGGTCGACCAAGCAACGCGCAGTTTGTGGCGCAGGATCTAATTATACCTGACACTCAGGGTCGGCTTGGTGAGATAGACGCAGCAGACAACGAGCTAACTCGCAGGTAAGCGAAGCTGGGGCAGAGGAAGACTCTTTGCTGATAGCGTTTAGGGCTTAGACGTCGTGAGGCAGAGACAGAGATATCTACAGAGACCGACAGGCAGCTGCTTTGACAGCGTCTGACAGGAAGATGGCAGCCGTTTCAGTGTTGTTCGTCTGCCTAGGGAACATCTGTACGTGACACACAGGCCTGTCAATAATAATAACTAGGGAGAGGAACAGAGGGAGAGATGGCGGATGGTGGGCTGACGAGACAGGTCGTTCACCCATGGCCGAAGCCGTGTTTAGACACATCTCGAGCAGCAAGGAGGACAAGACGGTGACCTTCTCGAAGCTGGACTCTGCCGGGACATGCGCAGCGCATATCCACGACCCTCCAGACCCGCGGACGATGTCGACTCTGAAGAAACACGGCATCACAGACTTTACGCACGCAGCCCGTCGAGTGAAAACGTCTGACTTTACCGAATTCGACTACATCATTGCCATGGACCAGGAGAACTACGACTCGCTGATGTACTCCCGCAGCAGGGTCAAGGGAGAGCAGCTCGCTGAGGTGAGGATGTTTGGAGACTTTGACGCAGACAGGCTGGCGGGCAGTGACACTAGCAGTGGGGAGAGCGAGGAGGTGCCCGACCCTTACTATGGCGGCAGAGACGGCTTTGACCGTGTCTATGAGATGGTCACCCGGCTGTCCCATGGGTTTATAGACTATCTGGAGAAGAAGCATGCCGCTGATGCTGCTGCCAATTAGAAGTCACCCTGTTTCTCTTTTTTTTTTTTTATATCTTACACCGGTAGTTATACATAGAGCCCTTTTATCTGGAGTATGCCCACTTATACTCGCTGGGAGATCTGGATGGCAGCCCGGCAGCCCAGTCTGATGACTCCTATAAGCGGTTCGTACGGTTTGGCCTCCTTTGCATCATTCTCGACCGCGTGATCCAGATGCTCGAGCTCCTCGTCCCTGATCCGCTTCAACGTCTGCACCAGCTGCCTCAGGTCGTCCGGCACCACCTCCCCACGGCTCTCGGCGTCTTCCATCCAGCCCGCCAGAACCCGTATCTGGTCGTTGTAGTGTGTTCCTATCTCTGTCTCTACGGCTTCCGTGCATGCCATGGCGGCTTCCCGGCCCATCACGCCCGTCGACCAGCCGAGAAAAGTTGCTGCGGCCTGCCAGACGGGGTACATGGCCGTTGGACGCACGCGGTGGGAGCCTAGCATCTCAGTGAAGACAGAGAAATGGCCGGCTTCCTGGTCGTACATGTGTTTCATCAGCGGGCGAAGGTGCGGGTGTGAACGCAGGACGGGGGGACTCTGGGCCGCGTAGATGAGCGTTGCTGCCAGCTCGCCGGCGTGGTTGACTCGGAGGGCGCTGCTCAGGTATGCCTTTTGCGATTCACTCAGCTGCATCATCTTCTTCCCGCCATTATCGTTGTTGTTGTTGGTGCTGTTGATGCTGTTGACGCCGTCGCTGGTACCCCGTGTAGAGCTGCTGTACCGAGCTTGTATGTATGTTGACTGCGCTTTTGATAGACACCCCCTGCACACCGGCCGAACTCGAGCGACCAACCCAGCCATTTCTCTCTTGTCTTCTCGTCTCCTCGTCTCGGCTTCTCTTCTATCTCCCTTTTTTACCCTCGTTTATCTCTTGTTTCTGCTGTTGTTTTTCTTCGTCTTCGCCAACTTTTGCTTTCGTCGACGTCAAAACTAAGCTGATCACGTGACGCATCCTTTCAACTTCAACTTTTTTCGTGGCGAAAAGAAAATGACGAAGACGACGAAGACGAAAAGAAGCCAAAGAAGGAGAAGAACGAAGCGAGCGTGCAAGCGGACGACTATCAGGAAAGATATCAAAGGGACACGCGCAGGGAAGAAGAGAGAGAGGCACACGGAGCTGCTCTGCGATATCCCAAGACCTCCAGCGTCTCCCCAGCTAGCTATCAAACCAACAACACCTCAACAGCCACTCATTAGCCGGACGTCCTCCTCAGCAACAGCAACACAGCAGCACCAGCGTCCGGATAATCTCTAGCCAAAGACTGCTCGCTCGACTCTTCTTGCGGCTACAAAGAAACGCAGGAAGAAGAACGAAGAAGCAAAAAACAAAAGGAAGAACACTCGCGCCTTCTCCATGGCTGACCTGGACGCTGAGCTTCTCGCCCTGGCGGGAGGCGATGATTCTTCCGACGAGGAATCTCCCGCCATCTCGCAGCAGAAGGACAAAGATAAAGAGCGCCAGGGCTCTGCCAGCAGCCCAGCCTCCAACGACCAAGACGACGACGCAGACAACATGGGTCGCAAGGGGATAGCCCGACCGGTCAAACGCCAGCGCAAGAGAGCCAGAGCTTACGATGAAGATGAAGAAGAGGGTGAGCTGTAAGTCACTTCTTTTTTTCCCTTTGCTGGTTTGCAGGGCCACTCTCAACTGTGGACACTCGAGCTCTGCCTTTCTATCAGATAGATGCCCCTCAACTTGGCCACCTGCAAGGCAAAAAATAATACAAAAAAGCTCTGTAGGCAGACAGCTAACAAGTATACAGCTCCTCATCCAGCGTTCACTCTCGCCGCTCGCTTCGATCAGCATCCATGTCCGAATCAGAGTCAGATACCTCTCCTCCCCCTGAGGAAAACCAGGGCCCCATATTCCCTTACGAAAAGCTATTCTACTCCGCCAAAGACAAGAGCGAAATCATGGCTCTGCCTGAAATTCAGCGAGAGGAGCTGCTCTCTGAACGAGCTCAGCAAGTCGACCGTCATAACCAGGATATTGCCCTCCGCCGTTTGTTGGCCAACAGAGAGCGAGAGGAAGCTCGTGCAGCCGCCAAGAAGAAGCGTAAGGCCGGTTCGGCTGATTTGGAAGATAGCCAGCGCAAGAGTTCACGCAAGAAGACTGTTCTCGGTGGACGCAAGGTAGGCGAGCCATCAGATGCGATCGAAGCCTACAAGCGTCAAAGAGAGCAAAAGGGGAAACGAGATGAGCAGCGTCGGCGTGATGCTTCCTCGCGAAAGAACAACAATACCGGCAGTTCTCCCGCTCGAGAGGCAGACGGTGGAGACGCCAGCGGTGAAAGTGAGGTCGAGTGGGACGATAAGCCTCGACGCCGGAGTGTCTCGCCTCCACCTTACGATCCCCCCGCTGAACTGCGCGATCTACAGCGTGCTAGAATCGCACGCAGCGGCTTTGCCCAGGTCTGTTTCTACCCGGGTTTCGACCAGGCCATCAGTAATTGCTACACCAGGGTAACTCTGGGGCCAAACCCGACAACCGGCGCACCAGAGTACAGAATTGGCCTTATCAAGAGTATGTCCATATATATATATATATCCATTTCTTAACTTATAGTCCTTGGCTAACATTGTTTAGAATTCACTGAAGGACGCGCGTATGCCATCGAAGGGCCAAATGGACGCAACTTTGTTACCACTCAGTACTGCGTTCTCGCCCATGGTAAAGCCGAGAGAGCTTTCCCATTTATTATGTGCTCCGAGTCTCCGTTCACTGAGGTATGGTCTTCTCTCTTAATGAAACAAATTATTGAGTATAAAAAACTGACATCATTAGGCTGAGTTTAACCGTTATCGAAAAACCATGGCAGTGGAAGGTTTCAAGATGCCCACAAAGTCCGCTGTTGATAGAAAAGTGGCGGACATCAATCGCCTGCTAGCACACGACTTCACTAAGGAGGAGCTCGAGGAGAAACTGCGTCGCCAGGGCACAAACGACAACAAACAGGCCGTCTACAACCGTATTCAGCTCGAACGCCGCCGCAACGAGGCCATCGCCAGCAAGGATGAAGCCGCTATCGCTGAGTGTGATGCTGAGCTCGCCCGTCTGACTGGGCCCAAGCTCGCCTTTGGCACCACGCTGGTCAAGCCCCGCCCCAGCGAGAAGTCGCAGCAAGAACGTCTTGCCGACCTGAACATGCGTAACCAGAAGCTCAACACTGAGAATGTGCGCAAGGCCCAGCTGGCTGAACGCAAGGCAGCCAAAATAGCTGCCGCAGCCGTCGCCCGAGGAGAGGCCGTCGCCGATCGCTTTGCACGTGTCAAAACCAGAGCAAGGACATACTACGAGTCCACAGATGGCCATCTCGTTCCCCTTAAGCCTGAGGCAGCCATTGCAGACCGCAGCCGCGCCATCACCCCGGCCAGTAACAACAACACCGATGCAACCAACACGCCTGCCAACGGAACCAGCCCAAGCAGCGGTACTCCAGCCAAGCCAGCTACTCCAAAGGTCTACAAGGGCGTTCCCGTCATCCGCCACCGGCCTACAGACGAGGATAACATCGCCGCCCTGGACTTTGACTTGGACATCGACATTGAGATCTGATCCGACTATCAATATTCATACGTTTAACTGACTATTTCTACAATTGTATCACCATGACTTTTCCTTCCTTTCTTTTTCTACCTTACCTTTCCCTATACATGCGCGGCTTGGAGTTATAGCGACGGAGAGGAGCTTGGCTGGGTCTTTTATCTTGTTTTACTGCCTCTTTACTGCCTTCTACCGAATAATACAAAATGTCCCGTCTAACTCCTTTTTCTTTTCTCATCACTATCATAGAATTGAAGTAAGTTTTAGGTTTTCCTCTTCCAATACTGGAGTAAACGCTAGACGATGATGCTATGCTAACCAGTTCAGCGTGATCGGGATGATCAGGCTTACTATTTATCCGCCGCAATTCTGATTTAGCCCATGGTAGAGGACTATTTTCGTTTTTCAGCAGCGAGAAACGAGCTTTCCCTAGCATCTTGGATGAGGAATAGGGAAATATTATCGTTTATCCATCTTTTAAGTGACAAGGTTACTAAATTCTGCAGCAACCATGCGTGGGGCGACCCGTAGTTAATACTTGGATACCTTATCCAGTCTCATACTCCGGTCCAAGAGCGTGTCTTTAACTGTGCAGTTAAAGACTTCATGCCTGCCTGAGTACAAAGGAAGACAAATATAAAACGTGGCTCCCGCTTCACCCTATTCATACTATCAAAATATAGAAACCTAAAAACTTGTGCTTGGTGCAGTTGGGAAGCTGGCAGTTATCTCGGAGCCCTTGAACTGATACCCCTCTGGAGAAAGATCTAAATACAATCCAAGATACAAACTCTATTGGTTCCCGTCTATATCTCTAAAGTCTATGGACACTTCTTGCTGATGGTTCAGCAAGACACGAACAAAATCATTCACTAACTCTGGCCCTGGATCAGCGACAGTCACTGTCATAACAGAACGGTTCTGGAACGTGCCATTGATGGGCTGCAATCCTCCCACTGGACTGATACCAACCCCCGGCTGCTCTACCCCAAGTTGATCATCCAAGACATGCGATCTTAACGAGTTTCCTGGAATTGCTCCACCGCAATGATCTCTGTTATGGCCTGGCGGAGAGTCTATACCAAGCAAGAAATCTGCAGCAGACCCCTGCTGCCAAAGCGCGTCATCACCAGTACAATTTGGCATACCAGGCTCCCCAGTCACGGTCTTAAATTGCTGCTCATCAAAGCTAAAGTCAAAACTAGATAGGTCGTACGCTGTCATGAGCATGTCTTCGTGAGCGGTAGGGAACGGGCTGACAGTTCCAGAAGGGGTATCCAGTTGTCTAGTTTCGCTGATTGAGTCTGTTTCATCATATATCGGCATCTTTGGATCGTGGTGCACCATTCCCTCGTTATTAAAGTAGGGGTATGGGTTGCTATTGATATGAGATGGCTCTGGAGAACTCATGCAAGTCCTGCCAACATTACGGGAAAGAAACGTGTAACTAGACGATGCACAATGAACCTTGTTTAGTGAATCATGCAAAAGGATGGCGGATGTGCGTGCGTTGCAGAGACGGAAGACTCACTGGTTCTTGAGAGCGTTGGGAGACCGAGACGGAAAGAGTTCATTTCGAATGCGCAGCCAGCAACGTCCATGCGTCTGAACCGCATTCCATAAAGATTGGCTCTTGATGTCGAAGTTAGCTCCATGGAAAATGAGCAGTTAACCAAAACTGAAAGTGAGAGCGAAAGTGAAAGGGGTGGGACTAGACCTACCTCTAAATGAGTCCACTTAGACCGATCGAGCGCCGGATCAAGGGCATGCTGCCATCTTTTAGCACATTCTATGATCGTTAATATCAATCCCATATCAAGAACGGTTTGGTCAAACAGCAACGTACGATCTGCTGTACGATGAGGGATATGATGTGCCACCCGAATCCACCTATGCCGAAAGTGATGATGTCAAAATGCTGCACTGGGCGGACGATCAGTTGAAATATATAATAAAGTAGAAGCCTTTGTACTACACCTTGCCTTCGGACTCTATAGCCTGAGCCAGCAGCCTGTCTTCTTCGGGAGTCCAGAGACCTTTTCTGAGGTCTCCACTCAACACGTTGAACCAGCGTTTCCGGCAGTCCTTGTTTGACCTCCCTGGCAACGACAGGGCTATCTTCTGCCAATTAGTGGTCTTAGTTGGGTCATTTGATGCTAGTTATGTTACCCTAGAACATTCAATATATGTATATATATGCCAGAAGTGGCTGGGAACATCGGACATACCAGTCTCTTGCTTATTGAACTCACGAAGGAGAATTGCATCTTCGTCTCGAGTCCATCTGTTGATCCGCCGAGTAGGTTCCATAAACAAGCGCTTAGACTGAACCAGTTACGCAACAATGTAACCTATCCAGACTTATGTTCTATTTTCAACTCAACCACCCATTGAAAAAAGGGTCTTCAGCGTAAAGAGAAAGGGTGTGGATTTTAAGTAGTTAACAGAGTGCGGGCAACTTGAGCCTCATGAACCAGGGATCTGGATTGACTTAACGCCTAACGCCGCCGGGACGTGCGTGTCCGGTGGGGCTATCCGCCTTGGCAACTTACGTAATTGAAATGTATCAAACATCCCTCAGCCTCGCAAAGCTCTCTCCTATTCGGGCTAGTGCGTCCCTGCTTGCTTCTTTCTTGTTTGAGAATGCGGCTGGGCATGCTGACTAATGCATTCATCAACCATACTGCAGTTGTTGAAACTTCTCTTAGCAGATCCCGACTTCCTGCAGGCAACAGTCCATTCCATCTGACCTGACCCGGGAACCCCGATGTCAACCTCACCTGACCTCGCAGCTATCTAGATACAAGTCGAAATCTGCTCCATGCATCCTGCAAGCTGACATCCCCGAATTCACGTCGCTTTTTTTAGCCGCTTAATGCGTTACTAATTAACTATTCTTGCAGAAATGCTCTCTAATTAGCTTATGAAGATATGGAGTACTAATTATCTCATCACCGGCAGGGATCTGGCCAGCGTCCTACATCAGCGGTCATGAATATTGGCCTCAACATACAGCTACTTTTCGTACCTACTCTGGTCCATCCTTCTTTGACTCTGGGCCATCCCTCTTCCCCCCGGAGCTGTGGCTCATCTATCTATCTACTCTTGGATATCCAACTCCCAAATCAGGACTATCGACTCAGCCATGTAAAATATAGCCGATGACCTTTACCAGGGGGGTTTTCCCACATTGGCTCTAGAGAAGATAATCAATTACGTATATACATACGTCTCACAAACTAAAGTGGAACAAAAAGTACATCACAGATGGATGGCTTGCCTTTGGGAAGGCTGTCGTGGAGAAGTGCCCCCCGATAACGGGCCCTGTTTCCGACGTCCGAGACCCCTGAGTGGCTGGAAACACCACATGGAGATCTAGCTGCTGACATGCGGTAGTGAAGAAGGACAAAGAAATTATTGATACAGGAATTGTTATTCTAGTTTTCACCTACAATATTGTGACTGGCGGAGAGTTTCTCTCGCTCGGAGGTTTGTTAAAGGAGAACCTCCGGTCGTTCAGGGGATACAGCCACTGATAATAAAGCTACGTACAGCGCTCATGGTGGTGGGCATGCGCCCTTTGACGACCGTACGAAAATCTCCAAGTGAGACGGGAAATTCGGGGTAAAAATCCCGATAAGAGGCAGTTAAGACTGGACAGCTTACTTCAGGCCTGCATAGGCATGTGTCGTCATGCGTGCAAGCACACGCATATTTGCTATTGCGCAGGTAACTAAAACTAAAGGCTGGCTGCCGGAAGTCTATGTCAATTAGCAATCCTTGTGAAGCGGCGATGCCGTCGGTGTAGCTTTGAGGTTGCCCGACCAGAATTGCAGCCACATGGTGCATGGTATCGCTATTCACTGCCCTGTCTTGCTTTGTCCGTATTTCGTCCCGGGAGAATTCATACCCATATTCAGGAAAAATGAGACATTCCACGGGACCACGCTTTAAGACGGGGAATACTTGTCGATTCAACCTCCCAGTGGTGCATCGGGCAGTCTGCAAACCCGGCCACGTAGGGACTGGCCAGACCCTGTTTAAATTCTTGATCTATATGCCTGCCCAGGCTTTTCTTTGACAGCACTGGCTGACTGCCCCTAACAGGCGATTTGGACTACAAACAAACTAGTTTCTACCCGGAAGGTACTTTAGGCTATTCCTACGACCCGAGACCTCTGCTATATTTTATACCACCAGTACTCAAGGTGTAAGTAACTTACAATGCTGATAAACTAGGGCTCCAAAAAAAAAAAAAGAAAAAAAGAAAGAAAGAAAGAAAGAAAAGAAAAAGAATGGAAACCCTTTCCTCTATATTAGTGGATTACTGAAGAAATGACGCTCTAAACTGCCTAGGTAGCTATCAAAGCAGTAACTAACTTGTGAGATGTTTCCTATACCTGTCGCTTACCGCTGTCTTTTAACATCAGATTCATTAATCCTCAACCTGAAGCTATGCATCCCTCTCCATGCATATACCCTCATCTAATCTATATTCTATATATGCATTTCTCCCCGTTTGCTCTTTGATCTGGAAACATGCTTGGATATTTCTTTGAAGAGTATCTACAAACGGCGTAATTCGCCTTTGTTCCCTACTGATAGTAAAGGCTAGAGTATCATGATTTATTTTGGATTTCAAGGGATATAAGCAGCCTGATGCGCTCTATCAAGCCCAAGATTTCAATCCATATCACATCAAAATAGGACAATATTTTGTTATTCTAAGGGAACATCTGCCAGTTCCTCTCCTCAGGCTGCAAGAGCCATCATGAAAATCCCAAGTGCTCCTGTAAGTTTATCAATATCCTACCTGACTGTAAAAATTGTCCAATAACTAACATTTATCTTAGAGGAAGGAAGAGGAAGAGCCCGCGTATGTGCTAGCCACTGATGGCACAATGTCATCAATCGAAGCTAGCATGGTATCTGACTCTCTGGTTGGGCTGCAAAACGTCGAACAGCGCGACCTAATGAACCTGGTTGACCGTCTTCGCCGTGCAGGTCTAAGTTCGGTGCTGCAGCTACCACAAATCGTCGTTTGTGGTGATCAATCTTCTGGCAAAAGCTCTGTTCTTGAAGCCATAACAGAGATACCCTTTCCTCGGAAAGAGAACCTCTGTACCCGTTTTGCAACTGAGATTATCATGAGGCGAGACGCGGAGTCTGCGATTCATTGCAAGATAAACCCTAACACCGGCCGTGCTGACGATGAGCAACTCGAACTCCGCAAGTTTTCCAAGTCTATCCATGACTTTACTGAGCTTCCTTCGGTTATTGATGATGCAACTACTGCCATGGGTCTGAATGACAGAACCGCATTTTCAAGGGATGTGCTGAGCGTTGAAATTTGTGGGCCTGATCTCCCTCAGCTGTAAGTCTTATTAGCATACTGGCCTTAAAAAATGTCTAGATAGATTGCTTACGTTTTGGGTAGTACGTTGGTTGACCTGTCCGGCCTCATCCATTCTGCCAATAAGTCAGTCAGACGAGGACGTCGAACTTATCAAGTCTCTAGTTGAGAGCTATATTTCACAGAATCGGACCATCATTCTTGCTGTAATCTCCGCAAAGAATGACTATGCCAACCAGGTCATTCTTAAAAACTGTCGTAAATTCGACCAGAATGGCGCACGAACCCTTGGAGTGGTTACAAAACCGGACTTTTTACGTCCAGGGTCTGACAACGAGAAATCATGGCTTGACTTAGTGAGAAACCGAGATATCTACTTTGAACTCGGATGGCACTTGTTGAAGAATCGCAGTGATGACGAGCACCACCTGTCGCTTGCTGAGAGTAACAGCAGAGAACGTGTCTTCTTCAGCACGGGAAATTACAATGATCTCCCTCGAAACGTCAAAGGAATTGATACCCTCCGCCAGCGTTTGAGTGAACTTTTATTTCATCATCTAAAACGAGAGCTTCCAATCCTGAAAGAGGAGCTTGACAAAATGGCAAACGGCGTTCGCCTGGAACTTCTACACCTTGGGAAAAGTCGTGGCACGATAGCCGACTAACGGGCATACTTGGCAGACTTCTTTGGATCCGCTAATGATATAGTTAAGATGGGGATAAATGGAAATTATGAAGGGGAATTCTTTGGTACGGTCAACGCTACAGAGCGTATCGACAGCAAAGAGAATTCTCGTCGCCTCAGAGCCGTGGTCCAATATCTGAACGTTAAGTTTGCAGCCCGTATGGACCAGAAGGGCCATAAATATCATGTGAAAGATGATAATGAAGAGGATGCAGATAAGCCAACATCAGTGTGCCCAACAGTAGCTGGATGCCCTGAGGAACTGTCTCGTAAAGAGGCAGTCAAACGGGTAGTTAGAATTCTTGAACGCAGCCGTGGACGCGAAATTCCAGGAACTTTCAACCCAATGATAACTAGCCACCTGTTCTGGGAGCAATCTGAGGGATGGAGAGCCATAGCACAAGATCATGCTAACAAGGTTGCTACTAAATGCAAAGATTTCCTGCTCCAGGTTCTAGAGCAAACCGCACCACCCGATCTAAGGGCCCGGATTATGAACTTAACTGTCACACCTGCTCTTAAAGCTGCCCATGAGGCTGCCTTGGATGAAATTGAGCGAGTTGAGCAAGATAAGAAGAGACATCCAATAACATACAACAATCACTTCACAGATACCCTACAGAAGATTCAGAATCGGCACTCGGTAGCTGAAGTGGAAAAATAGCCAACAAATCAACAGTAAACGTTTCTGAAAAGACATTTACTGGTGGTGCTGGGTATGAAGACAGGGAGTACATTCGACTCGACACGTTCCTCTCTAATCTCTCCAATACCACGAATAAGGACATGGACAAATTTTCCGCGGAGCAAGCACTTGACACTCTCGATGCGTATTACAAAGTATGTCCTAAAGATGAGTTTTGTCTGTAAAGTAGCTAACATTTGTGTATAGACCGAGAGGAAATACTTTATTGATGTGGTTGCTAAACAAGTCATCGAGCGTCACTTGGTTGCACCCCTTGCCGACGTTTTCGCACCAAGAATACTGGCACGCTACAGTGACAAACAGATCCATTTCCTAGCTGCTGAAACGACTGATGTGATACACCGACGAGAGCACTTGGATAATAGAGGCAAGATCTTGAAGGAGGGACAGGAAGCCTTCTACATGGCTATGGGACAGGAGGAGTAATTTTCAATGTGGATTGGTTAGCTGCTGAAGAGCTCAATGGGAGGACAAACGTCTCAAAGGATGGTAAATATCGATGAACGGGAACTGGGAGAATGTGAAATCATAAAGGTGGAAATATTTAGGCACTCAATAGAATGGAAGCAACTCTACTCACGAGCCTAACGCCCTGTAATTTAGCAGTCCATGTTTTCAGCTGCAACATCCGTAAGACTAACAAGCTACAACATGCTTCATTTGCTAAAAATCTACAATGTAATATCAAGCATGCTAGCCCATGGAACAGCTATAGAAACAAGCCAACTTTGTAGCTTGCAGTCAACGATGCAAAGTTGAGCTTTGAGAAGCCTTTAGATGCCAAGACTTGAGCTTCTCGCACCAAAAAGTTTCTCTGTCGCAATCTCTCGACTTCAACTTAACCGCATTAAAAGGAACAACAACCAGGATCAACACAGCACATCGGCTTCCCGGAGCTCATATCGATTGTACACGCTCATACAAAAGCTATCAACTTATTACCACTTACAGAATGGCGATTACTATCCTACCGCCGACGTTTGACGACTATCGACCGACGACCAGTGATGAGGGACAAGACTCCGATGAAGAAATGGACATGGGCGATGATAGCAGACCGGCAAAGAGAGCTCGTCTATCTGGCATAACAGATACTATTGTTACCCCTGGAGAGATAATCACGGATGACCCGCAATGGATGAGGTGGGTTGTGTCTAATTCCGTACTGCTCCATTATTAAATTGCCTGAGCTAATGGCTGAACCTTTCACAGAGGACATGGAACTTTCACGCCTACGGTACCGGTAACAACAAATATAATAGCGACTGTAGCTGGTACAGTGCTTAAGACCAATAAGCTTCTCTCGGTCTATCCCCTACGCGCCCGCTACACACCTGAAATAGGCGACTTGGTGGTTGGCCGAATAGTCGAGGTGCAATCAAAACGATGGAAGGTTGATGTTTCGGCTCCATTACTTGCACAGCTACCTCTCTCAGCGATAAATCTGCCAGGTGGAATCCTACGCAAACGTACAGCGGCGGACGAGCTGCAGATTCGCTCATTCTTTAACGAAGGTGATCTCGTGGTGGCAGAAGTACAGAGTGTTCATGGAGACGGCGCTGCATCATTACACACCAGGTCATTGAAGTACGGGAAACTACGCAACGGCTTGTTTTTGGCTGTTAGTGGAATGGGTGGTGGTAGCGGGACTGCTAGGGGTACAGGTGTAGTGAGGTCGAGAAGGCAAGTGTGGACGATTGAGACTGCATACGGTGGTCCAATTGATGTCATCCTTGGAGTGAACGGGTATATATGGATCTCCAAACACGTTGGTGAACCCTCAGATGAAGGTGCGACTGGGTCAAAGTCGAAACAAGTCTCGTTCACACGACTAGAGGATATGGTCAACACGTCGATGTATTCGAGTCAGAACGATGATATTTCGCTGGCTACGAGGAAGGAGATTACAAGAATTGCTGGGTGTATTCGCGTTCTGGTTGAAGGAGGAGTGAAAGTTGACCAGGAAACGGTCATGAGAGCCTATGAAGCCAGCTTGGCTCTGGATGACGAGGAAGAGGACAGTGACATGGAGGGGGACGATGGCCGAACCATAACTCATAAGGAGGGTCGGTACTATCTTGGTGGTGAGAAAGCGAGTAGACTTATAGCTACTGTCTTGAGCCGAAGACTTCATTAATTAATATCTGGGATGGTTAGGTCAAATAGACATACCAATAGGCCTGGACATTGCTTGGTATTCCAAGGCGAAAAAGGCAGGCCAACAGTGAAAATCAACTGATGATAGAGCATAATATGACGGACAGGCAAATACTCCCCAAAAAGCCACCCAAAACTGCCATCTCTATCCCTCCGTTTGTCTAAATAATTATAACTGGAAGATGGGTGTGGTCCCCGTCCACTCACCCTTTGCTCTCTCTTCCCAGTATCCATCCTTGCCTGTACGGAGTTTCCATATATCATCTCCGTTATCTAGGCCGTCGACATCAACCTGTGTAAACCACCTAGGGCGCCATGTCTCGCCCTTTTGCTCCATCTCTTTCCTGCGGTGACGCTGGGCCTCTTCTAGCCGTGCCTTTACGTCTTCTGCTTCGTCGACATTGCCTTCTTCCAGGGCGCGTTGATCAGGACGAAGGCGACTATCTGTTTGAGGTAGTTTCCGCTGCTCAACCGCTGTGATTTCATTCAAGGTCACTGCAAATTCAGTCAGGCCGTAGTGTTTCTGTGGCTTGTCGACCAGGGGCCCAGCAGCCCATATGGTCTTGTCTGTCAAGCTCCCGTGCTCCGTCAGCTGGAGGGACGAGGTCCAGTTCCCTTGCAGACCAAGTGGTAGTTCTTCGCCATGTGTATCGTAGGCTTTGACTGTAACCTCTTCGCTACGGCCGGAGAACATGCCTCCAACTTTGAATACGGCGATTGTCTTTTGACCGGTGGTCTCGTTGAGCACACACATCTCGCCGACAGGTTCCACATACTTCTCGCCGGCAATAATATTACGCAGGAACTGGGTACCAGCAGACCAGCTGAAATGCTCCCCACTCGAATGAAGCGTTAACCGAGACTTGCCCTCAGTGATAATCTCGACGGATTTTCCCCAGAATTTCTGCGTAGGCCTGGGGGATTGAATAAAACTCCAGTCGCGCGAGTCTGCCTGCATTGCTAGCTGGACGGGTCTATGAGAGACCTTTTCGGCAATGAAACGGAACCCTCTCTCTGGAAGGACAAGCTCATACGTCTCGCCTAGCATGGGGTTGAAAGGCTTGCGAATAGTCCGCTCTTTGATTCGAGAACTAGAAAACTGCGAGAGCGCAAAAGCGGTCACATATATCAACCGCTCCAGAGCATCAGTAGCGTTGGCCGCCTTGTCAAGAAGCTGGGAGTATTCAAGCTGCTCTGCGGCTCGCTGTAGAAGAGAAAGAGGCTCGTTGGCGGACACAGGCATTGATATAGTCGATAGATCCTTGCCAACATTCTTACGCATGAAGCTAATCAGACTTGGTGGTAGGCCAATTGGTGGCTCTATCCTTGATCTGCGGGGCGGTGCTTCCATCGGTAAGGGAACAAGCGACCGTGACTTTACTGGGAACAGTGAGGATGAGGAGTCGAGTTTGAAGTCGCCTCGTAGGAACTCGTCTCTATCATCCACATCACTGCCAGAAGATGACGCAGCATCGTCATCAACAGCCGTGACCACGCTCTTTGAGTCTTCCTCGCCACTGTCCTGGTGAATCGTTAACAAGGGAGAGATGTTACCTCCATCCATAGCATCGAAAAACTCCTCTGAATCAGAATCAGCGGTTACGTTTGAATGAACAGGCCGCAGTGCTATCGGCGTCCTCGAACGGTTTCGGTCACTTATTAGGGTATTAAACTCGGAGACGACTGCGTTCAGGTCGTGAAGTAGTGCCATCAGGTCTTCATGAACACCAGACCCAATTGCGGTTTTGAATGAGCTGGTGTCGAAATAGGAGCCTTCGTTGCTAGCTGGAGGAGTTTGCTGTGGTCCTAGAGGTGACAGAGCCGGACGTTGCGTGGGCGTATTGCTGCCACTGTCACCTTTACCCTTGAGTTTCCAGAACGACCTTTTCTCCTTGCTTTCAGAGCCATCTCCGGGTTGCGAAACACGACGTACACCGTTTGCTGGGCTTTGATTACCCTCGCGGTCTGGGGTGGGCATGAGGTACTTTGGGTCTGTATCCTTAGCCAGCTGGCGAACCTTATCCCTCGAAGCAGATACCGATCCAACTAGTCGTTCGATAGTTTTCCAATCCTGGGACTTGGGTTTATTCTGGCTGTGCCTCCTGGTGATCAAGGTAGGCACCTTAAGCCTGCCATCCTCTTCCTCCACAGTATTGTCTTGATTCGATGCTTTCTCGAGCGCCTCCTTCCAGGCCTGAAACTCGGGGTTATTTAGTGCACGTAGATGCCATATTTCCACTCCGGAGTCGATAGATATTTCTCTCGTATTTTCGTTCGGTAGCAATTGCGGCCAGAGTCAAGGGGATGGCACCTCTCAGAGCAGAAGAGTTGCGATCATGGTAGTATGATAGGGTCGATGAGTTGAAGTCCAGCGAGAAGAACCGTCGGGCATAGCCTTGGTGTCGCTTACGGCGTCTTTTTGACAGTATACCGGTATGCACGGATGGCGCGATGCTCGCAGACGAGTCTGTTACAGTGGGTGGCCCATTTGAGCTGCCTGGGGCCGCAGCACTGAACCCAGGCCGTCCTCGCTGTTGAGCCCGTGCCTTTGCCTCTGCTTCTGTCTCGGTCGCGCTGAGTTTTGGGCTCGGGCGCGAAGGTGCCTGTGATCCGATCGGGCCAGCTGCGGCTTGGGTGTGATGGACTTGGTGTCCAGAGCGTGGCGGGCAGCTAGTCGGATAGGTGAGCAGGACGAAGGTAACCGTCTTGGAGATTTGTTTAGAGAATGTGTTGTCGAAAACAAGAGCGTAGTTGCCTCCCTCACTGGAACCCACGTCATACGTTCCCTGAGATATCTTGTCAGCCTCGCATTTCCCTATCCATTCGATCGGTTTCAGCCCAACGCCCTTAAGCTTCTCCGTAATTAAAAGTGAAGAATCCGCCTGTTTCGCAGGGCCGTTGTTCTCCTTTGAAAGGTCGTTGATGTCACTCCCTGTGGTTTGCGAATATGTAGACGCAGCACTGTTGATTGCAAGCCCTGACGCGCCGGGATGCTTGAAGATTCCGAAATTGAGCGACTTCTTGTGTGGCTGGATGCTCCATGATATCGTATGCTCAGGGCTGACGTTTATCCAGCGGACGAGATATGACTGAGACAAATAAGAACACAGTAACAGACATTAGCCGCTATGGATATATCGACGGAGGGGCATCGGGGCAATCTTGAATCATCCAGGGCTCCCCTGCGGGTTGCAAAAGGGGGTTCGGCGCTATTTACCTTGCTGTGTATCTCCAATTCCTCCATGCCCGCCATTTTTGCACAAGAGTAGGTGGCTGGTATATGATGGGCGGCGCAGGATTCAGGTCTTTGGTTTCTTGTTCTTCTTCACGGGTCAAGCAAGGACAACCAGCCCGCGGTAGATTATCCGATCATCCCGGTCGTTGAAATGGACAGGTAAGCAGGTCGTGTTATATATGGACGGACAAGGGGGCACGAGTTAAAGCGGCTCCAGCACCCACGTGGAGTCTGTCGTGAGAAACCGATAATCTCGTTTATCTCGAGACCAGCGTCTGGAATGTTTTGTATATATCGTGTTGTTTGTTGTATCTTTTTCGACTTTTTCATCGTCTTTCCTTGGATGTTTTGATTGCATCGTCGTAACGATCGGCGTCTTTTATTTCCTTTTTGGGCCTCGATCATCATGCACAGACCACTTGACTTTAAAGTGGGTCTAGTATTACTAATTAAACTCAAAAAGTTACTTCATTTCTATCACGTGAAACCGAATCACATGATAAACACTATTCACTCATTATTATTAGTCCGTTGGATAGAGTGTATGACATAATCCAAAAGGTTGTCACCGTCAACTTCTCTCAAACGACGAGCCAGACTGAGCAGAAGGCAAATCAACCGACGTCGTCCCTGTCGAGAGGATGAGAATCAGCTGCTGGCGAGACTGGAGCCAGGATAGCCAGAGACTACGGAGTGCTCGCTGGTTAGTTAGACACACAAACCACTGCTAGTCAAACTACATGGATTAGAAGTGCTACCACCGGCAGCACGATATGGCAGAAGTACGCCCTTATATCATGCCCGGATAAAGGTTAAATAGTAACTGCGGATGAAATAGAGGCTACTACGCCTCGGATCACCGCTCCAGCTTCGTGGCACAATCACTCGACTTCACCATCGTAAAAAGTGGCCCTTACTCTCGATTCTTCAGCTTTGCCTACCTGCCTTTTCGTCAACCTGGTCATTTCCTGTTCTGATCCACTCCCACTAAGCACACTTATTGCAGAACTATCACTTTGCTGGAAGAGGCGCGTTGAAAGGGTTCTTAAAAACCACAGGCTATTCCTACCTGGCGTTCGCGAGATACCCATCTTTGCTCTCTATACCGTCTATACGAGTCAGTGACAGCAGTTAAGGAGATTTTTGTAGTCATTGGATATGAAACCGAGTATATTTGGTATCAAAATAGGGGCTCATGGGGGCCGTATCGAATACCTGACCTTGGCCATGCCGTCCTTGGTGGAGGAACAGGTTGCAGGCAAATCCTATCTTCCCGGTAATCATACGATGGCAATGGTCAATAGAAGTGTCAAGCATGTGCGTCGACTTTCTCCCCGAGGTCTATTCTCAGTAGCGAACCCAAACCGATTGAATTGAGTTCTACAGACTCAGAAAGTTGGCTTGCTGGTATAATGCAAACCTACAATGGTGTTGCAGAAGACCAGTGTTATGGTCTAAAGACGCAAAGATGAGACTTTCCTCCAGAGTCTGGCCGAACTCTGGCTGAGCCGAGCTTTCGATAACTGATGGAAGAACTTGACATAGGGTTGGCCTATGGATCCTCCAATATGTTCTTAGCTAACTAACATAAGAATGCTTAAAAATAAAGACTAATTAACAACACATAGCTTTGCTTCTATGGAGCCGGCTCCCTCGCGGCCACAACAAGGACCCTGAGTTTCACTCCGGTCCACACTGGCCGAGGCCGCACTCGGGATCGTAGTGAGTGGATAACCTAAAGCCATCAGATCTTCGTCATCGGACGAATCATTACCACTAAGGCTCATCCTCAGGCGCCCTTCTCCCATACAGGTTATCCAAGAGACCAAAACCCCTATTTCCACCCTGACTGTAGCCAAAATGGAATCCCCCGTTGTTGCAGTTGTCACTGGTGCGGTAAGAAGTTTTCCCTGAGATAACTGGGACCGACACAGTCCAAGTTGATACGATATCCCAAATTGCAGAATCGTGGTATTGGCCTCGCAATTTGCACTGTTTTGGCCCAAACTTTTTCCTCACCTTTAATTCTATACACTGCCTCACGCTCCGGCGGATCTCTGGATCTTAGAGGTGTTAGCAAGAGCCGTTCCGTCGACCTCCGCCCGATCCGACTCTCACTCACTGATACTGCGAGTATCACGGCGCTCAAGGCCACTGTTGAGAGTGAGTGTAATGGATGTGATATTCTGATTAATAATGCAGGTCTTTACTACTATCGCACAACAATTTCCGCCGCGGAGCGGAGGGAGACTCTGGATGTGAATTATCGAGGTACCCTCAAGGTCTGTTGGCCCCCAACTCTCCTCCGTATGATAATTTCATGCCGCTAAAATAACATCTTAGCTATGCGAGGCTTTCATTCCTATCATGCGCTCCAATGGCCGCATTGTTAACCTATCCTCACAATCCGGTCGAATGCTCTATTTTAGCCAGGGGCTACAAGAGCGCTTCCTTGACCCAAGCCTGACACTGGACAAGCTAGACTCCCTAATACAGGAATATGAGGTCAGGCTACCACTAAAGGTTATACACAGGGTCTACTGGTTATTCTGACAGTAATTATATTGATATAGCAAGCCGCTGCTAGTGGGAAAGCAGAAAAGATGGGTTGGCCGGCTCTCGCTTACTTTACCAGCAAGGCTGCCGTAAATGCTACAACTCGAATTCTTGCCAGCGAAAACCCGCATCTTCTAATCAACTGTTGCTGCCCGGGCTGGGTTGCTACTGACCTAGGGGCGCAGGCCGGCCCACCACCAAAGACAACCAGTGAGTCCCTTATATAAACGCTTTTGTTCTCTGTATGTCTCCTCCATTACTAACGATCTCTTTAAGTTGACGGTGCAAAAATACCCCTACGCCTAGCATTTGGCAATATTGGAGGCGTAAGTGGGCGGTATTGGGCAAATGATTCCGTTGGGGGGAGTGGGGATGGTGAGATTCAAGAATGGTGAATAGATACAGGGCTTTCTTTAGCATATATGGTAAAATAGGAAATTTGCGAATAATATATATACTATACCTTGATGAATTTAACTATTCTCTCCAGCATCTCTATGTCTACTTCAAATTATAATGAAATAACACATATATCCATAACGGTTAACTATTGTCAGAACCAAGTACTAGTATTTTATCAACTGCCTAAAAGAAGAAACTCCAATTTAGTGTATCTCCACGAGTGAACTGGAAGTGAACAGGAATGTAGTAAACACTAATACAGGTGACAGCACCCACTGCTGCGCATGAAATAGCGAGCAGTACTTGCTCCCTTTGCGTATATAAATGAATGAGAAACACTCGGTAGTCTGAGCCTTACAATGATGTGGGAAGGTTGCAACTCTTAGATTCCGTTGTTGAACTCATGACGATAGAAAAGTGAAAGGCTGAGTATGGAGGGGTCAATGCCAAAGAGCAACTAACTAAACTTTGTTCTCACATTTGATCCCCATATTGGGAAAGCAAGGATGCAACGTATAAATACCTCTTCTACGGGCCATTTGGCAATCTTTCGTTCCTAATTCACTATCTAAGATGTTGAATTTGTCAGCCCCGGAGATAAGTCAGTCTCTTCTCCAAAAGCCGGATTGATAATTCAATGCTTGGCTTTCTTGTAGTTAGTTAACTAGTTAACTAAACACGGACCACAATAAAGGGACCAAAGTTACGTAAATGCATCCATGGATCCATAAACGCTAAGTCACACCTTGCAAAGTGTTTATTTCTCTGCTCTATTTTGCTCAGCTCAGGTGCGAGGTTCTACTACAAATTTAGCTTCATGACTTAAAATAAACTCCCGGCCCCGCACGGACCGCTAACTCGCAACCATCCGCGTTCAGCCTCATGAGGCTCAGAGAAGGTTGAAGCTTAGCGCCTGAAGGGGGAAAATAGCAGGTTCAACCATTAAGATATCGTCCTGAACTTCTCTGAGCCTTCAAACGTGGTCAACCATGCCGCCTTTCTTTTGCAAAAAAACTCCAGCGTCGGTGGGCCCCAGCTTTCTCCCTCAGCCAAATCCAACGTACCAGATGACACGATCACCATATCAGGAAGTCTAGCCTTGTTTTCGCTGACAACCGACGAGCCGCAAGATACGCAGAACGAACGTTCAAGAACAACCCCGGAATCGGTTGTTTTGTCAAGGTATGTCGCCAGGTTGTTTTTGCCTTCGGTAATTTTTAGTGCCTAGTTACCATTGAAGGGTTAGTTATTTTAGCTTGTTAATGTTTTTTGGGAATTTTGGCGGTGGGTATTAATGGGTTTAAGGGGGGTATTACCTCCTTCTTATACCAGCTGTTCGCCATGCATAAAGAACCCGTTGTTTTTCTGCAGTTGTTACAGAAACATAACACATAGTGAAGAGGCTGGCCTTCGAGTTCATAGCGTACTTTGCCACAGAGACACGAACCCTTGGTTTTTGTCGTAGCAGATGCCATTATTTCTCGCTCAAACTCGTTTTATATTGAGAGAACTATATCGTGGTATCCGCAGCGCTTGGGAGGTTACTAAATCTTTTGTGGAGAAAGGTATCCCTGTTCACTGGCTTATTATGATGATACAAGGCAGCCATCTAACAGCTGTATGAAAATACTGACATCTACAGAGCAATTAGTCGCAAGATTCTTTTGACACGCGTTTCTTTATCCCTCGGGGCGGAGAATTCAGAACCCGGAGCTCTTTATGGCTCTGTACTAACTACTAGACTGGATACACTGCAGTTCCGGGAAGGGATTAGCAAGCTGTCTCCCCCAAAGCAGAAGCAGGGGTATATTGATAATTACTCACAATATTACAACTTCTCTTTCTACACTCAGTTTGAAGTCATCACGAGTCAGCACAGCTGGTAAGAAACCGAGATATCAACTATCAATACCAAGAGTAAGCGTAGCGTGCTATACAACCAACGCTATTCGTAGCACCTTCTTTTTAGTACTACATCTGTAGATGCGGGTCATATAAAAAAGGTAGCTATTTAGGTAGAGAATAGAGAAAATTATACCTAGGCTGTTTGTGACTCCATAGGGCTAAGGTAGTGGGTGTATTAAAACGATACTGCAGTGTCATCTTAGCGAGTTTAATAGCTCTAAATTAAGGGTACATCAATATCCTTCATCATTAGATGTTGATGCCTAGATGTATATCAATAAAAGAAACGATATCCAAGGTATATTACCGCTTTAACCACCGATGCTCCTTCAAACTGATGGAAGTAAGAGATATTGGGTATTAGAGAGCTAACGTAAGTGCAACGAAGCATTGACTATGTACGAGCAAACAGCTATTGACTTTTTAAACTAGAAAAAAGAGAGGTTAAGGCTCGATGATGATATCTGTTCCGACACATCGGTTGCACACAAAAAGGTTCTTTGGGTCAATACGCCGCTTGATGGAAAGAAGGCGAGCATACTTGTCTCCCCAGAAGGCATTTTGCCAGTCAGGTTCGTATCTATATTGTGGTCAGTATGATAAGCAAGCTAGGGACATCTTCAAACGGGGAAAGTGACATACGGGCTTGCTTCGTTGAGGTAGGTTCCGGTCTCCTTTCCAACTATCTCAGCTAGCCTTTTAGAGACTTCGACAGAGGTGTTTTTGGCTGCCTTCTTCTGTTTTTCAGAGGCATTATCTGGCCAGTCAACACTGAAGCTGATAAGTGCCCTGCTGTCCTTGAATGAAGAGTGCACAGCAGTTTTATCACGCTCATCGGAGTTCACTTTGACAACTATATCGCGGATACATTAGTACTCGACATTTTCCTTTGAAGGTGGATAAAAACTTACTCGAGTTGAATCCAGGGCCGGTAGTAGGGAACTCAAACATGAGATCGACAAGGTCACTCGCACGCTCTGTGAGGACTTGGCGGCTCACCAGCCTCGAAGCATCAATGACGTTGGTAGCAATGTTGGGATCACGAAGGAAAGACTTGGAGTATTCCAAGAAATCCGGGAAGACAAAGGATGCAGCGCCGCCTGTAACACCAGGTAGGGTTGCAATCTTGTTTAGAGGCTCGAACGTCTTGTTGAAGTTTTCCATGGTTGCATTGGGCTGAAGGAAGATAACTTGGAAGGCTGTTGGATCAGCCTTTTTAGTAGCATATACGCCATAGCCTACCCATCCGGCTTCGGTGATGTCGGGGAGAGCTTGGAGAGACTTCTCAATCACTACTCGCCGGGCATCCTCGGTGGTGACGTTGAACTGTGCAATTCCAACCCTAATGTGAGTTGGTTTAGGGTGTGTTTTGTATGTCACAGAGGTAATCACCTATGTAGAGGTTAGGGTTGCTGTAGTTATAAATCTATGGGATGGGAGAACTTACGCCCCAAGCACTACCACCGCCACCACGCAAGGCAAAGAAATAGTCAGGATCGGTGTACTGGTTGATAGTCTCTGCTTTTCCCTGGGCAGTAACAAGATTGACCTCGAGGACATCTAGCCGCTTGATTAGCCTTGCTGCTTTGAACCAGTGACAAGCAAATACACTTACTATCAACAGCAAGACCATAGAAATGAGAAAAGGGGCTGACTCCTCCACCAGTCATGAAGCCGCCTGCAGCTCCAACTGTTTGCGCAGAACCACCGGCAAAGGTAACCCCTTCCGCGGCCGCAGCCTTATAGACATCTATCACCATATGTTAGCAAATATCATCAAGCAAATGCGGAGTAATGAAACCCACCAAGTAACTGCTCTCCGGCCTGAAGAGTGACAGCAGGAACACCGCCAATATTTGACGGAGCCCCCTTTGGCCTGAAAGATTTATGCCACTCCTTGCCCTTGAGATTGTGAGTCCAGATGGAAAATGCACCTTTGCCACTTGACCGACCGAGGCTTTGAGACAAGTAAGTTAGCCACCGCCCACCACAGAGTAACGCACAAACAGACAGAGAAACTCACTGGTCATGGCCTGTATTCTTGACAACGAGGAAAAGGTCATGCTTATCCGCAAACTTGACTGCCTTCTCAATATCCTTCACACCACTAGCAGAGACAGAGTAGTACGGCACAATGCCCTGATCACATTTAGCCTCCTTGGGCGTATCTATGAAACACTGTCCTGTTTCACCGAGCTCCCATAGAATAGCAGAGTAAGCACCCGTCTGGTTCGTCCGCCAGAAGCTATCCATCCAGCTTTCCTTTGCAACGGAGCAAGCAGCAGCGTCATACTGTGCCGTGTGGCAAACAGCAGCCGACGGGAATGTGCGTATTAGACGGCCCGAGATGGTTGAGTTGAAGGCCTGCCAGACATGCTCCTTGGGCCAACATGCGTCTCCGGCAGAGCATCTTGGGTGCTTTCCGGGGTAGCTTTGAGCAGGCGATGCGAGCAGCGGGAGAGCTAGCAGGACCTGCTGGCTGGGGATCTTCATGGTAGATTATAATAAGAATTAACTTGTTGGATATAGTTCTCCGTAGAGGTAGAAAGAAATGAGTTGATTGTCCTGTCTATGAAGTAGACGGGAGGGAGAAGTAGATGTAATATATACTGCAAGCCACAGTATATACACGGGGGAAGAACACGGTGAATCTCCCAGTTGAGCAATTCATCGTTCTTGGGAGGCTTTTTCTCTGCGCCATCGAGGGTGACATGGAACAAGTCAGGTCAAGACAAGTTCAATAGTCTACGGAGTAGATGACTGGTTAATTGGCTGAATTGTGGAGGTTCGAGAAGAAACGAAGAGTCGAGGATACGCAGATTTGCCTAAAGGGGAGATCGGCGTGGCTGAGTCGAGTTGAAACATTTGACAGCAACACGAGCAGCCCAGGGGAATACGACGATTGACTCTTCATAACTGTTTAGCTGAGGTAACCTAGGCCTGGAATAAAGATGGATGGATCGAGCTGTTTGTTTATCGTAGATACGTGGTTTGATGTGCAGATATTAATGACATTGATAGCTATGGGTGATGGGGAGTCCCTGATGATAATAATAACATAAGGACAGATATCCATCAAAGTACAGGTAAGATAACTAGTTAACGTAGATGATTAGGTAGAAGGTAGTAATGATACAAACAAATGAAAATATCGTCGTAGCAATGGTTTGTAGTTATAGTAAGGGTAAAGGACCTGCTATGAAGCGGCTGCAGCAGTGGACGCCGTAGACGGTCTTTTGGCCCGTTTCTCGTCTCTCTTTTTCCTCCCACGGTTCCCGCCCTTGGGATGATACATGCCGTCTTCCTCTCGCTTCCTCTTGGACCTGCCGCCTCCACCTCCGGTGTGGGCAGTGGGCTCTGCGGTGTCAACCAACACGCCGTCTTCATCGTATACCTCTTCTTCCTTGTGCACCTGAGCTGACGCTCGTTTGGAGCGAGTAGAGCTTGATCGTGGTGCTGCACCTGGTTTGTCAGACTGAGCAGTTCCACCTGCACCTGCATGGGCGGAGCTGGCGCCAGCAGCGGGGGCTTCGGCGGGATCATGGGCGAAGACCTGGGGCTTATGCTTGCGTAGCCAGTTGTAGACCGATGACGGGTTGCGGATGAGCAGTGCTTTATCCCTGTCTGCTACTGGGAGATGTTTACTGGTTGAGCGAGCATTGGTAAGGTCTATGCGTCGCGGTTCGCTAGGGATGAGATAGTCCACATCGTCCTCGGGATGAATGAAACCAAGAGCAGCATCAAGGTCGCCGTCTGGAGCATCATCGGGCGGCTGGGTGGTATGCGGTACATTCTTCAGAAGCGAAGTAATGCCAGTCGTTGGCGCAAAGGTGTTGCTTTTCAGCATGGACAGCTCGAGCGCTTTGCACTCGTCTGCGGTCATCTCACCGGCCAAAAGCTTCTGTTTGGCCTCGTCGAGCTTTGCGCGGGCCGTCTGGGCATCGCATTCGACGATAGGGATGGAGTCTGGCTGTTCGGATATGGTTGTCTGTAGCTGCGAGTCCTCTTCCTCCCTGCTGAGATTGTACCGGAGCGACCGGGGGATGTGCACCGTATTGTTGAGTTCGAGCAGCAGTTCAAGCAGCTGGCTATCGGACAGTTAGCATCATTGGACTCGTACACAGCAGTAATTGGATAATAACGTACTCGTTCTGTTCTCTCAGACGCTTCGACAGGTCGTGGATCCGCATCTCCTCACGCGCGAGCGCTGTGCTGTCCTTCATCACGGCCTCGAACTTGATCTTCTGCTTGCCATACTTGCGCCTGGAGAAATCAGCAGTCAGTATCAGCCTGTCTATGCATCTTCTATCACGGAGGACTGCCAGTCTTACTTGAAGGACTTGAAGGACCGGTTGACGGCTGGCGGCACCGCCGGGGCAGCAGCCTCCGTGTTGGGCACGACTGGCGCCTCGGGCATCTCGACGGACTCGGTATCGTTTGCCATGCTCACTGTATAGACCGTCGCAAGGCCGTCTTTCGACAAGTAGGCAGACGCTCTCTCGTCTTCTTCGTCTGTCTCGCCTTCGTCTTCGTCCTGCCGTGTCAAGGAGTCAAAAGGCTGCGACGTTGTTCGTCCTCGTCTTGTTTTCGCGCGTTAGCAAGATTTCGTCTTGCGTTTCTTCCCTGCCAAGCTTTAGCACAAGCTTTTTTCCTTCTGTCCATTTGGGTTTTTCTCTTTTATTTCTTTCACTTTTGACAGCTTCGAGTGCGCTAGTTTTACTTATCCAACTGCCATTGAAGCAGTAAAGAAGAAGAAGAAGATACCCATTGAGATATAGACATGTCAGACAGCAGTAGTTCACGGACGCCGTCTCCACGGCCATCGCGGAAACGCAAGCATGTCCCTGAGGACCCGCCGCTCGAGATCGACCTGGATGCACCGGAGCCAGCCTCGAAGAAAGCGCTGCGGAAGGAAAAGAAGGCGAAACTAAAGTCGGGTTCGAGTGAAGCGACAGTGGCCGCAGTCAGCGAAGGGACAGAGCAAGTCAACGAAACAGAGAAGGATAAAACAGACCAGAATGAGACAAACAGCAAGAAGCAAAGGACAGGATTCGGGGTGTGGATTGGAAACTTGCCCTTCACGGCCACAAGAGAGATGCTGCGGACGTTCCTGACGAGCAAGAGCGGGATCCTAGACAGCCAGATCACACGCGTTCACATACCGGACAGCGGAGCGAAGCGGAGAGGCGTCAAGCAGAACAAGGGATTCGCATACGTCGACTTTACGAGCCAGGCGGTGGTTGAGCTAGCGATTGCGCTGAGCGAGGAGCTCGTCGGCGGCAGAAGGGTGTTGATCAAGGATGCTACCAATTTTGACGGACGAGTAGTGAAAGAGGCTGAGAAGGACGACTCCAACACGGTGGGAGGAAATCCACCATCAAAAAAGATATTCGTGGGGAATCTGTCCTTTGACACGACCAAGGAACTTCTCGAAGAGCACTTCAGCCCTTGTGGGAGTATATCTAATGTGCATGTTGCCACGTTTGAAGACTCGGGGAAGTGCAAGGGCTATGCGTGGGTGGAATTCGAGTCTACCACGTCAAGCCAGGCTGCTGTACTGGGGTTTGTCAAAATACCTGATCCTGATGATGAAGTGGACGAGGAGGAAGAACAAGAGGAAGAAAAAGAAGAAAGAGAAGAAGAAGAAGCGGGCGAGGCTGGAGAAGCAAACGGCGCCAGTACGAAGAAGCCTAAGAAGCGGCGCATGAAGAAAGTGTGGGTGAATCGACTTCAGGGCCGCAAACTACGCATGGAGTTCGCTGAGGACTCAACGACACGGTACAAGAAGCGGTTTGGAAAGGAGAAGACAGAGACGGGGGACGATGCTGGCTCGAAATCTGCGGGCAGTGAGACCGCACCTTCAGCAGTAACCAGCGCCAAACCGAAGCCTAAGAGGCCTGTCAAGTCCTACGGCCATTATTCTACTGAGACCGTACAGAAGCTGCACGGGACTATAGTGGAAGCAAAAGGAACAAAAGTGATATTTGACTGATTGATAGTTGGATTGAGTAGCATTAGATTGCATGAATATCCCCGGCCTCGGTGTCTGATTCTCCTCGATGATTAACCCAAACTGCGGAAGCCATGCCAGTTCTTTCTGTAGTCAATAGAGCGTCCACTTGGTGTGCGGAGTCGTTGAAGCTGGCGGCTACCACATCCCGCTGGTCTGAAGTCATGTCTGCATGTATCGCGGACGTTTTGAATTGTAGTAGCTCTAGAAATGCCATCGTGAGCCACAATGTTATTGGTGACCGCAGAAATAGGAGTAGCCTCTAGCATCAGCTTTGCCAAATAGGCTAATTTCGGGCTACACTTAGCCATGTATAGGGCCAAGTCCGCTCTAGAGGATGGGGTCAATAGGTCAATCCGTATATCAAATCTTCATCCTAGGGACAATTGTGTGAAGTTGCTCTGTATCTTTTGGAAGTTGCACTTATGCCCGTAGCTTATCGAGGTCAGACAGCTCGTCCGTGAAACTAGCCGTGGAGTTATCGTTCCCATCATCAAGATCATAATGCATGGAATTGCAAGGCTCTTTGGCACTGGAGATGCTGCTCGACGACTTATTTCTCGCATGGTGTTTATTGCCTTACTTTCTCTGGCAGCTGCTGTTTCGTGTTAGTAAAGAACAGATGACAATTCCGTGAGCATGCCTGACTTACACAGCACTTGGGGCAGGGAGCGTCGTATATGCACATTGTAGTAATTTCGTAGCCGATAATCAGACGACTTTCTAAGCTGGCTAGACTCGTTTCTTAGACTTGCGCATAAATAGCTTTTCAGGCCATCTACGCCCTTTTTATATTGATTGATCCCCTCGGTGTTCCGTGCACTATTGATGCACCGAACCACGAACTCCGCCCATCTAAAGGCATTGAGTTCATTGGTAACTAAGGTCTGGCCTGCTGCGCGGGGAGTCCGATCCCGCTGACGGGCGTAGAAGTTTGGGCGCCGGAAAGGTGTCCACGAGACATAGGAGGCGCCGGGGCACGTACCCAGGATGGTGAAAACCGCTGCTACCCTCCCCGAAAGAGGCTGGAGAAAAGGAGGGAGACATGCGAGGTGTCCCCTCGGCCACGGACGCGGGAGCAGCCGGAAATCACCCTGCCGACCTATAGGTCTGCCGTTCTTCCTGGTGCTCCTGCGCACCTAGCCCACGACTGGTAAGCCCCTTTGTACCGGGAGAATGGGCATATCTCCGCTGTTAGGGGAAAAGTCTCTATGGATAGGCCTAATTCTATGTAATTTGAACCAGGGAGGGATATATAATATAGATATAGTATGGATATTGAAAGGAAGAAGAGAAGGAGAAAAAGAAGAAGAGAGGAAGAGGGGGAAATATATAGACGTGGGAGGCTCCCCTGAGTGAAGGGAAAACGCCACGGTGACTGAGATTTCAAGTGTTTCACTGGATAACGGCTAGCTACATGCATGATTGATTCACTTGGATCTTCAAGCCAGGCAAACGGACCACCGGGGAAGCGTGCATGGCACGATATGCACGTATATGCATGAATATGTATGTATCATGCCGGTATCCGGGGAGAGCCATGCTAGACCACCTATGAGGCAACCCCATGGTTACACACAGGCAAAAACGGAGGCCTCTACAAGACCTGCCAGCCAGCCAACACCATGCCATGCTATTGTTGTTGTTGATGATGATGATGGTGGTGTTATTATTCTCTTTTTACAGCAGGCCATGCTGTTGCCAGCTGCTGTTGTTGCCAGCTGCTGTTGTTGCCAGCTGCTGTTGTTGCCAGCTGCTGCTGGTATTGTCGGTTCTGGTGCTGGTGTCAGTTTTCCGTTTGTAGCACGCCATGTTGATGACGCTGTTGCTGCTACCCCTGTCGATGGGTATATTTCTTTTCCCGTCAGCCAGCCAGCCTCAACGAGACATCATGGCATATAAGACACGGACAAGGGAGTGACTCAGCCGTACATGTGGATGTCTTCTTATATGCAATGTCTTCTTTCAAAGACCAGTCTAGAACCTCCAACGGCACAAGAAATGACCTGTAGACGGCGTTAGAGACGTGTCGGTGGAAGAGAGAGAGGGAGACAGACAGACAGTACTAACCCCCGTCCTTAGTAGTACTGAAGATGTACCGACACAGGTTCCTGGAGTCTGTTGCTGGATGTAATCCCGGTCGAAGAGAGACGAGGTGAGGTCACAGTGACAGGTATAGCCAGTTACTTTGTCTTCCAGAGTGAGTGGTGAACTGGTGAAGATGTTGTTAGTAAAGAGTAAACAGTGAAGAGAAGAAGAAGAAGAAGAAGAAGAGAAGCCCAGCTTGTAAGGAAGAAGCCAGGAAGAAGAAACAGAAGAAGCAGGACCTACTGGTAGTTGGTAGAGAGTGACTCTCCCTCTCCCTCTTCTTAGGCCTGTCTATGGGTATAGCGGGTATAGGGAGGCCATCGTCTCCGGCCTGGCTGATCTCTGGGTATCTACATGCTGTCTTCGTCCTCTTCCTCCTCTATCTTCATCATCTTCATCTTATATCGCTGTCTCTTCACTTCTTCCTCTTCTCTTCCTCTTCTTGTCGTCATCATCCAGCTGACTAAGCAGAATAACACTCATCCCGCTTCTTCTTCTTCTTCTTCTTCTCAAGTGTTATTAACTTAACCGCTTAAATGACCAACTAACTACTCCGTAGTTATCTTGTTCTGGCTTCTGGCTTCTTCTGACTCCAGCTTCGACTTCTTCTGGCTTCATCTCCGACTTTCTCTCGTCTTCTTTTTCTTCTGCTTCGTCCGCTTCTTCAACTGGCTCTGCATGGCTCGCCTGCAGGAGGATCCCTGCTAGTCTCAGCTCCCAACGTCCCCCCTAAGCTTGTCTCTACTTAGTTCCCTCTCACTAGTCGAGCCAACGGGCAAGGGAAAAAAAAAAGTCCACCGCTTCTCGTTTCTTCTTCTTCTTGCTGCTGCTGCTCGTGCTGCTGCTGGAAAATCCATCCCGATGCTGGACAGCAGACACTCGCTGCCTGCTGTGTTCCACGCTTCTGCCGCATACGAGCGATCAGATTGACTCAGGTACGCCTCTTCTTCTCTTGTACCCCTGTGTGCTTTTCCTTTCTGTTGTTTGTCTTTTTTGGTTGAGTTGGTCGTCCATGGGGTGGCTTTGCCCATCGCCCCGCCGGGGATAGGCCCAGAGTGATGCCAGCAAGCCCAAAGGCCGAGAGACAGTCGGGACAGCCAGGACAGCTCCCAAGTCACAGAAAAAACGAGAGTGCAAGAGAGTACAGTGAATGGACAGTGACTAGAGTTTGGCCTGGCAGCTGGCATATATATATGTACCTGGTTGATGCCTGTGCTACTCTGCTGCCTGTCTTGACAACCGCCTGCTTTTTATTTTTTTTGATATCTTTTTGCCTTCCTTGCTTCTGCTTCTTTTTTGCTCTTCCTGCTTTACTACTATTTGACTACGGCAGAGTCTGCGGGAAGAAAGCTGACTCTTAATAGTGCAGATGGCACCACATCATCGCCGCAGGATCGGTGCGAGCCGAAGAACGGTCGAGGACGAGGGCGAGGAAGACGGCTTTCCTGGTTTGGTGGACGACGATTCCCTCAGCGAAGGCACGGCCAGCTCCCAGTCCCACGACGAGGACGACGGATGCAGCGAGATCACGGAGACAGAAGGTGGTGGTGACAGGACGGTGCTGGACGGTGGACGGCTGCCTCACAGGACGACCAAGAAGGCATCGTCGACGTCGACTTTGACACCTCGAGGGCACGGCAGCGGAGGAGGAAAAGGTGACGGTGATGGTGAAAGTGGCGAAGGGGACAGCTTGTTTAATGCGCGGACGTCGGAGACAGAGATCATGATGAACGGCAGCAGAGAGACGGCAGCGTCGTTGCAGGAGGCGGATGAAATACAATTCGACCAGATGGCCGACACTACGACTACTACTACGACCACTGCTGGTACGACTGCCACCACCGCTGCTGCTGCTGCTGCTGCTGCTACAACTACTACGACTACTTCCCGGCCGAGTAGTGGTGGTCAGAGAGAGACGTTTGCGGAGCGGAAGCGGAGAGAGCACGACGAGTACATCCAGAAGCGGAACAGCGACCCGTCGTTTGTGCCTACGCGAGGTGGTTTCTTCCTCCATGATAACCGGTCTGGCGGCGGGAATGGCAGCGGACGAGGCAAGCAGATAAAGAGCAAGCCACACGGCCTTATCGTTGACAGCAACATTTCACGGTGAGTTTGTTTTGCCCTCTTTTGTTGTTCTTGGTAGTTGCTTAAACTACATTTAACGACATTTTTTTGCGTTTGATGATGACGTACTGACAGACAAACCTGTAGGAAACCCCAGCCAGATATCACACATGCTCCCTGGCGTCATGATCTACACGATTCTGTCAACCAACCAGCTCGGCCGCCACAGAGTACAGCGACTACTACTACTACTGCTGCCACCACTGGTAGCGGCAATGTCAATGTCAATGTCAACAACAATGCCGGCAATACCAATAGCAGCTACCCGCTGAAGCCTGTACCTACGGCTCCTCGCACCTCTCCGCCAAACAGATCCTTCTCCACCACGATACTCATCGGCAATGTGCCTGTCATCGTCTTCCTGCCGGGCATGGAAGCTCCCATACCCTTCTCCGCCGTCCCCAAAAGACAGCACACCCGCCTCCCGCAGCACCGCCCTCCGTTGCGACGTGACAAGCCCGTCCGTATCTCCCTCCCCGGCCAGGCTCCCCGCTACATCTTCCCTTCCACTGAGCGGTCGTTCATCTTCATCCCGCGAGCTCTCCGGCCGAACCAGCAAGCTTCGTACCGCGGCCGAGGTCGGGGCGGCGGGAGTGGCGGCGGCGGGTTCTACTCTAGCCGACGGGCCAGTGTCTACTCCGGCAGTGCCTACAGCCATGCCCCGACTCACACTCCCAGCGCCAGCCTGAGCATGAGCATCTCCCGCCGCTCGTCAATGGGGCGGGACATGGGCAGTGTCAATGGCGCCACTCCGCCGCTGGGATCGACCATGACCATGGCCCGGCCCGTTATTGCTGCAGTTGCACCAGACTCGAGGCCGGTAGTCCGCCTCCCTCCCCAGGTCACTCCCGTCCAGCAGCCGGCACAACTGCAGCTGCAACAGCCACTGCCACAGCAGCCACCGCAGCCGGCACTACCGCCTACCTCTGTGCCTACGTCGACTGCCGGACCGTACTTTGCACCGCAGAACCCGACCTACCGGGAGAACCGGCCGCACCCGTCCATACCGATGCACCAGCCACGCCCGCAGAAGACGGTATCGGTGGCGGATATCGAGTCTCCAGCTGCTTCAGCCTCTGCTTATCAGTTTAGTCAGCAGCAACAGCAGCAACAGTCGGCAGCAGCAGACCAGCCCTTCCACCACCAAGTGCCGCAGCAGCCTGCTCAGCCAATGGCCATGAACGGCTTTGCACCGACGCCGGAGATGACCATGCCGATAGCTATGGCTGTCCCCATGGCAGTCCCCATGCCAATGTCGATGCCCATGTCGATGCCGATGCCGATGGCCATGTATCAGCACCAGCGACACCTGTCCCATCCTCCGCCGACCTCCTCCGCCACTCCGCTGTCCCAGATCCCGGAGCGAGCCATCCACGCTGCTCCCTTCCAGCCGGTTCCTTACCACCATCAGCAGCAGCAGCATCCAGGAGGACAGCAGCAGCCAGCCTACTACGGCCAGCCCTACCCTCCTCCTCCTCCTCCTCACCACCACGCTCACCACCAGTATGCCGCTCCTCCGGCTACGGGAACAGAGTATCCTTACACTCCCGGCGGTGCTCCTCCTCCTGCTGCGGCTGCGGGCCCAGCCGGCCCTGGGACAGTAGCCCACGAGTCGAACGGGACAGTGTACTACTACGATGCCTCACAGGTGACTGCTGCCCCCGGTTCAAGCTCAGGCACTATCACCACCACCGCCGGCGCCTCCTCGACCTCTGCACCCCCGGCCGGCGGTGTCCTCGGCATGGGAGGCATGATGACCCCTCCCGGTCCGACGGCGTACTACTATCCTCACCCTCCGCACGTCCAAAACGGCCCGATCTACTACCAGTGATCCCCGTCTTTTCTTCTTCTCTTTCTGTCTCTTTTTGTCTATTCTCTTTTCTTTGATCTTCTGGCTACGGGCGTCCTTGTTTGTCTTGCTTGTCTTGTTTGTCCTGTTTGTCTCTCTTTCTCTGTCTATTACTAAGTAGATCTTTCTGTCCTTTGCTCTTTCCTTCTCCTGCATCTTAGCGTTCTTTCCTTTCTTTCCTCTATTCTTGCTCTTTCCTCTTTGAGCTTTTCTGTCTTTTTCGCCTCGTAACTTTCTTAGTCATCGTCTCTTCTTCTATTTCTATATCTTCTTCTTCTTCCTCTTCTTTCCTCTCTCTCTCTTCCTTGGAATGCTCAGCATGCAGGCGAACGGCTTCTTCTGGTCCTACTCTCTTACTCATCTTTGCCCCCGTTCTACTTCTTCTTCTTCTATTCCTCTTCTCTTCTTCTTTTCTTCTTCTTCGTTGTCTTATACTTCCTATTTAACTCGCAACTAGCCACTGGCACTGGCTAGTTAGTGGCCATCTATCTCATTCTGCACACATCTCTATCTCTGTCTGATATCCACCGTATCCCTGTCGTCATTTTAAGCGTGTATCCTTACTCTTACCTCTTCTCTTCGCTGTATTAGTCTTTTTGTCCATGGCTGTATGTCTACCTATCGTATGTTGCTCTACCAACATGCTGTGCTTTGCCACTATAAACCCTCAGTGCTCCACGAGTACCTGTACTACCTACCCAGGTACCTATACATCTAGTCACTATGCTACTCAACAGTCCTACGGGGCAACAGGCAGGCCAAAAGAGCCAAAGAGCCAAAGAGCCAAAGACCAGACCTCTCAACGCCTCTTGGGCCACCACCGCCATCCGAGCTGTTCTACCCTCTCGCTCACCGTCTCTTTTGTCTCTGGTTACTCTGTATGATGCAAACTGCCGTCATCCCGTCGAACAAAAGTCGCCCGTTTTGTGCTTCCTTTTCCTCTCGCCGGTCTCGTCTCCGCATTTTCTTATTCTTAGCCTGCGCCCAAGAGCAGAAAAAGTGGACTTTCTGTGGCTAAACGACGACATGGGTTTAGTCTAGCTGCTCCCCCGTATTACTCTTGTAGGCTTGCAAGCGACCGTCTAGCCGTAACTAAGAGCGACGAGGAAGAGAGAGAGTCAAGGGAGTATGACGTAAGGAAGGCGTCCGCGGCCTCCCATTGGCCAGAGCCTCCGCCATGCAGCCTCACCCCCAGAAAACCAGCTCGTCTCATTCTCTTCTCTCGCTCCTCGTCTCGTCTTCTTCTTCACCTCCTCCTCTTCTTCTTCTCACAGCCCATCATCAAGCAGCAGCAGCGTCAAGGAGCGTCAGGAGCATCGACAGCTGGTCTGATCTTCATCGACGCAGACGACTCGCAGGAGCGTCTTGACCACTCGAATTCACTTCGTCAGTTCCGTGGTTGCCTGCTTGCTCTCCCTCTCTCTCTACCGACGTGACGCTACCAACTCAACTTCAGCGGCCACCACTCGTCCTTTATATACCTGCCTGCCCTGCCTATTCTGCCTATTCTGTCATCGACTTTACCAAACCCTCAAGGATATCCATTCACCTGGGCCCACCCAAGCAGCCTCTCGCTCACCACGCCCTCCAGCACCAGCACCAGTAACAGCAACAGCACCAGCGATGCCTCCAGCCCATAATGGGCCGGTAAAGCCGGACACCCTTATAACCGTCAAAGCACACTTTGATGGCGAAAACAGACGCTTCAAGGTGCCCCTGAGGGACATGGGGGCGAACACCTTCCCGCTCAGAGTGAGTTTCTTTCTCTCTCTCTCTTCTTCTTCTTCTTCTTCTTCTTTCTCTTTTTCCCCTTCTTTTTCGTCTTCTGTCGGTGTGCGTCTTTGTCCCCCCTGGGAAAGGCTGCACTCGCTATTCTGCCTGCCTCGGGGGGGCGCTGGCTCACCGCCATGTCCCAAAGAGGCAACTAGTTTAGTCAGCCGGTTAAACATCTTCGGCATCTCGTGAAACGTCGTTGACGGTCACGATTTCAATCACGACTGCTTGCTCTTCTTCTTGTCCTCTCTCCCTCTCTCCCTCCCTCCCTTTTTCTTCCTTTCTCTTTCCTCCCCCTTGCTCCCTCTCCCCTACCATGGACGAACACTGGTGTATAGCGTATGACGACTACGATCCCGGTCATGACCGTCACGACAGCTACGATCATCATGTCTTCTACTATCAACTACCCCAGCCATGTCTGTCACGACAGCTCCGGGCATCGTGTCTTCTACTATGATAACTGCTATACTACCCATGTCGCCATGGTGTACTATCACCACTATTTCCACCACTGCCGATACTGGTGCTACTGCTGTTGCTGCTACAGCCGAGACCGATACCACAACCCTCCTCAAGAACACAGCGCTAACGCCTCTCTAGGTCCGTCAGTTCCTCAACATTCCCTCGCACACTGAGGTTATTATGCGGAGGTACTCGGACAGTGCCGGAGCGTTTCTCGTCCTCAACGCGGAACACCCAGCTGGCTACAAGCAGCTGTACAGAGCAGCAAAGGCAAAGCTGAAGCTGCGTATCCAGGTCGACCGTGTCCAGGAGCTCCAGCCCAGCAACCCCGTCTTGGAACCGCCTGCAAAAGAACAACAACAGCAAGACGAAGACACAAAACAACAACAGGCCGATGTCGTTGCCGAGCCTGAGCAGCTGCCTGAGCCAGAACCTGAGCCAGAACATGAGCCCAAGGTCACCGTGGAACAACAACACCAGCAGCAACACTATACCCCAGAGCCCAGCAAGAAGCTGCCAGAACCAATCACCAGCCCCCGTTCTAGCTACCTGGACACAGTCCTCGACTCTCGTCCAGCAGAGTCCCCTTCTGCTACTAGGATGCTGGACAGCAGGACCACCATCTACCCGCTTCCTCCAGTGCTGCCTGCAAACACCTCCACTGCAACTTACAGCTGCTCGATCATGATCGACTGTAACCTCTGCAAGGCCGCCATCCCCAACGAGCACTACCACTGCTCCGTCTGTGAGGATGGAGACTACGACCTGTGCCAGGAGTGCATTGATGCCGGAAACCTCTGTCCTGCCGGTACCCACTGGCTCATCAAGCGATCTCTCTACGATGGTCAGCTCGTGTCTAGCACCACCGAGATCGTAGGACCAAAGTTCTTCAAGCCAGTCGAGCTGGAACCCAAGCCAGAACCCAAAGCTAAGCAGGAGCCGGAGCCTGAGACCTACCCAGAGTCGCACCCCGAACCCGAGCCCGTACCACAGGAGCCAAAGTTCCCGAAGTTGCCGGAGTACGCCGCCACAGACGCAGACTACCGACCAAGAGAGCCTGTCGTCCATCGAGCTCTCTGCGACATGTGCGATTACGTACGTATACTTTTTCTTTACCTTTGTGGCCCCACCCCTCCCTTTTCTTGGGTGACGTTAATATTAACCTTTTGCTAACGTCTACCAGCAAATCGTCGACACCAGATACAAGTGCATCGACTGTCCCAATTGGGATGTCTGTGGTAACTGTGTCGGTGACGTTAAGTACGCCCATCCAGGTCACAGATTTGTGCCGTTGTACTTGCCCCTTCCACCTCGAGCCGCCCACAACGTGGTCCATCCGGGTGTGTACTGTGACGGTCCCCTCTGTCACGACAAGTTCAACGTCAACTACATCACCGGCATCCGCTACAAGTGCGTTGTCTGTGACGACACAGACTTCTGTGAGACCTGTGAAGCACACCCGAACGGTACTCACAACAGCACTCATCCGCTGTTAAAGTTCAAGACTCCAGTCAAGCACGTCACAGTGACTGCATATGGCGAGGATGAGACTGGCCAAGTGTTCGACAGACTCGGTGATAGAGATGCCCCCGAGCCTTCGTTCAAGTCCGCTGCCACTGAGACGATGCCACCCCTCGTCACCAGCACAGGCGCACCCATCCATCCCCCCATGGCTCTCGACGCCTATGAGCATGACTTTGAGCATGGAAAGGAGATCTCTTATGAGACCCAGGAGGTCGTCGAGGAGGAGGAAACTCCCGTCGTCGAGCCAGAGCCGACGGTTCCAAAGTACGAGCCTGTCGTCTCGCTTCCTCCAGCCCCTGCCAAGGATGCAAAGAAGGTCACTGCCGGCGGTCTGCACCCCGATGGCCTTCACACCCGTTTCCTCAGTGAAACCATCCCAGACGCTCAGCCCTTCTCCCCCGGCACCCGCATCATCAAGACATGGACCCTCCAGAACCCTGGCCCTTGTGCTTGGCCTGCCGGAACCAGTGCTTACTTCCTCGGCGGTGACCCCATGTTCGATGTTGACACCTCTCACGCAATCAGCCTGGCCTGCCTGGCTAATGCCATGCAGAGCCGGCCGACAACAGACCCAGTCTACCCTGGCCAGGAGATGGAATTCACTATACCGATGAAGGTCCCTCCACGTATGGGAACAGCTATCTCTTACTGGCGTTTGAAGACTAGCGATGGAAAGGCATTCGGTCACAAGTTGTCTTGTCACGTCGAAGTCATTGAGCCACCACCAGCTCCATCCCCAGAGAAGAAGTCGGAGATGGTCTTCCCCACTCTGGAGAAGGAGTCCCCCGTCGCCAGCATGCACGAGTATGAGTCCCAGCCTCAGTCCGGCGAGGTCATCTCAGATAATGTCTCCGACTCTGCTTCTACACTGAACGAGGATGCAGGTGTCGATGTTGCCGACCTGGCAGCTGAGGTCAACAGCCTCACCCTTGACATCGAGCACCCAGATGACGAGAGTTTCCTCACTGACGAAGAGTACGATATCCTCGACGCTAGTGACGAGGAGTATGCCGAAATTGCAAAGGCTTCCGAGAGGAAGTAAATTCAGCCATCAACATTTTCAACCTCGGGAAGTCACGGTTGTTCCCGGTGACAGGAAGCAATGTGTAGGCATGGTTTATGAACTATGCTAAGGAGTGGGAAATTGGAATAATGGAAATTGCGATAATTGTCTCTTTCCTTTGTATTTTTTTGCCTTTTTCGGGCCCATCTGACACAAGACATAGCCTGTTTCCACAGTCTGTCGTCAGCGGTCAAACGAATCCTTCGACATGTCTACCCCATGTACCCATTCGATCGATATTTCCTTAATTTCCTTGGCCTTGGATTAATGAGGGGTCTCCTATTTTTCCTTTTCTCTTTGTCTTCTCTACGTCTTACTATTTAGGGGAAATCTCATCTTATCCAGCTGAGCGGAGCACCGGACGCAACCATAGCTGGCTGGGTAGTCCGTATTATCTACGAACCTACCTTGTGGTGATTGATGCACCTGTGGCACTACAAACTCCTCTCAAACGTGCTTACTCTCTTACAACCAAATCTACTCCAAGATGACCAAATCATACTGAAAAGAAAAAAAAAAAAAACTACCGAAAAACAAAGGAGAAAAACCATAACAGCAATATTAATAAGTCAGTATTTCCTTCCTGGTTATGTTTCCTGGTACCGTTTGTATCTATGCTGTCATCTATGACTTATCTACTTTGCAATGTTTTGCTTCATTCTCCCTTGGTGCAACCGACAAAAGTTGCTGGAATATTCCACTTTAGCTACGACTCGCACTCATTATCCAAGAATACCTTGGAGCATTAATAGGCATTTTTGTCCCTTGTGTCCAACAAAACTTGCTTTAGTTGCTTGACGTTGATATTAAGTAATCATAGCGCGGAACGGAAAAGCTTGGCATATAGACCCACTTGTTGCATTTTTCGGAGTCTTGGAGGTTTTGGTCTTTTTTTTGATCTTGAACATAATTTTTTTATTAGAACGTTTTTTTTTTGTCTGTCTACGCAATAATAGAAGTTATTTGTTTCTTTCTTTTTTAAAACATCTCATCTTGAACCTGAACGGTCATCCACTCCTTAGATCTTCTTTCGTATCCTATTCTGTTGTCTGATTAATATTTTACCATGATATCGACGCTCCGTCGAAGCAGCAATTTGGCTGCTGCCTCCTTCAAGCTCAGACACGCCTCTCCCCAAACAGTCACAATCGGCCTACAATGCCTCTACTCATCAAACAGGCCCTTCAGTTCCAGCACCACTCGCCTCAGTCTACCACCGCCATATAACTCCAAGCCATCTTCCTCCTCTTCCGCTGCAGCCGCCGCTCCAACCATCTCATCCTCCGCCGCAGAAACATCCATCTCCTCCCCCGTCAACGCACCCGCCAGCACCCGCCCCGCGTTCCTCGATTTACCTTCAAAATCCAACCCGCAGACCTCAGGCACATTCTCATACTACTTCGCTCTGGGCAAGGCATACCTAGGCTTCTACAAAACAGGCCTCAAAAACGTTTACGGGAATTACAAGACCTCCATCCCACTGCGGAAACAACTCGGTCTACCAGTGTACTTGCCACGATCACCATGGACGAACATCACCGCTACTTCCACCGCCGTTGCTACAGACAGCACACCATTGACTAGAAGCGATTTCCAGCTCGTTCGACGCAGCGCATATGATCTCCGCAGAATGATTCCGTTCGCGTTCATCCTGCTTCTATGCGGCGAAATGACCCCCTTCGTTGTTCTCGCAATAGGCAACCGCGTAACGCCCATGACATGCCGAATGCCTAAGCAATTAATCAAGGAACGCGGCAAGAGAGTTATGTACAAGGATGCCGCATTGCTTGGTCTACCAACCAGCCAGCAAGAGGTGCTTGCTCCGTCCTCGCTACGTCAAGTCAAGGACGTATCGACACTAAGTGTTGACGAAGTTCTTCGATCAAGCGTTGTGTTTGGGTTGAGGAAACGACATGATTTACCTGTTCCGGGATTCCTACAGACGATGCTAGTCAACCAGGTGTATAGGCCTCGACTTCAGCGGTGGATGGAGTACCTTGCTGCTGACGATAAGTTGATTGTTAGCGCTGGTGGGTTGAAGAATATGGTTGCTGAAGAGGTGCGGTTGGCTGTTGATGAGAGGGGTGGTGTGGATGTTGGTTTGGGTCTTGAGGGACCTGCGAGTGAGGCTGCTGAGAGGAAATGGTTGGCTAATTGGATTGGGGTCAAGGTGTAGATGGTTTTAAATAAATGGATGGGGGGGTGTTTGTTTGTTTATTTCGGCTGTGCTCAACTCATATCTGTCTATCTATCCCTCTGGAATCGAGGGCTGTATAATACTTACGGTGTTGGAATGGATTATACTGGGTTCTGCTGGGATGTAATCTAGCTTTCAAATGATTTGAGATTGTTGAACTATTGTATATGTGAGTGAGGTGAGATTATGTTCTATCTACTGTTATGAGCATTCACAGATAGCTTTATCCCTTAATACCTCTAGATGGTCATAATTCGACCCCAGAGCATATTTCAATAGACTCGGTCTCTCCGACTCTGCAAATTCGGCATTGAAACCGACATTAGGATCAGACACTAGCTCTTTGCCTGCCTGGGCCTCTCCATCCCATGCTTCTACTTTCCCTAGTATATCATCATGGACTTTTCCAAAAATATCTCTTAACCTTGGCATGTCAAAACTTGACATTCCCAAGTCGTTCATAAAATCCGCTGGGTCCTGTAAGCATAACATCTTATCACCTCTTGTTATCGATCTCTTGGCAATACTCTTCTGTCCCCTGACGTGCGGTAGCTGCTCTGTGTTATGAACCCGAGCATGGGCTCTCTTCCGGAAAAGAGCCGGTGGTTCCACAGATATACCATACCGAATGAGATCAAGATCTTTATAAAACCGAAGAGTATGCAGGAATTGTTTTGCGAGGTCGAGACGGTCGAATTTGCCTTCTCCCAACTTAAGCGCTGCAACAATCATCATTGTAAGCCCGTATGCGTCGACGGTTCGGTTTTCCACACCAAACATCCCTCTTGCCTCCAGAACCATTCTTAAGGCAACGTATAGCGATCGTAAGGTAGGGAACTCCGCTTTATAGCTCAGAACATATTCCATGCTCGAATGGGGTTTCAGGCCACAGCATATCCGTGCATTTCGACCTGTAGCTGAATGAACAGCCGAAACAAAAGGAACATGCTCCTTCTTAACAGTGACGTTGGAGAACGTCCCAGTTGCACGTAGGAGACGGGCAGACCGAACCAGAATGTCCATCTGCATAGCTGTGATCTTCGGGCGAGTCACACTCGGCCCACGAACACCCGTCCGCAATCCATCCGGGTCTTCAATGGGTATCATAAGATCGACGTTCGAATTCCGAGTTTCCATGCCTGTGTACCGCGATCCGACCAGCATGGGCTGCCGGTTGGAATCACCAGCAACGGGTTTCAATATCTCCTCCATTTCACCTATTACTCTCCTAACCACCTCCTTCTCTTGCTGGATCTCAGACATGTACCGCTCAAACGCTTTAATCTCATCGCTAAGTCGTGAATAGCCATCCCTCGACTCCTGCTCATTCATATATTCCAACCAATCGCACCGCACGGGGCTTTGTTGTTCGGTCTTCGGTGGAGGTGATTTCAGTGAAGTGGGATATAATTTCTTCATCTGACGCTCATTCAGCCTTGCCAGGTCTCTTGTCAACTTCCGCAATTTCCATAGCTCTCGCTGTGTGTTGATGAGATGTTTCTGCTCCAGAGGGCCATTGTGTCTGACTTTATCACCCCCATAGCTTTCGGGAAGTAAGTTCGGTGTCCCTCGCACTTTAATTCTGCGTACAACTGTCCGGTTGGCAAATCTGTGTTCTTCTAGGGTCTCCTCAAGGCTGCCTGTGTTTATCTTTGGCGTGGGAGGGTGTCTACCACGGGACGGGGAAGCATGGAAGCGTCTGTTATTGCTAAAGACCGGCCGAGCTGTACGGAGTAAATTGTTGTCAGCTAGCAATGGCGCACGAACCGAGGCCATGCACGAGCAAACAGACATCTGACCACCCCTTGTTTCGTCTCTTCCTCGTCGTCTTCCTCGTCCTCGCCTTTTATCCTTGGAAGCTTCAGGTCTTTGACGTCAAATTTGAGGTTTTCCCTTATCATCCTTATCAAGGCCTGCTTAGTCACCGCCAACTTTAACCAAACTCCCTTTTCCTCGTCAACTTCTGGAACAACTCTTGTAATACTTTTTATATTTACAGGAATAGTTATATTATTTTATATATAGAGAGCGGCTTGAGGCGTAAGTCTTGCTGGCCTTTTTTATCGGTTAACCTCAACGCTCTCCTGCTCGTCTGTCGGGGTTAACGAGTTGCATACATCGCCAGGAATGACGAAAGCCTGATAATCGGCGGCCAAAAACCCTTGTCAAAAGCCCACTTCCGCCTTGCTTGGCCTCCCGCTCTGCCTGAAACCTCCAACCCATGGACTTCTTATGACTGAGGGTATTTAAAGACCTATAGTATACAACTGATCTTCTGCCGTTCTCACCTACCAATTGGGTGTTTGTCAACCGTGGAAACCAGGCAAAGGAAAGTCATCCTCGGCCGGTCGACCAACTATTTCTCCTATTTCTACCCCTAGCCGCCCGACCAAGACCACTGTCGTCTGACCTCTCACGGAGAATATTGGCCTGTTTCTAAGAGTATACCACCCTTCAGCCTTCACATTTAATGGCTTCCAGACTTCCCGGAGGGCCTCCGGCTGGGCCGAGCCTGATATCACCAGGGGCTCCGGGTACCTCGGTGAATGCACCTACACAGAGAACCCCTTCTCTTGTGGGAGATAACCCCAACGGTGTTCAGGACAATGTGCCTGTCGATGCTCAGACAAATACAGATTCGAAACCCACATCAACATCCCTACCACTGAGGGAGGTATCGGCGTCAACCAAACCTGACCAGCATCCGGATTTGGGCCTATCAGGGAGGATAATAAGCGCAGCATTTTGTATTCCTTACAAGTTGCAGATCAGCCATGACGGAGAATGGGTATGACAAATCCGTCTCCTACATGGTTAAGAGAAAACTGCTGACCATCTATATAGGAACTTAATCACCGACCTGGGACTGCGGCGCTATTCGACTCGTTTGCCAACCTAGCATCCCCTGAATCTCATTGGTCTCACACTCTTGTTGGCTGGACTGGTGAAATAGAACAGCAATCACCACCAGATAACTCATCCTACCAACTTCAAAACAATAAAACTGTTTCATCGACAAACAAGCCGTGGGCCCCGATTCCAGTCAATACATCCCAGAAGCCACAGCCACCACCTATAGACGGCATTCGTATAACTGTCGACGATCGTCGTCGCCTTGAGAGCCAGGTCTCTTCGAGCAAGTTTGGAAATATTTTACCTGTCTGGTTGAGTGATGAACTTGAGTCCCCAGACCAAGAGATGCAATTGAAAGACCAGGGTCGCTGGCGCCGTTACGCTGAACGAGAGATATATACCCTCTTCCACTATAAGCAACATGGTCCTACCGATGGCCGATCTGAAAGACAATGGTGGCAAGACTATCAACGACTCAACCGTATGTTTGCAGACCGCATTTTGGAAACATATAAACCTGGAGACATCGTCTGGATTCACGACTATCATCTTTTCTTGCTTCCACATCTCCTCCGCCAGAAGGTTCCGAATATCTATATCGGATTTTTCCTCCACGTCCCGTTTCCCAGTAGCGAATTCCTACGTTGTCTTTCTAAGAGGAAGGATATCCTCACAGGTGCCCTTGGGGCGAATATGATTGGCTTCCAGTCTCATACTTACTCTCGTCACTTCACGTCCTGCTGCACCCGTATTCTGGCGTTCGGATCTACCGAAGGTGGGATCGACGCCTACGGTGCTCATGTTGCAGTGGATGTTTTTCCAATCGGAATCGATGTCCAGACAGTGCGAAAGCTTGCATATGGCGATCCAAATATTCTAAACACAATTTTTAACATCAAAAATATATATTCAGGCAAGAAGATAATTGTGGGACGTGATCGGCTGGACTCCGTTCGAGGAGTAACGCAGAAGTTAATGGCCTTTGAAATGTTCCTGGAACGGTATCCCCAATGGCGCGGCAAAGTTGTTCTCATACAAGTTACTAGTCCCACAAGCATGGAAGAAGAGAAAGAAGAGCCAGATAACAAACTCTCAAGCCAGGTTTCCCAGTTGGTTTCGACCATAAATGGACGGTTTGGCTCGATCAGCTTCTCCCCTGTTCAATACTACCCCCAATACCTCCCACGGCATGAATATTTTGCTCTCCTCCGCGCTGCTGATGTTGGTTTAATCACCAGTGTGCGTGACGGCATGAATACCACCAGCCTTGAATATGTGGTCTGTCAGCATGCAAATCAGGGACCTTTGATTCTCTCTGAGTTCTCTGGTACCGCAGGCATTCTTGAGGATGCTATTCACATCAACCCCTGGGACCTCACCGGGGTTGCTAACGCTATCAACACAGCCCTCACTATGGCACCTGACGCAAAGGCAAAGAAACAAGCTGCCCTTTACGAACATGTTACCACTCATACCGTTGTCGAATGGTATGATGAGTACCTCAAACGACTTCTTGCAAATCTTTCTTCCTTCAACAAGTCCATGATCACACCAGCGCTTGACAAACACAAACTTGTCTCTCAATACCGTTCTGCACGTCGCAGGCTATTCATGTTTGACTATGATGGCACCCTCACTCCCATCGTCAAAGACCCACAAGCCGCCATTCCCTCGGATCGTGTGTTACGAACCCTCAAATCTCTTGCTGCTGACCCCAAAAACGCAGTATGGATCATCTCCGGCCGCGACCAAAACTTCTTGGAGGAGTGGATGGGCCATATAACGGAGCTTGGCCTCAGCGCCGAACACGGGTGTTTCATTCGCAAACCACGCAGCGAAGAGTGGACAAATCTTGCGGAAAAGGCAAACATGAGCTGGCGAAAGGACGTTCTAGACATTTTCCAGTATTTCACCGAGCGAACCCCTGGCGCCTTTATTGAGCGGAAACGTGTGGCCTTGACCTGGCATTATCGCCCCGTGGACCCGGAGTACGGCGCCCACCAGGCCAAAGAGTGTAGGGCTGAGCTAGAACGGAGTGTGGCAACTAAATGGCCGGTAGACATCATGGAGGGCAAAGCGAACCTGGAAGTCCGGCCAGCGTTTGTGAATAAGGGTGAAATCGCAAAGAGGCTCATTGACGAATATGCAGGTGTCCATGGGCATGAACCTGAGTTTGTACTCTGCCTTGGAGATGACTTTACTGATGAAGGTACCTATTTATCTTCCAGCAGTCTCATCTTGACGTTTATATTAACTAACCGATATGTAGATATGTTCCGAGCTCTAAAGTCGTCCGATCTGCCTAAAGATCATGTTTTCTCGGTCACAGTTGGCGCCAGCTCAAAGCAGACTCAAGCCAGCTGGCATCTTCGTGAGCCTGCTGACGTGATTTCGACTGTGACACTGCTAAACAACAGTAAGTCGGCTGTTCTAAGTGACATGTCGTGACCTTAACATTGATGATACACACATTGTTGGTACTTGTTACATCTTCACTAGAAGTTTTACTACTTCGTGCCTATGCATTTGTCCATCAGGTTGGAGGCTTCTCTCAATGGTTAGCCTGCTTTAGTCTCGAAGAGATGCTATCTTTTTACCTGCCGCGCACACGTTGTCTTTGTCCCTTACTGCTTTTAATGTTTATCTGTGGCACTGCCACTAGATTTATTCGCATTATCCCATTTTCATATTGCATTGTTCTTCCATATCTTTTTTATCTGTCGAGTTATTTGATCTGTTCTCTTGGGCGGAGCATTACGAGAAAGCGAATGATATATCCGATGTTGATCAAAGAAATGTCGAAAGTCCAATTACAGCGGGGCAAGAAAGTGCTATTTCTTAAATAGAGCATTTAGATGTGAAGCTTGAGACCATAAGCATCAACAAATCAAACTAATGCAGGCGTCTATTTCTACAATGTACGGTCCGTCTATAATTCCAACCCCAAGAATACAGTATCGTCTAGCGGCGTCTCGTAATATTTTTCAATATCCTTGAACCCCAACCCCCTATATAGCTCAATGGGAGCACGCATGTGTTGAAGGGTATCGAGTCTCATTTCGTCGTATCCTCTATCTCTCGCTGCTTTCAGAAGAGCAATGACCAACGCCTTGCCAACGCCTCTACCTCTAGTAGATGGAAGTACATATAGCCGTTTCATCTCACAATATCGCTTCCCACTGTGAACAGACATAGTACCTGGAATGGAGGTGCCTGTGTCGCCCGACGAGAAGCTCTTGGGTACCAAGGGTCTCAAACAGATGCAGCCCAGCACTTCTCCAGAGTTATCGTCAATTGCGAGCAGTATCTCTCCATCGGGAGGCGAGTACTTCCCCGGGAACGATGCCATTTCATCTTGGAAGCCTTGGAAGGCCAGGTCAATCCCAAGAGATGCGGTATAGGCCTTGATCAAAATGGTAGTGGCCTGGACGTCTCGTTCTGACCGCGCGGGTTTTATGGTAAATGCGCCTTTCTTTGATATGGTATTTGCCTTTTGCAGGTAGTCATCTGGCATATCAACAATCCCATGCATAACTGCCGGTTATATAACAAATACTCTGTATGCCTTGTTGGCGATGAGTTGTTGTTGGCTGTTCGTGTCATGTCCAAAATCCATCATCTTTCGACTCTCAAAACTTCCTTCAGTAATGCCAAGAAATACCCCACGTGGAAACCTTAATTCCTGCCTTATTTTAACTTTTCTTACTGATAAGATCGTGTTATAAAAAGTTACGATAACCCGACGGCCGAAGCTCCGGGTGTGAAGCAATGGAGAGAAGTCGAGCAGTTATCAGGATTAAAAAGCTGTCGGTGCGGTGACACCAAGTCGTTGCCATTCACCTTACGCGGCCCTGCAGTTGGACGATGGCCAGAACATCCCCTAAAATCACCTTGGTATCAACACCAATGCCAAATGAACAACTGCGGCTTTTCGACCGTGGCTCGTCCTTTTTTCTGGTAGCCTTCACCTGATTGGGCCTCGGCGGCTGGCTATCAGTTGGCGCTTTGCCTCCTCCGCTTTGGTTCCTTTAGTCATCTCGGCATTTACCTTCTTCTTCTCTCCTCTTTCTTGCTGCTTAACCGTGCCGTTCGACCCGAGACTATCATTGCTCGAAGGGCGCGCATCTACTCCTCGTGACAAAGATGAAACGAAAAAAGGCCATGATTAGCCAGATGCTGCGTTTTCATAGGGACGGGCCAGTCCCGTAAACGGGCCCGGTTTGTTCTGTTTACACGTCCGCTCTTCTCTGACCCTGGTGAGTAACCTGTGGGTCGGTTAGAGAGGGTGGACCCATGGTTGGAGATAAAATGCAATGCCTTGCTCACACAAGCTGGCTGGGTCGTTCGGTTATTGTCAATTCCAGAAAGAGTCGAGAAAATTTGCTATTTCGATTAACAGCTTGCTAACAACAGACAACTTGCATGAAGCTAAAGCAGTTGTCTGGCTAAAAATACCTCATAAACCAACATTTTAATCATTGCAACTACACAGAAAATACAAAAGGCCCAAGAGTACAAGATTTCCTCCAGCTTATACATTTGTAATCAGGATCTCTGTACAGTCTGATATATATATCACCATCGAAAACTAACCTGGCCAAATCTATTCTATGTTAGTTTACGTCTTCTATAGCGGCAGTGGTGCTTGCTAACTATTTTCCTAGTCAAGCAAAGCTCTGGGGTGAAATTAAGATAGCAATACAGCTGGATTTTTCCACAGCTGTTGATCAGACTTGATATACCATCAAATCAAAGAGAGATACCAGGGGGATGGGACTCAGTGCAGAGTCGTCTACGCAGCAGATTGAAGCCCGGGACCTTGAGAAGGCTGTTGCGGCTATCCCTATCTCCTCCTACGCCGAGGTACTCTCTGGGGAGAAGGATGGTTCCCAGGCACAATCCGGGTCATCTTCGGACCATGACCATGGTGCCGGTGAAATCTCCAAAATACCAACAAATACAGTAGAACGGCCAGGTGTCTTGGAAAAGACTCTCTCCCTGGTTCGAACAAGAGAATCTAACTTCGATCCTGGCCCTCCTCCGGATGGTGGCTATCATGCCTGGCTCCAAGTGGCTCTTACCCATATGGTCATCTTTAACACATGGGGGTTCGTGAATGGATTCGGTGTATTCCAATCTTACTACACCGAAGCCCTAAAACGATCGCCTTCGGACATATCATGGATCGGCGGAACTCAGATTTTTCTTCTCTTCTTTATTGGAACCTTTTCCGGTCGGGCAACAGATGCGGGATACTTTAAGGCTGTCTGGTCTGCAGGTGCCGTGATAATTATTTTTTCGATCTTCATGACGTCGCTGTGCAAGACATATTGGCAAACCTTCCTCTCCCAGGGTATCTGCATGGGGATAGGCAGTGGTCTTATATTCTGCCCCAGCGTGGCTCTTCTGACATCCTACTTTGCTCGTCGACGGTCCCTGGCAATCGCTATCACTGCATCTGGGAGTGCAACCGGCGGCATTGTCTACCCGGTACTCGTGCAACAACTGCTCCCCAAGATCGGCTTTGGGTGGACCATGCGAGTAATCGGCCTCATAACTGCCGTAACCCTAACTCCTGGTTTCTTTTTCCTTCGCCAACGGATACCACCCCGTCGAACAGGCCCTTTCTTCGAACTCCAGGCATTCCGCGAGCCTGCATATACCTTATACGCAGTTGCAATGTTCCTCAATTTTTGGGCCTTGTACATAGCCTTTTTCTATGTTGGCAGTTTCGGCCGTAATGTAATCGGCTTATCACAAAAGGACTCTATAAACTTGATTCTTATAATAAACTGCGTGGGGATCTTTGGGCGTCTGATACCATGCTATATCTCAGACTGGAAATCTGGCCCAATAAACGCCCTTATACCATGCACTGTTGTGGCGGGAGCAACATTGTTTGGATGGATAGGCGTGAAAAGGGAGCCCAGCTTGTACGCATTCTCTATCGTTTATGGATTTTTCGCCGCTGGGATACAGGCATTGTTCCCATCTGCCTTGACGAGTCTCACAACGGATCTGAGGAAGAGCGGTATCCGGTTTGGAATGACACTGAGCATTGTAAGCTTTTCTTCCCTGACAGGCTCACCCATTGCAGGCGCATTGATTGCGTTGAGAGACGGTGACTTTTTGTACGCCCAGATCTTTGCTGGCCTGTCAATGTTCCTCAGTCTAGCCGTCTTGCTGTTTTCTCGGTCAAAGGTAGTTGGATGGAAGCTCAAGGCACGAGTTTGATGATCTTCCCTCCCCCAACTCTTCGGCCTGCTCGAATATGTGGAGTACAAGGTATGTACTCCGTAGAGATGTTTTATCTCTTGACTTTGCAACATTGGAATATCTATCGATGTTGTTTTAGTGCTGATTTCGGGATATAAAGTTTATAGAAAAGCGTTGCAAAGATAATGTCTAGTTGTATATATTAGTTATTTAGAAACAAAGTCATTGAATAGCATCTCCTCTCATGTACTAGAGAAAGTGAAAAGTGCCTTGTTTATATCGACCTAGTTGCAACTACCATATGCGGCTCATTGAAGTGATTTGCTTAGTAAGAAAGCAAACCGGCGAATCAGAATGAGTAAATATAAGATAAACTCACCAGCCAATCAAAAACCCTTAACTAGAAGCAAAAACAAACAGTGCAAACAGGCGGGTAGCTCACGTGATGCCCCCTCCAAAAAAGTCGATAAGAGAAAAAAGAAAAAAACGTGACTTGGAGATTCTTTTTTTTATTTGATTTGATTATTTCCATTTTTATTATTTTTTGGGCTTCAAGTTTTTCTGCTTCGTCGTCGTCTCTTTCTTCGTCTTTTTCTCGTTCTCTCTTTTCTGTCGAGCTGGTTCAGTTACTGACAGCGTCGGTGGTTGTTGTTTTGCCCTGCGAGCAGCTATCTAACTAAGGAGTCACTAAACCACCACCCCCCGCCTATCTCGTTATCTCACATACACAAAAACTCACGCGTAATCATGGCGCCTCGCGGACGTGGAGGGAAGTTCAGCAAGCCAACGAGAGGAGGTAGGTCTGCCTGTCGGTTGGGTTATATATACATCGGATACAATGCAGATGCTAATATACTCGTCGATGGTATCTAGGAGGCAAGCACTTCAGCCGAGACCTGCAGCCGTTGGATAAGAATGGAGACCCGATAGGCATGTGGAGGGTTAGTTGTATCCATTACACCACTGCTCCCAAGGGCAATAGCTGGGATGTAGGCTTTGCTGACGTATAGTAGGAGGACAAGGACGTAGAGTCTGAGGAGGAAGAGGAAGAAGAGGAAGACTCTGAGGAGGAGTCCGAGGAAGACGATGATGAGGGTCCAGCTAAAGAAGAGATGACCCGTGAGCAGCGCAAAGCTGCCGCAAAAGCCAGAAAAGAAGCCGCCATTCGCAAGAAGCGACAAGTGGCAGCTGAGCCGGGAGACCTACCTCCCAGTGACAGTGAAGAGGACGAGGACGACGACATGCCAGCCAACCCTAACCACACTGCTAAAGCCCGTAACCAGGCGGCCAAGGCAGCTACCGCTCCAGCCGACGGAGCCGCCGCAGCTGCAAAAAAGGGGGATGCCTCACAGCTTTCCCGCAGAGAGCGGGAGGCTCTACAAGCCCAGCAGGCGCGTGAGAGATACCTGAAGCTGCACTCTGAGGGCAAGACGGATGAGGCTCGTGCCGACCTGGCTCGTCTGGCCATTATCCGTGAACGTCGTGAAGCCGAGAAGGCCCGCAAGGAGGCTGAGAAGGAAGAACGTGAAGAGCGTGAGCGTGAGAAGGCCCAGGAACGAGAGGCCAGAGAGGCTAAGCTGAGAGCTGCTGCTTTGGGACCAGCAGCTGGCAAGAAGAAGGGCAAAAGCAAATAAATCACTCTTTATCCTTCGACATAGCCATCCATTTTCCCTTTTTGGTCACACAGCAAGGCCGTCCGTCGGCGTCTTGTGCTTTGACTTCTTTTCCCCCATTCTTCTTTTCTTCTAGTGCTTCATAACTGGACTGGTATCATGATGGATTCGCTCGCATCGTGGCTTGAATCTGGTCTTTCCCTCCCTTTCTCCTTTATTTCACGGACAGCTTGGAACATGGTAGTTACTCTGCAAGCCACAAACATATGCACCCCATAAGCTATAACTATATCAATTCCACAACAATGATTTTATGCATGCTGCAGGGGGGACCCCGAAGTTGAGGACTCCAGGGATCATCCAGGTCGGCCACTTCGTATATACACTTAAAAATCCCAACCCGTCCCACTCCCTGTGAGCACACCTTAAGCTTCCTCACACAGACAAAATATTTGCTCGCCGTTTGCTCGTCTTTACGTAAATGCCCGCGGTAGATACGCAATTGTATCCGACTTGGCGCCCTCCAGGGTCGAAATATCCGCGACACGAGAGCCCGCCTCGTACTGATCGGATGGTGCCACAAGGTCGTACTCCGTATATATAAGAATAACAATGACACCAATAGTTATAGCAGCATTGTTTGCATGGAGATCTTGGAAAGAATGCACATAATTCAAACTACACTAATGAGTCTGTTCTATTCCTTGGGCGTTGCTGCGCCTTCGTGTTTGACCTCGTATTTCTCAGGGGTAAAAGCAGTCAATAGTTATAGCTAATATCTGTATATACGGTCAAGAGACTATGTACTTTTTTCGTCTTCTATTCAGACAGTCTCGGGGACAATCGCGCAAGAAACGAAGAGGGATTAAGCTGGAGTAAATCTCCAGGAAATGTATATACAGTAAATGTGTCCTTTTTGGCGCATAGAAAGACGGTTGGTACAAGCAGATATGAAAGGGAAAAATGACCAAAGAGAGATAAATGCCAGTAGAGACGTGGACTTTTTAGTAGACGTATCTAAAGGTCAGGTTCTCCTTGTCGGTCTGGTTGTCCCATTTCTTCTGCTCGACGGAGGTGGACTGAGACAGAGTGTTATCCTCAGAGACAGGCAGGGCCTGGGAGTTCTGCGCCGCAACCCGGTCCCTGCGCTTGTTCTCCCAAATGTAGTAGCCCAGAAGGCAGAGCGCGAGCACGGCTCCCGCGGCCTGGGTCGCCAGGACGGCGATCTTAGCTGGGATGTAGCGGGGGGCATCCTTTACCTGGAAGGTTTGGGGCCCGATGATGTTCCCGATGCTGAAACTCGCGGTGACCAGGGCCGCGCTGACGGAACGCTTGGTGCTGCCAGCGACGTTGGAGGCCAGCCACTGGTAGATGACGATGAGGGTTGGAACGATGGAGTTGACGAGGTAGATGCCGGCCAACAGGGCGCCCTGGTTGGTCTCTGGAGCAAAGGAAAGCAGGGCACCGCCGAGGATACCGGGGATGCAGCAGGCTACGATGCCAACGGAGCGGTACATCTTATAGCGGATTGCGAAACCGATGATGACGGTGCTGAAGATGGAGACAACACCGCCGGGCATGTTGAGCAGGGCAGATCTGGGGGCAGAGTAGCCGAAGTTCTTGATCAGGGTGGCAGAGTAGGTCGTCACCACGCCGCTGGACACGGAGATCTACAATGCAATGTTAGCACTAGTTGGTTATACATGCATAACCAAACAGTTACATCAAACCGCGGGGGTATGTCAGCTTACCAGAGTAGTGATGACGGTCATGAACCAGATCTGGACGTCGAGCAGGGCCTCAACAATATGGGACATCTTGAAGCTGGTGTTGATGACTCCGGTCTGGTTGAAGGAGACATGCTTGAGCAGGGCCGCCTTCTCCCTGTCAGTCAAAAAGCGCGCCTTCATGGGGCTGTCTGGGATGATAAAGTACGTCGCAATGCCGGCAATGCAAGTGACGGCGCCCAGGACGACGAACATGGCCTTCCAGCCGGTGAACTCGGGGTTCTTGACATGCTGGAAGCCAAACGAGACGAGGCCGCCGATGATCTGTCCCAGGCCCAGGCCAGAGTACCAGATGCAGAACCGGGGCGCCTGCTCGGACTTGGTGTACCACTGGCTGCTAATGAGCACCAGGCAGGGCGCAATGGCAGCCTCAAAGATGCCCAGGAAGATGCGAGCCGCGAGCAGAGTCTTGTAGTCGCGCGCAGCAGCAGTGCAGGCGGTTGCTATGCCCCAGAGCGTGACGTTAAGTGCCAGCCACTTGGGGGCGGATATCTTGTTCAGTATGTATCCTATGCACCAGTTAGCTTGATATCAACGCAACAAGCAGCAAGCAACATTGATCTATGTGATATATCGGGTCATTCTGCGATGATGATGATTATATAAAAGACCTACCGGTTGGGACTTCGGCGATAAGGTAGGCGATGAAGAATGCTGTGGCCGCGTTGGAGAAGTTGTTGCCCTTGAGATGGAGGTCCTTGGTGAGGCCCATAACAGCCGCATACTATAGAAGAGGACTCAGTCTCTGACAACGGGGAGACATGGAGAAACAGGAAGCAGGAAACAAGAAGATGAGCTCACATTGAGGGAGACCTTGTCGATGAACTGCATGGTGTAGCAAACAAACATGATGGGGATGATATAGAGGTCGACCTTCCAGCGGATGCGCTTCAGCTCAGCAGCGCTGGCCTGCTCACCCTCCCCGGACTCCCCATACTGCTGGAGGAAGCGATATGCCTGGTCGAGGTCTCGAGATGTGCCAGACGAAGTCGGAATCTCCTTGTCCAGCGCGATCTTCTGATCGACGGGCGACTTTTCTGAGTCTTCAGAGGCCATCGTGGAGTATCAAGACACAACAGCCAGCAACAACCACGCTTCAGGGGAGTGAGTTTCAGGACTGATCGATGGAGAGAAGATGCAAGGGAAAAAGAAACCGAAGAAGATTAAAGAAGATGCAGGCGGCCATAAACGTGGTTTTGATTGCTTTTTTCTTTTGTTTTTTGCTCTCCGTCCTCTGCCACCAAGGAGTACGGATACGTCCTGCAGCTATCAGGTCAACAAACGGCACCACTTTGAGCAGAATGGAGACCGGATGATATGCAGGTTTCAAGACATGCCAGAGGGGACAGACGCTCTGGACGCTCTGAATCGTCCCGTATCGATATCATCCATCCCTGACTTTATCTGCGTGCACGGCGTCCGACCCGGTAGATGATAGGATAGGCCATCAGGGACCCCCCCTTGACTACCTGCTGGGACCGCTACAATATGCAGATATTCATACAGACTTCCGTTAGGGGCACTCAAGGTTGCATCTCGAGAAGACCCAGACGAAGCAATGTAGCAAAGAAGAAAGCCTGGCGCATTTCTAGCGCCTCCCGAAGGGCCCTTAGCTTGCCACCAGAACGATTCTCAATGGCTCATACGCAAGCCCCCTGTCCGCTCTCGGGGCCATGGCTATAAAAGTTTCATTTAAGCATGCCTAGAGGCTCACCAAGAGGACGCCCAGGGTAGATCCCCAGGGGCCACTAAACGCCCCCCTTCCCGCCCCTAGAGAGAACTCTGATTTGCATCCATCCCATGTTTGTCCGGACTATCGTCCCGTTCAGGCCTACGCATGTGGGTGCGCTCTCGACAGAGGGCGTCCTACGGACCCAGTCCCAAGGAAACGTCTGGGATAACTGGCATGTTAGAGTTAGTTACTTACCTGCTGTACAAAGTACAGGCACTCTCAAGTCTTTCCTTTACAGGTCAGAAAGCATTTCCAAGGGGTGCCTTTCAGATACTTCGGAGGAATACGACAGTTGACCGCCTAGTGCTCTCGCCCAAGTCCGCCTTTCCATGATGGCGTTACTGGTCGGCAGGCCTTGGACCTCGTCAGTGCCATCTTTGAAGTATAACTAAAAGTTATGCTGAATATCAATTGATACATACGGAGTATTGGCCACTGATACTAAGCCTAGAGTGAAGCTTGTCTTTGTGCTGCCATTGCTGCATGCGCTCGCTTAGCCGGAGAAGCCGGCTGTTTCTACCAGGTTAGCTCTGGCCGTCTCCCGTCTACGTATACCGGGTCGTTGGACAAGGTGTTACATCTTCCTCCTGGGCGGTGGAGTGCTTACTCCGGAAGATCAGCTTTATGAATCAACGGTCTTTATAATATTCCCTTCCTACGGAGGACTGCCCAACAACTCTCTAGCCAACATTACTGTCTTGGATGAGAGCATTCATGCGAGGCTCGAAATTTGACCCTCTTGATGCCTGGGGAACATACTTGCTGATCGACTCCATTTTTAGGACACGATTGACATGGGGATCACCTCGTATGAAGGATGCATCAACACGCCAGAAACGCCCAGCTTTTTGCAACTTGAGAAAAAAAAGCAAGCAGACAGAGAAATGAGAAGAAGAAGAAAAAATAACAACTGCCAACGAGAATTAAGTCAGCCCATCGAACAATTCTCTGTTTGATTCGCAGATGGGGTCACACTCGGTCTCGTTTGCAATCTGCACACTTTCCTCTCAACTCCCCCTATCCCGGCGCTTTCATAAGCTCTTCTAGAGCTTCATCAAACCAGACGCCTTTACATATGCTTCCCGTTTGCTTTTTTCTACGGACCTCCGTGGCCCTCAAGGCAGCATTACGGGATGTGGACTGATGAAATACAAATATGATGGCCTGCAGGTCCCGCGCCTGCAATCGATGGTCGTTCTTTTTCCACTCTAATTGTTCTAGAGTCCTTGGATTTATTTAGTTCTGCTGGTGGGCGTACATACTACTCTGAGATATACACATACCTGTGGAGTATATACATATACTTCTTTCTACCCTCCCACGAGATCAAAGAAAATATTGAAGAACAAGGAAAATCCAGTCCTACCAATAGAGAAGCCGGCCTAATGCAGTGGGTATACCATGCCTCTCCGGAGGTCAATGCGATTTCGCAGTATCCGACTATCCTCGCGGTATGCATCTCGCTCTCTTTTGTCATGACCGTGGTCGTCTGTCTCCGGGTCTGGGTTCGTGCTGTGTGGAAGAAGAGCTTTGGAGTTGATGATCTGGTCATTGTGTCCTCGGCGGTATGTATCTATATAACTATATAAACCACACGTATAGTTATACATATCCCCTCCTCCCATCCATGTTTACCCTTGCTCATATTGAATCCTTTAGGCGTGTGGGATCGTCTACAGTGCGTTGTGCATAACTCAGTCCCGCCTGGGTCTCGGTCTCCCGCTCAAACTACGGCCAAAGGAGAGTCTGGACACATATGCCACGGTAAGTGACTATATACACCGCTCCAACTGACTGGTTATAAACATCACAAACTGATTGTTTGCTCATGTAGGTCAACTTCGCTGGTCGCCCGATCTACATGGCCGGTGTCACCGGCTTCAAAGTGGCCCTGTGTATCGCATATCTACGCATTATCCGCCATAGTTCGGAAAAGTCCTATCGCCATGTCGTCTGGGGCATCATGATATTCACCATCCTATCACATCTTGCCGGGACTCTCGTCCTACTCTTCCAGTGCTCACCTGTGCACAAGTCATGGCGGCCAAGGACACCGGGAAAATGCCTGCCAAACGATGCCGTCTTTTACCCGCTTGCTGGAGTATCAATCTTTTGTGACCTGATCGTTTTCCTCACGCCCATCCCACTATGGATGAAAGTACGCATCAGCACGCCGCGAAAGCTGGGTCTGATGGCCGTCTTCCTGCTCGGTCTGTTCACCACCGCCTGTTCGATTATGCGAGTGGTTCAGATTGAGATCATTGCAAAGGATGGAAACTCGACTATGCTCATCCTCTGGGGCACCATCGAGCTGAACGTCGGAGTAAGTCAGACACTAACCTACCACATAACTAGAATATGAAGAAGCAAAGAAGCTAACATAGTCCTCTTACAACTAACCAGATCGCCATCACCTGTCTGCCCACTCTGATTCCGCTACTTACCTTTATTCGCGGCCGAACATCCAAGGGCGGTCCCATGCAGTATCCCCACAGCTCCGAGGGCCGCAGCGCCGGCACTGCAGTCAAGCTCAAGTCTGTCGGCTTGCACTCATCCACCATGCGATCTCAAACAATCCCAACCGGTAACAACACGCTAATCAAGTCGGGCAGTTTCAGCTCCCTAGAGGCGATCCTCCCTGTCGATAGCCAAGGGAGACCTATCCAGCGAGATGACGTGGAATCAAGCGGCGGCAATGGATCGCAGACCCGTGTAAACATGTCAAATGCCGGCCAGATAACGAAGACCGTCCAGGTGGAGATCACTCGCTCGGATAACCAGCCGGGTCCTGAGCGAAGTTGGCTTCATTGATCTTGTCCAAGCTTCTTCGTTATATTTCCATGCTTCGTTTTCGTTTATCGGGGGCAAAATAGGGGGATCTAAAAGGTGTTCGGCACTTGATTTCTAGGACGTATTATGCCCGGTCATGGCAGCAATGTCTTTTTTCTTGCTTACAATATTGCTTTCTTGTCTTTTTCTGTACATAGATATACCCTGTATATATTATTGACCCTTTTATATTCCATTTTTTCCCCTTGTGCCTACCAAGTATTGTGTAGTTCGTTGGTTAACTAGTTACCCAAGAACTTCGGTCCGGCTAAAACTTCAGCACCTAAAAAAAAAACACCAAACAACTCCACCGACTAGCCAGCTAGTTAGTTAAACAACAAGATGGGTCATAATTTAAGCAAAATATTTCACTGCGATGCTACATCAGCTGCAGATAGACACGATAAAGAATCCACTTCCGGCTTATACGATGGTGCGCAGCAAAACTACTCCGTAGTTACACATAGCATCCCATGGCCCCGTGAAAGACAAGGCACATGCTTTAGCTATACCCAACTCCCAGAGAGCCTAGAGACCGCAGCAGCCGGGTAAACATATCGAGCGCCGCCGTTTCAACCGCGATAACCTCATAGTTCAGGCCTACGCCAGGAACTGCCGGATGTGAGCCGAGGGTGACCCCCTGGCCCTTATGAGGGTGCTGATAAGTTTATCCCGGGGCCCATCAGTGTGCGAGGGTCAAGCTACACGAAGGATCTTTCGTTTCTTAGCCGGCATCCCCGTCGCGGTTCGGATCTCCCTGCTCTTTTCCTCCCTCCAAGAGTCCACCGGTTTTCGTCGAAGGCGGCTGCTGTCGATCGGGTCGCTTCATATTCCCACGAACACCATATATCGCCGCGGGTTATAGCTAGTTAACCTCCAGGTCGGTATCAGAGATCCAGTGGAGCATACTTATCTACAAACACAAGTGACTACCTCGTTAACTACGCAAGGAGAAGAAAACACCGGCGGGTTCAGAGAAGCAAGAGACTAGCCAGAGATGGTGTCCACGTCCACATCGCCTCACGTCCTGATCATAGGCGCAGGAATCACAGGCCTTGTTCTCGCACAGGCGTTGCGTAAACACGGAGTGTCCTTCGCCATCTACGAACGAGATCCCGATCCGCTGCACCGCGGCAAAGGCTGGGGGCTGACGATCCATTGGTCTCTTGATGCCTTTCTTCGGCTTTTACCACAGCACCTGCTCGATCGGCTGCCAGAGACTTACGTCGACCCGGAAGCTGTTGCAAAAGGGGAGAATGGTAACTTCCTACTGTTTGACCTTAGGACCGGAGAGACTAAGTGGAAGGTTCCTCCGGCAAAGAGGATGAGAGTGTCAAGAGAGCGGTTGCGTAGGTTGTTGATGGATGGAATTGATGTTCAGGTAAGTCAAGAGCAAACTGTGCGGTCTATAGAAAGAGGAGAAACGCTGCTAAATCTAGCCAGTGGAACAAATCTATTTCCAGTATCAGTCAGGTATCAGAGTCAGTTGTACGCTGTCACTTTTCAGATGATTCTACTGCCGAAGGAACCTTGCTAGTAGGGTGTGATGGCTCTCGATCAAAGACTCGCGCTTTGCTATGTTCGTTGGCTGAAAATGAAACTCCAGCAATGCCTGAGAACTATCAACTCCCCGTCCGCTTGGTCGGGGTAAGTGCTGCGTTGCCGTCACGAATTGCACTTAAGATGAGAGCCCTGGATCCGTTCTTCTTGCAGGCTGGTGACCCAGCTACCAGCAACTTCTTCTGGTTCTCATTCCTTGACACCCCGGCTAATAATGACCGCAAGGACCGTGATACGTATGAGTGTCAGATATTGATTAGCTGGCCGTACCGTAAGGATGGCTCTAACAACATAGAGATTCCAGCTGAGAACGTTGACAGGATAAAACTCATGCACTCCTTGGCTGATGGATGGGTAGAGCCGTTCCGTGAGGTCGTGCAGAGTATCCCAGAAGAAACAGAACCCAAGGTCATCTCCTTGGAGGACTGGCCGACTCCACCAAGGGGTTCATGGAGCAATCTTGGTGGCACAGCAACTCTCGTTGGCGACTCTGCCCATGCGATGACGATGTGTGAGTATATCTGTCTTTCTCTTTCTCCTCTTTTTGTGGCAACAAGTAGTCACAAGTAGTAACCCATGCTAATGGCCACTCTTACAGTTCGCGGGGAAGCAGGGAATCATGGCATTCTCGATGTGTCTAACTTGATAGATGCGTTACTTCCTGTTCTTACATCCTCGCCACACTCTCCCGCAAAGACGCAGAAGGAAGTGATCAACGAGTATGAAGATGAGATGACTGCGCGTACCAGGCCAGCCGTTCTTCGGAGCCGCAAAGCGTGCCTTGATGCCCACGACTACCCTTCGATAACGGCTGACTCTCCACTTGTTGCTCGAAGAGGGGCGTTCGAAGATGATGATCTAGAATACCTTCTCACCTAGACACTCAGATCCCAGAGAAAACTTATACTCCACGTACTATAAAAGTAATTCGAAAATATATCGCAAAAAATACTTCAAAGATACTTCAGGGCATCAGGCTTGTTTCTCCAACTTAGTTGATTGCATGAATGCTTAACTACCCTTTAGACTTCAATAGTTCTGTGCCCCCGAAGAGGCCACTGCGCTGTCAACTCGCCTCCCATAATCCATTAACCGGGTAGTTAGCCTTAATCTAGGATACTTTCGTCAGTGTAGTTATAATTATGCCAAGCTGCAGTCGAATATTTAGTTAATGTGCCACAGTCTCCCTTCAAGCCACCCGGGACAAGCATCACAAATACACCCGGACTTTCAACTTCCGACACATCACACGGCCCTTCCTCGCATGCTAACCTTGTCTGCTTCGGTTAAATTCATATATTTCCTAGTTATGTATACATAATGTAATATAAGTGCATGCATCGCTGACAGGGTGGGGCTATCTCCCGTAAAAAATTGATACGTCACATCATTGAGGCCAAACCTCCGAACTGACTGTCTTTTGCTGCACATGCTCTGGCGATCAGTCATTCACGAAATATATGTACTCCATAAACGGCTTGCAGGTGACGTCTTGACATTGTGCAGGTACAGCCTCGCTTGCATTTTCTCCAGGCTCATATAAAATCAGCACGGCCAGCGCTTCTTATCAGTAGGTGGGGTGATAAATTGGTTATAGAGATGATCTGTGGAGATGCAATCTCGCGCCATGTCCAAGGTGGAAACTGCTCTTTTATTTTTCTTGGGGTGGCCTCCAGCATTGGCGCTCCCTGTTATATTATGACAAACATATAGTATATACGCCCTGTTGTTCTGACCGGGACCTGGCTTCGCTTATCTTCTAATCTACTCTGCATCGCCGACAACATTCCCTGCCATAATTTACCTGGTTATAGGTATTATAATTGATATATATCAGCAAGTTACTTAGTCCAGCTTTCGCTAGTTATAACTTAATCAAATTATGATGTTTATATAAAATAAACACTCGGCAATAAAGTCGCTCCTTCCTTTTCATTCCGATGGTGTCAGACGGGCGCACCTTCCTCAAGTTGATATTAATACGCGAAAAAAGAAGGCACGTGCGCGCGGGCCGGTCCTTCCAGGTTTAAGCTTAATTTCCCAAAGTTTATTAATTCCCTCGAAAAGCACATGCATTGTCTCCTTCTCCGTTGGGATCAAAATAAATTGAAATATATATTGTAAAAAAATAAACGATCACTAGCCAGGTACTAGTTTGGCGAGCGTGCCAGCGGAGAATTGCTATAAAACAACAATGCTGCGTGTGATATGTGCGTCCCGGAGCCGTTGACCCTCATGGTACTCCGCAATAATTTCAGATCATATCATATGTTATACAGTTTCAGGAAAGCGATAACAATTAGTATGGGGTATATCGTATTAAATTGTTCCGTGCTGATGTATCATATATACAGGGGATATTTTTCAAATATTAGTACATTGGATCTGATTCCAAAACAGAGGGGATGGTTGTGATGCCTCGCTCAAATATGGTGGGTATCAAACGAGTGAGGAAACCGTTAGCAATGAAACGGTGGAGAGATTGGCAGTAATACCCCAGAATACAGCTGAGCTTGGAGTATTGTTGATATGCATAAGGTCCAAACCTAACAGAGAAGTCTCAATGCATCGGTGAAAAGGAGCTTGGCGTATATTTGATGAAAACCTGTGAGCATCGTTACGGGGCTTGACTTGTCTTCTCGTGGATTGCAGTGGAAAAAGGATAAGCGAAATTCTATCATATCATCGTGTTGGCCCGCGTTTTTGGCAACAGAATCAATACCCTTGGCAGAATCGTTCCTGTGGACCGATAGCCTGTGGCATCCAGCAAAACTACCATTCCCAAAACCAAAGTCGATATAGGAAAATTTCTCCTCGGAGAACTTAGTTCTGGACAAAGCATCTGAAGGAGAGCTCAACTGCGTTTGATTGACTAAATGCGAGTGGGTGACCTGGAATGCGCCAAAAAGTGTTGAGCCCGAAGGGAGCAGTTTTGTTGTTGGAATTTCTGCGACCTTCCATATGCTCTTTGGTAGTGGTATTCCAGAATTGGTGGGTTGTGTACCTGACATCAATGGATTTAGTTGACTTAGGCCTATAGATACCCGTTAGTACAACTTTCATGGAAGATATGCACTTTAAGTGGAGGCTGACCTTTGATTTGCACGGCCATTAACCTCCACCCACCGGATGCCAGAATGAACCTCTCAGTAGCAAACACTATTCCACCAAAGAACCCACGAGTAAACCGCGCCAAGAGCTCCTCATCACTCAACTGGCGCAAAAGTACTTTGGTTCCGGGGAATGATGAGTTCTGCACGAGTGTGTCAGCCCTGACTTGTGCAATCAAACAGTCCTCTACGATCGAATGGCTATGGGGATTGATCAATGCCTCGGAGGTAGTTGCATAGAAAGATGTAAGAGGCTGCGGTGAGTAAATAATGCGACGGGATCGAGCAAAAAAGTCCATTTTGAGGCAGTGGTTAGCTAGTTATGAAGGCGTATGCTGCGGATTTTTGGGTGGAGGATTGGGTAACTATACAACTAGAAAGCGAGATTTCGCGTACTGGTGAGCACCTTTTAAGTACCTACGCCCTTTATAGCCGTCATCAGAGTATATGTTCCGACGTTCAGCTATTAATACGATCGATGACGTAGGAACGGGTGATCGGGACAACCCGGTGGCCGTGTCGCTCAAAATAGGAACTTTCATCCTCCCGAAAAACCTTCTCGGAACACAACTAGCTGGTAATCAATTATTATTATCATTATTATTATTCACTATACTCCTATACTGTTTTTTTAGGACTAAATCTATTAAGATACTGGTAACTAGACTAGGTTATCAGTTAAGTCTTTAAAGATATATATAGGCTCAGTTAGTAAAGTCATAAAAGACTTATTTTTATGGTACAGGGGAGGTAAGGGGAGTGAGATTCAAACTCACTACCACTACGCTATCCGGCTCCTCTCATCAAAGCGGTATCAAATGGTGGTAATCTCCATTGCTATAACTATATAGAAGTATGATTCTATGGTCACTTTATCGCATCGCTAAAGAAATGTGGTTTTATTAAAAAGTACCTCAAGAATCTAAAGTAGTTAGGTCTTCTGCCATCTTGCCTTCGATCAAGTATTCATCGATAACCCTCTGTGTTTTACCATGGAGTTTGTAGCTGGTATGGCCGAATCCATTGCGGAAGATGTTCACCGCTGTCGGCATCTGCTCGCGCAGCCCGATCGCCCACTCAACGCTGGATGAAGGGTCATGAAGAGAATTCACAAGCATGATTGGAGGTGCTTTTTTAAGCTGCTCTCGAGAGAGCAATCGCTGCGGATTCCTCACCGGTACAGGCCAGCCAACACACCCGGTGTGGATGCCAGACATCTCGCTGATGCCACGAGTGTGTGGAGCAAGGGCTCTGGCAACTTTAAAACGTGCGATCAAATCTTTGGAAGCTCGGGGACCAGAAAGGCGTAGCCAGTCCTGACAGACAATAGCTCTGTCGGCAAATAAACTGTAGTCCTCGGTGATGGGGAACACGTTGAAGGTGAGAAGAGGAGTAGAAAGGAGTGTGGCGTTGCCATTAAGTGCTTCTAATAATGCCTTGGACCATAAAACCCACCGAGATTGCAATGATAGAAGGGGTTTGGAGTTATCTATGATCTCGTACCCGGTCACATCTGGTCGGCAGGCAGTAGGTGCGCCATCCACTGCATGGCCATGGCAGCCAGGAGCGGGAATGGGCTTCATGTTGGCATTGTCGACCAGCTCGTCGAAGAGGGCGGGTACATCGCGATGATACAAGGCGCATTCGGAGGTTGTATTGCACCACCTGGCAACCGCATTGAATGTGTCTTCAGTAGTCGTGGATCCCGTCATGAAATTGCTAACTTTACGTTGAGAGTGATCAACGATGCCATCAAGAACCATGCGGCCAACACGTCCTGGGAAAAGTTCTGCGTACTGGCTTCCGAGCTGTGTCCCATATGAGTATCCCAAGTAATTTAATTTGTCGTCCCCAAGAGCCTATAGGTAGTTAGACTTCTGTATAGCAAGAGATATATATGTGAATACACTTACCTGACGCAAGAGATCGAGGTCCTTGGCCACTGAGATAGTATCCAGGTATTGGAACGAAGGGCCGGTCAGATTAGCACAAGACTCGCCCAAGGCCTTGTTCCAATACATAAGACTGTCAAAGTCGCTCTGGCTCTCAACATAGATGGGGACACGCTGGTTGAACAAGTCTACATCACACTGGATGGGATTACTAGCCCCGACACCCCGAGGATCCATTGCAATGATGTCGTAGAACTCCATCAGACGCTGGCTGACCAGTTCCCCTTCCCTATGAGTGACGAACTTGCTTATTTCCGACACTCCCGGTCCGCCTGGGTCAACGATCAAGTTCCCTAGGCGTCGTCCGGTTGAGCTAGTTGCCCTTGACCGAGTTACTCCAAGGGTGATGAAGCTGTCCACTTCTGGTTTTTCATGGTTTATCGGTACGCGTAGTTGACCACATTCGAGGCTGGCGGGATATGCCGAAGGACACAAGCCCCAGTCTATTAGCGGTGTAAGAGATGGCGAGTTGCCAACTTCAGTCCATATTGGCCCGGTTAGGAGAAGAGACTGCGCAATGTGGCCAGATATCTCTTGGATATGATTCAGCAGCGGCCCAAACATCGTGGTCGGAGATGAAGCAGCCGGGACGAGGATACATCGCCGGTAAATTCAGGCACTCCTGGGATCAGGAGCATGTGGAGAGGAGTGTACCCTTATATTCCCAGGGCAGCGATCCCCCAAGTCCCAAGTTTGAGTAGCCAGCCACAATGCAAGATGGGCCAAACCTAGATCGTACGCTTAGGTATATGAGATGTCAGATTTGCGCCACAACTCTGCCACAGGAGATAACGATGCTGTCACGAGGCGGTTTCTCGTGAATAGGTCTGCCTCCGCCTGACACCGCATTCATGACCTGGAACGAACCGACTACCACGATAAGAGCCAGGACGATGGCAAAGACGGTGAAGGAGATAACGAGGTGATCGACGGAAGGGTTTGTGACGACAAGGGCCGTGGTCTCCAAGATATTTGCTAGATACCCCCTGGATGGCAAGTCTCATGTTCTGGATAAATACCGGTGGCCTTGTCCAGAACGATGGCTGCAGTGGGCGTGGGAGTGGGCGCCGGCATGTGGTATGAGGGAAGGCCCGAGGAAAGCCCAGGTGCACAGATTGATGATGATGGTGAAGAGGAGGAGGAGGAGGAGGAGGAGAACAATGCGAATAACGGGGTCAAGTATCTGGAGATGAGTATCCATACTTCGAACAAGGCAATATTGACGAAAGTGAGCGTCACATGGATGCAGCACATGAGTCTTGCAGGGAGAGAAGTGAGGGGACCGGTGACAATGACGGCTATGGCGGCGGTGAGGATTGCTGTGGTGATTGGGGATGTTGCGGAGACGATGACGGTGATGATGAAACTTGCTAATGTTGTTAAAATGCTCGAAAAATAGTAACTAATACATACACCCCCTTTTTCATATGTATCCTTCATCCGGAACCCCTGAAAACCTTTGGCACAGTAGTAAATCTCTTCCTGCTCGTACCGCCTTGGAACGAACTCGGTGCTGGAAGATGCCATAATAAACAGGCAACTTATGTTGAAGAACGTGGGGTATCACATATAAGAGCCCAGCATGCAAAAGCCGTTCGCTCTCTTCGTTAGCGGAGGTATTTCATTTCTGCCAAGTCACGGCCACCATAATAACCAGCTAGCAGCACCACCTTGCCTGACAATCCCCCATCCTAAAAACAAACTTACAAACCATAGAACGCCCATGACCACAATGGGCAGCAAAAAAAGCTCTGTATGGTACAGAAACGGCAGGTTGCTATAACCGAGGAAGGAGATATATGTGTAATATGAGAATGCGGAGAGGTATAGGGTGTTTCCCAGAAGGGTGGCTAGGAAACTGGAGGATGTCTCTGTGCCCCGGGTGAGAACGGGGAGGAGGACGAATTGTAGAACGTATAGATGGAGATAGAGTGTGAAGAAAGCACGGGCGGATATCTATATCGCGGAATGAAAAAAAAAAAAAGGGTTAACAACGTGATAATCAGTTTGAACAAGCTGGAAGGAGGCTCACATCAAAGCAGTATCCAAATTCGACATGCTCTTTATCTACCGATAACCCAAAAAGGCCCTGGGCCGGTGCCCGTCGTCTCATACGGCCTAATGACGACCTTGTTCCCCTCCACTCACTGATCGTGGCGGCAGGACCATTGGGACCGAATATCCGGCCAACAGTGAAGTACATTATTGTCGAAATCACGAGGGAGGCTCCGAGGAAATGGAGAAGGACGAATGCTATGGCGAGGCCATTCATAGAAACAAACGACGGTTTATAGGCAAAGCCCCATGCCAGGCCGGTTAAATATAAGAATAAGGAGAATAGGTAGCTGAACGATGGATCGGGCCGGTGCCAGGTGTTTTTGGTTTCTAGACAGGTCTCATTAGGCCATGACTTTCTATGGATGCATTGCAAGGGGAGACCAACGTTTCTAGGAACAATCAATTAGTTTTGGCTATTTTTATTTCTCACAAAGTATCATAGATAGGTAGAGACACAAACATGATAATACATGGATTTGAACACCTTTTTAGGTGCAATAACAAGAGATGTCATCTCCCAAATGGCCATCTCAAAGTCCATCTGTGAGACTTTGAACAAGCTATCCCGCAAGCGTCAGTATATGACTAGTGGCCAATAGAGCAAAGCAGCACCATCCTACCGGCCAAAAATCTGCGGCATCCGTATGAATGGGTTTCTATTCTGCGGCGAGGCACCGCCGAATTGTGCTGGCCCAGCATGCTGCCGGGGAACGGAGATATGGGGGTTCATTGGAGGACGACGATGAGGGCAGCTCGCCCAGGCGGAGGTCGGACTACCGCAGCATTAACATCAAAAGAAAACAAAAGAGAGAGTGCAGGTCGTTTCGGTCTGTAGAGACAATGTATATCGCCCTCTTCTGCTTCTCGCTGAGTGCTGGTTATCAAATCGAAACTGTCAACTTGTTATGTTTGAAGCTCGAAGCAGGTTGAGTCGAGCGCTGGACGAGTACGATTATTACGTAATGATCGACCACCAGACGGCTTATGTAAGGAGCATCAGATTGCTTATATAATGAAGGAATATCAAGTTCCTTCTACAAGGGATAAGCTTCACTTCAACTCACCGCAGAGAGCTGAGCTTGCCATCTATCCATTCGTATGTACTCATAGTTTATTACCTCCCGAAACATATACTCAGTAGTCGAGACTCGTCAGGCAAATGGCTAATTAAGGCCCCAGCGTCTGAATTCATATTATCATTGAAAGAGAACGGGCCCTTGCCCTCCACTACTTCTGTCTGTTCGTGATCTATAAACCAGCTAGTACGGAGTATGATTAGCAGTTATCTTTCCTCCTTAGCATACTCTAGACTCTTACCATTTATTTCCCTCTTCGTCATAGATGATATCTTCCGGGCGGGGATCATCAGCATAAATGCCATATCCTTCAAGCTTCCTGTCACAAAAGTTAGCGCTGGCCTATAAAAAGCATTTGTAAAGTTATACGTAAGATCCCTGCGAAATGATCCCCGTAACTTTCTGCTTCATCATACTTGTCAATATTGGCCAGTGTGACTCCGGGGCATTTCTCCATAATTATTACAACCATATAGTCCCTTGGCACGGGTAAGAATGGAGTGGTTGGATGAAAAATTTCATGATGCAATAGTTTAGGAGTCACCGAGCAGCCCTTATCGGTAAAGTACTTGAGAGTCTCTTATCTCCTGATTTGATGGATACGAAATATACAATAAGAGCCTCCTGGGCACGGATGTTTGGGTCAGGGTGTTCCGGATATTCAGATGGGACCCTATTATATGATGCGTGTTAGAATTATCCCTGCATATACATATCTCCTGCGAAGACATATCTCCTGCGAAGAGCAGCAGGGCATAGTTTGGAGTCGGATCTTCATGATAGCCTCCTTTCCTACAGATGGGCCCTTGGTTTGGCGGCAGTTATATACTGCTTGGTTTTTTGCAAGAGGTTCCTCATCCGCATAGTCAATCACAAATCCCTTCTCGCTGATCTTGTTGTAAGTGAGCCATTGGCTCTGATCAGAAAAGGTGAACTTATGATTGTCGAACCTGTCGCCAACCCAGTCGTGTATATACTGCTTGCGGCGACCCATGGTATAAACAGGAGAACACGGGAGGTAGATGTGGGCAAAATACTAAGTCTAAGGAGAAGGGCAAGAAGTTGGATATACAAAGGATAGGGAGCAATAACTAGTAGCGAATGTGACTTTCTGCCTGTTCGCGTTGGTAGGTTGTCTTGTTGTTAATGCGCTTGAGTTGGATTAATAAATGTGGTTTCCTAGGCTATGCCTTCAAAGGGCTGTAATATAAAGCCTGCAGCACAGTTGATATGCAGGGCCCGTCCCCCTGATGATATTTCCGGTCATCGAGACGCCTGGACACTGACATTCGCTTGACTCTCAGTTTCAACTTTGCGAGATGTATGGGACATTGAGAGCTGATGCATTGACAAGGTACGATGAAACTATAGTACCAGCATAATGCAGCTAAATAGAGGGGGTCAGAGCAAGTTCGGTGTCCGACTCAGGCAAGAATGGTCTCATTTTCAGGCCACGAAGTGGTAGTACAAATTACGTACCCAAGCACGTTAAGAGTGACTCCTAAGGCCTGCACTCTGGGGAAATACCATCTTACCTCGGGGTTTACCACCGAATGGACTGGATTATAGTATAGGCCCGGGATGTGGCAAATGTACGACTGTTCAAAGCCTGTCTCGGGGGGAAGCCTTCCCGGCGGCATCTTCTGTGCACCAATGGCAATGCAATGGTGAAGTAAGCTCCAGGCACAGGCACAGGCACAGGCACAGGCACAGGAACAGGAACAGGAACAGGAACAGGCATAGGAAACCGAGGCACCAACCTTTTATCGTGATATTTCCGTGCTTTCTGGGCATATTCTTGCACAGCACTGATGAACTGGTGGAGTCAACGGAATTTTTGACAGACAAGCAATGGCAGCTGGGGCAGTCTGTGTCGACAGGTGTGTTTGCATACAACCAACCTTGTTTTCGCTATGTACACCGTTGATGCTGCCCACGAGCGGCCCCGTTACGTGAAGGTCCTGTCATCTCCGGCCATTCTAGGACTAACACACGATGTAGATGGTATCCTGGGTCCACTCCGAAAGCCTTGGGAATAGACTGCCCTATGTGTGTTGCGAGGTCATTATAGGGGTATCCTCCCTTTTGGCTATAAGAGAGTCAGCGAGTAACTGCCGGCAGCCATGATCCCGCTCAGTAGCCAACCAACTCCTAAATGATAGCCACGGCTGGACCGGCGGGAGCACCAACTCCGAGCCCTGCCCCGGCCAGAACAAACGGAAATGAACAACGCATCTGGATTAACTATCGCTGTCCGGCTGCCATGTCATTCATTTATGCCAGCGCGCAGGGAGGAGTTCGTATCCAACAGAAGGCCTGGCCCGGCAAGCTGCAAGCAAACGCACATCTCTCTCTCGATCGAGCACCGGATGCATGTAATCCTGCCATCCCATCCGTCCCCATCGTCTTCTCTTCTTCTTCTCTTCTGCTTCTCTTCTTCTTCGTGTCTTTCTTCCCTGTTCCCTGCAGAAACTAGAAACAAAGGATGAAAAGGACCCCTGTATCGGTAATTACAGCATGTAACTTTGGCCGGCGTGGAGAGGTACCGCGCTATGCCCGAACAGGCGACAACGACCTTCCCCTGGCGGTAATACGAATACCGCGTCAACGTCCGTCTTCGACTTTTGGGCGAAAAAGGAAAAAAAAGGAAGCAAAAAACTCCAACCCTCAAACGGTTTTCGAACGTCTTCAAAACGCCCTCGACTCCAGCCTCCAGCGTCCAGCAAATCCGCTCTGTCTGCGTCTGCGTCTGCTGCTGCTCGCCGTTTCTTGCTGCTCGTCCATCCCGGTGCCAATCGGGCAGGGGATCGCAGGGTCTCTGGAGCAAGTTGGCAGCCGTTTTTACGCTTTACGCTTCCCGCTACCCGCCGTCGAGCCCTCGTCCTGCTCGCATCCCTGGTCGACCTCGCTCCACCTGCTCTGCTTCTTCTCCTTCGCTCTGGCAGCGCAGCATCGAGTCGGACGAGACTGACGACAGGCCGAATAAAGAACTGGACGGGGAACGCCCTCGCAAAAAGGCACGGAGTCAAAGGAGAAAGGAGAACGTGAGAGACGGCACCAGCTGAAGTCTGCGCCGGGCTTCTGTTTGCTCGCCGGGTTTCTTTCAGGGCCTCTTTTCCCGGTTTGGAGATATGCATTGAGCCGTCTCCTCGCCAGTTGGCACCTGGTTCTATCTTCATCCACGTATATTTCCCCCCTGGGTTTATGAACGGTTGAACCCCCAGGCGGCTACCAAAAGCAGTCGGACCTGAAGAGCTACCTACTCTTCCTCCTTGGACTGCCACAGGACGGCTTCCAGATACACAGATATAATCAGATATCATGCCCTCTTCCTACCGAAACCCTTTGTCCAGGGCCTCTCGACACCCTGATCACCGTCCGCAGACACCACCCCAGTACCGCAAAGAGACCGTTTCGACCAGAAGCCGCCAACTCGTTCGACCCTCCTTTCCTGAAACATTTCTCGATGACTTCAACCCAATTGACCGCCATAATAATAATCACGGAGACGTTCAAGATGTGGACTCTGTCGACGAAGACGAGCGGGATCCACACGACCTGTCCTTGAATCCTGCACTCGGTGTACGGTCGTCGGTCGTAGATAATATGCTCCTCTCTCTCGACCAATTCTCGCCTTCCGACGCTGCAGACTGTTCATTCGACGACAGTCTCCCTTACGACTCTCCTCACCAACAGCAGGAGTCCTTTTCAGCTTATTCCTCCTACCATCACCACTCCGACAACAATAGTAATAACCATAATAATTTCTCCAGCTCCGCCAACAGCAGGATCTTCAGCAACAGAAACAATAACAGCTACAACAACGACAACAGCAACGGCAACGACACCAGCGACAATACCCGGTTTAGATCCCACACGCTCTCCTCTTCTGTCTCGTCGGACGTGGAGCCATACACTCACAAAGGTAGCCACGGCCAGAGACACCGTCACCAGAATCGCCACGAGGCAGACGGCAGAGGGTATCGCAGTAATAGCAACCCGAAGAAGCAGCCCACAATTCGGCACGTCGATGGTAGCTCTGAGGGCGAGCGAACGACCTACAGGAGTAAAGTGTATGATTCTCAGAGAGCAATTAGCTCAAATGACCGTTCCCAAAGTCGGACAACCCCTCGTTTTGTAAGGAGAGAAAGCACCGGCAGCGCGTCCTCCAGCATCGACCTAAACGAGATGCTTGCTACTACTTCGATATATGGAACACGAAGGTCGGCCAGTTTCGACTACGGTTCTACCTTGCCGTCACGAGCCAATGGGAGAGACCCTTCCTTTGGTCACCGTGATACCATGATGCAGTACGATGACATGAATGCTGCCCCGACCCCAACGGTCCTGCTAGGCCCTAGGAAAGAATTTGCTCCTCCAGCCCTGTCTGATCATGCCAGCACTGTCCATGCTTCCACTCCTCCGGAGACCTCCCGAACCCCGTCGTTGGCTCACAAAAACAGCACGAGATCCGCGCGAAGCATGTACTCTAGAAAGAACAAGAGTGACACGTTGGGTACTTCGACAATCAGAGGCCGAAATGATGAGTATAATAAATATTTCGGGGAATCTCAAGACCTAATTCCTCCTGTTCCTGCTTTGAACCAGTCGTCGGCCCCCAGCCCTACCATTGCGCGCTCAAAGCAACCGCTCCCTGCGACTTTCCCCGTTGAAAACGTCAGCACGCCTCCATCAAAGGAGCGTCAGGGATTTTTCAGACGGGTATTTGGCTCTTCCAAACAATCTTCCCCCTCACAGTCCGACGTGAGCCCTCACTCGGCACGAGATAACGAGACCGACCCCTCGAGATACGATAACGTCTCAATCCATCCACGGCCCTATCGACCACCTCCAGTTCCAAGGGATCCCTCCACAGCCAACAATGCCACCCGTGAGAATCCTCCGGTCGTGACGAAGAAGCCCTCATCCTTTTTCCGTCGGCGCAAGAAGTCTGTAGTTGAAAACGTTCCTCCACCTCTTCTTCCGCTCTCGAATTTGAGTTCCACGGAGGTGCCTAAACCCGAATCCCTGGAAACCGAGAAATTGAGAATCAGTCCTGCAACAGATTCTCTCCGCACGGACAGCCTCAGCAGGGCTATGAAACCGTACCTGTCGGACATGGATTCGCCCAAACATTCACCCACACATTCATCGAAGCCCTCCAGTCGCGGTGGCAAGTCACGAGACCAGCAAGAAACCGATGAGTCTGATATTGAATCGCCCGTCAAACGAGAAAAACTCCGGGTCAAGGCACCCGAAATCAAGTCCTCGAAGAAACTTCAAAAACTGGGCTATTTATCCAATCCCAATTCTTCCCGTCGAGCTGCGGGCGCGTCAAAGACAAGCCCCAAATCTAACTCCCACTCACGAGCCACCAACTTTGACGGCTCGTTCCTCGCAGACAGCAGCGGAAATGAAGGGTTGAGCACAAAGCATTCTGGAAACAAGAACAAGCAATCGCGCAGACCACAGACAAGCCCCGACCCTCCAAGCCAGCAATATGAGCATTCTACCCCCAGACCCAAGGGTGAACTTGTGCTTTCTGATCGAGTAAATGGCGGGAAATCCCAGAGCGGCGACTCGAATTCTAACTCATTACTGGAACCAACGATCTCTCCAGCACATTCAAAGCAGGCCTCAGCTCCCGCCAGTCCGAACAGCACACAGTCTGAGCATACCTCCAGGCAGAAGCAAGCAGGCCTTCACATCGATACGTCTGGAAAGCCTTTATTCGCCACAGATAAAGACAAATCTCCCCGAATATCAACGTCAACTTCAATCACGTCTAACTACCATACTGCCCAGAGTACTCCTGTTCCTAGCAGTGACGAAAACCTCGCCTGGGGAAGTACGGCCATGGCACCGTCTCAGGGCAATTTGGATACAACCGATGGCGGGCTTCATGAGAATACGCCTTGTCCTGAAGATAGACAGCAGGCTCAGAAGATATTTGACAATAACGATGAGGAGTTGGCTGCTGGGCGATATACAGCTGCTTGGTTGGGAACGCCGGACAGGGGGATGCTTCGAAAGGCATATATGGATCTCTTCGATTGGTCCGATATGAATATTCTCTCGTCATTGAGGAGTTTATGCACCAAGATTGCATTAAAAGGCGAGGCCCAGCAGGTAGACAGAGTGCTGGACGCGTTTTCATGCAGATGGTGTGAATGTAATCCTAACCATGGCTTCAAAGCAACCGGTATGCCTAACCAACTTATCCACTTCCCTTCCCCCCCAAATACGGTTCATGTGTCAAAAGGCTAACAATAATATCGTAGATGTTGTTCATACCATATCCTACTCCTTGCTCTTGCTCAACACTGATCTCCACCTTGCAGACATTGAGCAAAAGATGACCAAGCCCCAATTCATTAAAAACACTATGCCTACTATTCAGCGAGTTGTAACTGAAGCTGCTCCAGAAGCATTCGGCACATCTCAGTCGTCAAGGCCTCAGACCAAACAGACTGCTGAGTCGGAGGGGTCGCACCCTAAAAATTCCCCGGTACCTTACCTGGACAAGCAATTCAGCCACTCGCCAACCACAATTGAGAGATCAGATGAACCACCAACTATCGATATCCCCATTATTGAACACCCTAGCATGCCACCTCCCCGTCTATCAAGCCGCGCCTCATTTCTCGATACAGGTCATGGACTGCAATCTCTGGCTGGCCCGCTTGTATCAACTCCGTTTAACGGAACGATGAAGGCATGGGAAGCCCAAGTTGAAATGGTACTCAAGGACTACTACACCTCTATTCATAAACAGAAGCTGCCCCTTAGAGGCGTCACTACAGAGAGCGATGAGCATATTCCTGCTCATGGCGGATTCCTTACCCTTACGCATAACATGCTCCGAAGGACTCCGAGTACGATAAGTCGGGCCGGTGCGGGAGACACTTACCGCGGCCGAGGCGCTGAAAATCGTCTGAATGCGGCCCGATGGTCCTCAAAAGCAAGGTCTCGCCCTCGTCTTTACCCGCCGTCAGCCATGGGTTCGAGCCGTACAAGCTTAGATGACCAGTCGTTTGTCTGGTCGCCTTCTGGTTCGAGCACCTGGAGCAAGAACTCTCTTGGAAAGACCCTGACCTCGATGTCGGTTGATTCTCTGGGGTCCGAATATCCTCGGGGTGACTATCAGCAATCGATTGGGTTTGCGAATGCCTTGAGCCATGCTATCATCCGTGAGGATTCAGCTCACTCTATAGCCCCCTCGGAAGATCCTGCGCGAGTTGCAATGGTTCTAGAAGACGAGGGTCTCGAACTTGCCGGTGCTCCATGGGCAAAAGAAGGCAGTCTAAAGCACAAACACCATCTTGACTCGATCGACAAGCGAGCGAAGGATAGAAACTGGAACGAGACCTTTGCCGTCATCCAAAGAGGCTGGATGCGTCTTTTCTCATTCAACTCTAATAATAAGTCCAGTCGTCTGAAGCCCAAGCAACGTCAGAATGGAGGGTTAGTAGTCGGAGGCGGCAACTGGATGGAAAACGCAGACGAGACGTGGAAGTTCCTACTTCGACATACCATTGCCAGCGCCCTTCCGGCTCCAGGATACTCCAAATCACGCCCTCACGTATGGGCTCTTAGTCTGCCCACCGGCGCTGTGCACTTGTTCCAAGTAGGTACGGCAGACATCGTGAAAAGAATTCGTCTCAACAGCCAACTACTGGAGTGCCCGGCTGTCCAAAGGCCCTCTGTTCGGTGCGGTCAGCAACATCGAGTATGGCTGGAGTGACGCCGTCATCAACAACGCCGTCTCAAGCCTTGATGATTCTAATCTCCCGAACAGTGCCCCGTCATCAAGCAGCTCAGCTCCTCTTCCTCGACCCAGTCTGCAGAGCTCCATCCGTAGCTCTATAGACCAAGGCGTCCGCCCTCGCCTGCCAGCCGACCGGATCGTGCTCAGCGACTGGCGGCCGCCTCAGCAAAGCATGATGGCTTCCACATCCTCCGAAGCGGAGCAACTAGAGACGCTCCGCAGCTACGTGAAACATGTGGAGCAGGAACTCCAGCGTCACAACGAGCTACGTCCTGCTCTCATGCTTGCCTTCACCCCAAAACACGCGAACTACTCCAAGGCTCTGCATAACTGGGAACGCAAGTCTTCATATCTTCTCAGAGAGATTGTCAAATTCCGCACCTACATCGACAGCCTGGTGTGGGCAGAGACACAGAGGGAACGGATCTACCAGGCCGACGCCGCTAAAGAGGAAGAATCGAATACAGGCAACCCTGCCCCCGTCGAGACCTAGCCTCTGTCTCTCTCTCTCTCTCTCTCCTCTACTGTCTGACTATCCTTCTTGCTTTCCCTTTGATGTGTTGCTATCCCCCCTTTTCTAATGCTACTTACCTAACTCGCCTACACGGTACCTTTAATCCACAATTATGACTATCCTAGCTCTTTTAATGTTTTTAACGGCCTATCCAACAGCGTTCCACAGTCCGAGAGACTTTGTTTTGCCCTTTTCCTACCATCCTTAACAAGTTCTGGAGTTGTTTTCTTGCCTGTATATCTTCTAATCTGTCTGTCTTCATGGCGCTTCCACGCCCTGTACATATATCTTGCTTGACATAAGAACGAGTTTATGAGACAAATAAATCACTATCGCTGCCACTTCCACCTGTCCAGCTAGTTATCTTACAGTCCCCTGAACTGATCCCTGTAGAAATGAATAAATATCGTGTTAAGTAGCCGGCCCCTTGCATACAGGCTTGCGCTAAACTCGCTAGCACCAGAAGTTCCAGACCAGAAAAAACAACAACCTCAAAACAACAACAACTAACCAAGACACAACAGCAGGGCTTCTGCGACAGCCCCTTTGCAGCCCTCGGACCCGCTGTCTCATGCGAGAGCACCTCGAGGCCTTCTGCGCATATCCTTCTAGAAGCTCTCCGGTGCTTCCACTGGCCAAACGGGCTGCTGGCGATGCGCTGTCTCCAGTAACTGGACGCAGACGCGAAGAAGAAAAAACCAGCCGGAGACACAAACTTGATGCGAAGGAGGAAGAAAAGAAGAAACAGGAAAACAAGCTGCTATAGCTAGTTACAGCACCAGAAGGAATTACTACGGCCAGCTGGGATTGCTCTCTGTCTCTCTGTTGCCCTGATTTGCAGCGATGTCAGATATACCGTTGCCCCCTTCGTCTCCTCCGTCTGTTACTCCTGCGCCGCACGAAGAACAACAGCAGCAGCAGCAGGAGGAGGAGGACTACGACTCGAGCAGCTTGCTGCCACCTCTCCCTTCTCACGATGACGATGATAATGACTTGAACGAAGACAGTGTCCAACACCATGCGGACGATTATGACCATGACGACTCGAATCTGCCTCCCACAGGCCACCACGACGACCACGACTCCAGCTTAAATCGAACACTGAACGAAGAACGTGAGATGCACCGGAAATTGATGGATGTGGAGTCCAGCTTTCTCCCAGAGCCCTCGACGCTGCATGTTGGCGAAACCACTGCAGCTCGTAGCGGCGATATGTACTTGGTTGGAGCCGATGCACCAGGCACACCTCAGAGGGCAGAGGATACAGAAGACCAGGAGACATCGATATCTCCGGAGCCACCGAGGGATGCATATAAGACACCTGCGCCGGCCCGGATGGCGGACTTGGAGTCTTCAATGGCTGAAGATGGGAAACAGACGCTGGAAGAGGACAGTTTGGTTGGGATTAACACATCCTCCCTAGAGACAATATCAACACCCCCAACCACTGCCGCTGCTGCTAGGACTGTTTCACGAGTCATTTCAGCGGCAAGCAGCCGGTCCGGTAGGTTTGGTGACTCCATTGCTGAAGAGCAACAGGCGCACGGCCACGGGCACAGCTTTGAAGATGAAGGATCACACACTGAGAGAGAAATCGATGTTGAGGCTACTCCGCGCAAGGCTCGCTCTCAACTTGTTAGCCAGTCTCCGCCCCTGTCTCAGTCACTACATAGCAACAACACGGATGATAATGATCTCAGTCAGATGGGTGGTTTCCGAGGAGCTAACGATTCGATCGAGCTACAGAGGACAAGGCCTAGGTTTTTAACCAACCGCCAGTCCTCGTACCGCCTGTCAACATCCTCAGTTGCCACAGTCAATACCGACGGTGCCCTAAGTGATGCTACAATGGGAATGGACTATGCTTTACAATCCGGCGGTGCACTTCCGTCAAATAGTGGAAGAGCGTCCCATAGCTATGAACAAAAAAGGAATCTGTCAAGGTCTATCAGTCTAGGGAGCATGGCATCTGGTATTTCCAACTTGAGTGATGACCATCCTTATGAAAGGAGGGTATTCAGCGGAGTGTCTGACCTAAGCCTTCATACCCTAAACGAAGAAGAATCATCCTCCCAACGGCCAGTATCTTCGGGAACTACCATCAAACAGGGTGATGAGACTGCCCCTATGACGCCAAAAGGCAAAGCTACGGATACATCCTCCCCTCCTGCAACTGTCTTGACACAGATCCAGAGCCGGCCTCCTCCCAGCACTGTGAGAAAGTATCAGGAAACCGTGGGGCCATCGCCTGATAAACGGTCAGCAAGCCGGACGCCAGGCTTTGGCCGAGGAAAGAATATGACATTGAAGGAGCAAAGCAGCACTATCGATCGACTCTCGAAGGAGAATTTCGACCTCAAGATGCGTATCCACTTCCTTAACCAGGCCTTGAATAAACGATCAGAAGATGGCATCAAAGAGATGATATCTGAGAACGTCGAACTGAAATCAGATAAGATAAAAGCTCAAAAGGACAACCAGGCTTTGCGAAGGACCATTCGCGAGCTTGAAAGACAATTGAAGGAAAAAGCTGACCTCGCTGACGAAAGCAAGGATGAACAGGCCTCCGAGGCTGGGAAAAGAACTATAGACGAAGAGGAATTTCTCTATCTACGTGAACGGATCGAAACGTACGAGGTTGAGATTGAAAGACTTAGAGCTGAGAATATCACCCGAGAGAGTGAAAAGAGGAAGCTGGCTGAGATGGTGAAGGCACTCGGAGACGGAAGAAGCGGTATATCAGAGTCTGGGGCTCGGGAGGAAAGGGTAAGTCTCCTTTTTCCTCTTTATTTGTCCACGCATACATCACACCCTTTATACCTGTTTGCTTGTTTGTTCTCATACTTACTTGCTTATTCCTTAGGACATGTGGAAAGATATACTGGAAGCCGAAACTGCTGCTCGCGAACAAAGCGAAGAAGAGAATAAGCATCTTCGCAACCAGATTCTTCAGCTGGAAAATGACATATCTTCCCATCAGTGCCGCGAAGCTCGTTACCGCAAAGGAAATCAGAACTTCTCTCAAGTTGGTTCTGACTACGAAAGCTCGCGTAGTTTTGCAACTTCTAATCCAACTAGGGAGGACTTTGAACTGCTGAGACAAGAAAATAATGCACTCCGTCGAGAAGTGACTGCTCAGACGTCGATGCTAACCTCTAGAAATCGCGAGAAGGAAAAGCTCTATCAGGAAATTGAAGATCTGAAGCTTGATCGACGCAATGAAGGCCGCTCCATCGCCGGGGATAGTATTTTCGATCGCTCTGCTTCAAGAGCACAATCCAGGGCCATGTCACAGGCGAGTGACAACGATCGTGACACGTTGGAAAATAAGAATGGTGAACTTCGAGATCAAGTGTCAGCTTTGAAGTTGGACAACCAAGGCCTCCGTGGCCAGTTGGACGAATATGCAAATGAGCTCAGCTCTGTGGAACGTGAATATCAAGCAGAACTGGATCGCGCTGGCCAGGAATTACGAGATCTCCAAGCTCAACGCGACCAGGCCCTTCAGGCCATTGAAGAGCGCGAGGCGGAATTGCAAGAACTTAAGGCGGCAGCACAAGAGGAGCTTGATGTCTTGGGAGAAGAGCTTGATCTTAAGCATGAAGACTGTCAGCGCCTAGAACTCGAAGTTCGAACACAGCAGGAGAATTTGGATGCTCTTCAAGCAGAGGTCAGATCTGCCAATGAAGGTATTTCCCGGCTTGAAGAAGATGCGCAGAGTAATATGCTCAAGTACAAGGCGGTACAGCAAGAGCTGGATTACGTTAACCAGGAGATTGAGTCTATGGAGAGGAACCTGGTTGAGGCCAATAATAAGGTCCAACGATTGACAGTTCAACAAGAATCAAGTCAGAATGAAATTGCCTTCTTGCGAGAAGAGCAAGACGGCGATAAGATCAAAATAGGTGACCTGGAATCTGAACTGAGATTCGTCCAAAACAGCCTACAGAGCGAGAAGGACAAGACCAATGAGCTTGACAGACAACTCGCTGATGAAAGATATCAGCGTGAGGTGGTCGGCAGCAAAGAGAAGCAAGAAGTACAGCGCATTATAGACGATCTTAACCGCGAGTCCGCGGCATCGAAGGAAGAAATCCGCAAACTCAAGAAAAACCTTTCTTCTCGGGAAGTTGAGGCCACAATGTGGAAAGACCGCTTGATGGAGCTTGAGAGCAGTTTACGAGAAGCTCTTGGTGACCTTAGCGGCACACGTTCAAGCCTTCTCACATCAATTACAAAACTGCAAAAAGAACTTGAGTCTACTTCTCTCGAGCTGGAAAGCGTCCGCGCTAGTCTAGATGAAAAGGAGGCTCTTCTTCGAAATCGCGATGCACTCCTCGAGAGCCATGGCCTTGAGACCCAGAAATTGGCAGACCTTCTTGAACGTGAAAGGCAGGCTCGCCGAGCTGATAAGCATTCGTTTGAACAGTCCCTCAAGTCTCACCACCAGGCTTCCCGAACTATCGTGCAGAACAACTCTCGAATCACTGACCTTGAGGGCGCACGGAATCAAGACCGGAAACGGTTCAACCACCTTGAACAACAATACAAGGACCAGTTGAATGAGAGGAATTTGATGTTCCTTACCTTGTGGAAGCGATTATCTGCAATGTGCGGGCCTGACTGGTCACATTCTAACAGCCTTATCAACGGCAATCTCCCCAGTCAAGAGGTCATTGGAAACATGCTGTTTTGGCCCGGCTTTAGCAAGAACTTGCTTCTTGCAGTGAAGACAGTAGAAAATTCGATAAACGGGTTCAAGTCGCGAGTTAGAACTGTGGAACGGAACCTAATGAAGGAATACCAAACATTGGAGAACAGTATGAACACTCGGATCAAAAAACTGGATCGTTTGGAAGAGATCGTTCGGCAGATGCAAAGCAGCCCTAGACGATCCAACAATACTCCTCCAAATACGAACGCGGAATTGGCGAAACTCAAGGGAGAAAATAGACTACTCAAAGCTGAGCTCAATCTTCTACAGACTCACTCTCGGGCAAAAGTTGCTAGCGATAGCTCTGCACGAGGGCAACCATCGAGAATGGCGAGTTCAAGGTCTGTCGGGTCATCCCTTGCGAGATTCAGTACTGGATCAGAACAAGGGACTCCAGCCAACACTCGGTCTGGAAGAAGCAACAGTTCTGTCTCACGCGGTTCTTCAAATATTGCTCAACCATCTCCCTTTTCATCAAGCACCACACTGGCAAATAACCCAGGCGGTTCTGAGGTTTCTCCTCGCAACAATGCTTCTGGCCCTAGCCATGGGGGGTATCACTTATCTCCCAAGAGCGAGGCCACTCAGGATAGATGGATTCAACGCCTACGTGACCTGGAAAGACGGCTAAAGGCAGAGCGAGAGGCACGATTGTTGGACCGCTCCGGAGCGCGGGAGAGGCTAGCAGAACGTAACGCAGAGAACGAGAAACTCCGCGCTGCTCTGGAGAGAGAACGGATGAATCGAGCTGCCAGTTCTATGGGAGTGGACAGTGCGTGTGACGACTCTAGTCGAAACCCACGTACGCCAGAGAGAGCACGGCGCCACGACAACCATAGTCGAGATAGAGGCAGCCGAATCCAGGGGAGAGCTGATAGTAGGTTAAGTGGAACAGACGTGGTTGTAATTGACCACGGATACGACCCTGATTCTCGTGGGCATAGCGAGGGTCTAAGCACACGCTCAGGCAGTTATGACGGCGAAGGCGATGATGATGACGACGGTACGGGTACTGATGATGACGGTGGTTTATGCGTTGAAGTCGTGGTGTAATGATTATGCTATTTGGTATCCTCTTTTTGGGCGTTGATTGTTCTGGCTGGATTTCCAGTTAGTTATTGGATGTCTTTATTACATTTTCCTTATTGCCCCTTTATTTACACGACATGGTCTTATCTCTTGGTGCCTTGCTGCTAGCGTGTTGTTAATTGATAATTGATATCTTTCCTTGGGTATGCATGGTTAAACTAAACATTTTGATGCACTTTTCTTGTATATATTTCTAGTAGTTATTCTCAGCATTCAAGTGAGTAGATACACACCCATACTATTGAATAATAGGTGATTTCTATCTCAGTGATACCTTCAAGGAGAAATCAATAATTCCAACACCCTGATGAATGCTGCTTGTAGAGAGAATGTCCACATCATCACACACGAACTTCGCAGCATTGGTCTCATTCAATCCGCCACTGACTTCCACGAGGAAGCTACCGCGCGGTTTTCCCTTCGACTCCCACTCATCTTTCAGCTGCTTTGCCGCAGCCCGCACTCCGTCTGCAGTAAAGTTATCCAGCATGATAACGTCAGCACCTGCACTGATGGCAGCATTTGCCTCTTCAATGCTGCGACATTCTACTTCAATCTTGGTGGAGAAGCCAGCGGTTGCACGAGCAGCTTGGACTGCGGAGGGTATAGCTTTGGCAATGGTGCTTACATCCGCACTGGGAGTTTCACTTGGCCCCGTGTCTGCCTGGGCCTTGTTATGACACGCCCAGACGTGGTTGTCCTTTAACATGGTCATGGAGCTCAGATCATGACGGTGAGGATCAGCACCGCCAACGAGGATACCATATTTCTCAACGATACGGAATCCTGGAGTTGTTTTGCGGGTACCTGCCAATATACCGTTCCAGCCCTGGCCACGAAGGATAGCAAGGAGGGCTGCTGTCCTGTCGTAATTCGTTAGAATAGATCAGATGAAACATATACCGGCAAGATATAATCACTTTGTTGCAATTCCAGAGCATCTAGCTAGGATGTTCAAGGCCACTCGCTCACCAAGGAGTAGTTTTCTCATCGGCCCCCGAACAATGGCGCAGATGGTGACTGGTTCAATGCGGTCCCCTTCCTTGACATTCCAGTCAACACTAAGCATGGCATCAGCATTTTTCAGTAATATGCTTGGGAATGTACATCAAGTCTAAACAAGCAAAACGGGCAACATACGTGCACCCCAGCTGGGCAAATACTTCATTCACAAAGGGAACGCCAGCGACGATTCCCTAGCATACCGGACGGGTCAAAATTAGCCAAGCTCTTAACTCCAGTATCAATATAAAGTCCATAAAATAGAGTCAGGACAACAAATGAGAACGATAAGAATAGCATATGGCTGCCAATTACTTAAGATCATAGATCTATACCCGATGATCACTGTACGCATGGTACCGGCAAAGCAATACACAGGCTAGCATACCTTGCTTTTCCCCAGGAGCCTTGCCTCTCCATCAGCTTCACCAACGACGAAGCCTCCATAGTCAAAGCTGGGGCAGTCTTCCTCAAGCCACGTTGATATGATACGCTTATAGTTAAGGGGCAACAGGTGGCTTAGGTCTCCATGTGCCGCTGCCATGACTAACTGCTGCGGTGATATTCCTCGGCAATGCTGTTCTATAGATATGTACTCTGTCTATTTCCCGTTCCAGCGTACCTCCGCCAGAGGATCAACCAGAAATGCCAAAGCAAGTATTGGCCAAACAAATGTGACAGAAGATATGGAGATATCAAAATGTCGACTTTGCTAATTGTTCAACTTCGGCTTTTTTCGATGCCCACAGTTATATTCACGTGATATCGGAGCGGAGCGTAAGAAACTCCGATATGCCGATGTCATGTGATTTGCATAAAACCTTAAACAAAATGTTAAAAAAAAGAACATCGAGAGCAACGTCAACTTCGACATCAAACATCATCATGCATACGGAGTATGGAGATATCTCGCTTTGATATCCACTTACAAGGCGTGGTCTAGGAAAGCAGCATGGCAAGCCGCTTCGAGAGCCTTCCATGTCGTTATTGCTCCATAACTAGAGAATAGGCCTCAGGAATCAGCCCACTCACCACCATCATTGTACAAGTATGTACTTACTTAGTCTAGACATGGTTCCGTCCTGCTCTATGATTTTTATGATTTCTTAGAGCTCTAGTGGGCGGAGCTAACTCGGACCCGAGGACACGGCAAAGCGGCTACCGAAGTTTACTCGAATAGAAAAGTCAACGTCCCAGTACCTGAATGTTAACATTGTCTCGAAACGTCTTCGGGGGTTGATTGCACCTTGGGAGGATGAATAGCTATTCGGGGAACTTGGGTTTGAGGGTTTGTGGGCATGCTTAACGACCACATCTATAAGTTGGAGGGCCCACCACTGTTCAATGTACTTTGGCCCAAAACGCGCCAACCATTCGGAGGACATTAAATATATGTACATCTCATGCATATGTACGAAGTACTCCGTACACGAGAGAAACTCGAAGGGAGAAATAGGCTATTGCAAGGCAGAAAGCAACGAGGGATCGTCACCCCTCCACTAAGTCTGGGCTAACATCTTTCATTCTGCGCGGCTGAGAGTTGCATTTGCCCATGCACATTACAAAGCATTAGATGTGTGCATAATAACCCACAAAAGACTGGGGAGCTCCAGTGGTTAAAGAGAAGGAAGGCTGGGCAGCCATGTCAGGTGTTGATTCCTTAGAGAGGCATCGTTCTCGCCCTCAGCTGAATTTGGATGTCTTTCGTATTCGGGAATATGGCAAATCAAAGCTCCTATACGGCGGATACGATGCGAGTCATGGTTCCCTCGCCCATTCGGGCCGTGTCTAGGCATATTATCCTATCGGAGGAGTTATGCGTCCAAGACGGTGGTGGTTTGGAGTTATCATTTATGTCTGGGAATGCACCAGTACGAATGCCGAGGTGTTACCGGGGCAAAGGTATATGTGGTAAGGAACATGCACTCTGTATCGCGGTATTTGCAAAAACGAGTTTGACTGTAATTCAGTTACAACGGATACAGGAACGCATAAAAATGGCCTAATTGTGCACAGTTCGGCCGATGTGAGAAAACATCCACCTTCCGTGGCGGAGTTAACGAAGAGGCTCCAATCGGTGTTTAATTTCACCCGAGAAAACGGACGAGTTAATCTTATCTCGGGCAGGGATGTTGACATGCAAAAAGTAAAAGAAGAGAAAAAGAGGGAGTGGTTGGTGGGTGAAGCTTGATACGTTTAAAATCCAGCCGCCAACAGAAAGGAGGTACATCGTACATCAAGTATCAGCAAGCAGCATGCTATATGGGCAATTTTTGGAGGGGTAGTAAAAAGAATGGGAGAATGACAAAAGAGAGAGTGATGCAGACAGTGGCAACGGAATAACTTCTTTGGTGCTCGATAAGTAACTATGCCTGTCTACTGCTTCTTGGTTGAATAGATGCCTATGCCGTTCCCCTCAGAGTCCTGAAGATGCATGACATGACCGTGCTCTCCTTCCGGAATAACATCGCTGCACTTCCTCCCTCCGTTCGCGATGATTTTCTATATGCATATGTTAGAGCGCATATCCCTGGTGGACAAGGTAGATGTGGAAGGGAAGAAGCCTCTCCCCCCACGCTAAGGCACGAAGGGTATCTCCTGGTTCACTCACCTCCATCGTCTTCTCGAGGTCCTCTACATAGAGGTACAACTTGACGGTTTTCGGGCCGGTGGTGTGCTCTCCGGGCTTGATCTTGGAGATGTTACCACCCAGCCCCTTGAAGCCTTTCTCGGGGAAGGAGAACATCGCAACATCCTCTGTGCGTCCAGGGCCATCCTTGTGGAATTCCCAGTTGAACACGGTTGAGTAAAACTTCTCAGCTGTAGTTGCCAAACGCATCGTATAAGCACTCAGTCAGCCACCCGAACACGTCATGGGTAAGACTGGAAGTACATTCCATGCTCCGTCTGACAGCAGGACAGGCCATGGCCTTTAGGGGAGCATACCTCGAGCCAGATCAGTGGCGAATATCTCAACCCAGCAAGGGGTTCCTTCACTTGGGGGTGTCCAGGTGTCACACATGGCGGTTAGATGGGAGAATGAAAGGACTTGGGCAATTGTTCAAGGGATTTGTTGAGCTGGATAATTCTTGAGAATTGGAATCAGACAGCTCTCGAGGAGAAAACGAGGAGGTTTATATGCCTTTTCAGCTCCTCGTTCTCGAATGGCTTCCTCTCCATACTCTCCCAATGCCCTCCTCCTCTGTGCCGTCCACAGTCAAGCCATGAACCACACCCATCCCTGCTGCCAACCCAGGCAGCCCAGGCAACCAAGGCATCCCGAAGGCAATCCTGAAGCCCATCCCCAGGCCTCTCGTCGTCCAGGCCTATGATGTGTTCTCTTTCATCTCTTTCATCCCCAATGTTTTGGCCAATAACCGTAGAAATTATCACGTGATGACGCGTGTTGTTCGTGTTTCGCACAATTTAGCCGAATGCGGTTAAAATGGATTCGCGTCGCGTCTCAAATGAAGAAGAAACACGAAGTTTTGGCGTTTTCTGTCTTCTTGTCTGGAGGCGAAGAAGATGAAGTCTCATTTAGATGGAGTTTCTTTGCGAGATGAGTCACAATCACGGGCGGCGGAGGCAGATGCTGCTTGGACGTCGGAGAGACTCGAGGTCCGCTTGCTTTGGAAGCGGTTTGACATGAAACGAGACAAGGGGTTAGGTAGGTAGGCGGTTGGAGCAGAAAAAGGGACAGGGATTGCAGGAGACGGACGCTGCATGACTGTGAACAGAAAAGGCCTTCCTTTGTATCAGCAGGTCAAATATCGAAGGTCTCTTCTCATGCTCATCAGGATGCTCGCCGCACAGGAGTCGCAGATGTGAAAAATGGAAATCGGCTCCCTGGATATGCGAGGACAGTACTGTTTCTTGCCGCAGGTCTTCGTCCGCACAAAGCTGGTGTGGCCGCAGGTGAACTGGTTGTAGAGCTGACGGCACATCTTTCGAGTTGGTTCCCGCCTGCTGCGGCGTAAGTGTCTCGGCTGGAGGTGAAGGCAGGCTGTGTGTGTCTTTGATGAAGAAGTGAAAAGGGTGGAACGGAATGGAATGCTGAGAAACGAAGCTATGAGGTGCTCAAGTGAGATAGCTGCCCCCTACCTCGCAATATATACATACAGCACTCAAGCAGCATTCACTGAAGACTTTGAGAGTGACAGACAGAGAGCAAGGAGGAGGACAATGAGCGGGTTTGTTCATTGACAGGGAGAAAGCAGGTAGCAACTTTGATCTATTGTCTAGTGCCTTCGGCAGCACAGAGAGACTTCTTATATTCCATTGTGGAAAAAAAGGCCGTTATACAGGAAAAACGAAGACTCAAAGGGTGCAGTCGATAGAGCCGGCAGCAAAACGGAGCCTACCACCGCAGCGTTTCAATAGACAATCAATCTTCATTGACGAGGCCACAAAGACCCGAGAGTAAAACATGCATCTCCAGCAACACAGAGAAGGCTGTTAACAGAAAAGACACCCGAGAACAAATAGACCGCTCCCTGAAACGGATATCCTATACTGGTAAATCCCCCCTTTTTTTGTATTTTCCCTTCATTTTTTCTCTCTCAACCTTTCCAGCATCGATACACCGTTCTCGCACCCCATATCTGACCCCTTTTTAGCAAACACATCTTCTGCCATTCTGGGACATTGGGTGCATTTATATATCGACTGGGCTCAATGCAGAATCCCGATCTAGGGCCGCGCGCTGGATACCTGCCTACAGCCGGAACATTGATGTGTTGGCCGGTGTAGAACTGGAAGGCCGGCTCAGTGCTGAGGACTTCTAGGTGCATCTTTGACTCTTGATGTTTGAAAGAGGCCAGGAGCATGAGATCTCTAGGTCTGGTGTCTAGTGGAATGTCCCCGGGATTGGTGTCGACGATAAAGCAATTGTCAAAGTCGGGACTATTCTCGTCCATCATAAAGGGCTCTGTGACTCTCAGCGGACCGTAAGACTCAATGGTCCCCAGTGGGATGCCCGTCGAATCCGTCGGGAGATACTTATCAGTCGACAGCACTGCTTCTGTATCCCTGATGGTCGGATCGTCACCCAAGTTGAAATAGCTAGTTACAGCGCGTCAGTAAACATCGGCTAGCCAGTAGAAATGGCAGTGAAAATGACCGACCTGTGGTTTGTAACTCCCACAACCGTCTCATCACACTCTGAACCCGTAAATTCGACCTCATACTCAATCTCCAGCTCCGTTTTCCCAGCCTCCTTCCCTGCAATGTACCAGACTCGCAGCTCAACTGTACCGGGATATCCCTCTTCCCCATGCCTGCTCGTGTACCTAAACTCCACAGATTCGCGCCCCTTTCTGTGCACCGGCTTAGGACCATCGAAAAGTCGAGAATTCCAGCCTTCCTTGCCTCCATGCAGAGAGTTGGGTCCTTCTTTTGTGGTAATAACGTATGTCTTATCGTTCAAATTCTTTACAACGCTGTCCTTCAGCCGGTTGGTCGTGCGGCCGATGGTGCTGCCAAAGTACGGCGCATTGTACTTCCTGTACGCCTCTTCATCAGGCAGAGCTAAGACGATATTCCTTCCAGCGACCCGAAACTCCTGGATGAGAGCTCCAAGCGGGAGAAAGGCGAAGTATGTGTCCGGCTGTTTGCCCATGGCTGATCGTTCGGATGTCGATACAACAACACTGGTTAATTAGTTATGAAAACTGCCCTTAATCAACCTATCAGCCTGTCGGGGCTCCTTCAAGGTCTCTCTCCCTCTTCTTCGCCGAAGCGAATCTATCCTCATCGTTGTCCTGCATCGTCATGTCATAAGAGATGCATTAACACGGTGGTTATAGCACATCAAGCCACTGACGTCACCGGAGGCAACCAGCAAACCAGGTAGTTATCGCGATGCTGGTGGTTACAAGTAGCTCTCCCGTCAGCCTATCTGTGTGTTTTGTACATCTGTGTCTGTGTGCCAGCTTATCCTGCATAGACTGATTTCTGTGCCGTGTCGTGAGCGCCATACAACTCCGAGCAAGCTGGCCGAGCAGCTGGGCTAATAACCAACAGGTAAACAATATCCCAAACGGGCAGACGGGGAACATCCTGGCCCGTCTTCACATATTCGAAAACGCTGTCTCTGCGCTCAGACAAAGCGGATGCCACTTATCCCTGTCCTGACGTGCATCGACATACGTCCAGATATCAATTCCTACTGGTTACGGATGCATGCATGAGTTGCTTGTCTGGTAACTCTCACATTTATAGAAATACAAAAAAAGGGGGAATTGCCAGCAAGCAGTCCAAGGAAGCCAACAGCACATGGCAGTGGAGGCTTGAGACGGCAGAGACCCACGATCGGACATGAATTGACCAGAAAGTTGGCCACATCTCGTTGGGAGTTTGCCCGGCGCAATAAAATGTGAGTTGTGAGCCTCCGGATGCGCGAAGGGTGCCCGATGGTTACGTGCATTAACTGCATAAAGTCCAAGGCTGGCCCGATGGGGAAACTCGCCCCGCAGAAGATGCGGGAGTTCAAGATAGGTTATTAGCACGAGAATGACAGAGAAATGGCTGTTGTCTGGTCTTGTACAACGACTCGATAATTATGCCCCTGTTGGCTGCGGCTGAGGACAGGTCAGGGCCAGGTTTCCTGGCAGACGGAAGCCTGGGGCGAATAGTTATGGAGGAATGGATTGAGCTTTCACACTTTCGATGAACAAGAGAAAACCGCAGCATATCAAAACCCTGTAACTAGCCTTCCGTAATCAGATGGCTAATTACTTCAATCCGAGCTGATAGATGACATTCAAGCCTTTTTTTCGAGATCAACCTCCCAGGAACTCCGAAGGTCAATTACAAGACCTTTGGGGTCGACCTTGCTTTTCTTTTTTTAATCATTCTGAAATCTATTTTTGCTTTTTCCCTTGTCAACTCTTGTCAACTCAAATATCGGATGCGTAGTTTTGAACTTTCAAGTGCCTGAGCCAGGAGAGAAAAAAGGGGTGAACAGAGAAATCAGGAATGTCGTCGATCATTATAAAAATCTAGAATAATTGGATGAGGGGGGAGAACCTGGTAACTATGCAGCCTGTGCCACCAGCATCTGCTAAACGCGAATATACAACCAAGGCAAAAATACTAACGCCAGCAAATGCATCGCAGAAGAAAACCATTCATGCCCTATCCTTTCCCTCAAAACGAAATATGAAAGACATGAAAAGAGAGAAAATGGGTCGTAAATCCCAGGGGAATATCGAAATAGAAATAAAGTAAATTGATAGGCCGTAACAGTAGGGTTCATCAGGTTTAGACAAGGGCTGGGCTGGTTAAGTCTGGAAACATGCTACTTTAAAACCAGTTAGTTTGAATATCATCATCCAGGATAGAGAGATGTGGACATACTGAGATTGAATTGAATCCATATTGTCAAATGTCAGAAGAGCATCCGCAAACCCCAACTGGAGACTCTGCGGCGAAACAATGCCCTCACTCCGTGCAGCAGCCAAGTCAGAAAAGAGCGCAGCTGAGTTGAACGCAGTCTGCTGGTCCTGTTGCTGAGCATAATATAGCTGCTGTAGGGACGCAGCCAGTTGACTATGGGCCTGGTTAGGCTCTGACGCAGAGAGTGTTTGGGGGAAGCTGTCCATGACAAAGGAGGTGTCTTCTAGCACCGGGCTCGAAAGACTAGACGGGGAGGAAGAGTCGGGAGTGTGAGAAAGAGGAGAAGTCCCATCAGAAGTCGAATCCATAGATTCTCTGCCCAGATCTTCTTCCTCTACAAGATCCATTTTCTCCGATTGATCTAACAGGTCCATCACGTCTGTCTCTTCGGCCAGCTCCATTTGTCTGGTATGCTGGATAGGTTGAGCTCGTTCTGGGCTCTTGCGTAACAGCTGAGTTTGCATCGTTTCTAAATCTTCTTCGAATCTTGGCAACTTTGCATTTGCCGGCCCATCTCCTAGATTCAGCGCCCCCAGTCGCTCCAGTATGTCGTGTGTCAAGGGATGTCCATTATGAGAGTTATTTAATGGCTTGCCAGGCCACTTATTCCCCTTGACCAACATCTTATACATCTCCTGGATACCGAAAACCAGCGACGTTTGCTGATGCTCCAGTAATTCAACATATCTATAGTGCAATAACTTAGTATATAAACTAATAGCTAGTGATGGAGGAAGAGTATTTACCCTTTGGGGTAGGTCTTGTCGTGTGTCCTCTTGCGCTCTCCATACACACAGACAACGTTATCAGCGCTACACCGGGCGCAGGGCAAATCTCCATCACACTATAGAATTGAAAAGGGGGCCAATGGTTAGCATGTGACCTGATCAGGCAAGATTGGTATGTTTTTGCTTCATCTCACTTCATACCTTTGATTTCTTCAGCCGACATCTGTCGCAGGCCTTGCCAACTCTTTTGCGAATGCCACTGCCATCGTTTGAGTCTGACAGATTTGAGATCCTTGGCGAAGAGGACGAAGACATGGCTCGCGAGCTAGACATGTCACTTGCGGCAACAACTTCGCGTATTGCGCTTGTATTCCAAGGCTCAGGGGGGTATTAAATGGACAAGGAAAAGCCCAGGTAGGACCTGTTCCTTGAGTCGTTTTTGAGTTCAAGCTCACGTTGATACTTTAACTTGACGTGTGGGTATCTCTGGAGGCTTCGTTGCTTGTATCGTGAGTAAGACGAATCAATAATATGGATATTGAATCCTTTTTTGCTTGCGCTTTCAGTGGTGATGCCTCATGCGCTTGAAGCAATGATGTGGGAAACGTGAGCAATAAGTGCCTTTAAGAAGCTGGAGACTTGCGTAAGCGGCCAGGCTTGGTAGAGCTGTATGTATAGTAGCTTAACGAGCTTGATTGAACAGTCTTCCTAATGACAGGAATGCCACATATAGGAGTATAAGTGTAACCAAATGAATCAGAGCAATAGCGATGACTTTTGTAGATGGTATCCAGGTGGCGTTGGTACTTTTTTCGCTTTCTTTTATTCTTCTCTTAGCTCTGAGATTGAAATCGACTCGAAGTATAGAGGGAGGTAGAGAGAGAGAAGGTTGTCGAAGAAAGAAAGGGGAAGTGAATCTTTTAATATCAGTCTTCTTCAAATAGGGGAGAAGAAGGAAGAAATATAAAGAGAAAGGGCTGTGATGTTTAACTTTATACGACATTGCTCATCTCAGGGAACCCTGAAAGTTAGTTCGGCCGGCGATACATGTAGTACATCGCGGTACTCCAACACGACGCCGATTCATCATAAGCAACTCATACTTAGTCAAGTCCACGGAGTCGGTCTCCGTACCAAACTGGCTGGGGTGGGTGTGTGGGCTGGAGGAATGGAGGCTGGAAGACAGCTTCCATTACCCCCAAAGTGTCTTTTTTGCGAAATCCCATGCAAAAATGAGCGAGAAGCCAACATGAGGTAAAAAAAAGTAAAACTAAAAATAAGACAGTTCCATGGTCGAGCAATTGCGAGTATATGCAATAATGTCGCTTTACTCGCCGAGCCGTTGATGTCATTTCCAGAACTATTGTTCTTGTTTATCCTTGGCTGAAGGGCCTCGGGCTGGTTATGTTCCTGGATCCTAGGACAATAGCAGGCCAGTTCTGTTTGTTGGCAAGTATTCGTTTGCATTACTCCGTACTTACAATGACATTGACGTACATACTTCAGTTAAAGGATGCGTATACCTGTGCGTTTGCAAGGGATGGATGCATTTCGGAGCAAACTTCGTTTTCATGTCTAGACTTATGACCATTACTCGTGTCGATGGAACCCAGGAATATAAAAAGGCTCCATATTGCCGTGCGAGTAATGTATGCGCCCATGTTAGTCTTTTTTTAATGTAACTGCCGTCATTCCGGTTTCTTTTCTCATATTGCTGGCTCTCATGCACTGATTCTTCTCGTCGTCCGCGGAAGGAGGAACATTGGGGCCGAGTCGGGCCCGGAGTGAAGCAAGGAGATCATCGACCTGCCCCCTTAGCGCAGCTTTATTTTGCAAACTGACTAATCCAAGTGTATGTACTGATTCCAAATTGGTGAAGACTTAAGTGCCGTATCCGAGACGTATCAGTGTAAGTCAGTACCGGACTTTACGACCATCCATCCCGGGCGAACCTGATCTTGCTTTTTTATTGCTCTTTATGCTTGTTTGGTGAATCGCAGCGCTTTGCCGCATGGTTGAGAAATTCGTCCGCCCATAACTTGGCTCCTTCAGCGTGCCCCTTTGCCTTTTTTATTTTTATTTTTCGTTTTGACCCTTCTGTTAGCCTGTTTTGCATTTTTTTGAGCTAGTTAGGGCGCAGACGCAGCATGTTCGCGAGGCCAAGAGCCCGATTTCTCCCCTCTGCTGGCGGGTAGGCAGCAAGATTCCGTTCATTCGTGGACGAGGGCAGCGGTTCTCTCCCAGTTGTTGACGTGCAATCGTGTGGGCTGTGGGATTTAAGTACGTCCCCTGTTGTTAGAGCTGCTCATCCACCATAAATACGATTGTGTACCTGTATGAGGAAACGGTTGCGATTTTTGTGGCTGAATACTAGAACAAGCGCGTGAAGCGGAGGATGCCGCCGTAAATCCGTCCTCCGTCTCTCCGTCCATCGGTATTAAGCTGCGGACGGGATTTGCATAACGATATACATACCCTCGTCTAACGATCTCCTGATCAAGCTAAAAAAGGGGAGTATGGAGTACATATGTAGGCTCTCGTTATGGCCCTTCCCCTGTACCTAACCTGGCCACAAGACCAGCAACTTCGGTCAACGGCTTCAACCCGCGTTAGGCTCGTACCCCACGCTGTCTGCCCGTAGGGACGGCATCACCATTGCCGACTTGTTAGATACTGGCCTGAATTCCCTCAGTCAAATATAGCAATGCCTGTCGACGGGCCGCGACCTAAACACGTAAGTAAGTATACACCTGGGTAAGCGAGCTGAGAAGCGGCTGCGATTCGTCATCTCGTGGCTGGCTATACAGGGCAGAAGACGGCCCTGTCGTCGTCGCGTCGTCGGAAACCAGCCTCTACCCTCTATCCTTCTCTTTCTCCTCTTTCTTCTCTTTCCAGCGTCTCTTCTGCTGTCGATGAAGTCGATGTCTTGAAGTCAAAGACTTGAAGTTGATATGTTCGTCAAAGCTCGGGCCAGAGCTATATCACGTGGTTACGGAGTAATTACACGTATATCAAATACGCGACATAACCACTAAACCCGAGTAAAGTAACTGTAATAACGGAAAGTAGTTTTCATATCACGTGATGCATAATTTGAACACAAAAGACGAAGACGAAGAAGAAGATGATGATTGATGATGAAGACGACGACGACGACAACAACGAGGATGATTAGCGAGGATGAGACGAAGAGAGAGAGCCTGGCGAAAGAAAAGTAGATGATGCGGCAGCCTGCCATTGAGCAGAATGCCTTCCCCGCACGGCCTGCCTTTATTCTCCGCACGTACGTCACACTTGCTTTTAACCGGGGTGCCAGCTACTTAGCTCTGAACGCGGCTCCAGCGGCACTGATCTATATAACAATGAGGTATATCAAAAGTTGAAATCAGGACCTGCCTGGGTTGAACGGAGATTTGCCTCATTATCCCTGGTCGGGCGAGACGTCAAGAGAAGAGGGCTAAGAAGCATAGATATAAGCGCACATGATAAAATTTAAACCGCAAGCTAACATTGCCTATTAGGGGCCCCTGGACTCTGCATATTGTTTTGAGGCGAGCTCCCCGCGTTCGGTTTGGGGTCATCAGTCGGTGAAGGTGATATGTTATGCATATTACGGGCCCTCCGTGAAAAAAAAGGGGGGTGGTGTGATGTGATGCTGGCACCCTTGCTCGGCGCTGGTAGCGAGACGTTTAAGCAAAGAGCAAGCAGCGGGCGGGCATGATCAAAGCTTCTAGTTGAGCCTAAAAGACCGGGGAATTTGGGTTGAGAAACCCCAAATTTACTCTGTTGCCAGGCCGAATCTTCCGTGCCTGGGGTTCCTAGGTGAGGGTGCCCATTCAGAATGCATGCATACCATGAAAACACAAATAGGGGAGCTGCAAGTGACCTGCCATGGGATGGGGGCATTAGACTGCGTGCGCGGACATCTACCACCGGGCCGCAGGATCCGCGGGGGTGCTTCCGAGGAGAATAAAAGCGCTCGTTCCGATTTAATATCTTCCGGCTATGATTCCTCATCCTGTTAGACGGGATTGCTATATCAATCTCTTGGTCTCCCTCTCATTTAGAGCGGGTTCCTTTAGAGAATGGATCGCGGCATGGAATGTATAGAAGACGACAGTGGGGTGCATCTTGTTTACTTTGCTTTTACGGTGATCCTGGCACAGTTAAAGGGCCGAATCTCCAATCCCTCACTCGGCCAGCTTGAAGAAACGGCGGCTCAACCCGATGTCCGGCAGCTGTATGGAGTATAGGAGGAACCCTTGCATCATATTTCCCTTCCTTCAAACATCCCCGAATTTGGGGGTGTTCCTGTTCCGTTGCACCAAACTTACTGTCAGGGCATACAGCTACGGTCAAGGTATTGACAAAGTAGATGTGAACAGAGCAAACGTATAAGATTGGAACTCAATGATAAATCGTACATATATATGTAGATACGTGGACATAATCGTTAGACAAGGGTAACAGGCAAGATACATATTGAAACATGCATCCAACAAGCTAATAAGCCAAACCAAAAAAAAAAAAAGGGGGAAACAAATAACAAAAACATCCACCCCAAAAGCAAGGTGAAATTAAGCGCAGTGGTGCAGACCTCTATGTATATATAGATATATATCAAATCGAGTAGAATATGGTAGAGACGGGCAAGAAAGTGAGGTTCCGATCCAGCCGTGGGGAGTATATAGCAAAAGAGCAAAAGAGCAAAAAAAAAAAAAAGAAATGCGGAAGGAGGTCGCGTGGTGAAAGTGAAAGGGTATTAGTGTAGGGATTGGTTGGTAGTGGCCAAGTGACGGCGGAACAAAGGGGACGTTCAGGGGTAACGAAGGGTTAGGTGATGGATATATATAAGTGTATGTCTATAAATGGAGGATAATATGGGGGTTGGAGGATGGTATGGGGGTAGGTGCGTTCTAGCTGCGGCTGCAAGAGCATAGTATCTTCCACCATGGTATAGAGATGCGCTCTGCAGGCTTGAACCCCCCTACAAGGCCAGCGGTTGGCTCTGGCTGTTGATGCCTGAGGTTTGTGTTAGAATAGGCCGGCTCACCCATGTCCGGGTCGGGTTTCTTGCTCGATCGTGTAGACAGGGTTCCTGGACGAGACTGCCCCTGGCTGTGACCCTGGTCCTCCCACTGTTTGAGGTTGGGGATCGACTGGTCGGACCTGGGACGTTTCGAGTTTGCTGCGTTAGCTCGTCTGGTCAGGGCCTTTTGGACAGTGAACCAGAGGCTCTGCCGTTGGGAGCGTGCGTCAGAGCTGATGCTGCGTCCCGTCAGGTCCTGTCTCTCCTCTGTGGTGAGAGGCGCTGTCTGGCTGAGAGCTATGGGCTCCGTGGTCCGCCTGCAGGCGGCGGAGAAGAATCGAGATGCAGAGTTCAGTTGCTCTGCCTCTCTGAATGCACGGAGCTGGGCCATCTGCTGCTCGCGGTGTTTTCTGCGGGCTTCCACCACCCGCCGTACAATCACTAGTTATCAAGCCGTTAGCACATATTCATATTGTTTATGGTGATAGTAGAAGAAGAACGTACAGGCGAAGGTCTCCTCGATATTGACCATCTCCCACGCACTGGTCTCCATGAAGCCGCATCCTCTGCTCCTGGCCCATTCGAGGCCCTGTCTGGAGCTGATGACCCGGGCATCCTTGAGATCGCACTTGTTTCCAGCAATGATCTTGACGGGGGGTGGCATGCCTATCTGGGGCAGCTCGCCCGGTTCCTGGCCGGGATAGTCTCGATAGAACTGCTTGAGCAGACGGATGTTCTGTTCCTCTCTGTTCTCCGTCTCCATGTCAATCATCTCCATGAAGTGGCCCAGCGTCTCGAGCGTGGGCTCGTTCGTGATATCGTAGACGAGCAGAAAGGCATCGGAGTTGAGGTTCGACGCAGCCCAGAGGCCGCGATATTCCTCCTGGCCGGCAGTGTCTGTGAGAGAGAGGAAGTACGGCAGCCCGTCGACCGTCCGAGTCACCGAGTAGGAGTCTTCTGTATAATCCCAGTCATGTTAGGTTCTTCTTCTTCTTGTTCTTCTTCTCCGTCTTCATCTCGATGTCTCTTGGTCTCTCGCCTGCGGGGGATTCGTACCGATTGTTGGATCGTACCTACGACCGCGACAGTTAGCCCTTCGATCTCTTCACTCTAGATATCACATCGTCTCTCTGTATTCTCTTTTTCTCTACTTACTCGTGAGTCCACTGGCTTCGGACCAGCCGCAGCGTTATCGACGACTTGCCTGGTTCCCGTCGGTTCAGTCAGTATCTGCATCCTTCGCTATATCCAGGCCCTGCTAATAACAACAACATCACAGCAACATCACCAACGACCGCGCAAAGAGACCGAGACGTACCGCATCCTCCATCACCGCAGATAGTAATGGAAACCGTCTCCGCCATGAGCTTGCGGACAGCCTTTGAGCAGGCCTGCGCCGGCAAACACACCGCGAAGACGATTCCGCCGTCGTTCTCGTATCGACCCCGGTGGGCTTCCTCGAGTCGCAGGTCCCACGGTCCGCCGTCTACAGGCCGCGCTCTAAGTCAACTAATATAGCGAATAACGGTTATATATCTCTGCCAACGACGCTGGATAGTGCGGATATGGCGACTGTATCAGCAGGCTTTGTCCGCGTCCGCCGGCGAGTGTGCTAGTTAACGAGAAAAGAGACCTATCGCCTGCTGCTCTTTTTTTCCTGGCCTGCGTGTTTCAGAGAGTCGCCATCGTCTGTCTGCTTTCGCCTGAGAAGCCCCCCTTGGAACCCACAGGGTGTTCGCCTGTCGCCTACTTATATATTATATATATACTTATACTGAGGCTGCTGGCCACTGTCTATCTACCGTCGAGAAGAAGAAGAAGAAGACCAAAAGCGGAGGAAGACGACGAAGAAGCAAAGTCGAGATGATATCACGGCTCCCCAGCTGCTTGGTCGCTGTCTATGCCCTTTGTAGTATCGCGCAAGCCTCGAGTTGGCTGCGATGTGCAACTTGAGAGTCGAGAAGCTGGATGGAACAGCTTGCTTTTTCTCTCTTCTCTTCTCTTCTCTTCTCTTCTGCTTCCTGGTTCTTGATGCAGACGCTGATGCTCTATTTCTATGGCTGTTATATTCATTATTCATGTACATACTGGTGTGACGCTGGAAAAAGAAGGAAAAAAAGGGGGAAGAGGAGGAGGAAACATGCAGGGGGAGGGAATATATTGAATCGTGTGCAAGATGATATATATCAGACAGGCTTGGATATATATGATATGGCGACGGATAGAGACATCCTCTACCCCGTACACATCGTCGTCATCTTAGATCCTAGATTTCCTGCATGTCATTGTCTGGGTCCTTTGCAGGGAACATGGATTGTGCTGGTAACCAGGTAACTAGCAGCTCAGGAGGTCGATCCCGGAGTACAGCTGCTGTCTCCCCAGGCAACATCATACACCGCGCGCCAGAGCTTGTTCATATCGAACAGCATTGCCTGTGTCATCCAGAGCCTGCAGTCCGCTGGCTCGTTGACAAACTGCCGCGGTGTCCTCGAACGGTCGTCTGGCCGGACAGCGTTGCGGAAGTTGACTCGGCCGCCTGAACCGGCCCCCCTGGTGCGAGCCAGCACGTACTCGCCGGTGCGGTACATCTCGCCGATAGACGTCTTTGCTAGGCGCTCTCGTTCCTGGACCGTGGAATACCCAGTATACACCAACGAGGCGACCTGGTACATCTGCAGGTAGGTCAATACCTGTGAGCCCTTGACGCCGCCGACTGCCTGGACGGGCCCGTCGCGCGGCCGCCCGCCTGTCACTACCGATTTCACACCGTTGCGCTTCAGCAGGTCCGCGAATATCGCACAGGTTGAGCTGCAGGTACCGTCGGTCAGCAGGATCATCTCCTCTGGCTTGAAGACGGGAGGCGGTAGGTTGATTCGGTTCAGGTAGCCGGCCACCACTGTGTCTCCCGATGCGAAAGCCAGGTCCTCACTCTTCAGGTTCCAGGTCGCCAGCTGCGTGAAGTTGAAGCCACCGACTTGCTCTGGGCCGAAGAAGTCGTTCCAGCCCGTCAAGACATCTCCCTTGGTGTCGATATACACGCCAATGTCGAAATCGGATCCTCGCATAGACAGGCCCATGGTGCTGTTGCGCTGCTTGGGATCGGCCAGCAGCGCAGTCACTTTGCTGCCAATGAAGTTAAGCTGCTCGGTAGCCCGCAGGTTAGATGCATCATTGGGCTCTGTGTTGGGAAACAACTATAGAGCCATACCATGTTAGTCCGTAGATCTCATGTACTAAGGCAGCTTAAGACGGAGAATTACCTGTTTGAAGACATCATATCCCAGAAAGACGGCACCGCCTCCGTTGGCAGTCACATCGATGATGAGCTTCGACTTGCCCTCTTTCTTGCAGGCAGCCAGAAACCTGGTGATAACAGAACTGAACTCCTGGAAGTGCAGGTCACCGGACTTGTCTGACCCGGAAAAGGAGTTTATAGACAGAACGGCAGTGTCTTTTCGGTCGCCATCAAGGAAATACCCAGCTACATCACCTAATTTAAACTCCTCCACGGCCTTTGGGAAGAGTGCTCTCACAGCCTCACCAGATACGCCTCGTTTGTGGCGATGGACTTCCTTCCGGCCCACGGCCATGATCACATCACGTTTCTTCTTCTCCTGCTGCTGCTCAAGCTTCCCATTGCAAAACGTATCGTAAAAAGTATCGCCGCTCACTACGCCGGTGAACGACTGCTGGAAAGTAGCGTAATTTGTGAACTCCCTCGTGGTGCCGTTTTCAAAGGTAATCGTCGTGTTTGGGCCGGTGTATGCACCCCCAATGCCAAAGAAGGCACCAGACGAGCCCTGCTCGTACCTTGGAATGGAGTGGAAGAGGGAGTTGTACAATGCATCTGGATCTTGGTAACCGTCGTGGTATGACCAGGCCTGCAGCCACTGGACGGCATCCTGGCCGTCGATGGACTTGATCGCAGATGCTTTCCACTTTACTTTTTCTGTTGCAGTTGTATTCAAGTCGCCTACATATGTCCATCAGCAACTAACCTTCACACAGGTGAAAAAGCAGACATGCAGTACATACTGAAAATGTATATCTCTGGGTGTTTTTTCCCATCCGGGGAGACGGAGACGAGAGATCCGATCTCGTCTCTTAGGAAGGTAAACGTGCTGATAGCGTCGAGGCTGAGATCGAAATGTCCATCGTGCGCAGACGCGGCCAGCCTGGTCAAATCACTCTGGAACTCATACTCGTTGGCATACTTGTTACCTGTTGCTTTATCTCTTATCTCCCTTAACCCGCCTTCAAGGTCAACTCCAGGCAGTAGATATCCCTTTGGCGGGTCTGGGAGATAATCGATCGTGCTCTGCCATGAGAAAAAGGAATCAAGACCGTCAATAAGTTTGACAGCGTCTTCCTTTTTGAACGGGACAGATGTTAGACAGGAGTAAGCAAGCTCAGCAGTAACGATGAATGTGCGAGCTATGGATGTTTAGCAGAGAGATCCAGCCTGATATCTATCATATGACATGTAACTAACCGTCTGGATTCCGCTTCAACTGCTCCTTTTGGGCAAGAGACACCTTTTCACAGGGCTCCTGGCGCTGATATGCCTTTGACAATGTCAAACTCGGCCTGGCAAGTGTGTGTGGTATAGATGAAAACGCCGTTAATGCAATGATACCGTTATGTAGCCAACCCATAACTGGATATTGAAGGAAGAAGAAGAAGAAGAATCGGAGTTGCACAGTGTACTTTTCGTACACAGAAATGAGAAAAGGAATATAATATGGCAAAATGGTGTATAAACGTCTTGTGGGAGGGTGATGTTGTAGATTCGACTGCGTCTCTGCAGAGTAGATGACACAGCGCAACAATAGATCAAATACACAAAACAAATGAAGATAAAGAGAAACAAGAAGAAGAAAACTGCAGCTCTTCTTCACGAAATAGAGGAATATCTATTTCTATGCCCGCGGAGGGCCATGACCCAGCCCAGTTGAGGCTGGCTGCCGGCGCCTGGTGAAATCGCCCCCTGTCCGGCGGGTAGCTCAGATCCTTCGTCAAAGGCCAGCAATTGGAGGCCAGCAGGCCAATCCAGGCCGTTTGCTGACCCTGAACATGTCAGTAATAACAGTCCCAGTATTAGTGACGGCCGCTGTGTGTTGCATTAGACGTATCGCGACGGCCGCTGACATGTCCACTATTGGCCCTGCGCCCTCGCTGCCGACGGATGTGAATCCACAACGCTCTCAGCCAGTTGCAGGGCGAAGTCAAATACTAAGCAGTCAGTTGCAGCCTTCCCTTGTTTGTTGGTGATATGTACGCAGGCGTCCTTCGTGCCGGGCGGTGCTCCGGCTGTTGGCTCGTTATATTGGTTGACCAGCAGCATCAGTATCACCGTCGCCTGTGTATCCTGTCTATTTTTAGGAGACAGCGCCCTCATGCTTCTGCTGCGCTGACGAGGCCTCATCTCGCTCATCTTCTTATCCGCTTTCTTGTCATCTTCTTTGCTTTCTTCTTCTCGTTGTCTTCGTTTTTAACTCCTTGACGGCGCTTAAATGGCGATATCAGGTGACTTCACCCGTTCCAGCGATATCAAGCTCGCTGATTCTGATTATTATTATTATCATCATCATTATTACTGTTATTGTTATTGAGAATCCCTCATACGCCTTTCTTGAAGGATCCCTAGAGTTGGAGCATAAAAAACTTCCGTTGGTGCAAGCAGGACAAGGTAGTTAACTGGCGGGTTATTTAGTTAGTTACCCCTGTCCTTAGTGAACGGACGGCAACTATATGAAACGCAGCCGTCATCCAGTAAGCCAGCGAGCTTACTACCTGACCATTATTCAGGCCTGTACATACATATATAGAGTTACGTCACTGACATGCCGCCGGAGCAGTTGGATATGGTATCTGTCGTTTCTATTCTCTTCTTCTGGTGAATCCTTGGATGCCTGGACGGTGTCATATAATATCGACTGCTTAACTATAGGCTAGAGGCATCCATAGACAGCACCCACAGTCCATGTAATGACGTAGCTAACTACTTATATCCTGTTCTTCTATGCATAATCAACAGCTTGCTGACCCCATATTTCCCCGTCGCCGTCTGTCTGTTCTGGCCCCTGGTTACCCCTGCAAAGACTACGTTTCATCCTCCAGCAACAGCAACTAAGACTGCCACTTGATACTCCGTACACAGTGAACCACCTGCTCAGTGAGGATATCTACAGCTACCCTGACTATCCAGACCCTGTCTCCCTCAAGCAAAAGAGACCAGCATCGATGTAAATCGACAAACCAACAGATAATCCATGTCACCCACGGCCTCCGATTGGTCGTGCCGCGAAAACGTTAAATCCGCCCTGGGGTTTTTGTTCCTTTTCGTCGCTTTTTCGACGTCGACAAGAAAAATAACCAGCGAAAGATCGACAGCGAGGGACAAAACGTCGCCAGAGACATCGACCTGACAAGCTCGCTTATTCCTGACAGGCCTCCAGACGCCCTCCAGTGGGGAGTAAACTACTATGCAAGATGGCGATGGCTATGAACCCAGCGGCCGCGCGTGTGCGTGAGAACCAGCGCCGTTCCCGCGCGCGACGCAAGGAATACATCCAGGAGCTCGAAACCCGCCTCCAGCAATACGAGCGCCATGGAGTCGGCGTCACCATCGAAGTGCAGACGGCGGCCAGGAAGGTCTCCAGGCAGAATGCCATGCTGAGGTCACTGCTTCACTCCTGCGGCGTGACGGACGCCAGGATTGATGAGTGTCTCGCCTACGCTGAAGAGAACAACTGCAGCCCCAGCATCGTCTTCGACACGCTGCCCCTCGCGGCCGCGGCTGCACCAAAACCACGACGAGCGCCAAAACCAAAACCAGCACCGGAACCGCAACCATCACTGCCACGGGTGCTGGCACCGGCGCCGGCGCCGGCAACAGTGGCACCAGCAGTCTCCCCGGCGGTGGAACAGCGTACGGCTGCGCCCATGCTCGCACGCCGTCCACCGTCAGCCTGTTGCCGCCCACAGCAAGGATCCCAGGGATGTCCAGCCCAGGTGGCCGAGGGTGTCCCTAATTTTGTACCACCACAGACCTGGTCCGCTAGTTCGCTTGATAGTACCCATTCCCCAATGGAAGCTGCTATTCCATCATCGAACTGTGCATCCGCGCCTGACTTGGCCTCACAGTGGATTGATGACATGACCCCCTGCGAAGAGGCCGCGAAGATAATCGCGAGCATGCGGGTAGAGCAAGACGAGCAAGCTGTGCGAGCTGAATTGGGATGTGGGCTAAACGCAACATGCATGGTCGACAACATGACCATCTTCCAGGCGATGGACCGATGGTGATATCCCAGGAACCACCCCCCAAAAAATAAACAATAGAACAAAAAAAACCAATAACGAGACCGACACTGGAATGGAATGGAATGGAAACCTTTTTCTTATTATTTCATATCGCATATCCCCCTTTTCGGAGTATAATACCCTTGGACCATTTACCGTCTATAATCGAGTGAAACGAACGACACGGAAACTTTTTTTTTTTCTAAAAATCACGATTCATTATGGCAGTCTAATTTTGAACTTATTATCAATTTACCCGCCTTTTCGTTAATCATCCCTTTTCGGTTTTCTGATAGAAGAATCCTCTATGGCCTTGGAAGTGGGAGATCCGGGAACCGGTTCATGACTTGATCGCGTATATCTTGAAGGAACCTATACATATATATGGCTTGTCAATAACTAGTCTGTGGAGCCTCCTCCCACCGGAAAAAAAAAAGAAAGGAACGTCACCACTTACCCGCCCATTCGTTAAAATCAACATTTGCAACTGCGGCCGCCGACTCGGCTGAGACTACTCCTCCGCTGCAGCAGCCTGGCTTACTCTTCGTGCTGCAGCCGCCAGCAGCCGGACCGTCGTCTTTGGCGGTTGTATAAACGTTCAAGTCCGACTTGGTGTCGACAATAAGGATATCTACACACATTAGTTTTGACGGATATATCATTTCATTCGATCCCTCAGGACATACCGTTGAATCCAGCGCTGCGGAAGTACTTCTCGTAGTCCGCAACCTGGCTGGCACCGGCAATGCAACCAACATAGAGAGCCACGCTCTTACGGATCTCGGCTGATAGTGGCTTTTTGGCAAGGATATCGCTGATGGCAACCCGGCCGCCAGGCTTGAGGAGGCGGAACATCTCGTTGAAAACAAGCTGCTTCTCTGATTCGGGGACAAGGTTCACCACACAGTTGCTGATGATACAGTTGGCAATGGAGTCAGGCAGGTTGATGGCTGTGATCTGCGAGTCGACAAAGGAGACGTTCTCCGCCTTTGCGTTTTCCTTGTTCTTGTTTGCCCTCTCGAGCATGTCCTGTTTCAATAAAAAAAACAAGTCAGCTGCTGCATGGCATCGCCAAAAAACGAACTGCACGATCGTGTGTTCCTCTTGCCTTGTTCATGTCTACTCCGATGACCTTGCCGGTAGAGCCCACAGCCTTCGCAGCTAAGAATACATCGAAGCCGGCACCCGAGCCTAGATCAATCACGCATTCTCCCTGCCCCAGTTACGAGTCAGCCATTACAATGAAACAAAACCACAGAAGCCACCACAAACCAACCTCCTTCAGGTTCGCAAGTGCCAATGGGTTTCCGCAGCTCAGTCCGAGATTGGCGTTTGCCGGCGTGTTTGCCAGCTCTTCCTCGCTGTACCCAAACGCTGCCGCCACCTTTCGGCTATAGGCATCATCGTCACTAGTTCTAGCGGCTAAACCATAGTGCTTCTGAACATCGTTGTAAACCTGTTGGTTCTCCATTGTGGCTTTTTGGCAAAATTGCTTGCGGGAAGGTGTCAATCAATCAATTATTCTGGCTTGGGAGTAAAGTAGCGGATATATTCACCTCACTTCCTCTCTGTTTATATATCCAACACCTCGCGTAGCGGCCAAGGACGGGTATGTCACAACTATCTTCTGATTGGCAGGGCGCAAAGCAAACAACACATACGAGCTTGGACCCTCAAACGGCTTTCATATACACTTCCATCGTTACAGGCGCTTCAGAGTAGTAATACAACAGTGAATTATAATATCTGCGTCTAGATTTAAGGCCCAAAAGCAAAGAGCCATATATACTCCCGTTCGCCTCGTATAAAGTAGTGTGCATAAATACACGGCCAGATTCTCAGAAATTGCGGTATGGCCTCCTCTTGGAGTATTATGCCTGCTGCTCCCTCCCTGATGAAAATGCACCAGTCATAATAAGTAGCATATGTTCCCAAAAAAAGATGGTTCGTCGTAACATATAAAAGGGAAAAATCGGAGTGAAAAATATCGTTTTCTTACAAGGTTTCGGCGTTGGGGATGGGGTCCGCTGCCATCCACGGCGTTAAATGTCGCTCTCCCCAGATAACTATCGCCCGTTGGCCTGGTTCAAGTGGATCTTGAATAGTTATCCGGCCGAGTCTGACCCCCCTCCACATACACGAACGATACAGGTGAAGCCAAATTCAGCTTGAAGGTGCTTATCGAGCTGCCACACTCAGCCTTCGTTCGTCGGGTGGAGGCTTAAGGTTGAAGGGTGTTTTATGCCCAGTTCCTTCGTCTGGGTGTGATGTCTCAGCACCAGGGTAGGGTGAGGGTGCCTTGACTGATTTTAGGATAGAATTTCCCATTTCTTCGCCTTGGAAATTTTGTCTGTCTACTGCGTTTTTAAAGATAGTGATCTCAACCCGTCAGTAGCAGGGAGTTCCACTGGACGAGACGATACTGTCCTGTACCGAGCAGCAGGCCGAGATGGCAGCTGAGTGGCATTTTGGCAGGTATCGCCAGAGCGGTCAGTGAATGAGGAATAAGTGCCGCCACCGATGTCACCGGGAAGCTCTGTAACATCCTGGTGATGGGATAGGGTGGTATCTGTCATTGTTGACTCTCCGTGCTGTACAGCATAAATTAGTATGGCTGAAACATAGCTGAAAATTAGGCGAGGGTGAGCGTGTATACGTACAGTAAAGGGAATGGGTATTCTGCGAATGTAGCCCATGCTTTTGTTTACATCCGCCCAGGCAAGAACTATTGATTCGTCGCCCTGGAGCACCATGAACGACATCGCGAAAAAGCTACACCTGGCAGTAAGCTCCTTGGTAGTAGCCAGTCTCCGGGCTTCCATCACACTCGAGTTGAGGTTAGTCACAAGGTAGAGGTGGCCTTTGTCGTTCACCATGCCAAGCTGTTTTCCAGTTAAGGAGAAAGCACCGCATTGTACTCGTGTGCCGAGACGACGTCCATGACCGGAACCATCGGCCTTGATTTCGACACGATGTCCGGTCTTAGGAGACAACAATAACGGTGTGCCTGATTGTGTCCATGTCGTAATACATACCAAGTCATCCTCTCCGCCTACACCAGGCCTATAGAGAACTGAAGATATTCCTCCATCTTCCGACTCATGCAAGGGAATGGGATAATGGCAGTTGGAGAGCTCTTGGAAAGTGAACGTCGATGCTCGGCGGAGGAAGGTTTGGATTACGCCTTTCGCATTTCTCGTGCTTGCTATGAGTGTCTCCCCATCAGGCGAAAAGGAAAGCGTGTCAACAGACGGACAATCCTCACATTCGCTATGGTATCGGCCATGAAGACGGAACTCTCGCTGGGGCTCAAACATGGCGGTTTTGAAGAACCGAACAGTAGCATTCTTAAATCCAACAACGACGTATGACTCTCTTGGGCAAATAGCGATGCTCTTACACCACTGGGACGAAGGCATTTGATACTCTAGAGGTGCGGCGGTGGGGAAAGAAAGGTTGATGATTCGAAGCTATGTGTTCAATATAAGTGGTTGCCAATAGGATAAGAATGAAAAGATTAAGCCAACAGCATACACATACCGTGAGTTTTTGGTCCTTGCTTCCAACTATATACGCCAAATATCTTTTCGTAACAGCAGCAAGGAGACATGAGCCTTCAGTGGGAATGATTCTAGTCACGGCTGCAGGAGTCACACCAACGTCCCATACTTGAATCGTAGATGGCATCCAGAATAGAGCATTGGTGCTGTTCTGTGAAAGGCTGACATTCATAAGTTTTGACACCCTCCCTTTCACTTGAGACTTTGCAGCGCTAGTCAGGTTCTTCAGGCAGATTTCCTCTGGTCGCTGATTTTCCATTGATCCAGATGAATGAGAACTTGCATCTCCTGAAGCTGCAGACCGATGTTCTCTTTTAGATTTATTGAATATCCTTGCTATCCTGCCTCCATGCAGCGACCTAATCGAAGTACCAGCACGAGGCGGTGAGACACTATGTTGGCTAGCTGTACGATGGATATCCGCTATCTTGACTGATTGCTTCCGACGCGTTGCAGAACCATTATGGGCGGAATGGTCTGATGTATTGGTAAGATGTTGTTGAGAAAGTTCAGCATCAGGGCTGACCACTTCGGTTATTGACCCGAGCTCTTGAGTATGGGTATCTTCAGAAGCGTATCTGGTATCTGGTGACACTGGAGATATGCTAGTAGCGGTGGTTGGGGATCTCCCTATGGTGGTCGGGCTGGGGCTGGGATTAGGACTTTGCGGAGGCCTAAGAGATGATGCTGGATCGGAGAGTAGCTATATGTATTATCAGTATCATGATTAAAACGTAAGGTATATAAACCAATGTCACTAACTTTGGGTGGAAAAAGTCGATATGGAGGAGAGAAGTGTCGTAGCTCGCTAGGAGGATCAGCATTATACTCGACGTCATTGAGGAGTTCCCATGTTTCTCTTATAAGCGGTATCTCCCGCGCAAGTGTTACTATTTGTTTGCATTGGACACATTTCGTGTTTGACGGTAATCCAATTTCAGACCCTTCAGCTGGCTTCTGTTGATAATATTAACATCTGTTGTATGTTGTCAGAAAGGGATATGCACATATGCGTACCGGAAATTCAAGTTGCTCTAGAACTCGTAACTGGGTATTTCCAGCAAGATGGCATGACTTGCAGTTTAGTGCATATACTCGTGGTACTCGTGGCACCACGTCTTCAGACGTCTCATTTGGGTCGTCGAGGAGAGTTATGCGCCTATTGACCTCCGCAATTGCATGCATCAGCGGTCCATCGCTTGACCGATGGATAATTTGTCGGTTTGAAAGTGATGAACAGAATGACTTGATGGCTTCTACGCCATTCACATCACCAAGAAGCCCGGATAGATTTCGGAATCCATTGATCGGGGGTGTATCTGGTAAAATGGTTCGGAATGCTTCACTAAACATGGACAGGAGTTCTAGTTTTGGGTAATTGTTGGGCATGCGTATTTTATCAAGACAGGCTAGGATCACATCTCTGGTTTTGGCACATGACGCTGGGAGGTCAAAGTCTTCGGTCTCCTCAGAAACCGCATACTGAATAGATGCACCAACAACGAATTGGGTGATATCTCTCAGGGCCAAAAACTGGGTCAGCCAGTTATTAGAAGGGCTCTCCTGCTCAACAATAGTAGAGACATATCGATCTGAAAAGCAGTCATGTAGAGGGTACTTTGCTAGGTAATCAGTAAACATATTTTAACGATGTATGATGGCATAGAAGAGAGATAGTAGCCAGGGAATATACGGAAAGACGGGTCATACCAAATCAAAAGCTAAGTTGGGGATTTCCTTCATCAACTTTCTGGGGAGAGGAAGCGATGTTGGGTCCATACGCAACGCATTAGCCATATCTCGACAGATAAGTAGGAGACATGGTCTCGGCCCAGGGTAACGGTCATGTAGCTTGTCGAGAAGCCTATGGATTCGAGCAAATCGGTGTTTCTGGTCCTTTACATCGGGTAGGCTCTTGGGATGGAATGACAGCACCCGCAACGCCGTCGAGACGAGGTCGGCAAGCTGCACATCCAGCTGCTGATGAACATTGAACAAGTTCTCATGTCCCTCAATGACAACCTGCAATATGAATTCGACAGACCGCGCGATGGTCTCCCAATTGGCCAGGAACCCCACGTATTCTTCAGCCAGTTCCCTTTCCGATGGCAGTGATAGGCGTTGGATATAGAGGACGGCGTTGAGTTGGGATAGCAGGGTGCCGACAAGTTGCTGGAATCTCTCACGGTTGCTATCAGCATATATCTTATCCAGCGAGAACCTGCCCAGCAGTTCCAAAATTATATCATCGGCATCGCTTCGAAGGCTCAGGAGTCGGAAGACGTTCGCAAGGTGGAGGAACTGGGTAGATGCAGTTGCAGGAGCCATGGCATCGGCCCGGGTTGGGGGTGTAAGTCGTACGCCCGTTGCGGGCGTGATCGATTAAAAGTATTCAGATGCCTAGGTCTTCGAAATGTGTATGAGCCGCCTCTCTTCTTCCACCTGGTAACCGTTCTTAGTTCTCACACAATCACCACTTCTTTGCTGACCCGTATCTGGTTTTCTAGATTGGTCTTGTAAATGGCCTTCGGTTCCAAGCTCTTCACTCCAGGTGTGCGGTGCACTCAGGGACAACGTATGTGCTGGTCCGTGCCCCTGGCCAGCGAAATGGACGATCCGCCTCAGCGACAAGATAGCTCGAAGATGCCTTTTCTATGATGAGATACACGGCCTTTCATAGCGGTAGGCTCGACGGGATAACGAGGGTAGGAGATCCGAAGCAGCTCTGGGGTGGTCTCAACAGACCATCGGAAGGGCGATAGTCAGTGCAGCACGATCGCAGATAGTTAGATAGAGATTCGGCGGCAACGATAACGGGCGGCGACAGTGTCGGCGATGATGAAGGATAATTAAATATCGAATTTCAAAACGGGTCAACGAATGAACGATCTCTGCGTCAAGTGGGACATTCAAGAGTTTTAACTCAGGCGGCTGCCCAGCCACGATCCAGAAATGCAGCCGTGCTTATATTTTGTCAGTCTGGCACTGATGTCTGGAGTATATCTGGAGCAATCAGTGTATAGTATCAATCAATACTCTGTTCGGCTCAGCCCCTGGTCCAGGTGTCCGTTTCTGCTGACATGCATCTATCTGCTTTTCTGAGGCGATATTTGTTTCTGCCTGCTGCTTGGACGTCATTCAGCTCCGTTGTTACTCCGTACATGAAATGTATTTGCTCATGTGGCTTTTCGCGGCCAGGAGTCGGGTTGTTTTGGGAGATTAGAATATCGCTACTTGTACCTCCGTACTTTAGGGTACTTGTATGGAGTAAATGGTCAATATGTTCCCTCTCCCCGGCGATAACTGGAGCAGATACTCCTTAACTTCTCCGCAATTGGCGTGAAGGGGCTCACTTCTCCATAACAAATAGTTGCCCTTATATGTACAGAGTAGAATCTACATATTCAAGACCGTTGGCCACTAGGCCGAATTATAATGGGAGGAATTCGAATAGCTGCGGCTATGTCCTCTGGGAGGAGAGGGACGTCCAATGGGCGGTTTGAAATACAATAAACTCCCGGAATGGCTTGTCGTTGTAATTTTTTCTTTTCTCCTTTTAATTTCTCTAGCTCAGCGGAAGGCTGAGAATATGGGGAAATAAATGCTGGAATTGATGGGCCGTGGAAGTCACTTAGTGCAGTTACTATGACACAGGATCTGCTCTGGCGCGCTCAAAGAGGGTTGGGACTTGAACTCCCCTGGTCGTTATCGGCTTCTCCTGTTCAGCTTCTTTTCTCATTCTTTGCGGCTTCTGGAGGCGTTTTTTCCCGATAAACGATGCAAGCAAGAGCTCGGCAGACCCAACCCATTCATTTGTCAGGCGTCCTCCATTGCAAAGAAAAGAAAAAATACACTCCGTGCATGTTTCAATCCGGACTGTTCGTTGAAGAGGATGATTTCTCTCTTTTCTTCTTCGTTTTCCGTTCTGCCTGGAGATGGCTGCTGCTGGGTCCCTCTCCCCAGATCCTTGTGGCTGGGATCAGATCAAGGACACGACAAGCGAGGGACTGTTGGTTAAAAAGCGGAGCAGGCGGAGTCGAGCACACCAGCAGCGATAAGATTTGCTGCTCCATGAGCTAGTTTGCTGGTCCTCCTATTTTGTCGAATAAAAACGCATGGCCCAGTTGGGGGAGGTCACAAGAAGCCAAGCAGTAGAGGACAGGACTTGATCATGACTGAACCTGATGGGCAGGCCTGAGGCTGGGCAACTGGGAGTCGACGATGATGATGGTGAGATAGTTGGCTGACTGCTGCAAGGCAGCGTACATCTTCGAGGAGGATGCGCATTCCCCTGAGTTATACTTACGTACTGGCATGCGTCCTCTACACTTGGTACGCTTTGCGGTGGGAGGATCCGCTTGCGCAAGATGTTTCTGCCTCTCCCCCAGAAATGGCCGGGGCCCTCCCAGCCAGGGTTTGCCTCTGCCATCTCATATGCTCAGTCTGGGGGGAAGGAGAGCGAGAGGACAAATGGCAGCCAGCGAGGTGGGGGGCGGGTACGGAAGCTGGGCTGTAAATCCACATGAACAGACTGCCTAGAGCCTGACTGGACCTGTGAGAAGCACAAAACCCCCTTTTTCTTTTTCCATGGTCTAGAGGCCTGCCGAGAAGAGTGGGATTATCAATCAAATTTTTATGATAGAGAGACACTGCGGCAAAGGGTACTTAACGAACGAACAGGAAGAGAAGAGATAACTGGAAAGCCAAGGCCATCATCATTTTATCCTTTGGCGGCAAGAAGGTAAGCATCTTCATCTCCTGAAGGTCCTTTTGAAAACGATCAACCGTCATGGGCATTGCTAGAATGGTCAGCGATCAGGGGGTCTTTCGTGACTCTTTTCCCCTTCCCCCTTTATGCATCGGCTTCCAGCGGTAATTTGGCATTTGCGCTGATGCCCAAGCTGGGAATGTTCTCCGGTTGTCTTTTTGGCCATGATCGGACAAAGAATCGAGTTCTGGGGAGTGTATCATCAGCCTTCTGCCCTCTTCTTTCTTATATACCAACCTGGTGCTTCTTTTCTCCTATGTATTTAAAGTGAACTGTCCCCACAGCCTTCTCGCTCCATTGTGGGCAAAAGAGATGTCTGCTAAAACACCGCCGAAAGCGACGAAAGCGAGGGAATGTTCCCAGGAGGTGTGGAGAGCAGCCTCGTATATATACGTAGATCCTGGGATGTTATAGTTTTAACTCCCTTAATCCCATCGCCGAAGTTCATGTTTTTTTGAACAGACGCTCCTGCTGGCTGGCCCCTATGATACGCTCCGTACAGACTGCGGATCGTACCTCGTCACGACAACATCTGAGGGTAAGACAAGAAGCAAGCCCTCGAGTAACGAGTGGTAACTTTGTTAAGGCCGCCGTTTCTCCAGTCTTATGCTGAATTTATCCGTGCCGTTTCTCCAAATCCTTCACACATTGTTTTCCTCTGTCACCCACGTTTAGTTGCGATTAAACGTGGGAATGAACAGTTAAGTTCGGACTTCAAGTCAAGCGCAGAGACAGATTATTAACACCATTTCTTTTTTGTCGAAAACAAAAAATGACATATAATAAATGCCCATCCTTGCCGAGGGCCTTGAGTGAGTGTTTGCTTCTCGAAGCAAAATCATAACTACCACGCGGCGATACCGAGTTTCTTGTGCAGGTTTGCCTCACACGCTGACTGCAGTCCACAACAACACTGTCTGTTTTATCTGGACGGCTCACCAGAGTATTTACGAAAGATCATCGCTCCGATGGTTCATGGTTCGCCGAGATTTCTGGGATTTTCCTCCGTCCAAAAGATTGAGGCTGAGCGGGAAGACGGACCATCGAACACGCCCATGGAATGCCGATAAAGTAACGATGACTTTCTCTTTTCGACCGACTGATTGGTGTTGTTGTTCGAGATCAGAAAACGTGCATCGGTACCATCATCCACAGTTGACCACGTCTTTATACCACACCGCATAACTGCCCGGAGGCTCCAGCTCCCTTCATCACCCCCTGATCAGACAGGAAGCCGTACTCCGTACTCCGTAGTTCTCCATGGTCACGAAACCTCTTCTTGTACGCTCTGACGCATCACGAGCGAGGCGAGGGAACAAACTTCGCTGGTATGTGTTGTAAAGCCGTAGATTGACTCCTGGAGTAGCCCTGCTAGCGGGTTTTAGTCCAGCACCGAGGCTTGATGGACAAGGACCAGCATTCATCTTCATCCACTTCCCGAGTAGTACCGCGCCACCAAGGCCCTCCTCAGGGTTTACGCTTTTCCCTTTTGCTTCTTGAGGCATGCTTCTTTTCTTTTTCAGAGACCAGGAGGGTAATTCCCTGCAGTGCCCACGTCCTGGTACCGCAGCATCTTAGTGTGTCTTGATACGAGACGTGCAAGCCGATGATCAGCCTTCTACCACCATCCACCCGAAGTCTATCAGTAATTGCAGGCCGCGCTCTGAATCAGTGGCTTTTATTCTTCAAGCATCCCCGATTCCTTCATATTGCAACTTTGGGTAAACCGAGCCGTTGCCTGTTGATCTACCCGCGGGGTTGAAACTGCAATCAGGGCCAAATATTATTATTATTATTCCTGCGATTAAGCGACAAGACAACTGACGGGATGCAAGAAATGTCGATATCAGCCGCTGTCCGAAGTTTCCGCACCCTTAACCTCTAATTAGGCGTGGACAGCCTCGTTTTTCTCATTTCTGAACGAATATTCATCATTCCTTGACGCATAATAGCACCAAAAGACTCCTCCGTTGTCGAGTCACGTCGTTTTCAGGGGAGGATATCAATCTCGGCCTCAGTCTCCACAATTTAAAGACGTCTTTGGCCCTTCAAACGATTGCTGGTTGACCGTGAAGGGCTGCTACCTGGGGCTGGAGGAGGATTGTATATGGACAAAAGCCCAATCTAGCCACGGCAGCGTTGAACAATATGGATCCTGCTGAGAAGCCTCCAAACTCGCTCCCGAGCTATCATGAATACCACACAGAGCCCACGATGATGAGTACAGACTATCCGCCCACAGAACGAACAATGGTGGAAGCAATGGTGGAGGAGCCAACTTTTGACACAGAGCAGCGTGCTCGTAAGGGATTCAGTGTCTGGTATTTAAGAACCCACTATCTTTGATCTTTGACGAAGCAGTGGCCGTGGATAGGAGTAACGGCTGCGGTTGTTGATGATGAGAACGTCGTCGTTGTTTGTTGTTCGTTGTTTGATGTTGGACGATGGACGTTGTTGGCTGACACGAAGTTCTCTCTTTGTATAGGCGAGTGCTGGGCGAGCGACAGATCAACGTAAGTCTTCAACCTCCTGTTTACCCAGTTACCAAGTTATCACAGTCCATCCTCATTTACGGACGTGTTTTATAATATATGTGAATGGAGCATTGAGATGGCTAACATGTGTTCTACCTATAGATGATCGCATTCTCAGGGTAGGTCGACCTACGATGTCTATCTATTAGCCGTTAATCCTGTTTATTGTACTGACATGCAACCTTTCCTGCTGTTAGAACAATAGGGAATGGTAAGTCGGCTCTATTAGACATGGTTTATATGTTAGCCATCTCGTTCTAACTCTGGTTATAGGTCTCTTTCTTGGGAGTGGAAGATCTTTAGCCGGTGCTGGTCCCGGCGGTGCTGTGCTTTGCTACATCCTTATGGCCACTGTTATATCATCAGTCATTTCATGTCTAGGTGAGATGACAGCTCTCATGCCTGTCAATGCACCGGTCATGGAGTTTCCCCGTCGTTTCGTTGATCGAGGAGTTGGGTTTGCCGTTGGCTGGATATACTGGTTAGACTCCTCTCCCTATGGCTCTTGCTTATCATCTCACCCTTGAAAGATCATCCACTGACATATCTTTGTTTCCAGGTTTGCATACGCTGTGCTTGCGGCAGATCAACTTGTTGCAGTGACAAATTCCGTAAAATTCAGATATGATGACGGGAAAACTCTCCTAGAATGGGAAACCGGCATAAAGGTGCACCCTGCCGTGTGGATATCGCTATTCTTATTCCTCGTTACGATGATAAATATGCTTCCTGTGAAGGTTCGGGCAACCATGGTATTTCCTATTTAAATCGTGATGGTGTAACTGACAGATTTTGACAGTATTATGGTGAGCTGGAATATTTATTCGGCAGTATAAAACTCATCTTCATTACAATGATCATCGTGCTGATGGTTGTGCTGGATACCATGCAGCGTTCGTCAAAACAAATATCTACCATGCTTATGCGGTCTCTTTCCTAACGTTTTGTTATAGCTCGATCAAACGCATACTACAAAGACCCTGTTGGGACGAAATACTGGGACCAGCCGTTTTCATTTATCTGCCGAGATTACAAGGTGCGAGGAGATGACAACACTGTCCAGATGGAAATTAAAGGAACCATGGGCTCGTTCCTAGGGATGTGGTGAGTCCTAACTCTACGACTATGTTCAGGGAATATGCGATTTCTAACCCCCCTATTAGGACTACCAGCATTAATGTGATATTCTCATACGTGGGAATGGATATCGTTGCTGCTACGGCCGCAGAAAGCAAGTCTCTCGCAGACTCAGAAAGCATGAAGATGGCAGCCCGAAAGATCAACCTCCGTGTCATTACGCTCTATACCCTCGCCATGCTCACAGCCTCCTTCCTGGTTCCACGAAACCATCCTTTTTTGAACGGAAAGGCAGAGTCGGTCGGCAGTTCATCGCTCTTCCTCATTGCCGTCGTCGAGGCCGGTCTCCCAGCTCTTGCCCACTTTTTCAACGCCATGTATGTGTTCTCGGCATTTACTTGCGCCATAAACTCGATGTATGTGGCATCGAGAGTCCTACATACGTTGGCCCTACGAGAGCAAACTGGCCCAAGATGGCTTACCCGAAGGCTACAAGAATGCCATTTGGGTGTACCCCTAAGAACCGTTTTCGCAACAGCCGGTTTGATGATGATTGCATATATGGGACCTACTGGAGGTCCTGGCCAGGTCAGTACTTCCTTAAGCCTAACCTTTATGCTTCGCTTGATGGTCATGTGCTGATAATCTAAAATTATAGAGACTCGGAGAGCTTGCAACTAATTGCACTGTGTCATGTCTGATTGTGTATACTGCAATCTGCGGGACGTATCTATGCTTTTATAGAACGTAAGTTATTTCCGCTCCATTAACCTCGAAATCCCTAAACATCCAGCTAAATTACATATCTCAGGCTCGATGAAGCAAAAACTCTTGGGAATACTTCTCAGGCGCAGTCCGGCTGCTACGAGCGAGACCATCCGCGCTACCCATACAAATCACACGGCCAATGGCTCAAAGGTGCATATGGGTTGTTTTCATGCATTATCCTTATCATCTTCAACGGTGTAGGAGCCTTCTTAGAGACTCCTTTCAACATCAGGCAATTTCTTGCCGCATACATCGGAGTACCCGTGTTCTTCCTTTTGATAATCGGTTACAAGGTCAAGAAGCACGGGTTCCACATCTCAAGATGGGGCCCCGAGCGTTCGAATGATCTCCAAAATACTGTCCAGGTAACAAGCAAAACGCGAAAGGGGCGATTGGAATTCCCAGATGATGGCTTTACTGCTGAGAACGGTAAAACATTCTTGAGATGGATATGGACTTGGATGAAATAAACCACTGGCCTCTCGCAAACTTGCAGCGCGGGACGGCTCAAGTGATATCAAACAAATACTCATTCTTTTCTTTTTACATGGTCGGCGTTTAACTTGAGCGGGAGTTTTGGATACGGCTGGGCAAATATACCATTCACAACGGAAAAGGGAGGCTGTATACTAATCGATTTTTTTCGCCTCGCTGCGGAGATTTCTGCAAATTTGCGATACATGATGAGCATTGCATGCAGAAACTGACTGAGATGCATGATGCATTTTGTACATAGTTCGTCTTACATCTATACCTGGATACCATATATAGCAATCAACCAAGTCATAGGTCAATTGGTAGATATCGGGTCCTGTGCAGATCGATTATACTTGCGTGAGATGCACCTCGTTCACAGGGCTAACATGCTTATTGACTACCAGCCATCAGCAATTCCCTATAAACGAGGAACTAGTCAGATCTTCTGGCTTGCTTCGTACTTATGCATGAGGCTGATCTAAATATACACGATCCCCACGTTATATAGTTAGTGGATGCACATCGTGTTTATATCACGATGAATTATGCATATTCCCTGCAGCCCAATTATCGGGAAAAGCCGTCGAATATACAATATAACTACATGTGGACAAGACCCTTTTGTTTAGCGCTGCATATGCATATGCTATGCAATATATATGGAGGCAGTGCATTTTATATTATTAGCTAAACTAGAAATCTATATTAAAATCATAGGATGCGATGAAATGACAACAAGAATGGAGATATAAAATATAAATATAACCCACAATACTAACAGGCGAAGAGAATATAAAATTAGAAAAGTATTTATTAAACAAGCGATAGATGACCGTGGCTCCGGATGCTCCAAGCGGAAAAGAAAAGAAACTGATGAAACAATTATAAACGACAGACAGAAGCGAGTTTGTGGGTATTGAAGGAATATGCAGAAATGACTGCAGGAACATATGCTTAGAGAATATATATATACTGCAAGAGTGCTCTTGTTCAATTACTATATCGTTGTTAGATGCTAAGTTATAATGCACTGTGGAGAGAAGGACTTACTAGATTTCAAGGGGTGAAATTTGGTCGAGTGTGTATAGCCAGTTGCCTCCTTGTTCTTCGCGTTCAAGCCTGTGGACCAGGAAAATTGTCAGTAAAGTGTATAACATCACTTAAGGTTATATGAATATGTCAGCTTACCATTCATACGGCCAAGTAACAAGGTGGCCTTGCACCAAGCCAAGCAATTCGGCTGCTTCGTGCATATCCATGATATCATCTACCGCGTGGAACTCTTTTCTTGAGCTACGGGTAGTTGCTCTCCGCCTTCGTCGCTGGGACATGCCAATGCTTGGGGCCGGGGCTTCAGAATGTGAAGATCGAGGTAGCTCAAGATTCCTCTCCGGAGCAACAGGAGTGTGAGAGTATTCCGCGTGACGGCTGGAATTGGACGATCTTGCATCGGCATTGTTGGCGATATGAGAAGGAGTATCAGGGTGTGGAATGGACTTGTCAACATGGAGCAGCTCCTGCTGTTGCCGTTCAAGTTGTGCTTGGTTAGCCTCTACTGCCCACTGATGCAAATTTGCATGCAATTCCTTGTCTTTTTCAGAAGAATGATGAGCTGCAAATTTCTCCTTCACCTCCTCAAGAGCATTCCCAAGCTCAGTTCCCAGCTTTCCGCCATTTGATGAGTTGTTATTTGTGCCCGAGGGGCCATTACGAGGACAAGATTGGTTTCCGGCTGATGCATTACAATGGTTTTGCATGTCAGCAAACCTTTCCGCATAGGCTGTATATTCCTTGTAATCCTTCCAGGTCTTGACTTCGCTATCTGGCATGCAGCGGAAGACGCTCCGAAAGAGCTTGGTGTTATTTTCCGCAATGGCCTGCCAGGTGTCCAGGTAAAATGAGTCGAGGAGTGGATCTTTCATACAATCCTTGTCTAGAATGGGTCGCTTCGGTTCATCCAAAGGGAAATGTGAGGTATTCTTCGGCTGCGTGGCGTCAAGCGAGAAGTGCTGTATATGATCATCGGTGGCGTTGGCTGCAGCAGGTCGATTTTGTCCTGTCATTCGGGGGCTAGACATAGAGGCACTTCTTGGGTGGGTCTCTGGCGTACCTGGTGCAGTTTGTTGTTTGGCATCAGCAGTCGAGCCTGCTACACCAGAAACGTTGTCGCATGGCGCTGTGGACGGGGCAGAGTTATTCTTGGTCCTACCTGTGACCAAAACCTCGACACTGTTCTTGTGGAAAGTATCACGACCAGTAGTGCCAACAATCTCTTCATTACGTTTCATCTGATCCACTCCATGGCCCTCCAGGTCCTTTCGGTGGTCCTCATTCCTTGTCACTCTAGCATCTGCGGTAAGCTTTCTGTTCGATTTGAGATTTGGGTTGCCTGCCTGCTCCCAGTCGACATCATGATTGAAGCTATGCATTTCTTCAAATCTTGCCAGAAACTCTTCTTGAACTTTCTGCTTTTTCTCTAAATCATCTTTTTCGGGTTGATTTTCTCCGTCAGTGGGTATGTTTTCAGCTTGAATTGTAACCTCAGGCTGGTTTCCAAACGTCCTATCTATACTCGCGTTTTCAGCAGGGGCAGAAGTATACTCTTCGACAATCTCGTCAACATCGAAGCCTAGATGTTCTCTCATCAGGCGCATTCGAAGGGTATGCGGGAAACGTCCAACCAAGTACGGTTTTCCATTCATATGGGACTCAATTAAGTCCGTATCCCGAACAACAGCAGCACACTCCGAATCTCTTGAGCCAAGCATGGAACGTTCATTGATGTTCGCAGACCCAATGATAGCAACTCGGTCATCAACAACCATACATTTCGCGTGTATGTATAATTGTTCCGTGACAAGACTTTTCTTTGGTCCAATTCTTCCCCAGGATCTTAAACTGAAGAATTGAATATAATCTTCGGGCTCGATGCCACGAGCACGCAGGCGACCAAAAATGGAGGATTCTCCGCGACAAATGCTCCTATATTGGCATTGCATGATTAATCTCACACTAGTTCCGCCCTCGGTGTCTACAGTGTTCTGGAAACCAGGCATAAGGGGTATTAGAATGACCGCACGCCACGCTTCTTCGTTGTTAGCGGCGCGAATGATTCTCTCAACCAATGCATCGCCAATATGATTTTCGATTTTCTTTCCCTCAATTTCACAGCTACTGATGAAAAACTGGTTTTCGATGTAGACGAAATGATCTGATTTTTCAATCATTTTGACGTAGGCATTCATGATGCTGCATTCAACAACATCTGGAGTGCCAGTGGACCACATGCTGCTTGAACGGACAATTTGGATCTCACAAGTTCCATCTAGGCCTAGAGTTTCAAGGTCCACTGGGTTGAAGTCCGGTGGAGGTAGGAGGAATGGAGTTGGCCGCGTGGGTTTACGCTGGCGAAGAATGTAGTTCCATCTTTGAACAAAGTGTCGGGTAAGATCTCTAGCAGGCTGCCCTACAACATGCATTGATATATCATGCCACGCCATACGTGGAACAACTTCACGATCATACATCTCTTCATACGGCTTATCCAAATCATAGAAATCAAGGACTCTCGGGTTTGAGTAATCCTTACCCGGCCACAGTTGACAATGATCTGCATCTTTGGGAGAGTCCGTCATTTCAAACCCAGTAAGTTTATCATCTGTAATGAGATGTTGCGGCGTATCCCATCGACCAAAGCAAAGGTCAATCCCGCCAACAAATGCCAATGTATGATCCACAATGCAAATTTTCTCGTGATGAGCCCAAAAGAATGTATTCTGCCTGAACTGGTTTGGTGAACGCTGGACAAAGACGTTCGGATGTAGATCAAGTAGCGAGAATTTCGAATACTCTGAATCGATGGGAATGGCAGAGTTAATGTTTCGATACATTATAACAAAGATCTTCACACCTTCTTGTGCCTTTCGTTGAAGTAAACGGTCAAGACGCCACTTCTGACTGATAGCAGCTGGACGACGCATGTAGAGCTCGGGACTTAGCCACCAGTCGTGGATGTAAATGACATCTTTTGCCTGGTTAATTGCCCGTGAGACTACCCACATATAGTCCCTCCCATCAACTAGCCATTGTGCAAAGCAGTTTGGTCGCACGGGAGCAAAGCTGTCAAATCGATTCGGCTTAGCCCAAGGGGTAGTTTCAAGCATTAAACGAATGGAGTCCTCGAACTGACGAAGCTGGCGGTCGTTTCTGGCAAGTAATCTCAACCTGCGTTCAGAATTCTGCACTTTCAGAGTATGATGTTGTGGGTGTTTTGCGGACTCCTTTAGTTCTGTTGGGTTTTGATCCCTAAGGCGGACCTTCTGGGCCTGGATTTGGAAGTAGGGGTCGACAAGGAAGACATCGTATATGTGCATCTCCTCAGGAGAGTCAACACAGACAATGTAACTGTGTCGAACCAAGAACCACTTCGGAGAATGGCGGGATTTCACCATGGACGGGTTTAAAGCTTTCCTGAAATCAAGCCCTTTGGACGATTGGATAACCAAGTATCCCTCCTTACCGTGATAGCTTCCTTCAGCTGCCAGACGGACGCCAAGTGCAGAGAGCTCGAGGAATTTGCAGAGACGGTTGCTATCCGGTCGGAAAATGAGGAAACGTATCATTTTTTGTAGATATGATTCAAGCTTCTTTCTCTGTTTTTCAGGGTAGGTCTCCCGTTTGTTCGATGTACTGTTGTCAACGGCTCTGTCTGAGTTGGCTGGAGCGTCGAGTCGTGAGGCCAAACTGGACCGTCTCCTTGTGAGGGCAATGGAGGACCTTCGTTTCTTCTTCCTTGATCGCTCATTTCCGCTGGTTGCATCGGCAGCGGTATCTTCTGCGGCTTCATCTTCCTCGTCTTCTATATCACTATCAAGACCACGGACACCTCGCATGTATGGAAAGGCGCTCTTTGGGAAGTGTGGTAGCTGATGCCCAGAATCATGGCTTCGTAATTGGATATACCTCTGTGTACCAATCTGCAGCTTGTACTTTAAATGAAGATTGGCGAAGTCTTTAAGTGTCCGATGTATTACCCACTTCATGCGGGTCATTCCGCTACCATACTCAAGTTCTATGCGGAATACAAGGTGGCGGTCGCCGGAGGAATGTGAATCAAACTCGCTGTCCGTGACATGGACTTTGAGCTGTTCAAGGAGGATAGGGATGCGCCGACTTCCATGCTCGTCTCGTTGGAACATACTTGCCAAAAGCAGAGCGGCGGGTACACCCGAGGTCAGCTCAGCAAGCAATTCGGCAGACTTGACATGGTCGACAGTGTTTTCCTGTTTCTTACGCTGGCCAATCAACTTGAAACCAGCTTTGATCTGCTTCCATTTCTGAGCACTGAGGCTCGAACCACGCTCAGCTTTGTGTCGGCGCCAGGCTCCGCTGATGCCGTCTGCATGGTCAGAAGTTCCGCCGAATCCTGTGAGCCGCCGTAAGTTTGTCGGGCGCCTCTCATCCTGAGAGGTTTGTCCATCAGCCCGCTGGCCAGTAATGCTTCTTCCACGAGTGCCTTGTAGCCAATTGCTTCTTCTCCGCCACATATTATCCCGATTCAACCTGTCTCTCCCCTCATCTTCGGAGAAACCTTCTCGTAAGCGATGCAGTGGGGGGGTCAGCGGGGCGTTAGCGGATTGAGGATCATCATATGGATGAATCGAGTTTGCAGCTGATAGGCCTGATTTCGGAGTAGACGGAGTCGTATTAGAGATATCAAGTGGGAGTCTCTTTGTTTTGCGTTTCTTCTTCTTCATCTGCACACCGAAACCTGCTTCGGAGCTAGATTCAACGTCCGCATCTGCATCACTTCCACCACCTGCATCCTCTGATCGGGGAAACCGGAATTCCGCCAGATCCGAGAGTGGTCCTGCGCCGTCAGACATCGTCCTATCATGGCTTGGTCCTACAGGAGAAGCTGGGCCCGCGGAGCGAGAAGTTGAAGGGGCAAGAGCTCGGAGCTTGGACATAAATTGAAAATGTCCACGTTTGGGGGCTATTTCTTCATCTGCTGCGAGCTCTGAGGGTGGCCTGGAGTATGATTGTCGTTGTCCCTGTGCATCATTATCACCCTCCGTCCGGGAAAACTGTACACTTCGGCGAGCTGTAGGTGTTGATGCACCGGTGGTAGGTTGGAGACCAGGCTCGGCATGACCCTACATATTTCGAACATTCGTAGTTAGCTTATATCATTTAATGTACCCCGTAATCCACTGCTATGCAAGGAAGAGCAACTGCACAGGGTTTCCCGGTTCTGAAACACTAACAGTATGAGCGCGCTCAACCGTGGCCAAGGGCTCAGTGCCTCTATTGCCATTTCCATCGGCCGTGTCTTCGGTGTTCAAGGCCCGTCCTTCATGGACTCCCTTTCCGCCATTTTCATCCATTTTCTGCGGTAATAAGTGTCGTATACTCGTATATGACAATCGGTTGGGGAGTCTTCTTTATGCTGATAAGAGGCCCTTGTTTGAAATTTATCTGGAGTGCGTGATTGAAAGCGTAGGCGCCGTTGTTTCTTAAATGAGCCCAGCAGGAGTATATCCTGCAGCTCACTCCCCGCAACTATGATATAACACCGTCCATCAGCACTTCATCTTTCCAAGAGGTGGGAACCGTAGCTGTAGTTCTTGCAAGCTCGAGGAAGGCCCAAACATACCGCTGTACCATCTCGGAAGCCCTACTGTATCATCAAGAGCCTTCAACAATGCTTTTCCTAGTGAATAACCGGCAACGTCGCTCTTTTTCGTCCTTGTCTCCCTATTTCTCCTGGATGTTGTTCGTCTTCCGCCTCGTCTTCTGCCTCGTCGTCTTCGTCTCTTCTCCTTGAACTCCTTGCTTTCCCTGTTCGTCCCCGGCCAATCATATCAAAGTGTCGTGGGATGGATGAGTAAGCGGGTTGGATCACGTGTGTCGTTAGTTGCCGCGGCAAAAGTTAAAGATATAAAAAAGCAAAAAGCCGAAGACGACGAGGTAGAAAGACGAGACGAGATGAGATAGGACAGAGAAGAGGATATAGAGAGTCTTTAAGAGAGTCATAGAGCAGGGGATAGAAGGAAGATAGAAGATCCGGTTTTATCTGCTTACTGAACGGTTAGAGAAAGCTGGTATTCAACATGGCCAACCCGATGGTGCCGGGTAACTCTACGCCGCCGCCCCTGGTGTCCAAGAAAGATATACCAGTTTCAGGGATCATTTGCTCTGTCTATGGGCTTGAAGAGATACCCGTACAGGCAACGGAGGTGTCCTGCCTGTATCTACTGCACCCACGCTCGAATACTCGCGAGTCGATGGAATGGGCAGCTATTGGAGCAGTAACTGAGTGGAACAGACGCCTGGCTAGCAAGCAGGCTGCTCCCAGCGAGCAGAACAAGGGGCTCGTAGCTGTATGCTTTGACCAGCGAAACCATGGCTCGAGAGAGATGAACAAGCTGTGCAATGAGTCGTGGAGAGGTGGAAATCCCAACCATGCACAGGATATGTTTTCAATCTTTAGTGAGTTTGCAGACCTGGTAGGAAATGGGTATGATCATGGCTAATTTGGTATAGATGGAACAACTCGGGATGTGTCTATACTGATTGACTACATGGGATGCTATCTCTTTCCCAAGTCTGAGCGGAAGATCACAGATAATCTCGTGCTGGGCGCTTCTCTTGGTGGCCATGCTGCGTGGGGTTGTGTCCTACATGAGCCTCGTATCACCAGTGCTACCATTATCGTTGGTTGCCCGGATTATGTCAACCTAATGGCTGACCGCGCTGAACGATCAAAGCTGTCTACTTGGACGAAGAGCAACCCTCAAGGTTCTCAGTTCTTAGGCTCGGAGTCCTTCCCTCAGCCACTGATAGACACCTTAAAGCATTGGGACCCCACGAGTTTCTTCCTTAGTCATATAGGTGAATACCCGCCCAAGGAGCCAAAACGCAGCGGGCCCATCCCTGATCCCACGGAAGAGGAAAAGAATATTCTTCGGCCAGTGATGAAGCGATGCCTGGCAGGTAAGAAGATCCTGGTTCTCTCCGGGGGTGCGGACAAGTTAGTTCCTTATGCACGCGGAGAACCATTTTTGACATGGTTGAAGAAGGCCATTGGGCCAGAAGGATGGTATGCAGAGGGGAAGATATCACTAGAGGATATTATCTTTGAAGGAGTGGCACACCAAGTCACGCCTCCTATGAGGGACGAGGCCGTCAGGTTCATCGGCGATTGTCTGGCTGCGGGTCAGGATAGCTCAGCAAGATCCGCCATGGTTAGGACATCCAAGATGTAGATAGATATAGGATACCTTTACGATAGAAATGACCAAGCACGAATTTTTGAAGTATAGGAAAAGGATTCTATTCCGCCTATGTAGTTATATGGGATAGAACCTGATTTCATACCCAGGAGAGACAGGGGAGAATATCCACAGCCTATCAAACCCAGACGTCAAACCGCCACAGTTTTTGTTCGATCTTCAAGAAATCGTCATTAAAATTGTTTTGCTTTCTTTTTAGTAAGATCATTTCCACTGCACTGCATCACGCCGTTCCGGATTTCCCTATCCCATGCTGTTGATGCAAAAAGAAAAAGAGCAAAAGTTACGCAACGGGCGATCGATCAGTGAGGTCTCCTCTCGCGCCAGAGAAAAATTGCACACCGAGAAACCCACGAGGGGCTCCACCTCCTCCATCCAACAGCAAGCGTACAGAGAGATGTTGGCAGCGAATCATCGATCATTTCAAACAGGGCATTTAGGCAACCAACTCAACAACACCGCCGGCCTCCTTGATCTTTCTCTCAGCCTCCTTGCTGAAGTATCGTGCTCGTACAACCATTGGGATCTCTGGGAGGCGGCCCTTTCCGAGGACCTTGGAGTAGCCAAGTGGTAGGAGGTCGAGGACGGGGGCGGTATCGGGCTTCTTGTTGCTGATGTAGGCGTCACGGGTTTCGGTAGGGACGAGAGACCATAGCTACCACACAATTAGCATTGACTGTTTCTCCCAACTTATTCTCTACTTGAATATGTTCTCCCCCTCCGCGCATTGCATCTCTTTCTTGGGGCAATGTCTGCCGTACCTTGTCGAGGTTGATGACTGGTCTCCAGAACTGGTTCTGCGTCTTGTGGAAGTATCGCATACCAACTTTACCGAAGTAACCGGGATGATACTTGTCGAGGTTGGTTCTGTGGTGGTGCTGACCACCGGCCATACCACGACCTCCGGGGTGCTTGCGGTGCTTTCCTATGCGACCGTAACCAGCAGAGACATGGCCACGGCTATAATTCATCATCTATCAGCCCAAAACTGCTCAAAACATCTTCCCGGCGCATCGAGCGCACCGCGGCGGCGGTACAGAGGGAGGCACTCACTGCTTTCTCGTCTTCGTGAGTCTGGTAGGCATCTTGTCGGAGGCGCGCTGGTCGACAAGAGGATGTGGTCGGTCGATGGAGGAAAAGGATGAAGTTCAACCGCTTGTTTCGCTTTCTTCAACTTCAAAAGTTTCCCTTCTTGGCTGTGGTGTCGCTTAGGGTTAGCCCTAGTCACGTTATCAGTAGTAATGAATTAGTCAGTATTGACTAACTGGTTACATTACTAAGCACAAACAGCAGAAGCTAGAAGGAGACCGTCGTGGACGATGATATTATGTATCATAGTAACGTTATTGTGTGTATATAGAGTGGAGGGAAAGTAGATGGTGGTTATGAAGAATAGGCATTGGGGAACTAGTTATTATTTGGAGCGGAAGAATTGCTCGACTTGGCTGTAAACATCACCATGGTGATGCTTGGGAAGACTACTCCGGATCCAACCAGGCAGCTTCCCTTGAATCCTCTCGGTCTGATACCTCCTGTCTATCATCAAAATGGCAGCATAGTCCCCCTTATGCCGTATGGCACGTCCAATACACTGGTTCACCGTCCGCATACATGTGTTTTCATAGTATGCTCTGCTCGCTGCCTTGCCACGGGCTCTTCGCTCACCTTCTGACAAGCTGGAGTCGGCCAGTTCATATGCCTTCTTCTCGACATGCTGCAGTTTAGCCTGCCAGATGGCGTTGCGGGTATTTGGGAACGGGAGACCGACTACGATGACACCGCGGCCCAGGGAATCTGAGAAGTTGATGCCTTCCGATAGTTTGCCGCCCATCACGGAGAGAAGGAGACCGCCTCTCCCTGAGTCGATAGAAGCGGAGTATTGGGAAAGGAGAGAGTCCGTACTGGTGTTGGTGTTGGTGTTCGCGTTAACGTTGGTACTACCCATAGACTGAGGCTCATGAAAGATGGGTTTAAGGCGAGAGAGGCTGTTGAGGATGCCAGAGCCAGAGGACCATACTTTCAGTACGGTTGATAGGTAGTCGTAGCTAGGAAAGAAGACCACAACGCCGTCAGGGATGATAGAGCAGAACCTGGCTATCGTCCGGCCCAGGCTGTCGATCTATATCTCTTGTTAACTAACGCTGAACCTGGGTTTAACGTACAAGGACATACCATCTTCTCAGACTTGCGATGGTCGAAAGTGAAGTTGAATTCGGTTCCATCCATTCCTTTGTCTATTGGGATAGCTGTTAAGTTGATCTTCGGTATGACATGCCCATAGGTAAACGTCTTTATTTTCTCTCGCGGAACATACGAGAATAGATGATCAACGTAGTCATCCATCTATGCAGAAGTCAGGGTCAATCTCTTGGGGGAATCAAAGGATACATACCGGCTCCATTGTCCCACCAGCAAGTATAACTGCCCTCGCATCCTCAACAAGCTCCCTGAACCGACTGGTAGGATCGAGTAAGAGGTATTTCATCTGTACGTCTCCGCCGACTTTCTCGTAGAATAGGCGCCCTTCATCCGAAGGGTCCATGAGCGGAAGGAGGAAACTCTGCACATGGAATAACACAGGCATACCACCATCTGCCTTCCTGCCACTGCCATCACCGCCATTGGACTGGGTAGCTGTATGCTCAATGTACCCATCTACCTTTCTAGCAAGTTTGCTTTCTCTCAGGTACACACCTAGTTTATGTGGGTTGATCATATCTGCGCCTCCTTTCCCCTTTCCACCGCCGAGGACATCCTGCACCTCAAGCTCTCCATCTGCTGTACTGGTCTGCGCAACAACCTCCAAGCATGAAGTCATACATCTAATCAACCTGATAAGCTGGGCAATGTAGACTCGATTTCTGCCCTTAAGGCGGGTCTTGAACCGTCTAGCGTACGTGGTAACCTGAGCAAGTGCTGTCTTAACCTGTGACAGCGAGACGGTGACGGAGTGGATATTGACTATTGCATCGATAAGGTTATGTGCTTCGTCAATGACAATGACGCTCTTCTTTGCTGAAAGGTTGAGTGCTTCGCGGGCTGACTGTTGTAGGAGTAAAGAGTAAGGCAGGGTGACTACCTCTGTGGCAGAAGCTCTAATGGCCGTACGAGATGCGTAGTATGGGCATATGCCCACCTTGGTACCCAGGGGTGGTAAATCTTCTATATCGTTAACTCGAGAGAGTAAGTGGTCCTGGAACTGTGAGGTCTTGAGCTCATTTTCCTTAGTAGGGAGATAGGGGCATTTGTGCTCTGCAGCTACATTGGGCCTTTGTAGCTCCAGGCACCGTTCGTTGATGGCCGTGGCAGAAGACAGAGTCCGAACTGAAGGGTTGATACAGAGGGTTTTTCTAGATGCGAGGGGAGTATGCTTAATCCACTCCCCTTCTTCCGGTACTTTTCCTTCTTTCTCTTCCTTCAAGTCATCGCCCAAGCCCGGGGGTATACTGGATATGGGCATGACGCGCCGCATTTCCTGTGCAAATTGGATAAGCTGCGAATGCGTTCGGGAACAGTATATTATCTTGACGCTCTCTTCGTCCTCGTCCACGTCTGTCTGCTGGGTAGGGCCTTTAAGCCTCTCGAGAAGGGCCAGCGTATCTGACGACAGGGGATTGGTATCATCCAGTGGACGTCTGGCAGCCTCATCACCGCTCTCGTAGTCATCCAGTTCAAAGTCTTCATCTTTGGTCTCTGATCGAGCCTTCTCATTACCAACTCGCTAATTATCTGGTTGTCAGCAAAATCAGGCCTGGTCACATATAAAACTATCTGGTATCCGGCAGACGTAAGTACCATCTTTTTGAACGAGCGAGACGCAAGCTCCAACTTCTTCCTATGTCTCTCCTCTGCTTCACGGACGCGAGCCAGACGGTCTTCCAGCTCCTTTCGGCGAGCAAGCATGTCTTGAGTCCTCTCTCGTCGAGCATGTTGCACCATCCAGTCCGGCTCCCCGTCGTCCCCATCTACCAAGTCAGCATGCACTTCGCCATGTAGCTAATGTAACCATTGACCGATACATGACCAGCAGAGTAACACACCGTCATCAGCCTTCTCGAGAAAGACAGATCGTTTGTGGTCTCTCAGCCATGCCAGCGAGCCACATATCACACTCAACGATTTGCCCTATCCGCGTCAGATGGACACACTGGTATCATGCAGCATTCTGTCAGGTATACAGCAGACATACCGTCCCTACGCCTGTCAGCAGTGCATAAACTAGCGGTGCCAGAGACCGTCTGAGTCCGGGATTCACCTGTAGGGCTCTCGAAGATGCCTATGCCGCCGTCCTCGATGCAGCCGTAGAGCGCGTCCATGAACTGCACCTGGATCTCGTACGGCGTGTACGGATGCCGGAAATCCTTCTCCATCTCTCTGCTGGCCCTGAGACGTCTCTCTGTCCTACTTAGGCCATCTCTGCCGCCCGTCTGGCCGTCCTATCCCGTGTTGTCGATGTGATCTTCGCCCTGGTTCCCGTCGGTCAGTCTATGCGGCTACATGAACAGCACCAGGGGGGGTTCTCCATCTCAACGGCCAACTTGCCTCTCGTCTCTCTCCTCTTTTCTTCTTCTCTTAGCCAGTCAACTAGTCTTCGCGTCTTCTGTCTGCTGCGAGCGTCGTCAACTGACTAAAAATAGTCAACCTGCTGAGGCAGTGCTCGTCCGTCGACTGACTATCATTTGGTTATTTAAATATTTCCAAACATCTAACAAACAACCGCATCCATCTCCCTCCGTCAACATCCAACGACCCAGCTACGGTCACGTCTCTAGTTAACTATTAGCTACCAACTCTTCTCTCTCTCGTTATCTATCTTCTACGGAGCACGCCGTGGTTTACCCCTGCCTCTGCTTCATCCTTCCTCCTCTCACAGGCCACTCAGCGGTGCTACATACAGCGCATCTACAACCGCGCCCCCAGCTACCAACGCCTACAACGCCTGCAACGCCTCTACCAAACCCTCTTCAGCCTCCATCGAGCATCCCGTCAGCCCGTTGACCCATCTATAGTCAACTTGAATAACCAGCTGAGGGTCCTGTCTCTCTCGCTCTCCCTCTCTCATGCCCTGCAACCCCAGCCGGCTGTCCAGGGCCCCGGCCAGCATCCCAGCATCCTCCCCCTAGTCCGAGCCAGCAGCGGCGGCGCCCTCGAACACGAGTAGCGCCTTTTTCTCTCCTTTCTTTTCTTTTCTTCCTCCGTCTGCGTGCCCGTCCTATCACCTCACGTCCTCCGGGTTGGTTGGAAGGGTGATTTAAATAGAAATACACTATCTATGGCCGCTCCGTACGACTCGTCTCGTCCGCCGCGCTTGGGAGCGACTTTCTATCCAGGCACCGTCGACGACTACCAGATGCCGGAAGTCATCTCGCCCGCCCCTCAGAGGTATTTATAGAGGGCCTCTTTTTTTCTTTTTTACCCACCTTGCATTGCTTATTATAATAACAACTAGTTGGCTCCTTTTTGTTACTTGCATTCGACTTATCAACCCTCCAAAAAGCGCTGCCCGCTAACAGTTGCCCATTTTAGGGTCATGCCCGAAGTCCCTGAGAACATGCAAGATAATCTCGCGCACTTCGAGCTCGACGCCTCTTCTACCTCCAACCCGCGCTCTCACCAGCAGCAGCAGCAGCATTTCCCAAATCGTGGCTCTTCGATGCATAACCAAGGATCGCCAGGCTTCTCTGCGCCGGGCTCTCCGTCCTATCCCCCGCAGCAACCACCACAGCATTACGGCGGCGGCGGCTACGATGCCCCAAACTTCTCCCCTTTTCCGCCGCTCGTCAACCCGCCGCCAAATGTGCCTCCGACAGACGAAGAGCGTGAAGCAAACCTCGAACATGGCCGTATGGCAGTCCTCGGCTCCAACGATGCGGAAATGCAGCTTGCCTGGGCCCAGGATGCCCTCTCCTACGTCGAAGTAGCCATGCAGAACGAACTGCGCAACCAGGTAGCCTACGCGCCCCGGCCACAGACACCGCAGATCGAACACCAGCTCAAGACGGATGCCATCAATATCGTTACATTCCTGGCCGAGCAGCAGCATCCGCGGGCTATGTTTATCCAGGGCATGTGGCTAGAGTTTGGCAAGTTTGGCTTCCGCGTCGACAAGAAGGAGGCTTTCCGGTGCTACTCCCGAGCCGCAGAAGGCGGCTATGCACGCGCTGAGTACCGCATGGGAATGCAGTTCGAGAGTTCAAACGAACCTCTCAAGGCTATCAAGCATTACGAGAATGGCGTCAGGCTGGGTGACTCTGCTTCATACTATGTAAGCTTACCCCTCTATACTCATGCCTTCGTTACAATGGCCATTGATTGACAGATTTACAGCGTCTGGGAATGATGATACTACTAGGACAGCATGGCCAACGACAGGACTACGCGGTAGGACTCGACCATATACGCTATGCTGCACAAACCTGCGACGAGAATGCCCCTCAGGGTGCCTACGTATGTCTACAAACCAGAACACTACGACCCAGCAACATCTAACTGACAAATATTAGGTTTATGGAATGCTGCTTGCTCGTGAACTACCTCAGGTCACTGTTCCGGATGAGTATCTCGCTCACGACCTAGCCAACGCCCGTATCAACATCGAAAAGGCCGCATACCATGGTTTTGCCAAGGCACAGGTCAAAATGGGCTCCGCGTACGAGCTATGCCAGCTAGATTGTGACTTCAATCCAGCACTGTCTATTCATTATAACGCCCTTGCTGCTCGACAGGGCGAGCCTGATGCTGAGATGGCCATCAGTAAATGGTTCCTGTGTGGTCACGAAGGCGTGTTCGAGAAAAATGATGAACTTGCCTTTACATATGCCAAGAGAGCAGCCCAGTCTGGCCTGTCAACAGCGGAGTTTGCCCTGGGTTACTTCTACGAGATCGGCATCTATGTTCCTGTTGATATCAAGGAAGCCCGAAGCTGGTACGCCAAGGCAGCTGCCAATGGAAACAAGGACGCATCAGGACGAATTGACAGCATCTCACGCTCAAAAACACTCTCTCGCAAGGACCATGAAAAAGTGGCCATCCAGCGCATCAAAACACAACGTACCCAGCAGCGCTTTTCCCAACAATCTAACCATCTGCAGCAAGGTCAACCCGTTCAAGACACCCTTGAGATGCCTGACCCATCCCGTATGAGTCTCCATGATCCTGCCCGCCCGATGTCGGCAGCACCATACCCCGATGGACCTCCCTCAGGACGCTATGGACCAGCTCGACCCGGACCAGGGCCAAACTCACATTCGTACGGGCCAGGACCGGGAGATCACCGTAGCTCTTCTGCTTTCGGTATCAACCCTAATCTCCGTGCACACTCAGTTGGACCACCAATGGGACCACACGGATATCCGCCGCAGGGCCGTCCGCCAATGGGTCCCGGCCCAGGTCCAGGGGGCCCTGGAGGCCCTGGTATGGGACCAGGTCCACCAAAGCTAGACATCGGCTTCTCTGCTCCCCCAGACTTGTCCGGTGCAGATAGAAGGAGGAAACCGCAGCAGCGCCCTCCTGGTGGACCAGGACCAGGACCAGGACCCAGTCCCGGCGGAAACCGTATGCCTTCCACCCCTCCATCAGGAAGACCACACGGCGGACCACCTGGTGGTGGCAGACCCGGCACCGCATCTGGCCCAGGGCCTGGAGCCGGACCCGGGCCTGGAGCTGGACCGGGACCGGGACCGGGACCCGCTCCACAGCCACCAAAGCAGCCTGCCAGCGCACCTCCTGTGGCCCCCGGTAAAGGAAAAGGGCCCAAGACGTTTGAGGAGATGGGTGTGCCGCAGGGCAAGACGGAGAGCGATTGCGTGAGTATCCCCTGCTCCCTTAACTTACATAACTGTAATACTAACAGCTTGATAGGTCGTTATGTGATGTCATTCCTTACCGTTGTTGGTCAAGGGGAAAGCGGAGCAAAAAAGGGGGAGAATGGTGTTCTCTATTTTATCTACTGCATGTCGTTGCAAAAGTCGATTTGCCACGTTGTTTCTTCATCTTCACCTTCATCTTCATCTTCTTTCTTGGTAAACTTATTGATTAATTCTGGAGATTCTGGAGCCCCTTTTTCGCTTACATCTTTTCTTCTCCTTCGTTTTCTCACGTTATGCCCTTCGTGAAATTTATCTCTGTATGCATTACTTACATTATATAGCACCTTCTTCCTTTCTCCCTTACTTACATCTTCGTCTTGCTTTACGTCATTCCGCATAGACTCAAGGCTCATTGCGTACGATTCCATATATCAGCCTTTTTTTCCTCCGCCCTTTATCTTGGGATCCGCGCCGTTTACTTTACTCCATTCCGCCCTTTGCCATGTCTTCCTTTATTTTGGCGTGTTTACCTTTCTAGCTGCTTTTATATAGCGTGTCTGTCCATCGTTCATTGTTCCCTGTCTCTTCTTGCGCCTTTATAATTTTGCATGTTATACACAATTAACGCCATGTTCTCGGTGGTTGGTGCGGTCAAATATACTTGGAGTTTTAATATAAAAGTAAAACTCACTCACTCTTTTCCTTTATGATAATCCACCCAACTTGACTATCCACCTAGATCAGACGTATCCTCAAATGCCATCGTCATAGGCAATGGAATAAAACAAGCAAAGCCTCCTTTATATCAATATTTATATAAAATCTTAACTGTAGACGAACGCGGTAAGCCGGTTCTGCCGCCTTGTCGTCCCGATCGGGGAGTTCTCGACGTCTTTTCTTCAACGTCGTTTTTCAGCTTCGACTTCGACTTCAACTTCAACTTCAACAACGTCGTCAACATCCAAAGAGAAGCAATACAGCTGTGAAAAGTGGCATAACCACATCCACTCTCGAAGATACGATGGCTTTAAAGAAGGAAAAGGCGGGAAAAGGCGAGAAGAGCGCTGGTAGTGACGATGGTAGGTGCTCTCATTCAGTGCTGAGCTTCAAATTAATGAATGCAACGACTACTAAACGAAGCGGATTCTTCCCGTGCTGTTGATATAGGCTCAACCATGATTCTCAAGTATCTCCGTAAGTAGATGCACCGTCCCTGCCTCTAAAGACAATTAGCTTGCTAACTGGCCTGATAGAACAGCAGAAGTACGCAGTATATGAACATGCACGGACATTCAGACCATAGAACTAACTATGATAAAAGCCGACCATACTCGGTAGGCTAGGGTATTCTCTTCCTAGTTAGGGATAAGAATATTAAACCGCGAGTAGGCAATTGATATCAGTGCAAACTTGCACAATAAGGTGACTAAAGGTATCTAGTATAAACTAGGAAAAGGCCGATGATAATATATATGCTAACGTAGCCCCAGCATATACGGTCAAAGCATTAAAGGCTCTGCATGAGCGGAAGCTGCTTGAGTGCAGGGTCTCGGGTATTGACTGGAACTAAGTATCTCGCCGAGGACTTGAGCTAAGTGTAACATAGGAAAACAGATGGTCTACCATGCGGTCCAAGAGACTGCCAATGAGGCAACGGCAGAAGAACTTGCCGCTATGGATGACAGGATCACATCTCTTAGGGAGCAACTCGAATCTGCCAAACGACAAGAAAAGGCTCTCAAGTCTGAGCTTGCCGTGTTAAACTCCCGTGTCTCAAGCACAGAGCTTCTCTCGCAAATCGGCCAGTTAGAGCTTAGAATGGGTACACTGAACGATCAGCTTTCCCGGCTCTGCAAGGAAACGGCTACAGGCAGGATAGTAACAGAAGAAGAAAGCAACTGGGTCCAGAAAAACTGGGCAACGTGGAAGAGACACGCTTCTCTCCGCAAGCTGGCATGTCGAGAAATGTGGTTGAAATGCACAGAAGTTCTGCCTGACAACGTCAAAAGCGCACAGGAACTCTGGGAGTCGCTCGGGATGGAAGGAGAGCTGTAATGCAGCTGTCCAATCGGGGGTGCGCAAGGAACAAATGGATGTCGTTGGGGGGGAAGAAGATCTGGGGAAAGAGTTACATATATGCGAGGACAGCACGATAAACGCTAAAAGCACCATTCGGCCTCTGCCATGCCACGAAACAAGGACGATGAACAACCAGCAGCAACTTAAGGAATAGTTAACTAGTTAGTTAGTGGGCGTGACGACACGATGGGGTCGGTATTGCTTCCCAGGTCAGCTGTGATGAGGTCAGTCGCCGCAAGCCCGCCGTAGCTTGCAGGTCATGAGCCTCCTCATTTGAGTTGTATGTATGTACCTCCGAGTTCCTGTTCTCGATAGTTGACAATAAATAGAACTGCTGCTCACTTGCTCCCTTCATTCACTCTCAAAAGACCGAAGACATCATCGACTTAGATGACTAAGTCGGCCCTTCTGTGAATCCAAATATCGCCGTTGAAATGAGATCGAAGTGAAACTTCCCGGCTGGCTCCCACCCTTCGCCCTCCAAGGCTCTGAAAAGAGTGACTGCTGCGTGGCAGATCTTTGCTCGCCTGCTCATTCTCCTACTTTGCCAGCAAACAGCAGAGCCCACTTTAAATCTAAGCGCGAACAAGAAGAAGAGGGCAAAGACAAAAAAAGCACCTTTCAGCAAGCTAAATCCCGAGACTTTTTTTGCCCCCTCCGCACCACAATCCCTTCGATCCACGAACCCTAAATAAAAGACGCGGAAAAATCTGCTGGCGGTTCTTCTCTTGCGACCTTCTTTTCAACCTCGCAATGCAGAAACAGCCGCCGACGCAACCACGGCATCACCCACCACAACATATAACACCGCAACAACCGCAGCAGCAGTACCGAACAGACTCGCAGAAGCTCAACGACACTGCCTCTGCTACTGCCAAAATGGCTGGAGGCGATCCGCGCAACAGAGCCCCGCTTCCTGTGCCGGGAGGTCATGGTCCATTTCCACAGAGCGAAAACGGTGGCATGCGTCCGCCGTTTGATATGGCTCGCAGCCCGCCAAATCCGCCAGCTAGCAAGAGTAGGCAGACGCTTTTCGGATGTGCCTCTTTGAACGAGACTGCAGCTAACCGGCGTGAACGCGCAGATACTAAACATGTTCCATGCAAGTTCTTCCGTCAGGGAACCTGTCAGGCCGGCCCGGCATGCCCGTTCCTGCATTCGACAGACAATACTATAGATTCTGCGCCATGCAAATACTTTACAAAGGTGATACCCGGATGACTGGGGAGGTTATAAGCTATCTGAACTTAGGCATAGAGCTGACAGTTATGGCGATATCTAGGGAAACTGCAAATTCGGAGCAAAGTGTGCCCTTGCTCACATCTTGCCCGATGGCCGGAGGGTGAACCGGCCCAGCATGGGCCTCGGAGGGAATCTCAACCTAGGCGGTCGAGTTCATCCTCCGCCATACCATGCACAAGACTCAGCTTTAGCAAACTCACTCCTCTCGCAGCAGCAAATAAACGGACACAACTCACGCTTCTCATATCCGTATGCCTCCCAGGATGATCTCCATCTTCTACCTCCGCATGCCCAGCAACAACTTCAGCAACAGCAACTGCAGCAGCAGCAACCACCACAGTTTGGACAGCAATACGACGGTTCGATCCCGCTTATTGACGCCGGTCTGGTATCTGACACCGGCTCCAAGTATGGCTCACCTCCGGAGGAAATTCGCCTTCCCATGTCTCCGATCGGCCGCACAGCTTTAGATGCTCCGCTGCCTGCCTCGTTCGACAGTCAAGGTATATCCCACATGGCCCGCTACGGCCCAGTCGCGGCATCAGTGCCGTCCAAGTTCGGCCTTGACTTCGCTCACTCCCCATCCCTCTCTCACCGACCTAACGCCACACCCGACGTTCTCCGCAGCCTTCACGATACAGCCTTTGGACTAGACAAAAAACCGCTTGGACTTGGTTCCTCACCACCAGTTGTTAGTGCGGAAGATAATTCCGGCTTCCGTGTCATGCACTCCCAGCGTGTGCCCCGTCAGCGCATACTCTCCGCCAGTGTTCCCCGCCCAACAATTCTCGACGACTGGGAGGACAACTTCACTATGGAAGAAGACTATTTGCCGACGAATCTGCACGATGATGTGCTCACGCCTCAAGAACGAATGCGCCGTCTCTCTCGCACCGAGCACGACTTGTCAAGCAGCAGTAAGGATCCATCTGGCCTTGGAATAGGTATTGGAGTCGGCATCGGAGGATCCACCAAAGTAGGCTCCCCGCTCGCATCCAGTCCATCTCGGTTCGGTGCCCTATTTGCCAAACAACGCCAGCGGAAGGAGGAAGAAGCTCAAGCTGCCCTCGCTCAGAACGGACACGTCGGCTCTCCTCTGCGCGAATCAGTCGCTGGGTCCCGCTCTTCTGCAAGCGCTATCCGGCCCATCGGAAGTCTGCCCGGGTCCGGCGACATCTCCCCCTTTGTTGCTAGCCCTCGTCAGTCTTCCATGTCTATGATCTCTGAACAGTTAAGCAGCACATCACTTCACCCTAGCTCCGCCCGAGCACCAACTAGCAACCCTCGTATGGACCGTAATTTATCATCACCCGTGAGCACGAGCCGGATCGACGAGGAGCAGGGCGACTTGGTCTTCTCGATGGAGGAGGAGGAAAGTAACAAACGAACGAGCGCAATCTGGGGCGCAAACAAGGAAACCCCGTCTACAGAGGGAGAAAAGAATGCAAAGGCGTCTACGGCCGGTCAGGATAAAAAGGATGGGAGCGGAAAATCTTACCTAAAAATGGAGTCTTTGTATGGAAATCGATCATGATGATATCCATGGTGGTGTTGTTGTTTCTTTCCCTTCTGCTTTTGAGACGATTCGTTTGGTATTTGCTTGGTGATCTGCTTTTTCATCCACTGGATGTTTTTTCCTCTGCTAACGCTCCTTTGGTTCATTCCCTCTTCTCCTTGATGCACTCGCTGCTTTCCCACATATCCTTGGATTCTCTCCCTTTTTCGCTTTCTATACACCGGCTTGGAGAATCCAAGGTTCTTTTCTATTTGACTCTCTCTTCCTTTTACATTTCCTCGGCGCACATCGAAAATTCTGTTACTCTTTGCATACCATACATGACCTGTAAATATATGTCCAGATACATACACCGACGCCTGCATGCATAACTTAACAGCAGATACACCGCTAATGATCAGTTCATTCACATGCACTCTGAGCATCTCCGTAAGCAAAAGCGTTAACTTTGTATCTGCCCAGGCCAGGATCAGCTTCTCTCTTTCTCCAGGAAGGCCAGAACTGAGCCATCCGCCATCGTCCTCTCGCTGTAGATGGTGAATCCGCACTTCTCCAGCAGCTTAATACTAGGAAAATTTGCCCTGTTGACATTGGCAAACACCTTCTCAGGCTTCTCCTCTCCCTCCTCCGCCGGCCGTCGTGGTATTGCCCACCAGATCTCCAAAAACGCCCTCAAAGCCTCCGTGCCATACCCTCTACCCCAGAGGTCTGCATCGATAGAATATCCCAGGTTCGGGATGGGGAGTACCTGGTTCATCCCGACGGTCCCTATAAATCTGCCTGGCTTGACTTTGCCTTCTGGCGTCTCTTCTCGCAGCGTCACGGCAAAGTAGAGCATGAGCTCTCCTGAGCCAGGCACTTGGAGTCTCTTAGAGTCCATCCATGCTTTGACAGCTGAGACATCCGGGGCGCTGTGAACTAGATACTTCAACATGGGATGCATGGCCGGGATGTTCCTAGTCACCGCGCATTAGCTATTGTTGTACAGCCATATGGTTACTGGATGGATGAAGGTGCCCTACTGCCAGGCACCGTTCAGCTTTGCATTCACTTCGAATAACGATTGGGCATGGTCGTGTGTAATGGGGACCAGCACCAGCCGAGGAGTGACTACCTCCTCTGCCTGATATGGAAGAATGATGCGAAGGGGCTGCGGCGCTGCTCCTGCGGATGGGTATCTGACTTTCTCATCTTCCTCAGATGCTCGCTCCGGTTGTTCACTGGCCATGGCTGTAATAGTTGTTATAAGAGAAGTAGGGAGATGCTGGAAGGAAGAAGGGCTTGACGGCTTGCACGCAGCTCGGGGTTGTCCATGGCCTCTTTTATATTGGCTGCCTGGCCAAATACGACGTTATCCGCAGAAAGATCCATTGACTATCAGGCCCGCTAGGTCGGAATACGAAGCCAGAAAGGAGTCACCAGATGCAACGATTACTGGCCAGCGCGTGTTTTAAGGGTGAAGAAGGATGGGCAAAGTTGACAGGGGAAGAGGGGATACCGGAATAAACATCGGAATAAACGGAATAAGTGCCACTTATATCGTTTCGACAGCGACGAGGACGTCATGAATTATGGTCCGCTTGTTGGTAACTAGTTGATCTAGCAGAGGCGTACATGGATGTTTTTGTTCAATGGAAAGCCACGTAGGAAGAAGAAGAGAGATAAAGTACACGGAAGAAAGACTGGCTTGACCAAAAACAAGAAAATGCCCCAATAACGACGGCATGCAAGCTGTAGAGAAAGAAGAGCAGAATGAAAGGAAAGAAGTAGAAGACTTAAAAGGAGGTAACGTTTCGTATGCTTTTTCCTGGCATGGTGGGGGTTTTGATATCAAGATTCCAGTCTCATTATTACCGACTTTTCTGAAAGAGCACGAAGAGAATTAAATGGCATAAACCGAGCAGTCACAGTCAAGACAGGTGGTTTCTCCCGATTACCGTCCACGTCGTTGTTGGGCGGAAAGCATGTTAGCATGGAGAAGCTTGAATCCGTTGCAGAGCGCTCGCATGTCGGGGTACGGGGTACGTTGCAGTTCATAGCCTTGTGGGATCACCTTGACAGGCCAGCTGTTCAGGGGTGCCTTCAACCCGGCCTTGAAGCAGAGGTGGAAGTATCCGGGATGCTTGGTATCGAGGCAGAACGCGTAGGCTGATCGCTTGGGGTTGGCGGTAGTATAGGTTGTCAACCAGCCCTCTATAAAACGACAGTTAGTTACTAGACTAGGCCATTAACACTGGGAATGAGTAGATGTTACCTGTTGCTTCCTTGGTGCCGCTCTGATACTTCTCATGCACCATCATATCATCCACCTTCCTGGACATGGCCTTGACGTGGTTGACAATCAACTCGTCAAGATCGGTATACGAGTATTTACCACCAATCTTCAGAATTCTTCCAACGGTAAAGTCGTTGTCTTTGTCCAATTCCAAAACATCAATGTGCTGGTATACTCCATCGGCTACCTTCCAAGTAACAGCAAGATGGTCGTGGCCCTTGGATGAAGGACGGATGACTACGTCACCACGACTCTGAGGCGCAAGGAATTCCTCCGCTTGTCTGCCATTGAAAGGACGGAAGAGGGGATGTTTGATAACACGTAGAGTACGTTGGTCGGTCTGGGTCTTCTCCTTCATTGCCTCCTGGTCCTCTCGCTCCTGATCTTCGTCCCATTCACCACGCATGTGATCTAGCTGTCGCCGGTAGGGCTTGTTTACCTGGTCTTCTCTGAGAGAGACGTTGGCTACAAACGACTTTCGGTTTAGGTAGGTAATCTTCGCCAAAGCAGTTTGATGCGGCGCGTAGAGACTTCGGACGGGGATGTCGTATCTATCTGTCATTTCTGACTCAGGTACAAGAGCGTCGATTCCACAGTCGAGTTTGCCGTCAATATGATCGTCTGAGACACGCTTGATGGTGATAGGCACAATCATGCCCTGGACCAACGACTCGGCGGTTTCGCCGGTAAACATTGTGAAAATGGCGTCGGTACCGAGGAACACGAACTGTTTTCGAAGTTCTTCGTAGGGCTGCTGCAGCTCGGCACGGATGGTCTCGAGGGTGGCTCTCTTGCGCTGGTTCAGGTTGTTTTCCAGCTGCTCGGCGTATTCTTCGAGAAGAAGATCGTTGACCTTGTCCTGTGCATCTTCTTTGATGAGTTTTCGAACAATGGCGCCTTGTCCATTCTCATCTGTTTCGGCCTTGATATCCTCTTCATCAAGCTCAAGGGCATCAGCAGCAATCTTCCTACCAATGTCGTAATCTTCAGGATGAACACGAGTGTTATCAAGATAGTCTGTGTCCGGGTCTGCGTTGTCATAGTCAATATAAAGGAAACTGGCGCAGTTATTCCAGACTTTAACTCCCATGGCTGGGTACTGAGCATTTACTCCCAGGAGTTCCATACGGCTGTTGACCACACCGCCGTTCATGTTGATGACTTTTAATAGCTGAGATGCCTTTCGAGGACCAAGGCCGCTGACATATGTGAGGAGGTTGGCTGTCGAGACGTCACTGACGGCTTCATTGATATCAACGCCAACTAGGTTGACCATGTCCACTAGAGCGGTTTCCAGCTGTTTTAATAGCTTGTCCTGAGGTATAAGTTGCTGGCCGGGTCTAAACTGGATAGAAACCACATCCCTTCCTAGTGAGGCGTACTCCTTCAATGGATTCTGGAGATATTTTGCGAGGGCAACGCAGTATCGACTTTGCAGGCTGAATCCAGGGTGGTCAACTTCGGCTCTGCGGCTGGTCTGGTACAGCCTGGCAACCTCGTCATTAACAATGACAACTTCCAGGATATCGCTGACCTCCTCGTCTCGTTCGTCTGTGTAGAAAGCACCGCGCAGGTCCTTTGCTTGGACAAGCTCTGACAGCTGCTTGTACAGCTTTCGGGTTTCAGGTGATTGTCCCGAGACGCCGATGACATCAGGTTTCCTGCGGTCGACAAGCTCAACGAAGGCCTCCACATCCTTACCATCGGCTATCATGCGGTCGGGGTCACCGAGGCCTAGGTCAACGAATTTGCCGTGTTCGAGCACTCGGCCGTCTTCTTCAACCCAGGTCCAGTAGATGGGGTCCTTTCCAACGACTCCAGATCCGTTTGTAAGAGCCAGGACTCGAGGGATGGTTCCTAGGATCATTCCCTTGGGCTTATAAGGGGCTTGGTCGAGTCTTTGCGAGAAGACTTCTCTGCACTCGCGGGCAACATGGTTCTCACACTCAGTCCGAATATTCTCCTTAACTCCCTTGCTCATTATCTTCTCCAGCTTGCCAAGAGCTAGATCCAGGACATCTTTCCGCTCCTTGTTCCATGCATCTGCAACCTCGCTGGAGTTATCAGATTGGATCTCGGGATAAAGGCGCTTCTTGAAGTGGTCAAAGTCCTTAAAGTGAACTTTTATTTCAACCAAACCTTCTTCCTCAGCTTTAAGCATGCGCAAGAAGAGCTCAGGTCGTCGTGCAATGTCTGAAATCTGTTGGTCACGGAGGTATTTGAACTCATAGTATGGATGGTGTTCATCTATCTTCTTCAACCCCTTTTCAGTTCGGAAGCATTCGATTACTCCACTCATGTAGAAGGCCTGTCTCATGACTTTCCGAACTCTGGGGCTCATGGTAAGTTCTTCAGCAAACATTGCTCGTGCAGCCTTCATGGCATGGGCTCCATTGGAGAAGCTCGAGTCCAGGAGGTTGTCTGCCATATCGGTCGGTTTCTCGCTTGCATCGTCGATATACTGCTTTCGGCCAGTCTCCATGACGTTTTGCGCAAATGCATCAGGAGTGATACCGAATGCACGGACCAGCCCATATGCACGGCTGTTGCGAACCCGCTCGAAGAAGGTCTTGGTAGAAGCCTTACGGCGCTGGGAGGCGGCGCCGTTCTCTCCTTCGTGGTTGCTGTTGACTAGAGCCAAGTCCTTGAGCTCTGTAGAGTACTGGAAGTAGAGATAGTCCTGGACGTCCTGTAGTTCTTCCATGGTAACGGCTGCGGGGAGCATTTCCTCAAACATTTCATCCTTGACGTTGGATATCGTCTGCAGGTTATCGTAAGTTGTCTGGAGGGTGTTCCGTTTATCGATGAGGGCACGGAACTTGAGGTCGAATTCAAAGATATCCCACAAGTCGATCATGCTGAGAAGCTTCTCCGCCTCGACGATGTACTTCCCTCCGTCGGGGTTGGTCCCACCATCGGGAATCGGGATCTTGACTGCATGGATAAGGTAGTCCTTCCGGTGTTGGAAGATGAAGGGGACCTCCCAGTCATCTGTGACCATGAATTCGAGGACCTTTGCGACCGCTCGCTGAAATGGATCGTGTAGGTCGGAATTGAGACGCTTTTTTAGCAGCATGAGGTTTGATATCCAGACAGCCTCTTCCCTGAACTGCTCTTCGGTTAGGGTGACATGCTGGTATGGCTTTCTGGCAAGCTGGTACCGCTCGGGCTCGTCTGTCGAACGTATGATGTTATCTTCGTCTGTCATCATCTTCTCGGCAAGTTGCGAGGGTTCAAACACGTCCTTGAGGTCGAGCTGCTTCTCCTCGTCCTCTTCCTGTTCTTCCTCCTCGTCTTCCAGCTCGAGAGCAAACAGATAGTCGTTTCCGTCACCAAAAGCCATGCGCATATCCTCGAGAGCGGCTTCATCGAGCCCGGTCGCTTCGGTCACGGCGAAACCGGAGAGCCCCTTTCTGGCAGGACGGGCGATCTCCTCGTCTTCCTGCTGGCGCTCATCCTCGTCGGAGAAGACATCCTTTTCAATAAAGTCGTCAAGATCGTCATGCATGTTCCTCCGGTCTCTGCCACGTCCATACGTCTCTACTTCATCTTCCTCATCGGAATTGAAGATGTCGTTAATGCCCTGTGGTTGGTCCCGGCCGACTTTGTGACCGCGCTTTAGACGCTTGAACTTGGACTGTACAGCCGTCAGATTTGTTTCTTTTTGACACCTTACCGATATCACCAAATACCAAAACGTACCTCGTTGTGCATGGGGAGTTCAAAGTCCGGATTGTTCTCTCGTATCAGGTAGAGGTCGTCCTCGTCCAGCAGCTCTTCTTCCTCTACGCGCTCCTGCCGCCGACGCTTCTTCTTCTCCCGCCGTCTGGCCGTCCGCTCTTCGTCCTCTTCATCTTCATCGACTATAAAGCCTTCTCGGACCTATATAGATCTACTGTCAGCTCTAATCGCAAAATATAAAAAAAAAGAAGGCCTCGACACTTACCGCACGAACGGCGTCCTCGTCCTCGTCGTCCAGCTCCTCTTCACTCGAGTCATCGTAATGGCCATTTTCCTCCCTGTCTCTTGTCTGTCCGCCCTCTTCGCCGAAGGACTCATCCTCCTCCTCGTCCTGGACAGCTTCGGTCTGCACGAGGTCTTGAGTGCTCATGGTGTCAAACTTCTTCAAACAAACTCCGGCCCTCTTCCACGTACCACTCACTGGTCGCGAAACTCTGTCCAGACAATTAGGACAAGGGAGAATAACAGCGACAATGGCGGTGCCAGTGACCGAAAGAAACGAGAAAAACAACGGGCTGAAGAGAGAGAGAGAGACGTTGAAAGAAGAGAGAGAAAGAAAGTCCTTGTCCTTTTTGGCAGCTTTCGGAAGGCGCCAGGACAGACGCTAGTCCTAAACTGGAGGACGCCCTTAGGCGCCGCGTCTGGCGCCTACCTTAAGCGACAGGCGACAGTCACGTTACTTATTACCTAAGCAAGACGAAACGCGCTATCAATAGGAGCAAGTCGGATATAAAAAAAAAGGGAAGAAAAACACGTAAAAAAGGAACAAAAAGGAACAAGCAGCAGCCGACAAGGAAGACAAGGAAGACTAGACAAGACGAGATCTGAAACGCGGTGGGCTGGCCCCCAAGGAGACGAGGGAGACGAAGGTAGCTCGCTAACCGCCCGCCCGCCCGCCACAGTGGGCATAAGCAGGAGGCGCCGGCAGTTTGACTGCTCTGCTGCGGTGCTCGTCTGCTTGCTCTGCTGTTTCTCTGGAATAGGTACGGAGCAGGTACTTAGTACGGACTTAGTTATACGGCTGGGCTCCCCCTGTCGCCGCTGCGGAGCTGCGTTACTAGTAGATTTTTGCCTGAAGAGTTAGGATGTAACATCCTGTGTAGAATGGGGGAAAAAGCCCATCTCGCTTCTGCTTCTCGTAGTACCACCTCTCTCTCTCTCTGTGTCTTTCTCTCAGTAACTCTCAGTACCTAAGTTATCCCCCTGAGTTGATGCTTGCTGGTACAAAAAGTCGCTATTGAGAGCAGAAAGCGGGAGAATCGCGATCCGCCTCGTCCATTGGCTGCGTGTGTGACATCGTCATCTTATCCCACCGTCCAATACCTCCGTCCAGAGCAGCAAAGACGCTCACCTCAACGTTCAGCCTTCCAGCAGCGCCAGGTAAGGAGACGAGCAAGGCATTCATTCCCCCTGCAGCCTGCTCTCGCGGCGGCGTCTCTCTCGCTCTTACTGGTGCATCCGCGGAAATGGACTTGTTCGGCTGATACTTGGTCTCTCTCTTCAGGGCTTCACCTTAGTTATTAGACGCTCGCTCAGGGAAAAAAAAAAAGCGACACCCGCGGATACAGACCTTTCGAGATCCTCCTCCTACCGGAAGACTCACTCTCTCTACGACGATATCTACTCGTGTCTGCCGTATCAGGCCTCTCTCTCTCGCTCTCTCTTTGTCGCGGTGTTCAGTTGGCGGGACATTTCGTAGTGCCACCTAACGTGCTGCCTAACGCTCGATCGGATACCACAGCAACAACAATACGACGACGAGAACAAAAGGAAAAAATAAGGATAGAGACAGCGTGTCTACGGTCGTGCAGGCGTCTGCAGCATCCTCAGCTACCCTCGTCGGTTTTTTCCCCCTTTCTCTTGATTTGTCCCGGGAGCAGATCTTCATACACACTCTGCCACCATGGCGGACGCTTTCAAGGCCCGCTCGCTGAAACGAAAGAACGTCAAGGGGCTGGCTCTCAATGCAACCACCGCGAAGCCAGGCCTGAAGCCCTCCGACGGCGATGCTCAGATCCCCGGAGCTATCGGAAACGTGGACGCCAACAGGACAGACACCCTGGAGATTGGCCTGGAGTTCAAGCTGGACCTGCGCAGTGAGGACCTGATAGTGCTCAAGGAGCTCGGCGCCGGCAATGGAGGGACCGTCAGCAAGGTCATGCACGCCTCGACAAAGGTCGTCATGGCCAGAAAGGTATGTCTTCCTTTTTGAATGCTTCTGTTCCTCTATACCTCATTTCATACTAATGCCTTATTTGATAGATCATCAGAGTCGATGCAAAGGAGAAAGTAAGAAAGCAGATCCTGAGAGAGCTTCAGGTCGGCCACGACTGCAATTCCGTCCATATCGTCACATTCTACGGAGCATTCCAGAACGAAGCCAGAGATATCGTACTTTGCATGGAGTACATGGACTGCGGGTGAGTTTTCAACTCCTACTATGGCAGATGTAAATGCATACGTATACTTAACAATGTATATGTATAGATCACTGGATCACATCTCGAAGAATTTTGGCCCCGTCAGAGTCGACGTGCTGGGCAAAATCACCGAGTCCATCTTCGCTGGTCTCGTCATACCTCTACGAAGCCCACCGGATCATGCACAGAGACATC